AACTGGCGAGTTCGACTGCCCGTCACCACCGCGCCGCCTCCGGGGCTTAGGGGTTGCCCAGCGGCCGAGGGTTGGCCGTGATCCCTTAGGGCTCGCCGCACACCCCCTAATCGCGCACCCCGAGGCCTCACGCGGCCCTGACGGTCTCCGTCTGATGCCCGTCCCCTCTCCGCCGCCCCGCCGCCCACCCACCCACCCCACGCCACCCGCGCCGTCAACTGGCCGGCTTCCTGGCCACCTCTCCCTCACCCACCCCCGCAGGGCAGGCAGGGATCGGCGTCCCCGGGGGCTCCAGCACCGCTACGACTGGTTGGGTGGGCCACCGGCCGACGTGCGCCTGGGCATACGATGGGGGACACCGGGAGGGAACGCCAGCCCCGAGTCGCCGTGAGGGCCTTCCGCTTGACCCTGGACGATCCGTCGGACTCCCTCGAGCCTGGTCCCACCCGTCTGCCTGTCTTGCACGATCCGCCGTCATGACCAACCTTCCAGCCGAGCACCGCTGGCCCGGTGGCTCCTCGCCTCTCTACATACTCACCGACCCCATCTGGGGGGCAAAAGTGCCAACAAGCCTTAATTTGTACAAAAGTGGCTGGCAGGGGCACTCTTAACTATGCAGGTGGTTGTGACTCCCAGGCAGTACAGCTACGATAACCTACGCATGGAAGAAGGAAGGTGAAGCAACTGTGTCCTATGCAACGAAGAAAACCAAGACGAAGGGGAAAAGGGAAGGGAAGAAATGAGGAAGGTGAAGTGCGCCCTCAAATACCCATCGTGGGCGGGGCCACAGTGAGGCGGCAGAATCCTCATGGAAAGTCCCGGATGGAAGGTTCCTCCACAGAAGTAAACCGAAAGGCAAACAATCCTCAGGCTCCAGCGCACACACACGCGTGAGGCTTCCATCAACAACGCGTAGGCAAACATCTGATCTCATGAACGCAAACATCGATCATGTGATCTCCTCCTCAACTCCCCAAGTCCACATCCATCAACTAGCCAACCAACCCACCAGTTGATACCAACTCGCCAGTCGGCTGACCAACTGGTCAGTGAACTCACCAGTTCACGGTGACTGACCAGTTGACTCATCCAACCAACTCCACACTCCAAGTCTGTTCACGAACTGGTCAACCGACTAGCCAGTTGACTATTGACTTGTTGCCCATGCGTCACACTGGGGTGCATGATGGATAGATACTGTTCGGATATAAAAGTTGGGAGTGGTTGCGCAAGCGGCGTGGATATTGCCGACCATGTGATGCGGACAATCAATTTTCCGTTGACACCTCGCGGTTGGGGTGGAAAAGCACCAGTGTACCTAAGTAGTCGAGCTGAAGCTTTCATGAAAGCATTGGAAGGTTTCTGATGGAGAGACAGTGAGCATCCAAGGATATATTGCTCTCACACAACCCTAGATCGCTGCTCCCGCGTGTCTATCAGGCTTTCATAAGCTTATTATCCTAAAGTTCGCAAACGGCAATCAGCATATATATTGATAGATCATTTCGAATTGCCTCTCCGAATAGGCGAACAGTGTCCTTTGATGAGAAGGCTAATCTTTGTCACGAGATGGCTTAGCCAGCTCGTGCTCAATGTCGAGTATCCAACCGTTCCGACTTATCCAGAATGGGCCATCCTCTCTCAAAGCTGGAGATATGACTAGAAGATCGTCATGATGAAAGCTTACCTTGACGCGTCTTGTGACCGGCCTTGAGCCACGACGATCGTTCGGGTTGTAAGTGCCCGTAGTCTAGATCTGAAGGTACAAAGGCGTCCATTCCCCGTGAAGCTTGGCGCGGCTGATGGTCCGTCAGGTGCTTCGAGACGAGTAGTCACATCTCTCTCGGGTAATGCGAATCGATCACAGAGTCGAGGTAGGCCTTGATGTCATGCGCTGTCACGTCGTTGGGGATATTGCTGATTGTGCTGTGCTTATGTGAAGCCATGCGTTTTCCCCTTGCAGGTGATGTGTCTGAGGTACCTTGACTTGCGCATGCGTGAGACGTGAATGAGTCATATTCCTTAGCCTCTTGATATCGACAACTTCCTGCTCGAGTGGACCGTCTGGGTCTGATGTTGGTAAATCTCCTTGTGTGGAAAAGTCCCTATATTAATCCGTGTGCGATTCGCAATGTCACTCTTCCGAGATGGAAGAAAACGGAGAAGTGGGAAGAAAGAGAAGGAGTTCCGATGTTCCAGTGTCCTTAAGCAACCTGAAAGTGTCCTCGACCCACCTGAAGGTGTTCTGACCAGCCTGAAGTAGGAACCCACAAACCCGCAATTTAGCAGGTACCTTAACCTACGCAGTCTCTCTTCCTGTCTCCTTCAACCGATCAAGGTGGATTTCACCTTCTCCTCTGCCAACTGTGGACTCCATCTCTCAGAAAAAAATGAGCCTTGTGTAGCGCGCCAGTGAGGGTATTCGCTTTACCTTGCTGTCCTGCTTGCGCAAAACTTAGAAGTATCTTCGAAAGTACGTCCTAAACACGTTCTTCGACGTGTCTCTGACGCGAATCACAGCACAGCCTCACAGCAGATTGACTGACATCAATACCCTCATCAAGCAAAGGCTACGTGCTCACCTCGTCAAGAGAGAGGAAGAGTCATTTACCTCAATCCACCCAATCATACCGATAATTCAGACCCAGACATCCACCCCCGGACTTCGACTTTCTTCAATCACATCCATACATACTTGACCAAGACTCAGTCTACTTTAACTATCAACCAGACCGATCCACACAGTCACGTTGATTGACTGAACCACACCTTCCCAACCATGGGGGAGTTCCAGGACGCAGTGCCCAAACTGAAGGGCGTGTCCAACTTTCGAAACTGGCAGACTAGTCTGGAACACTACCTGAATTATCGGAACCCTGGCATGTGGGCAGTTATGACTGGTGCCCATGTCCCTGAAACCAACAACCCTCTACCTACCCCTGGTGAAGAAGAGGTCCGCTTGCACATCTCCGCCGAGCATGATATCACTCCGGAGGATGTCACAAGTTCTCAGATTCGCGAGTGGCTCCAGGTGAATATTTTGCAGAAGAATGAGGAATTCGCCACCTGGCATAAGCTTAATGCTGGATGCCTTTTTTATCTGAGTGCTTCTCTGGCTGAATCCATCAAAGCGTGCATTCGGAAATTCAAGGTGGCCTCCGAAGCGTACGAGGAGATCTGCTCCTTCTGGAAATTAGAGAGTTCCCTGGCCTTTCCAGAGAGATACCGCAAGTGGGTCACATGCCACTATCGACAGGGAGGAAAGGCCCGTGTGTTCGTGCACAAGTGGAAAAAATGCCTTCAGGAGGTCCAAGAGGTTTCTCCTGATCTACTCCCTCCAGCATGGCAGTATGGACAGTTCCTACAGGCTATCCGCTCACACCCTGAGGCTGAGCTACTGGTGACCCATCACAAGCCCGATCTGGAGAGCCCGCGTATTTTGCAAGACGTTATTTCGAAATTCTTGTCCTTGGGATAGTTGGAGAAGGCGGACAAGGGGAAGAAGTGGGTTCAGAGTCTCTGCTTCGACAAGCGACATCAAACTAACGAACGCATCCTCATGAATGAAATCTGAGCAAATCCTATTTTAGTCTGAGAGAGTCCGATTAATACTTGACTGTAGAATTCCGGGAAAAGCATCTGAGGGATACAAGTGGGAAGAGGCGGGCTACAATTATGTGGAGTATCTCAAGTCTTGGCGGTTAACAACTCAAAGGCGTTGCTGTACTCTCCCTGTCTCTGATGACAGTCGGAGTTAACATCGCTCATGATGGTCAATTTGAGACTCAACTTAGACCCAACCTGGAATATTTCACAGCTGGTTTCCAGCCCTCTTTTGTGGTAGTCATCTAGAGCGGAAATACTTCACGAATCGTCTACGATGTGTGTTGTGCCTGTCATCATAGCGACTGAGCGGGTCCCGTGGCCCGTGGATCTCACGAGGAGCGTTCCATGGTTCAACCACCTCAAGAGTGGAGGATTCTGGGTCGAGCCGCCAGGGGCCCCTGACCAGGGTTACAGCCGCTGTCGCGTCGTACCAGCAGGACGCTACTTATATCGGTCTCGAGCATGCTAGAACAGGGTCCTGGCATCTTATGTCTTTTTGTTTGTGAAACCAAGTTGAAATGTCTTTCTAGGAGATTCTACACGTACACGTTCTAGTCTTCCTTTCTCCCAACCACCCACACGTTATTCTCGCATGAATAATCTGTTACATGATACTTGGAAGTTTTAAGTCTCATTTTATCATCAACTATCTTTCTTCTTTCTTCCTCTCTCTATATGTGATCCTTTCCTCGTGGATGATGGGGTCTTACTCCACTAAACATGATCTTGTGAGCAGCTGCTACCGGCCTAGAATCTAGATCCCGAGTGATGTGTTGAAGCCGAAGACAGTCGGGACGGCCGCATGCTCGAAGGTCTTTCGGCACCGCAAGTTATCTGAACCTCCATCCCCCACCTGATTCTCTGCTGACCCTACGCTTCGAATGCTGAAATTTATTGCATGGGGAAGACCACGTCTCTTGAGCCAACGTCCCTTGAGCCATCTTCCTCTCCTGCCTGACATACCGTTCCATGCCACACGACCGAATCGTCGACTCTCCTCGTCAGAATCATATTACATCACGAAGGCACCAGCCAGTACGCAAAACTCCACAATCACTCACTCTCACCTGCTGCCCCAATATCCGCTACATGTTCAGTACATGGAGTCATTGAGCTTTCAGCCTTGTGTGGTTACACCTCCGCCTGCGACCGCGGATGAGTGCGAATCCTCGCTCCATGTCTGAGAAGGGCACGAAAGCGGCTGCCACAATCGCGAAGACGCTGTTCCTCCAACTCGATCACAGCCCTGCATAAAGAGAATTCCCAGCAAGAGGGATTACGGGTCGCAGGGTTCGTACTACTGTGTTGGCGCCGATCGCACTCGCAAACTACAGGAAGACATCAGGGAGGTCAACCGAACCGGCAGAAACAACAAACCTCATTCCACGGCCAGGAAAGACGTTTTCATTGTGGGAACAGTCCAATGCGGCCGCGCTTCTACCAGAACAGACCAACGGACGTTAAACACGACCCGAAACTTAAGAGAGGTAATCTGTCCCCGGGTTGCCTTGACCCATGGACCCGTCCTCGTTTGCTCACGTACCAGTCCGAGAAGACGGGTATATGACGGCGAACTGGTAGACGCAGTACCGACGTCGAGTCCCGAGTACGCGTCCTGCCTCGTCAGATTGGAAGCCATAGAGCTCTTGGGAGAATTCGGTGAAGGTGGCCTTTGAGAGGTGGATGTAGAAAACCGGGACAGAAAACTGCAAGCTAAAGCCGATGGCTTATTTCCTACGTAGCTTGGTTGGCCTCGCAATGGACGTTGCAATGAGCTGCCGTATGGTTTGGTGTTTGTCCTGTTTTGTCCGATTCTGTCGTATAGCCGCGACCGGTCTCTTTGCTCGAGTTTTACGCTTTCCCTCGCAGACGAATCGGTGCATAAGTCTCCCTCGAGAGAAGAAAGTACGCGGGCGTGAATCTGGCTTGCTAATGCGAGGTTCAGCACAAACTTTTCACGGAAGGCCATAATCCTCGGCAGGTTGTACCAGATTCGACACCAGGCCCAATGTACATCGTCAACCCAGACCCAAGGTCATTTAGGCTGTGACAACAGGGCCTGTGACGATCATTGTTCAGATTCCATTTGCGGTGCCAGCAGCTGGGGAATGCCTGTCATACCGATAACGAAGTCCTGTAGAAGATGAACCGTCAGCTCGAAATCAAATCGAAGTTCAATCCGAATAAGGCACTCAACAGGACCAAACCATCAAAGAAACTATGGCCCAGATCGACAGCGAACTCCGCCTCTTTTCCACCGGTATCAAATCTGAATGCGGTCCCACACATCCGGAGTCCTATAAAAAGTGAAACACAATCAACATTGGCAGATCCATTGACGCTACACACAAAATGACTGTAATCAAGAAACTCACGTTGAACAAACAGGCCGTGAGCCTTCAGCCTTCCCATAATTCCACTCATCGAAGTAAGAGCCAAAGGCCCCCGGCGCGACGATGCTCGATCTGTTCGGGACGGCCCGGCCCGTGCAAGGTAGACTTATATACTCGAAGTGCTGGACTCGCACATAGAAAGTAGTGACAGAGAATGGAGGGGGATTATCATGATCCACTTTCGAGCGACACGCCAACTTATTTGCATGGCATGTGATTCTGCCACTCACCACAGTCCATAGCTTAGGTAGAATCTCTTCCCCCTCAGCAATCTCACCCCTCATCCCTCTCTCACATCGATACTGCTGCCCCTACTGTAGCCGTATCTCATCACAACTCATCACATTGGCTGAACCAAACCCAATTGACCGGATTCTCTCGTTTATCACAGCCCGTACTTGGCGAGTTCGTTCTCGAGGTCGCAACTTCTTTGTAGGTCCTAAGGCACGGCTCATGAGCTCAACCCGTATAACCACACAATCTTCATAGAATCGAAACATAGCTAGTCTGTTAGAATAATTAACTCATTGTGTCTCGTCAGAGACACTACAACAGTAGTTTAGGCTAACTTCTTTAGGATATACGCTTAGGGGGGGGGGGGGCCTATATAATAGTATTCTTTTTTTCCCTAGGGGGAGAGGCGTTCTGCCATAGCGGTCTGCGAAGTACAAATCATGTGACTTACGATCCATCAACCTGGCTTTTACGGCCGCGACGCTAGCCCGTAATTGGCTAGACTCGACGGATCTAGCTGCCAGTTGATACTACTAGCTATAGCCTACGATACTGGCTGCGATGCTGGCTGCGATGCTGGCTACGGATCTAGCTTAGATGCTGGCTGCGATACTGGCTACGGATCTGGCTGTGATACTGGCTGCGTACTTGGCTGCGATACTGGCTGCGATGCTGGTGCGGAACTGGCTAAGATGCTGGCTACGATGCGAGCTCGGCGTATAGGATTTAGAATGTTGTCGTGGCCTCTGACGAGGCACATTTTCAGTCCTAAGACCCCTTTGGTCCTAGGATAGCTAGTAGGTTCTTTACTAGATGCTAAACTCAAATCTCCTCCGTCCACACGACTGTGGATATATTCCTCTTCCATATTCTGTCTTTCTACACTAGCGCAGCTGGACACCCACTATGACACGTGAGAAGATTTGGCCGCCATGACCAACGCCCTTCAGATTAACTGTCGTAGTGTTTCCACATTACCAACCCCTCGCCGCACATTTTAGCGTTTGACTTTGCTTATTCTCGTTCGGTGTCAGCATCATGAGTTCAGCGGTTATTTTGCCTCATTACGTCTTCTGACATTGCCTCGGTGTTTCTATGGAAATGGCATCACCTCCTCCAGGGAGGGCTCTGGCATGATCTCCCAGGCGCTGTTTCCTGCTCTTGAATTGAGACGTGGTCTATCCAAAATTGAACCTGTTTGGATGATTCTGCCGACTCACCACCGAGGGACCCACAACCCACGTTAGATAGCCTCACTTCCTCCCATCTTCTTTACACCAATCAAGTTGTGTTTCACCTTTCTCTTTTCCTTCTCGTAGATCACCTACGAATAGAACCTTGAGGCAATCACACTAGGCCTTCAAAGCCTTGCACCTAGCCTTAGACATGCAAGGCAGCCAAAAAGGTCGTTCAGAAATGTGTCGCACATACGCCCATCAAGTACGCTTGGAAGCCAAGATACTGTTTTTTGGTGCTCTAACGTTGACTTTCCTATCGGCTCACACCTCGGGAGCATGGGTCTAAATCTCACAGGCTGCAAGTAGCCTCGAAAGACTTCTTCAATAGTGTTTCTGAATACTACTGTTCTAGGATGATAAACTAGTCTTCGTGATATCGGTTCTAAAGATATCCTTTCTACTGTCGTTCTGTAATCTTCTTTGTTATCTTGCGGTAATTATATTCTCTCCATTTCGATCCAGTCTACTACATATCTTGGAGATCTTATAGTGGCTCTCAAGTGTTCCTATGGATCGTAGACATTTTCAGTTCTGCATCGCATAATCGCATAAAGTAAGGGATGAGGAGCGTCAGACTTTGATAAGGTTATCGGGCCGGTTGATCGGAACAGAAGGCGCAAGGGATGTGCCCGACCCAGACAGACCTTTTGCGGCATGCCGAAGTCTCAACACATGTCGCATGAAGTGCTGGTCACACAAATGATCTTTGTTCGTGCGTTTTTCCGCTGTCGACACATCATGCGGTTCTTCAACTGGAAATGATACACCCTGTCATCGGTCCCGTGCTTGACATGGCAGTGGGGAATTCCCACCCATCGATGGCTGGACCACGAGGTGAATGATGACAAAGATGCCGCTCCCACAAACTTGTATTTAGCAAATGGAGCAGCAAACTTCCAACTAGGTCATTGAGAAAAAAAGAAGATTTGTACGATTTGAAGTAAGCTCGAATTGAACACAGCCAAGCAAACTTTGAATTAATAACAGGATACAGGTTCCTCCCTCAAGTTCTTCACTTATGAATGCGGACATGGCAAAACCCAGGGTACTAATCCATCCGTGCCTTGGACTCGGTAACCTAGGGTCACATGTGGACACGTCAACGACTAAGTTATGACCAACTCGGCACCGGTGTACTCATCCCAGAGCAGACGAGTGGAGGTGGCATAGCCCCAGGTATTTGTGTTGCAGACTCTCAGGAGAAGACTTAGCATAAATTATCCCATAACTCATAGCTGTATGTATGATCTGGCCCTCATATGGAAATCCTTGAAACATACTCTCAAATTCCTGACCTAGTTTGAGATTACTTGGCCAGACAGTACTAAGTACTCGGGTCGAATCATTTTCGAACCCCCTCGAGCACCAAGACGTTCCCAGAATGGGAGATAGAAATGACGTGTACAGGCGGAAAGCTAAGTAAGATTTTCAACAGACTGTCGAGATCAAAGCCTCCGCGTTATTAACTAATGATTACGGAGCTTCACCCATCTATGAGCCTACTTTTTTTATTCAAGCTTGCGCGAGAAAGGTACTCTGTGTTCACGTATTTGCTGCCAGGAATTCACGGATAGATCTCCCAATCCTCCATCGAATATATGAACGGGGCTTATTTGAGTTGTCCAAAAAGCCTGGGGCGTAGGAGGTTCAATATAGGGCATAGGCGAAAAATCTTCACACGGTACTCGAAGTTTTGAGCAGAAAGTTGGCATTCCGGGTAGGTGCTGGGTCGGGTCACATGAAGACATTAATGTGTTCCGTGAACACTCGAAGGACAACCACCTACAGCGAGTAGACTCATCAATGACAAGATTGAACAAATAAGCTCAATCAGAGCAAGTACAACAGGGGATTCCCCCAAACAACCTCTCATCTTTAACGAGCGAACGAGGTAGAAGAATTGATTACCTTACTAAGGTCTTTTGATGCGGTCATGATATTTAGGTCAGGTAGAGAGTCCGGTCAACAATGGTGCACCACGGTAACAATCCGATTCCATCAGATCAAAGCTACTCTGTCTGGCACCCAATGTAATTGATGGGGCTGGTACAGCTACAGTAACAGGTGTGGCTGCACAATATGAGAGAGGGATGAGGGTGAGACTGCTTCCTACAGAGAATTACAGGGGGGATGGAGATTGTATCTAGGTATGGACTGCGGTGAACATGCCATACAAACAATCATTAAAGAACAAATCGAATGAAATCTTCATGTTCTGTTATGCTGATTACTTGAACGCCCGTTTATTTGATTCTAACGGAACTTCCTAGCTCAGGTTAATAAACATATCCAGTTCTTGACCTGACGGACTATCCCCCGCTCTCACTCACCAGTGCGGCTGCCTCAAAGTCACCGGTTTGAATCTGACCTGGATGTGGATAAATCAAAACAATGAAAATGCATCGGTCAGTACGAAGCTTCATTGGAAGTCAAACACGAGCATGGAATTATTGCCCATGGAGGTCGTCAGGCAACGCTTCATCAATGCAGGGGAAAATACCCCCCACTGGGCACAGGTCTACCAGACAACCATCATATTCGCGATCTTGTACTATCTCCACACTTCCCCCATACTCGCTCGCTGATCTTCGTCCCCCCTGCCAAATATTACCTCGAGTGCCAGAGATAGGGACATAGACTTGCATTTTTATTGAATTGGGATGGATTAATTTGGGCGTTTGTTCAAAAGTCTTGGGAACTCAATTTACCCCTGTCCTCTTCGGTTGATGCCTGTCACCTGCAGGTGGTTCAGACGGTAGAGGTTCCTAACCTACATGGTTCGGGAACTCCCAGCCAGCCGTGTAGGTGGCTCGGCTGAGGGATATTTCTACTTGAGGCTCAAATGGAAGATGCAACGCAACGCCTACGGACTTCCCATCGGGTAAGATTCCAGGTTGACCCAATAGGTCTAAGGTGCCTTTGTTTTCATTTAGCATCAGATCTCAGCTGATTGTCTGGTCAATTTGTCATCCATTCTATTAGAATCATGGGCTCCAGGTTTGTAGATGTGAGCTTAGATGAGACACATATCTCAGGCTTTTCTATTTGATTGAAACATGGCAATTTGGAATGGATGTTCACGCTACAAAATAGGCCCACACTCAGGCCGGGGGTTCAACCGACTGAAGCTGAAGCTGGAAGGTCTCCCGGACAACCGCTACTACATCCACAAACACCTCCCCGACCGCACGCTAAAACCTGAAAGCCCACATCCTACGACAGCCGGGACCCTTTCACGCCGACGCCAACAGATCTCTACTCTCTGCTTCAGCTGAGAGGGGAATTGAGGAGGCGGGTGGTTGATCGCGCTCTACTCGTGGAGAGTCCACAGTTTGGAAATGATAATTCAACCCGCTTGCCTATCCACCAGTGAAAAATCAGAAACCTTGCCACGGACGCACGGTAACAGGGGCCGACATCAAGTTTGTATGATCTGTCGAGTATCCTTATCCGTCCGTCCATGATCCGACCTAAAAACTCCACCTGTCACAGTCTCTGAAACACGATATTGGAAGTCAAGCATGGTAATCCCAACAAAGCATTTTCCTCCCGGCTGCAGGAGAGGTAAAAGAGGTGACAGGTCCTAGTCTCCCCCCCCCCGAAATCCAGCCCCCTTCACCTTTCGATATTGATGTCCTGAACTTTGCCGAACGAGGCATCCCACTTGCTCAAGTGGAGATCACCAAAGAGGACTGCGCTGGACGACTGTTCATAAATGGAGAGGCTGGGTACCCGGACTTCATGCACCGCGATGCGGCTTTCTGACGATCGAGCGCCACTTTTGAAAAGCTCGCGGGTTGTTCCCCTCATGACTCGGCGCATTCATTGAGCTATGGAAAACGGGAAATACAGATTTTTATATGAGCCATCACATTGTCGGATCCCAGCTGAAATGAAAGGCATTCTGCATGATCTTCCAACAACAAAGACCGTTCGCAGTCATTTTGCACAGAGGGATGGGGAGTCGATTGTTGTGCGACACCCCCAAGTCGGCTGGTGGATCTACAGGATCGTCATCGGCATGCTCAGTGCTTGATCTTTCTTCACACTTCGCCAGGGGAGACTCACATCTGACTGGCGGTGAGCAAGCCACCACCAGGAGTAGGCTCTCAATATCGAAAACTCTTCCGGCCGATAGTCTGCGGAGGCTAGAGCTTCACAATCTCGTGTTTGCGAGCCCAAAGCGGAGGTGAAAACTGACGTCTCACACGAGGCCATCGATCAAGCGCACTCTACCCCTGACGGCCTGACCCGAGCGCAGTTCGAGGAGATCCTGACACGGACAGAACCTTGTGGGTCTGAAAGGTCCTCCACATGTGTCTTTTTTTGGGAAAAAGAATGATTGTTTTGGGGGTGGCTTCAATGGCTGCACTCTTTGCCCCCGTGCTCTGCCATGTTGAGATGCTGGGAAAGGTATTGATCCAGCACGAAGACTGGGTATTCACCTTCGTTTCACTGAAGAACCCAACATCGCTGCTCATGACCCTTGCGGGAGAACAATCTGTCAGAGAAGAGAGGTTTTTTTTCCATTTTTGGTTCTCGCCATCTCCGTGGTGTTTTCCCCACACAGTGAGTTCTGTGTACAGCGATTCTCAGTGGTGGACGCAAATGCACAAACCCGTACGAGGTTGGGTAGGCTCTAGTCAATTTGAGTTTGTTGTATTACCGTGTCAATCCTGCTGTCTTTGAGTGCTATTGTTCATTCGCACTTTGTTCTAGTTAGGGCTTTTTTTCGATATATCGTCTCATATTTTCGATCGAAGTCTCCCAGCCCCGTCCAGCTCGCCGAGGAACACTGAATGATGGAATTCCTCCTGCATGGTCCACACATCAGGTCCGATTCATCACATTAGTCTAGCACGCCCATCGAGTTAAGAGTTAGGGATGGAAAGTAGACAAGCTTCCCAGAGGGACCCCCACTGGGAAACCATTTTAAAAGACAATGCCCCAGCCCGCTCGAGAAGTTCCTGAAATGACCCCTTAAAGAACATATCTCCATTACCCACGGCTTCCAACGCCGACGGACCTGACCGTTTTCGTTCGTCGACGTCCAACATCACTCGTTCGCGACACTCTTTCTTTTCATGTGCCATCCAAAAGTTCTCTTCTCATTTGACACAATTCTCGAAACCCTCTCAATATGCCGTCCAGAATGTCTGACGCATGTGCCGCTGGGCCTTGTTACCACAGACACAAACCGAGACCAGTTGACCTCAGACTCACCGAACCCCAACATGACATGTCGCGAAAAGCACAAGCACCGGTCCAAACGACTCAACATCGGTACGATCAAGCTGTTGAAGTTCGAATGAGCGTCGGGCAAGGTCATTTTCTCATGGGGAATTGCAACAAATGCGGAGGCGCCCACAAACGAACCAAATGCGATGCCACCGACAGAGAGCGTGCTGCCTGGGAGAACGTCAAAAAGGAAAGAAGGAACGCTCGAAGAAGGGCCGCGAGGAAAGCACACAAGGAAAGAATGGAGAGGGAGGAAGAGCAAAGAGAGGAAGACAGAATAGTCGAGGAAGAATTACGAATTTTCGACGAAAAGTACGACGAAGAACAAAGAAAACTTGAACAACGAAGCGAAGAAAACAGACAAAGTGAGCTTGAACGACGAAAAGAGGGGAAAAGACAGCGAGAGAAAGAGCGACGGAAGGCAAAACAGAGACGCAAACGGGAAGAACGAAGAGTCCAACAAAATCAACAAAGAAATGCAGAGCGACAGCGAGAGAAAGAGCACCAACTTGAAGAAGAATGTCGACGACAACATGAAGAGAGAGAGAGGGAAGAGAGAGAGAAGACGAGAATGAGAGAAGAAGCAATTGAACTGTCGGAAGAATTCTCAGAAGGCGAGGAAGAGGATGAGGACGAGGATGAGCATGAGGAAGAAGATGAGGAAGAATACGAGGAAAAAGATGACGACTCGGATGACGACTCGGATGACGACGAGGAAGAGCACCCGAGGGAAGAAAACCCCCGGCGCTGGGTGGTAAGAAGCATCCGGACATCAGAGGAACGACGGCCGATGATACAAGAAACTAATGAATTGGAGATACAGTATACACAGAGGGAATTGGAAGAAGAGAGAGAAAGGGTAAGGATGCGGGCCAAAGAAAGGGCAATGTATGAGCGGGAAATGAAGAAATCGCCAAAGCTGAGAGGGGAGTTTCTTCGCCAACGGGAGCGAGAAGAGCGCGCGGAGACTGAACGCGAACGCAAACGCAAAGACCAGGAAAGACGCAAGGCTCAAGAGGCAGCCGAGAAGGCCCAGACACCGCGATCCAAACGAAAGGCCGACTGTACACCAAAGAATGCACCCGAAGACAAACGTTCCAGGCAGGCAGCCCAATCGCGCGGAGTGAGAACACCTCAAATGCAAACTCAGCAAGCGCCGTCTCCCTCGATCTTGTCAATTTCATCTACTCGCAGTCGAGCTCATTCCGCCAGCCGGTCTGTTCGTGGCACCGCGTCACGAACTGGCCAATCCGTCCTTCCTGCCACCCCGGGCCCCAGTGCGAACAGTCGAGGGGTCACCATCAACTCACGCGTCAAGAACCAAAAAGGCCTTGATCAGCAGGGTATGCAACAACAAAGCTCATCTGTCTCGAAATCCCCTGGTTCCAAGGTCCCAGAGTTCGTCTGCGAAATCTGCGCCGGGAGCGACTGCGCCCACGATGTGGTGGAAAGCGACAACGAGGACATGACGCCTCCACCCCTCCAGCTCTTTCAAGAGACGAACGTGGCGAGTTCCAAGGGAAAGATGAGCAACGCGAACATCATTCCTACTTTTCTCAGCCGTGGTCCGAGAACTTTCCTCACGAACCAAACGCGTAATTTGGGGCCAGAAGTGATTGCGCGCGAGATCGCGGAAGCCTTCCCATTGAGCATCTTTGAGATGGCGGAATCTAAGTGGGACTTGGCGCCGGGGAAGCCCAGAGGACCCTACCGAATCATCTTTCAAGCTCCTCCAGGTTTCCTCAAGTTGGAGATGAACTTTGGCTCACTCCGAGTCAAGTGCTGGGCGGAGCAGTTCAGAGGCCCCTGCGCGTTCTGCAAGATTTGCCATCGGGAACCCGCGTATGAGTGCCTGGCCGTTCACACGGTTCGTGGAGATCAATGGGGACTGCCGCAGTATCAGGAGTGGACAGGGGGCAATCGTCATCAACCATCAAGGACCTGAGAAGTAAACATGTTTTGCTGAAAATCATGGGAATCTGCAGCATCATGCCAGGTATCGATGCAGCGCCTCGATTTTCTGAGGCGGACCGACTCGTTGAGTCGGCATTTAGATATTTTCCGTAGCCAACGTATTAGACCAGAATGAAAAATTTTGACAATAAGACATGGGAGTCTGTAGGGCGAGCGAGACAAGTAGTACCACAGTGGATGAAATGTCGACCATGTTTTCCCTGCATCGAATCCCATCTTTAGCGGCCATGGACCATCCCTCCATCCACTGTGAAACCCTCAGTTCTCGTGCAACTTGTTGAGATAGCTTGGTGGTCAGGCGTGTCACCAGCGTGGTGCGCGCCCACGCACACCACCTTCGTAGCTTAGATAGGCACCTCTCACCAGATGCAATCTCGCCATTCCTTTCTCCCCTCTTTTGGGTCTGCTACGTTCTCCCAGTAGCCTCCAACAGGTTATGAGCCCTGCTTAGCGCACAAAAAGTGAGGTTATTCACATTTCCTCACTGCCTAGGCATAACTTGCCAAATAACCTCTTTTTCCATCGTTTTTCGGCGCGTTTTGCGCCTTCTACAGAGTGCAGACTTCGCACCTCTTTACGACTTGACGATCCCTACGCATCGAATACGGCTACCGAAGCCATCGCATCGAATCGTCGCCAAAGTCCCTCCTTCGGCTTTAACGCCATTCAAAAACATACAAAATCCTTCCGGCTTCTACGCCATTTTCAGAGCTCTTACGCTCTTTACCTGCGCAGCGGCACATCGCCGTAGCAGGCACGCCTACGCAGCGGCACTTCGCCGTAGTAGGATTACCACACAACATACCTTCGTTATCGTGGACCTCATACCTTCCGGCTCTTACGCTCCTCACCTACGCAGCGGCATATCGTCGTGGTAGGATCAACACACACAACAACTTCGTGTTATTTACACATATTCAACATGATTTCCGATCTCGAGGCTCATAAGGCGGCTAAAACCTTCGCCGAATCAGTCCCTACACTTAAGGGAAGAGCCAACTTCGAGAAATGGAAACAAGGGCTTCAATTTGTTGCAGATAGCCTGGACGAAGATCTATGGTCTGTCATTACAGGCAAAATAACATGCCCCATTCAAGAGCCTCGTGACACTCCTACAGAGGAAGCTATCCAAAACGTCCTTTTCGCTCAACTTGGACGAGAACCTACCGAAGAGGAATTCAATAAGTGGATCAATGAGAATGTGACTCAACCAAATAACCGATTTCACTGGTTTCGCCGGAAACATGCGCTTGCGAAATACCTTATCTATTGCACACTCAGCGATTCAGCTCGCAGCTTTATGCGCGATTACAAAGATTCTCATGAAATCTTCCTTCGCATCAGTAACACATACGGCACCAGCAACCACACTACTTTGAGCCATAGGCTATCATCTTTGATCAAGCTCATGTACACTGGTGGTGATCCGCACAATTTCGTTACCAAATGGCAAGCTGCTTTAGACCTTGCGAATTCAGCCGTTCCAAATACCCCGTTACCACCTGAATGGGCTCTGGCTCATTTCAAGCTTGCAATCAACGGCCACCAAAGCGTGAAAGGTTTCTTAAATACATATGAACCTCCAGCCAATCCGGACAGCATGCTTGACCATATTTTCGGCAAATTCATTGAATATGAGTCGAATAAAAAGTCTGCAAATACAGCAATCGCAGCCGTTTCTACCTCAAAAGATGCGAAATCTACGCAAAATAACGATCGAGGCAGAGGTAGAGGCAGAGGCCGAGGAGATAGAGGCCGCGGCAGAGGCTCCGGACGAGGTCGTGGCCAAAGTCAAAACAACCAGGATGATAATAATCAGCTATCGCATTATTGCATCTACCACAAGCGTTCAACAGCTCATACCAGTGAGCAGTGCTTCTTCAACCCTAAATCTAAGGGTGCCTCTCAAGGCGGAGTTGATGCAGCTGCAGCCAGCACTTCTGATTCAAAAAAGGACTCAAAGGAGAAATCCGAAAAGAAGATCTCAACGAGCTTCGCCGAAATAAGCTCATCAGCTGTTAATATTGCGGCTATGTTAATAGATGACGACGAACAGTGCACTTAGATGGTAGACTCTGGCGCATCAGCGCATATGACACCTTATCGTGCAAATTTCATCAATTTCACGCCACTAATCACCGATGTGAAGCTCCCAAACGGTCATCAAGTGCAGACTGAAGGATATGGTGATATTATCCTGAACTTTTCAAATGGAAATGATGTTTCTGAGCTCAAGCTACTCAGAGTCTGGTGTATTCCTTCTTTCAATGTGAACCTCATTTCCTCGTGGCAACTTGCGAAGGATTCTGGCATTAAGACTCGATTCAACAAGATATGCGGCTCCCTATACAGGGGGGAAGAGCTCATCGTTACGGCAAAGCAGGAGAACGGTCAATATTGGGTTCGCACTTGTAATGGTGACAGCCTTGTTGATACACTTAGAGCTCTATCTGTTCAACTGTCCTACGCATTTGGTAATGGCTACGCACCCGCCGCAGATTCAGCTGCAGCTTCTCAAATCGGCAAGATTCAACCGATTTCAATAGACCTAGCTCATCGCAGAGCCTGTCACGCAGGCGAGCAGAAGGTGAAGCGTATGCCTGAATATGCCGAAGGAATCAACATCAAAAAGGGATCTGGTATTAAGCACCCTTGTCCTCCTTGCATTCTTGGTAAAGGCTATACCTTACCTTTTGGACGAAGCAAGCGTATCAAGACTACACCAGCGCAGAAGCTTCATATTGATATTTGGGGTCCTATCTCCATCGCTGGCGTTGGAGGCAATCGTTATTTTGCAACGGTCACCGATGATGCTACTCGTTTCTGTTGGGTCTTCCTGTTGAAGGCGAAGAGCGAAATTGCTGATAAAATTCGCATGTTGGTAACCTATTTTTCAACGTAATTTGACTACAAAGTCAAGGTGATTTCAGGCGATAATGCGCAAGAACATGTTGAAATTGCCACTTTTTGCGAAGAAAACGGCATCATTTGGGACCCTGTTCCCCCCTACACACCTCAGCTCAACGGTATTGCGGAGATCAGGAATCGTTGGCTCATTGAGCCGCTGATCGCCGTATTAGCTGAAAATCAGCTTCCCAAATATCTATGGGGCGAGCTGCTTTTGGGTGTTAATTACACAATGAACCGTCTCTGGCAGTCTACCATTGATATGACTCCATATGAAGCTTTCTATGGCAAAAAGCCAGATATTTCAAATCTGCGCGCACTTGGCTGCCAAGCTTGGTATCTGATTCCAAAGGAACGCAAGGCAGATAAGCTTTCTCCGCATATGGCCGAAGCAAGGCTAGTAGGCTACAGCACTGATGGATATCGACTCTATGATATTCATTCAAAGAAGATCGTGGTCTCTCGCAATGTGGTCTTCAATGAGAATATAACGAAGGATCTACCCAAGCCTGCGTACGATCTCGATGCAGAGCCAAAGTCAGTTCCTACGCAATCTACGGCTAATCAACGCCGTTATGTGCCATCGGATTTCCTACCGGCTGATGGCGATCAACCAATTCAGCCAGATTTGGCTGATGGCCCTGATAAGCCAGTACAGCCAGTGACTCCATCTCCTTACATTCCAACAGGAGACCTACCATTATCTGAGCGGTCCAATGTGCCACTTTCTTCATTTGAACGCGAAGTCCAACTTGAAAAGCTTCGTGAACAGATCAAGCGGAGATTCGCCCACAAACAGAATGAACATGTCGACGACAGCCCTCAAACTATGGAGGACAGTTCCGAAACTGTCGAGGGCAGTCCTGGAAATGTCGACGACAATCTTCAAACTATGGAGGGCAGTTCTGAACCTGTCGAGGCCAATCCTGAAACTGTCGAAAGCAGTTCTCAAACTGTACCTGAGACAGGTCTTCGGCGTTCCTCACGAGTCCGCAAGAAGACTCAAGCGGCCATAGAGTCAGAGGAATATTTACGTTTTCTCAAGCGTTCAAATACAGCTCTAGCTGATCATATTGAATACGCCACTTTTTCAATTCGCAGTGCAACCGCAGACTTACAACCACTTCCAAAGCTTTTGCATCAAGCTTCAGCTCAGTCAACGCTATATGAACCAGATGGCTGGCAGGATATAATGCAAAATTGCGGCAAGAATGAACAGACCAAATGGATTGAAGCTGCAGACAAGGAAATACAGAAGTAGCTGACAAACGGCACCTGGCGCGTATGTGATCTTCCTACCAAGGGCACCAAAAAGACGCTTCTTCCGCTTCGATGGGTCTTTCGCATCAAGGACGATGGGACCTACAAAGCACGTCTCGTTGCAAAAGGGTTCAAGCAACGCGAAGGAATCGATTATCTTGATGTTTATGCAAGCACAGCCAAGGCTTCAAGCTTCAAAATATTCTGCGCAATCGCTGCGTATTTCGGCTGGCAGATGCATCATATTGACTTCGTTGCGGCGTTTCTTAACGCAGAGCTTCTTGAAGAAATCTACATTCAACTTCCTGATGGTTTCAAAGAGCCTGGAAAATGCGGCCTTCTTTTGAAGACTTTGTACGGTCTAAAACAGAGTCCTCGAGAATGGTACAACACTGTCTATGGGGCTCTAATGGCAATTGGATTTATTCGCTTGCAAGCGGACCATTCGGTGTTCGTGCATATGAAACGCAAGCTCTATCTTCTCATACACGTTGATGATATGCTGATTATCACGCCTTTGGACGCATCTCTTACATGGCTCAAGGACCATATTCGAAAATCCTTCGATATCACTGATAACGGCACTGCTACGCGATTCCTTGCGATTGATATCATTCAATCTGCAGATGGCAAAGTCATGCTTTCTCAGCTCGCCTACATTCGCAAAGTCCTCGCGAAATTCAACCTGCAAGATGCACACGCAGTCCCTACGCCATTTTATGATAAGGAGATCCTACAACCGCGCAAGGATACTGCTACTCCGGCGGAAGTTGAAGCTTACCGCAAGATGGTAGGCTCACTTATTTGGCTAATGGTCAATACGCGACCAGATATTGCATTCGTAGTCATAAAGCTTGCAAGATATGCGCACAACCCCTCCGCGAAGCATACAACTGCATTGAAGCGCATCTTTCGATATCTCAAGGGTTCTGAAACGCTTACTATCGCGTATTCCTACTCACCAGACCCCCTCTTTGGATTCGTTGATGCAGATTGGGCCGGTAAACATGCGGATAGCAGTATGTCAACCTCCGGCTTCCTTTTCAAGCTTGCGAATGGTGCAGTCACTTGGGCTTGCAAAAAGCAAACATGCGTTGCCCTTTCCTCTACAGAAAGTGAGTATGTGGCTGTATCTTTAGCTGTCCAAGAGGTGTTGTGGCTACAGCTTTTCCTCAAGGAACTTGATATGGAGTCCCTTTTGCAACTTCCTACTACAATCTACGAGGATAACCAAGGCGCCATTTACCTCACTGAAAGCCATGATTTACACCAACGAACGAAGCATATCAACGTTAAATACCATCATATTAGAGACCAAGTCTCTAGGGGGGTATGCAAATTCGTCAAAATTTCTACTACAGAGCAGGCCGCAGATGGCTTTACCAAGCCGCTGCAGCGGGTCCAATTCGAGAGGTTTCTACACCTTTTGGGCATGAAAAAGCTCTGATTCAACAGCCTTTCCAGCGAGCTTAATTCTAAGGGTTTAAACACCTTTTTTGAGCTCAAAAAGCTGCATTAAGGCGTTATTAACATATTTGTATGATCACTTTTCATGTTTTTCGTGTTTTGAGTGAGATTGGTGGATCGAGGTCCAGGGGGGTGTTGAGATAGCTTGGTGGTCAGGCGTGTCACCAGCGTGGTGCGCGCCCACGCACACCACCTTCGTAGCTTAGATAGGCACCTCTCACCAGATGCAATCTCACCATTCCTTTCTCCCCTCTTTTGGGTCTGCTACGTTCTCCCAGTAGCCTCCAACACAACTCCAGCCCTTCAGCACAGGAGAGGAACGCATGGCTGAGCTAGCCATCGTCTTGAGATGCTGAAGCTTCCCGCTGGGAGATGGGACCGGAGAGCTGTCAGCTGTGGCTGTGCCAGATCGAGGAATGGTAGACGCCATAGTCCATGACTGCGACAGCGGGACGCCATGGCGTGTCTTGAGGGAGATCGGGTGTGAAGAGCAGGGTTTCGGCGAAAGAAGAAAGAGAGCTGTGTCCGCAACGCATGAGCGACTGCTCTTGTGGAGAGTGAAGAAGATGTTGCTTACTTGCTACAACACCAAGGAGCAATCATCATGATCGCAATTCTGCCCAGCCCAGAATTATTCTGCACTCGTGACGCGGCGTCTCGAGTCATGGGCTACCCGACCGGTCGCTCTCGCCTCAATGACCTTGAATCAGCACACAGGCACATGCCACATGGCCTCGCTTAAAGTGGACAGCCTGCGATCTCGCACGGTGCAACTAAACCCCCGACTCGGTGTCAAAATAAACTTGTGAGATGCAGTTTCTCATCACCTTGACCATGATCTGGTTCTAATCGTTTCGACAGGCGCTCCACTTTTCCGATCTTGCGTGCCTTGATTGGAGATCGGGCCCTGATCGAGCCTCGGGTACAGAATAGACTTTACGTGTGGAGTCTGTGGACTAGCCAGGGGAGCAGAGGTCGAATTAACGCGCTGCCCAGATTCGATGCCAATGTTCGCTTCTTCGGTTAGACGTTGACATGACGCCGCTGACGAAGGAACGCGACAAGCTCGGCTGTCGAGATTTCTATAAAGCTCACGATGTGTCTGGATGAGGAAGTGAAAGACGAAGCAGAGACAACTTTGACCCCTGGGTGATTTGCAAGCTCTTCCTTTGGAAGCGGATTTTCCACACAAATAGCGCGATGGTCTCTGGATCTTTGCATAGTAAGTCGACGAGCCCATGTATTATCGCTTTAAACAAACCACGACATATGTTTTTTTGTGCAAACGGAATACTTATACACCCTCGGCAGCTCGCTCGTTCGGCTACGTGGACCCAAATTTTCCAAATCCAGGAGGCGTCAACGACACCTCCATCATCATCTATGGCTACACCCCATCCATTGCACTAGCGGCCTTTGCCGCGGCATGGTTTTTCGTGCATCTGGTGCTCCACACAGCGCAAACATGCAAGTTTCGAAGTTGGTGGTGGATCACCTTCTCGGTTGGCATGATCTTCGAAATTGTTGGCTACATCGCGAGAAGTCTGTCGGCCAAGCAGGACCCGTATAACCTCAACTACTTTGTATTGAATTACTTCTTTATCGTGACGGCGCCCGTGTTCATCGCGGCCGGTATCTATACCATCCTGTCTGCGCTCATCGCCAGACTGGGCTCCCAATACACGTTCCTCCGCCCGACGTTCATCTTGGCATTCTTCATTACCTCGGATGTCATTTCGACAATTGTGCAAATCGCCGGTGCGACACTGATTGGCGTCAAGGAGTCGAACAGTGAAGACCCTACCACCGCCAACAACATCCTCTTAGCCGGCCTGGCGTACCAGGTTTTCGCAATGAGCGTCTTCGTCATCCTTATGCTAACCTTTGAGTTTCGCGCCCGTCGCGCTATCAAGGAGCGCCGTCTGCAAGTCTTTTGTCTCTCGTTCACCGTCGCCACTCTCATGGTATACATGCGTACTATCTTCCGTCTCATCGAGACGGCAGAGGGTCTCGGCGCGAACTTGTCGACGACTGAAGTCTATTTTGCCTGTCTGGAATTTGCCCCCATTGCTCTGGTCGCGCTTCTTCTGTGTATTTGGCACCCTGGCCGTTGCTTGGGGCCCAAGGTGCGCGATTCTCGCGAGAGATTCGCAAAGCGACATGGGTCAGATCCCGCGTCGGTACAATACTAGAGTTGGGTCTGATCAGTTGAGGTTGAGTCTTGAGTCTTACATATTTAATCAATGATAATGATTTGTCTTCAACCGTCTCCATACCAAAGTACATTTGTAACCGTTTGGTGCAGTTGCAATATGGGAAGACCATGTTTGTATGGGGGGATGTTCCTACTTCCTGGTCAGACTACGGCGTAATCGTGTTGTTGCACTATGATCCAGCCATGATGCATACTCGGAGAGCGTCATTCGGACATCAAGGTTATTGCCTGCAGAGGTGTTGCCGTCAACGCTAATTTTGGGCCTTGCTGCAAAGTGTACTGGCCCATAAGGCTCAAACCTAACGCAGATGTGTGAGGCTATTCGTCGGATGCATCAACTCGGCTCGATCCTGTCAGACACCTGCAGTCACGCTCCTACATTCTCTTGACCTGTAGTTACGAGGAGAATCTGCGTTGGGATGGAATCAAGCCGAGCTTGACTCAAGACGTGGAAGTGAACAACCCCTTCATTCGAGCAAAGCGCCAAACTCTCATCAAATGCACGTTCCTAACAATAAGTCGCTGAAAACAAGAACTACTAGGTGCTGCTGGTGTCTCTCGACCACCTTGACTTATTCGCAAAGGCCGCCCTCCACATTCCACGTTTCCCATCAATTGTTGCTCCAGGGGTGTCATACTGTGCCAGCACATTTGCCTACCCGAAGCCCCAAATCAATGTACTCTCGTCATATGAAATACATGTCGTTTCCTACCGGATCTAGGAGCAGAGTAGCCTTTCGAGGCTCTGGACAGCAGCCCAAAATCAGGTGGGAATGAAGTGTTTTGAATCTTCCTGTTGTTGGCTGAAGGATTGTTGGAAAGCCGCAATTCCACCGACGATGCCCACGATCATGAAAAGCAGGGAGATGATGGACCAGATCACACCCCAGCATTGCGACGAGCCACCGTATTTGCGGGCGAACACACTTGCGTCTGATGAGTTGACTTTTCGAAGAATGAGATCGTCACACTGGTCCGGTTAGGCACTTGTAGAGAGGTTTCTCACATGGAATGTCAAAGAGACTTACAATATCCCAAACACTATAGAGTGCAGACATCACTCCGATAAAAAGCTGAGACGGTCAAGTCAGTATTTACATACTCTTCCTGACAAGCCCGAACTTCGGATTCCCCTCGAAACCTCGGTTTCATGCACTTACCACCACCCATCTCAAAGCTTCACCATGCGCAATGAACCAGCATGCCACCAAGAGTCCCACTGCCAACAGCACCGTCACGATCGTCAACCAATCCCGGCGCGCCCACCAAAGAGTCAACAAGAAGCACACTCCGAGGATGATGCTCGCCACTTTGCTGGCCACAATGTCAAATCCCGCAAAGATGAGCAGGGCTCCAATGATGGACGAGCCCAAATATCCGGCGGGTAGAGTGATAGCGCTGATGCCACCTTGCATGTGCGTGACACCACCTTCGTGCGGATCAAGGGAGATGGACTTGACTTTGCCGCCGGTACAACACGCAGTGATCGCGTGACCAAACTCGTGAAAAGCGATGACAAGCATCTGCGGGGTGTCAGTTCCTCAAAATCCCACCAATCTCGAACGTCATTAAGGATGTGATGAAACGTCGTCGTCATACCTTAAAGGGCCAAAGGGACCATCTCACATATGGGATGTTCCAAAGCAGCGCAATCACCACCACGTAGACACCGATCACCCCAAGCGTGACGGCCTGAGTGTGGTTGACAGTCAAGTTGCGCTTCATGAGGTGTGAGCGCATATCGGCCGACTGGCCCTCGATGGCCGTGTAGAGAGCAGGCATTCTGACACGGCAGTCGATGCAATGATACAACGGGTGTTGAATGGATCTGTAAGTTCGCAGGTGTTCGATCCTCTAGTCGTTGGGGGGGGGGGGAAGGGGGGCTTCTGACTGCTCCGGCGGTCGGACTTGCTCGAAGTGGAGGTATACTTGTACCACCAATGACGGGATGTTTGTATGTGTTCGCTTTGAATCACTATCGACCTCTTCGAGATGGTCGATAGAAGGACGATGATGCAACAGTCAAGACTCAGTTGACGTGGATGAAATATATGCTCCAATATCAGTGCGCTGACGTCCCGAGGTGCCCAATGTTACAAACGTGCTTGGCGCTCGCACCTGATCGACCTTTTTGGCTGCGCGGCTTTTGAGGCACGGGACGTACATTCCTTACGGTCGCTGCAGTGTTTGTTTGTTGACGCTTGACGGTGGCTGACGACTGCCGCGGTGGCTGGGCGCGCCTATTTTTAGCGTGGGGCTGGGCGGAGTGGATCTTCTTCCGTTCTGGCGCTTCTGCCGCTTCGCCAAGTGGGTGCGTCTGACGTGGACAATGTCCACCTGCATCACGTGTAGACGCGGATGTCACTTTATCCGGACTCGTGGACGTACATGCTTAAGGAGACCCTGGCTGAGGTAGTGGTTCTTCAGTATTGTGCTGACCAGGAGTGCGATCTGTTGGTGTCTCTGAGTAGGCAAGCGAAAGGCGCATATGTACCTGACCATTGCAGTCGCGATCGGCTGAAATGGATCTCGATGCCCTGTTGACAACCTTGTGCCCAATATATAATCACGTTCACCGTATCAGAGCGGGAATCATGCCGGACAGAGTCTCTGTGTTTTCCCTTCATCATCTCGGTAGCGGCGCCACAAAGCACGACAATTTGGCTTGAGATGTGCTTACTTCAGAAAACGGTCGTGTTCGAGGAGCCGTGCAAGATTGTAGCTGATGCACTGGACTCTCACCTCGGCTTTTCGACCTTCGTTGAATGCACAAGTTGATCTCGAACTTTTTGGCACGTAACAGTTAAGAGAGTTGGGGGCGAATGCGCGTAGCTCCTTGGTGTTACGTGCCAAAAAGTTCGAAATCAACTTGTGCATTCAACGAAGGTCGAAAAGCCTGAGGGAGAAAAGGAAAGAGAAATCTAATCTAATCCGCAGAAGGTATTAAGGTGATGAGATCACCGGAACATGCCTTCATCCCAACTTCTCTTACCACGCAGTCACGTGGTTACGGTATCTCCCTTCGGTGTCCTCCTTCCGATACTGATTTCTTCTGCAGAAGAAATCCAAGTCCGCTAATCTGCAGAAGAATCCAAGTCCGCTAACTCGTAACACTTGGGAAGATCTGGGCTGACAATCTTATAACTAGATCCCTCACCTGTCGCCCGCGGACAAGGCCTAGCTCGCTAAGGACAACGCGACCGTCTTTGTTGCCTTGCCCCAGGCGTCCCCCCAAAAGAGGGCGACCGTCAACAAATCCATAGCGAAGTGGGTTTGCGACATGTGCTTGGAAGGAATAAAACCCTCCCCCTGGCGAATCGTACGTTGCGGTTGTTTTTGATACAATTAAACAACGCGACCAAGCCATGGAGGTGAAGCCATGGAGGTGATGCAGAAGAAATCCTTTAAGCACGAAAAGGTCAAAATAGATGTTGACGTGAAGCCCTTTGGGCAATCTGATGCTACCACCAACGTGGTATGGACCGTTGCAGGGGCCCTGGAGACCCCCTGAAAAAGTAGGACGCGCGCTTGAAGAGGCCTTCAAGCTTCTGAAGTCGGAGACGCCCTACCAGAGTAAGTTCACTGCGAGGCCAGTGATCTTTGGCCACATCAAGAATGGACAATTTGTGATCTCCTTCATCCATCTACCTAAGTGGGTAGGCAAGCACCTCAAAGTGCAGAAATATGAGAGGCTCATTCGTCAAGAGGCTCACAAACTCTGCCGCTTTTGCATTGCGAAGTATCTCATACCATTTTTGATTATGACCAACTCACAGAGTAGGGAGTCTAGGGGCTAGTCAGCGGGGAGTATACAGGAATCCTGGCAACTAGCAACGGCAGCGTGAATAACGTCGCAAAGAGAGGACTGGTAAGCCCGAGCAAATTTGCCACCCCCAAGAAAAACGAGTGACGGCTAACGCAGAGACTGTTCCCTGCCTCTCTTGAGCAAATGGTACAGGGGGTTAAGGATCAAAAGGTAAGCAACCTCAACCTTATGTGGATGTGATTCTGCCGACTCATCACCCACAAACCCACAAACCCACAACATTAGACAGTCTCTCTCTCCTCCTTCCTCCTTTTCTACCAAATTTCAAGTTACGTTTCACCTTTTTTCCCTCTATTCCGTAGATGGTATCTCCTACAGTCCAAATATCTATATCTCCCTTCATGGCTCACACGAGAGATTGAAACGAAATACCCTTGGGCATGAGGAGTGGCTGTTTGAGGCTGTGTTATCTCCGAGTCAATAACTATCCATTTTGGTCCTCCCAAGTTGCATTACACCGAGAGACCTCTTCGTGTATTTTCGTCCAGATTGTGATACTTCAAAAGTTGGTGTGAGCAATTGGTGTGAGCAATTGGCTGGAATTAGCATTATCGGGACCAAAAGCACTATACCTAGCCAATACATCAGGCAATTTCGGAGAGCTCATGTTTTCACTGGTTCAGGATTGTCTAGGACAATGTCACTGAGGTTTCTTGCTTGATCTTTGTCGTCCAGATTTGGGTGCTGTCTTAGATTACACATACCCGTCCAGAGTGGCTTGGGATTTTCGTGCGCCTCGCCATGTACCTGTAATCACTTCCGAAGCAAGTTTTTCTTCCATCCCACATCCATATTTGTAGGTCCACAAGAGGCTGAAACATACTAAGCCAGATCCCTCTCTCCCCTCGGGGGCCTGTGGCATTTCGCCTTACGAACAGCGATCGACTCTACATAGTATACATCAGTTGATAGGTGTTAATTGTCAGACCGGGTTCTTTTGTTTCAGTATAGTTCTAGCAGCGGTACTGAATAGCTTAACAAGGTAGGTACTACGCTAGTCATCTCGAGATCGTTTACTTCTTTCTTTTGAAGCGGTTGCGATGGGAATCACAACCGTCTCAACGTTCTGTGCATTCGAGGATGATTCCCTAAGCTGGTTGACGTTAAGGTACACTGGTCAACAAGGATGGACAATAGCGCGTATGTAAATGCCTGTCTGCAGGATCAAATGGAAGCTAGAAGCTGATTTGCCAAAAGATCAAGCTGCCCAAGAAAGATTGGCATGCCCGGGAAGAGTCACAAGGAAGATACGTCAAGTCGATCGACCCGGCGGCTGACGCGCCTATAATTATAAACATGAACAATGCTAGTAGAAAGCACACACTCAATGGAGACACTGTGGGGCCAGATGCCTACTCGTCGACTTTCTTCCACAGCAGCCACGCAAAGACCATCACCGTCTTGAGTGCGGCCGCTGTCCAGAGTGCCCCCATCATTCCGACCGAGCTCTTTGCCCAGAGTCCTCCCAGGACCACACCAAGCAGGAGACCGAGCACAGCACCGAGCCGGCGCAGCTCTTCAGTATTGCGGAAGAATTTGCGAGTCAACAAGTCAGGATGAGAGAACAAATCACAATATATACTGGTGAGAACCACACTCGTCAAGGAACTGTGTTTGAGAACCCGACTCGCCAGTGCTTGACCACTGCTTTGGAATGCTACCAGTGCTATCGGCACCGAGACCAACCAGTGGATCCGTTCATCTCGCGACGGTTGGAAAATCGTAACAATAACAGCGGCCACAACAACGCAGGCTAATTGGATCAGGAACGAAGCGCAAAGCACCCAGCGCTGGCGCGGGGAAAACGTTCGATGGAAGAGGCCGAAGAAGAGCGATCCCAGACAAAAGCCCGCAATGGAGATGCCGGATTTGACCCAGCGCGTGTCGTCGCTTCCGACCAGTCCAAGACCGAAATACACGGTATTTCCGGTCTGCATGCTCACAAAGGAGCCCCAGATGAAGACTGCAGAGCTGTCCAGCAAGCCGGTGATGACATAACAAAAGAGGAGGAGCAGATCGCCCCGACCGGGATCGATCTCGTCCCGTAGATGGCGGAGGAACCCACGCGACCGCGACCGTGGAGGGGACGGGTGCGAATGCCCGTTCCCCAGAAGCGCCTCGGTCTCGGATGGCATTGAAGCTTTTGTATCTGGGTCTGATTGGTGTCAGAGGAGGGTTTCTGAGGAAATGGAGCTTGCGAAAGGCAGCTCGGGTTGGCTTGTTGGCTTAGAATTTTGTCCTCGATGACCGACGCGATGAAGGCAGGAACTGGCGCAGCGGGTTGTTAACAACGGTGGACTGCAGTAGATTGGGGGCCTTAGATCTGAACATCCCGCACTGGGACTTAGCAGACTCGGGGACGAAGCTGTGCGAAACTTCCGGCGTGATTCTAGAGGGCCGTGATCATTCAACCCGTCTTTGAAATCCCCGTTGACCCAAACAAGGGCCTTGATCAATGTGTGTAGCGGGTAAGATGGGTTTCCTCCGACCGAAACAGGAGTCGCAATCGCTCCGGAGCCATGCTTTTCAGGCTACCTCTCCATAAGCTCCATCCATTGCCCACAGGGCTGAAGCAGGCTCCGTCCGGTGACGTTATAGCGGGTCGCCATCATTTTCAAGACCCTCTTCGATTTAAAAGAGAAGCAGGCGGTCATCCGATAGCCCCCCGATGGCCCCCTTTCTTCACGGACGTACAACTTGGGGCCCGTTAATGCCATTCTGGAGGACCGAAGATGAGCAACTCAGATCTCATCACAATAATCGCATCGCAGTTGAGTACGTTGCCGACTGGTGTCATCACTCTGATGCGTTCAAATGTGGTTCTCTTCCGCGTCCGTTCCCCAAAACGACTCCCTCTCAATAAGGTGCCGTCATCGACCCCGTCAACTCCGGTTTGGAGTAGCCAAAATCTTAATGCAGAGCTGCAGAGCTACGGAAGCCAGGCAAACGAACCACCACCGTCCACTGACTGCCACTGCTTTCTTGTAGCTTGCACAGTAGTCTATCGGCGTGCGGAACCGCGCACTTTCTTCTCCGTTTCCAGGTCTGATCATAGCGAAGAATAGATTAAATCGTGTCGTGAACAGAATGAGACTTCTCGAGTAGGGTGTCCCCTATGTCTGTACTTCGTTGCCTGGGGTCAGTGGGCTAGACCTCGGATCGAGACACGTCTGATCCTGTCCGTGAACGCAGACTTGTTGTCAATTTCCGGTTTTTCCATCAGAACGGAATCATGAATGACCAGGCTCCCAACCCCCAGCAGGTCCGGAAAGTTCAACATTGTTGCTCAAGGCACCCTCAGTGCCTCGGATTTCGCCGGATGGTGGAAGAGAAACCTTAGTCTTACTCCCACACTCCCGCACATGGCGCGCATGGGGATGGCCGACTTCATCCATTGGCGTAATGTGGGGAAATGTATTTGGGGGCTCGATAAAACCAGCCCAAGTTGTCTCCCGTTCCTGAAATCCTTGTAGATGCAAGACAAAAATCTGTCCAAATAGCGACTGCAAGTTCAGTGTGGCTTGTTCCCAGTCAACCGGACAGCCTATTCAGAAAGTCGGAGTGCGAGTACTTGCCTCGGGTAACGATGCATTTCCCCTCATCTTCATTGCAAGCTTTAGTCCATCTAGGCTTGCTCTTAGGAGCTTCTGCGGTTCCTGCCCCCGATCAAGCATTACAACAATTGATGCGCATCCCGGCGAGTAATCGCCAGCAGATCTTCGGTCATGCAGCTGCTCCTCCATTCACCCCGGATCATCGGGACCCGTATGACCACAAGGTGGACTCGGTAGGCGAGAATCGTCAGCCATTGCCGTTCCGAAACGGCCATGGAGCAACGGTTCAAGGACCACGAAACAAAGATCGAGAGCGTCAGAATCCCGACATGGTCCGTCCTCCGAGTACCGATCACGGCAGCATGTCCAACATGCGCTGGAGCTTTGCGGATTCGCATACGCGCATTGAGGTGAGTCGATGATAAAGCACTGGGCTGATTACTGAGCCAAAGAGTAGTGTCACTAACACAGCAGCCTTGTGAAGGAGGGTGGATGGACTCGTCAAACCACGATTCGTGAACTACCCACCAGTCGAGAGTTAGCTGGCGTCAACATGCGTCTCGATGAAGGAGTTATTCGTGAGCTGCACTGGCATACCGAGGCAGAGTGGGCGTACATCTTGGCTGGTCGAGTTCGAGTAAGTATTCCTTGACTCTGTGGAACATACTTTGTTCGTGCAGTCTGACCTTGTGAACGTGAGAGTGCACCAGGCTAACACACGTGGGACGCAAACAGGTCACAGGGCTGGATCCCGACGGTGGCAGCTTTATGGATGATCTCGAAGCTGGCGATCTCTGGTACTTCCCAGCCGGACATCCGCACTCTCTACAGGGACTGAGTCCCAACGGTACCGAGTTCCTTTTGATCTTTGATGACGGGAATTTCTCCGAAGAGTCGACTTTCCTGTTGACTGACTGGATGGGTGAGTGAGAGACAAGATGTTGAACATCTATCATGTGGCTTCTGCAATCTGAGGACCGTCACGCTAAATTGACCATTTAATCAACAGCACATACCCCGAAATCAGTGCTTGCAGAAAACTTCCGCGTCAAACCAGACACGTTCAAGTCCATCCCTGACAGCGAAAAGTACATTTTCCAGGGATCCATGCCCGACAGCATCGAGAGAGAAAAACCCCGTGGCTTCAAAAAGTCCAAGCTCCAATTCACGCACCACATGGATGCACAAGAGCCCATGCGCACCTCGGGAGGAAGCGTCCGAATCACCGACTCAACAAACTTCCCGATTTCCAAGACCGTAGCTGCTGCGCATCTGGAAATTCAACCGGGTGCGATCCGCGAGATGCACTGGCACCCCAACGCAGATGAATGGAGTTACTTCAAAAAGGGACGAGCAAGAGTGACCATCTTCGCTGCGGAAGGGAATGCCCGTACGTTCAACTATATGGCGGGCGATGTGGGCATTGTGCCGCGCAACATGGGACACTTTATTGAGAACTTGAGCGATGACGAGCCGCTAGAGGTTCTGGAGATTTTCCGCGCGGACAAGTTTCAGGATTTCTCCCTGTTCCAGTGGCTAGGAGAGACTCCGCGCCGCATGGTTGCCGATCACATCTTTGCGGGTGATCCCAAGGCCGCGGAGGAGTTTTTGAAACAGATTGAGGGCGCTGAGAAGGAGCCTCTCAAGGATGCTTGATTGTACCTCAAGCATGAGAATCATGGCCAGGCCTTTGATTTGAGATTGTGGCAATTTTATTGAAAAGACTAGACTGCACTGAGAAAGCCAAAGAAACAGTTGCTGTGAAGACGTCTATTTTGCATTATCATTGACTGGGCAGTGACTGGCCTATGATCAACAGAGTAAAGCGAGATCAAGATTTCACTGACTATTGAGCAGCCAGTGCGAAATCATTTCGTGGCACATGAGACCCGAACGGCTCTAGTTTAAACTAGTTTGTCATGGAATAAGAGTTTAGGAATGCTTTTGATGAAGTTAGGAATGTTCAAAAAAGTCCCCGTTGGACTAATCTACCTTTTATGATGAAGCCAAAATCAAAATGAGCTTGTGAGGCGAGGAACATACGTGGAAAAAGTTGGTAATTCGGTTATTATCTAGGGGTATCTTCCAGTCTGGTTATGGACAATACTCTCAGTCTTGATGGGTTTGCAGAGGAACTCCTCACAGCAGTTCTCGTCCTCCCAACAAATAATGCCCAATATTCAACCTCATGAAAACATCGGGTCACATCATCTTCCTCTTCCTCCCCAAGTTCCGGCATAACGCAGCCAGTCCTCGAATAAAGACGTCGATTGGAATTCGGCTAGGCAGGCCACGTCTCCATCAAACCTGCTGTCGCGAGCCGTGCTGCCACCGTGGTTAAGATTTCAGTATGCAGCCTTAGCACATAGACGGGTTTGACCATGATGGCGTATCGAGAAAAGCTTGAGCCTGGCACAATATTCATGCAAAGTATGGGTACTCGGAAGCTTGCAGTTTCACTGCACTTTCGTATTGACACAGGTGTCGAGAATGACTCCTTCCCGTACTGCTCTCCTCGCTTGCATCTGATACTCCGATGCATATGTATCTTGGCTGGTTTGAACGCGGAGCCAAGTTTCCGTGCGGTTGAAGGGCAAAAGAGAAAAGATAGGAAAAGACGCGAGCGATGTCTCTCGCGTGATTCATTCTTTCGCTCGGAGTTGCCGTGATACCTTCAAGCGACTGTCACTGAGTGAATCAAAAAAACATCAGGTGCATTACTTTCCGACGTCTACTTGTCATCTGACTTCTTGCAGCAGGTCCCTTCAAGTCCGGCTCAAGATGATTTCCGAGGCTACCTGTGTCGGGAATACACTTGCAAGCCCTTCAATGTATAGCGGATGTCCGAGTCACGAGCATGTGTGGAGATGCTGTGGACGTTGTAATCGAGCCACATCTGTTTAGTCCTCGGCGACTCGGGGTCTGCCACCGGCTTCCTGCAAAGTTTCGGTCAGAGAAGACTTACGCCTTAGAGTTGAAGGTACCGGGTCCGGTGCACAGAATCAGGACGGGACAGCCCAGATCTGCGATTATCTGCTTGATTGGTGCAGCAGTAAATGGTGAGATGACGATCGTCTCCTCGTCAATCTCAACGAACTCCTCGGCGCCGTGGATCCCGACTACCTTGAATCCCTTTCGAGTAAGAAGCTTTCTCGTAGCTTTCGAATAGTCGGGGTCCTGGGTGTGCAGTTGCACTGATCTATCACCTTTGCAAATCCCGGCGGTCGTAAGGGCCATCGCATGCTGGATCACGCGGCTTGTCACTTCCTCCACGTCCATCTCCTTCTTCCAGGAACCATGATTCTGTTTCATCCAGTCTGGCACGGCGCGGCAAATATCGCCGAGACCGAACCAGAGGACCTTTTTCACGGTCCTCGCACCGACTAGCCCCTTTACCAGACTGATGAAGCGCTTACAAGCCTCACTGTTTCGCCATAACGCGGTCTTGTCGTCGAAGACTTTCAGCGGCTTAGTGATCAATGATTCAACTCTCGGCCAAAGTCCTCCTCGGTCTCGTTGATCCATTCGATCAGGTACGAGCACAGATAGGTCTGGGGTGGGCCGAAAGGTTCCGTGTTTACCAGATGCCAGTAATTCTGGAATTCGACGTATGGTTTCCTATAGAAGACATCAGACTTTCCATGTTATGGCTGCGTCAGATATAGTCATACCGGTCACACACTTACCTGATGGGCTTTTGCACCTGGAAGAAAGGATTCAAAATCTCAATTGTACTTCCATTGATTCGTCGGACGGTAAATTGTTTCAGCGTGTAAGAGTGGGATAATTGATGCTCGATGTCCTTGAGGTCCTCTTTCCTCCAAAGCCTGGCACCAACGCCGTACAGATCGGCGGCCTTCTGGCTGCTCATTAGCCAAGGGGTGCACCCGTAGTCGAGTGGGGGCGTGGTTTGCGACAGGCTTTCGCCGCGGTTGTTCGACTGAATGCAACTTGCAAGGGCACTCGTGGTGAGTATTCGCCAGGTGAGAAAGGTCAACGACTGTAGAATCAGGCAAGTTCAGCAATGTGCAGGCAACAGGAGATGAAGACAGGGGATTTAGTGTGAGACGTGATGAAACTTGATACTTGTCAGGAGATGCACGGATCGAGATTTCAATGATGGGAAAAAAGAGAGGGGAGAGGAACATAGAAGTTGTTTGATCCGCGAGGTGTCAGGTGTCAAGTGCCAGATATCAGGCGCGTGGTATGAGGTGCGAGGTGCAAGAGATGCAATTGATCAAATAGAATAGGTAGCTACCTGCAACGATAGGCCCAGCCCATTAAAGATAAACCCGACAATATTAGTAGTGTCCAAACAATGTCTACTATGCACTGTGAAATGCAGTTCCGGGCCGCAAATCTTCTCATTCGTACACAAGCGGCGCGAGAAACATCGATCATCCGCGCATAAGAGAAAGTAGACATTTCGTTCATTCATAACCATGATATTTGCATCATGCAACTTCAAATACCCATTTGGTTGGTCTTTTGTAGCAGTACTTTCACATGAAACTTCAATTGTCGTCTGTGAGAATCAACGGTAGGTCTGTTCCTATGTGTCGCAATTGGTGAACTTTTCGCACTGGGAAAATTGTAGTCGAGTATGTGTGACAAAATCATATTTGAACAAAACCCTCAGTGTCACTTGATTGTCACGATCAAGGAGGTCTATCCTTCCCAGCGATGACGAAGGGTAAAAACAAGAGAGACCTCGAGGAACTGGGGAACCAACTTCATCATCACAATCTACTGTAGACGGTAAAAATGACCGGCAGCAATCTCATACCTCAGTCTTGTCAGTCATTACGTCCGCTCTTGTCTCCTCCCCGGGGGTAAACGTCGATTGGCGCATGAATGGACTCCGCCGACGAATTTCAGGACCTTTCCAGACCAGAACAACCGAAACCACCGAGAGAGCCACACCGAAAAAGCCGAGTAGAGAGCCTGCCCAACCGTATCCTAACCTGTCGAAGAGTTCATACGAGGCCAGAGGCAAGAATGCACCAAAGGCGTTGCGGCCCAGGGATGCGGCGGAAAGTGCAGATGCGGCGTATTTCTCGTACACATCGGTCAGGTAGTTCACGACCGCCATGTAGATCGAGTAGATTCCCACGCCGGTGCAGCCGATGCCCAGGGCTGGGACGATCCACGGGACAGAACCGTTGCAGACACTGCCCCATCCGTACCAGAAGAGTCCGCCGGCAAAGAGTAGACTTCCGGGGATGGAGGTGTAAAGACGAGCCTCGGGGATGGGACGACCGGGACGTTCTCGGTTCCGGCTGGCGGAGCGCAAGTAGATCGAATCTTGCAAGGGATTCACCACAATCCCAATAACGGCGCCAACAGAGATAGCCAGCTGCACTAGACCAGTGGAAAATGTGCTCCATCCACAGTTATGGCTGAAGGTCTGACCGACACTGGAAAAGAAGAGGAAGAGAATGCCCCATGCAAAGCTCACCCACAGCGTGAAGAAAGTGACCACCGGTTCAGTCAGCAGCATTCGCGTCGGACGCTCGAACGAGATCTGAATCAGTTGTAGCGTGCTGGTGGTCTTTAGCTCACTTTCGGCGTAGATCGACCGACCAGTCTCTCGACGCAACTTCTTCGCTCTCTTCCTCAAGATCACGTCGCCTCGAGTCTCGCGAAGCATGAGCCAGAAGACTGGAATTAGAGCCGTATTGTAGATGATTTGAATATAGAAAATCCTGTAAAATTGTGCAACCTCATTAGTGTCAAGAATGTAATATATGCTGTGGGCAAAAGACTTCAACGTACCATTGCCATGGGTCTGTCTTGTTAATGGTTTGAATTGCGCTTCCGATGAAAGGTCCCAGAGCAATTCCCACGACACTCGTAAATCCGAACAGTGACATTGGCAAACTTCTCGCGCGATCTCCATACTACACATCACTGATACTCCCGCCAACAATATTGATCGAGACCGAAGAGGTACCTCCACCGAAGAATCGAGTGACGACTAGGGTGGCAAAGTTTTGTGCGAACGCGGAGGGAAACAACGAGATGACAAGGATAAAGTAAGAGACAAAGTAGCCGGGCATGCGCCCAGAGGATTCGGTCATGGGTACAAAGATCAACGGCCAGAATGCTGCCCCCATGTTCCACGACGTGGTCGCCCAGGCTAGGTTTGGAAAGGGTTGGTTTTGGACGTGGAACTGTTGTTCCATCCAGACGTTACTGGCACCATATGATCCTGCCGGCAGTCCAGTCAGGATGGAACTAATTGCGAAAGCGATTCGTCAGTCTCCTAGTGAAGCACAACAATGGACCAATGTGATATGATTGTCGAGGGAGATGTGCTTACATGAAGCAAATGGTGAGCGTGAGAGCCCATTTGTATGACTTGCTCCAGTTGAATCTGTGCCGGTCAGCGACGTCTGTCGATGTACTTCCTTTGGTAGTCACTTTCCAGGTTGTGGAATGATGTCTTTGAACATACGGATTATCTGGGTCATCGGGGAGGTTCCATGTATGAATTTCAATATCCTTGCTGTCTCGAAGCGGATGTCGGCCAACGTGACCAATATGGCTATCTCGGCGAAAGAACGAACGGACTCTGTAAGGAACGAAAACAGATTAGAACGTTTCAGTCAGTTGGAAATGTATCGAACAAAATCAAAGGCCAGGCAAGATGCGCGCAAGGTCTTCCGAACTACGCTACCTTGAGAAGAAACCGTCATCAAAGTCATTGTGATGGATTGTGCTCGCAGTTCTGGCAGTTGATGACCGGTGTATGGGTTCATTATTGAACTCCGAAGGTACTTGTGCCTGTGACGCATGGGCAAAGGTCAACAGCCAACTGGCGGGTTGGTTGACCAGTTCGTGGATGGACTTGGGGAAATGGAGGTCGTGGTCACGTGACCAATGTTTGTGACCGCAGGGTCAGGTGATCGTGTTTGTGTTCAGGATGTTGCCTTGGACCTTCCCCACGTGGATGCGCTGGAGCCTGAGGATTGTTTGCCTTCTGTTTACTTCTGTGGGGAGTCTTCCATGCGGATCTTCCCATGCGGATCCTTCTATGGGGATCTTCCACTGCGGACCCACCTCATGATGGGTATATGTAGTTGCTCCTCGCCTCCTTCACTTCTTCCTTTTCTTTTTCTCCTTCGTCTTGGTTTCTTTGTTGCATAGGACACAGTTACTTCTTCTGCTTCGCTATTCCATACGTAGATCCCAGTAGCTGTTCTGCCTGAGAGTCACAGTGCCAAGGGCTCATGGTGAGTGGGTGAATTCGCTGCCATCTTGATCGGTGTGTGTTTAGCGACCGGTTAGAAAATGTGGAAGTGGAAGATCGCCCAGTATATACAAATTTCCTAGGGAGGCGACAGTGCAGACCATATGAGGACAATCATCTTCTCCCGAGTCCGAATAGCCGTCGTTGGCTTTCTGGAAAGGATCCACAAGCCCTAACGGGTTATGGTTCGTCATGACTCGGGATACCGATCTTAGCTTAAACGCCCACACTGTCACTGACTACGAAGATATCTGACTACGAAGATATCTCACACAAAAGTCATAGTGGCTGATGAACCAGCCATGTGTGGGATGGAGGGAGTTCATTTGCAACACATCGTCGTTTCTAGTTCTCTGATACCACACTCAATAGCCTTACAAAAATAATTGCTGCGCACCCGCCATGAGGTATAGTATGAGAAGAGATCATGATTAGGACGTTCCGCCTATGAGAACATGTCCCCGAACGTCGGAAGATCGGGTCCGCAGTGTTCACGAACCACTCATCAGGCAGTCATTCGTCGATCAAATTTTATCCGCATGGTCTTGGCAGAGTCGTTGACTGTCCCATCAGCACAGAGGAACTGTTAATCATGGCTTGGTAGAGCTACTATGTAGCCACGGGAGTATCTTCGGGCTTGCTCAACCGCCCGGTCCGAAACGGATGGATGGATGATGTAGACTTGCCCCTGGTGACCAGGAAAATGGGTGATGTTCTTGTTGAAGGATCTGCAGCCAATGACTCGTGGGTGACGAATCCCAAAGGAATAATCAAGTCCCCATTTGTTCAGGTTGTTTGGTATGGAAGATTTGTTGAAATCCTTGCTGAACTGCAAGGAATTAGTCCTAAATCTTCGAAAATGAGGTCAAATTTGGTTTTGGTGGACCGCCTGACGTTGATTTTCGATTCTGCCGGTTCTGTACTGCCGAATTCCACCGCCCAGTTGTGACAGATTTTCGAACCCAGAGTTTCAGCAGTGGAACTGCTGAAGACTCGCTGAAAATACTACCAAAAGTTATGAGTAGAGTCTCGGTCAATTGCATGGAATTATCATGTGATGGCTAATGGACATGCAAGCACCGTCCGTTTCAATCGAGCGTCAGAATCAGTGCCTCGAGATGTCTCTTGTCAATTGGAAGCCAACGTGGAATCGGTAGAATTCGCGTCACGCGGGCCTACAATATATCCGTCCATGCCCTCAGGCTTGAATTGTTGCTCGCTCCCTAAAACGGGATCGACGACGTCCACAGTCCACCTACTGCACAATACACACAGTGGGCGCAGTTAATGTGACAGTAACTGCCATACTACATCATTCGCAAACTGATGATACAAAACCGAAGTCCCAGACCCGACTGGGGAGTCCATTCGGAGCGGACAGCGGAAGAGCGTCGGCGGCGCAGGATCACGTGACCAGGTCTGCAAGCCCGTTGTTCCACCTCAGTAGGACAAGGACACCCTCAGTCTCTCGCTTCATGGATATTACAGGAACGAGTATCCAACCGCATTAAGAGACACGCGTCGACGTGCATGATATTCAATGATGATACTATACTGGATTTACAGTATGCAAGGATATAACTCCTGCATTCTGCGATGCGTCCCTATTTCCTATGTCCATGGTCAATTATTAAGCCAATCGCTCTGCTGCTGCTGCTGCCAGAGTCGTGCGCTGATCATAGATTCCAACCAGGCCTTCATTCTGGCAATCACCGGATGGACACGTTCCATGCATGACATTCGATATCCATCCTGACTCTACAGTCACTAGCGAAATCTGCTTCCCACTTCATTACAGTCACTAGCGAAATCTGCTTCCCACTTCAATTGACGGACGTAAGTAGGAATAATACTTATTGAAGAGGGGAATGCTCACGGCGGTCGAGTCATAGAGGAACCAAACCAAAACCACAAGCAAGCAAGCAAGTCTCGGAATCCTCCAAGGTAATCGCGTAGTCCGATATCAGGAACCATGAACAGGAATCAAAAAGAGTGTGACATTGCAAGTGTAAGGAATCTGAATGTAAAGACTGTTCTCATACTCCAGATCAAAACTGTCGATCAGACCGAGAGGTGGGTGATGATCTCCTCCATCCCGAGTCCCGCATCGCAAGGACTAAATAACATCTCCTTACTGTAAGGCCATCAGGCACCCATACCTCTACAGGAAAACTACTCTCAGTACATGCAACCGAATCCCCCACTACATTATATGTATTGACCTTCTTTATGACAGCAAAATTACAGTTTCAAATTTACTAAACATTTATGAAAACGGCTCCCAGGTAAGGTGTGCTCAGGTGTGCTCAGGTATTGCATAATTCACATGATTGATGTGTTGTGTAGGACAACTGGCTATGTATCCACCGCCAGCTCCCGCCCTCAAGTTATGAACTAAACGTTGAAAGACGCGTCTATTGAAATTTCAACATTCAATCGCATCAACGCTTAAATGTCAAGATGTCAAATGTAAGTCTTTATTTTGATAAAGATCTAATTTTTCAGCTCCAATATTCATAAATTCAAGCTGTTCTGATCATCTTAATGAGGGACAAGCCGCAGAATTGTTTTGCGAACATGGGACCGGGCAACCTCAGAATGAGAGAAAGAACATGGGAGGACATGGACATGCCCACCACGTGTGCCACGCGTACTGTTATGAGTTGACGGGAGTTAGCGGACTTGGATTGCGGACTTGGATTTCTTCTGCAGAAGAAATCAGTATCGGAAGGGAGATACCGTTAACCACGCGACCCCACGCGCACCACCTCAAAACTTGGGATGTACTGTAGCTTCTTCTTCTTTCTCTTTTTCCCCTCCAGCCCTTGAGATCCTTGAACACCACGCTGACAGTTGAATAAGAGTTCATGAGTCCTTCTAAAGCTTTTCCTAACTGGCGTACAACAATTGTGAGGGAGCTTCAAAATTAAATGCTGACGTTTATCCAAATAGGGAATAGTGGCCGATCATCTAAATGGAATATCATGGAATTGAGAAGATCTACATGTAAACAAGGCAAACACTGGTGCAACACTTAAGGGCGATGTCAAGGCTGTTACGAGTTAGCGAACTTTGATTTCTTCTGCAGAAGAAATCAGTATCGGAGGACAGGGACACGCCCACCACGCGCACCACCTCAAAACTTGGGATGTCACTGTAGCTTCTTCTTCTTCTTCTTTCTCTTTTCTCCAGCTCTTGAGATTCTTGGAACCACGCAGTCAAGTTTGAATGAATAGTTTATGAGTCCTTCTAAAGCTTTTCTGAACTGGCGTACAACATCCGGAAGAATACAGAGCAAGACCTTGTGTTGGCTCCGCGGTTTCATTAGCGTCTATTTCTGGAGCCAAAATTGAAGGAACTCGTAGGCAAGAAATTTCCTCAAAAGAAGGTTGAAATCGATGACATAGCTATCGTTGTGTCGGTGAATCACCGTAATCAACCGGACCTCACTCTTTCTTGTGATAAATCTGATGTGGATTGGCCTACCGTGGAGAAACAACTCCTCGGGTGGGGTGATCTTTTCCGTACTGGGAAGAAGCTAACACTGAACATATCATTCAACTACACGGAGGCCAGCCATACCCAGAGTTCTGGCTCTAGATCAGCGGATAAGCGGGACAGTTCATCTGCTACCCAGCATATGTTGCTTGATCGGCAAGCAGAGATTAATGCTCAAGAACAGGTCACTGGGCGCCCTCCTGTCTGGGATCAGGTTTACAGTATAATGCGGTACTCTAATAGTGCATGTGATCTAGGGCCACACTGTTGGCGTGACCCTATTGGTAAAAAGCATATCAAATTGACTGTGCCAAATCTAAGGGCTCTTGTGAATTACGTGGAGCAGGGCGGTGTTTTGAACTCACATGATGACGTTCCTGAGTCAATTCGTGAGAAACTATATACACAGGAGCAGCAGCGACTCGAGAGACACAAGGGAGCCGCTTAATCCCCAGCGGCACATCCTCCTATAACCATCATTAACGTGCTTCCTGCGCAGTCACCTCCGCTTTCTGTGTCCAATACACCCACCATCATGTCGACCGTGTGTCCCGGAAAGCACATCAGTGATTTCCTGGAGATACCTGGTCTCCGAGACCTTGCCGTTGCTGAATATAGTGACTGGCAGCAATCACAAGTTGATGATGAGAAGCTGAAGGCAGAGTTTCGCAAAGCCCGTGATGCTACGCTTGAAGATGGTCTAGACTTTATGCAGGTTCACGAGGATCAGGACCCGGAATTTTTTATAAAAAACGGCGTTAAGAGGGGCATTGCTCGGCGTTTTATTGGGGATATTGAGTATTAGGTCAAACGATGCAAGTGGAATATAGAAGAAGGAGCAACTGCGTTATTTGCGTGAGAGAGATGCTAGCATTAATCAAATTATGGGAGGTACAGTGCGAGATATAAATTCAATGATTTAAGGTTCTTCAATGTTCTAACCTACGCGTCGAAAATGCCCCTCCGCGCTTTTCTCTCTTGTGTTGCGAACATGGCAGGACTGGACAATCTCAGGATGAGAGGAGGGACATGGGAGGACATGGACACGCCTACCACGTATGCCACGCGCACCACGCGCACCACCTCAAAACTTAGGATGTTACTGTAGCTTCTTCTTCTTTCTCTTCTCCTCTCCAGCTCTTAAGATCCTTGAACACCACGCAGACAGTTTGAATAAAAGTTTATGAGTCCTTCTAAAGCTTTTCCTTACTAGCGTACAACATTTTGCCCCTACAACATCAACACATCATTCCAGGAAGTTATTAAATCCTTGCTCCGGGTTCTCTTCATACACCAGCCATCGTCGTTTGATGAAGGCTTTTAGCTCAGCGAATAACTCCTCGATCGGATTAAGATCGGTCGAGTAAGGCGGCAAGTACACCAATTTGACACCCGCCGCTAAAAAAATCTGCCGAACACCCTCCGTACGATGAAAAGATGCATTATCCATAACAAGAACAGACTTCGGTTCCGGCCATCTACCACAGTGATGCAGGAGTTGCCGTATAAAATCCTCAGACACGACCGCATCCGTCAATCCCCGGAAAACACGCGAAAAAACAACACCATCCTGGGCATATGCGGGCAGTATCTGGTATCGTTGCCCGCGGTGGAATCGAGAAATTTGGACAGGCGTCACCCCTAATGGAGACCATCCTGTTCGTTGGAATCCCACTCGTTTGTCACAGCCAGACTCATCCACATCCACTAAGTGGTAGGATTGGAAGGATGATATAGTATGGAGGTTGTAGTCTCGCAATTCGGTATTTCGCTCCCTCGCTATCCTCCTTGCGGCTTTCTCCGACCACCCAGCCGATGCGAGCACTCTGATGCTGTATGATGTCACAAGGACACGGAACTCATCCCACAAGAAGACCGCCATCTCATCCTGGTATAGATCCGGCTTTTCGAGACGTTCGCAGAGAGCCTCAAGCATGGTGTTGTACGCCAGTTTAGGAAAAGCTTCAGAAGGACTCATAAACTTTTATTTAAACTGTCTGCGTGGTGTTCAAGGATCTCAAGAGCTGGGGAGGAAAAAGAGAAAGAAGAAGAAGCTACAGTAACATCCTAAGTTTTGAGGTGGTGCGCGTTGTGCGCGTGGCACACGTGGTAGGCGTGGCGTGGTCACGTCCTGTCCTCCCATGTCCTGTCGTCCCTCTCATCCTGAGCCAGTCCAGTCCTTCATGTTCGCAACACATGGGTGGAGTGATCGTTCGTCGTCTGCCGATACCGTTGGCCGGGGCCCTGACACATCCAAAGCATCGGAGGTTCGAGCGGATGATGGGCAGCTTCGGCAATCTGTGCGTTAGTATACGGTTGAGGGTCTTGGATCGTGTCACGGATGAGTTCGAGTCGCTATGCTTCAAGTGTGGAAGCCATATCTCTACCACTGACGCTGCTCAGCCCACCAGTAATGATTCAATTTGGTAGTGCCACACCAACGGTCGGTCACAGACCATATTGTCACGTGTCACTCGCCTGGCTGGTGGCTTTCTCCAATAGCAATCGGTCTAGTGCCGCCCAAAGCAATTCCCTCCTAGCAAGGGCTGCTGAGCGCGGGCTGAGTTCTGCTGCAGGTGACTGCTCCTGTCTGCTACAGTACGCGATGGGGGCTCTTTCCTCGTAGCGACCCCGCTCAGGAGCCATCAACCTCTGTTCTAATTCAACTTTTCCTATGATTCATAGTCAAAGAACCATTCCTTTCGCAAGACCAGGCTAGCCTTCAACATGGCCCGTCCTCCCAAAGATTCCTTCCAAATCGGCTGGATCTGTGCTCTTCCGATCGAGGCCGCTGCGGCCGCTGAAATGCTGGACGAAGAGTTTGGAATCCTCGATGAGCAAGATGCAGCGGACCCAAATACGTACACGTTGGGCCGAATCGGCAGACACTACGTTGTGGTCGCCTGCCTCCCTGAAGGCCAGTATGGAACTACTCCAGCTACTACGGTCGCAAATAATATGATTCGCACGTTCTCCAAGTCCCTTCGAATCGGATTGATGGTCGGGATTGGGGGCGGAATCCCGTCGGCGGCTCGTAATATTCGCCTCGGCGATGTTGTGATTAGCTCCCCCCAAGGCACTTGTGGCGGGGTGATTCAATATGATATGGGGAGGGTTATTGCAGGTGGTGCATTCGAACGAACCGGGTCGCTGAACAGTCCCCCGAGAGCACTATTAACCGCAGTCAGCAAGATGAAAGCTGCCGCGCTAAGGGATGATCCCCGCTACCCGGAATATCTTCAAAGTGCAATCGGAAGAACCGCTCGAACTCGGAAAAGTTTTGGCCGTCCTGCTGCACAATCTGATCGACTATTTCGGACAGAGTATGATCATCCGGCCAATGCAAGGGGCTGTGATAGTTGTCCAGCAGAGTGGGAAGAGACGAGGCATCAACGCGAGTATAGTGATCCACTGCCACACTATGGCATTATTGCTTCGGGCAACAATGTTATCAAGCATGGGCGGACAAGAGAGCAACTTCGGTTGGAGACTGGGGCGTTATGTTTCGAAATGGAGGCAGCTGGTCTGATGTTGGACTTTCCCTGTGTCGTTATCCGCGGAGTGTGTGATTATGCCGACTCGCACAAGAATGAGCAATGGCAGGGATATGCCGCCTTAGCAGCTGCAGCCTATGCAAAAGAGCTACTGGGGTATGTTCCCGTTGGGCATGTATCACAAGAGAGCCTGGTAGTAGATGTATGCAGTAAGTAATTACAGACCCTACTTTGTTAGTACTAAATATAGACTTGCTTATAATAGTTCTATTCAGATGACTTGAAGGCCGAAATCAGAGGCACAAATCATCGCCTAGACCAAGTATATCATCAACAAGCAGAACACTATCGTGAGAAGATTTTATTTGTTTTGACGGACCAGCAAAACCGCTGTCACCAGACATTCAAAACATTAAATTACGAGGAGCAAAAGAACATCAATCCCAGAAAAGCGGAAGGAACCTGTCTATGGGCTCTGCGGAGCCCTGAATACACCCGTTGGTCGGAGAGCAGCTGTAACGATCTGCTCTGGGTCTCTGCGGACCCGGGCTGCGGGAAGTCTGTGCTTTCGCGATCGATAATCGAGGACTGCTTGGAAGATTCTTGTTTGGACGTGACTATTTGTTACTTCTTCTTCAAAGATAACAATGAGCAAAACCGTCTTGATAAAGCACTATGCTCAGTACTACATCAGCTGTTTAGCCAGCGACCTCAGCTCTTACGTCATGCTATGCCTTCTTGGGACAAGAATGGGGAGAAGCTACAACAAGAAGTTGACGAATTGTGGAGAATTTTCATAACCGCCGCATCATCAGACGAATCATGCAAAACAATTTGCATATTTGACGCGCTGGACGAATGCCGTGAGATTGATCAGAATCGACTAATTGAGAAGCTCCAGTCGTTTCATTGCCTGCCATGCCCGCCGATACAGAATACTTGGTTGAAATTCCTAGTCACTAGTCGTCCCTATGATGATATCCAGAATGGATTCCGAACGATCACGGACGCTTTTCTACACCTTCATCTTAAAGGAGAGGAAGAAAATGACCAAATTCACAAAGAAATTGATACTGTTGTGAAGATGCGAGTAAGAGAGCTCGCTGAAAGAGTGGCAATATTACAAGGCATAGAGGAGCGACTTAAGCAGCAGCTTCTGCAAATGGAGCACCGTACCTATCTCTGGCTACATTTAGCTATTGACGATATTCGATCTACGCTCGAGGATAGCCTTCGCCCAGCTGAAGAGCCAATCCAGTTGATACCTCGATCGGTAGATGAGGCATACGATAAGATCTTGAGTCGAGTGCCCTCCCGTCAGGTGAACATTGTGAGAAAGATCTTGCAAATTATTGTCACAGCACGGCGCCCTTTAACGACGGCGGAAATGGCCATGGCGCTTGGTATAGCCGACTCTCCACACTCCCAGACTGCAGCAAAAGCTGGACTTGAATCATCGCAGATAGGCAAAAAACTCCGCCGATTGTGTGGCCTTTTCGTTTTCGTCAACAACTCCAAGGTTTTTTTGATCCATCAGACAGCAAAGGAATTTCTCCTGAAGAAGAGCAATTCTCCCAATGTCGGTTACTTGTACTCTTGGACGCTAACAGACGCTGAGCATCAAATGGCTGTTATTTGTTTACGATACCTGTTGATGGAGGATCTGGAAGATGATGATCAGGATTCTTGCTCAAAGATTCGAAGCTTCCTAGATTACTCAGCAGTTTATTGGCCGGATCATGTCCGGAAGATAAGCTTGACTCAAGACTCCGAAACGACTGATCAGCTTCACCAAGTGTACACTATGACTCAACGACGATTCTTGCTATGGTTTGGTATCTTTTGGAAAACCATCGATCCTATGTTTGGCAACCCGCCGACAATGTCTGCTTTACATCTGGCATCATTTAACGGGCATGAGCGGGAAGTCGAGTTTCTCTTGTCTCTTACGAGAGATGATATCAACTCGAGAGATAGCACAGGAGCCTACCCGGTTATCTTGGCCTCAATGAATGGACACGATCTGATCGTGCAGTTACTACTCGAAAAAGGAGCCGACGTGAACGCCCAAGGTGGGTGGTACGGAAATGCCCTCCAAGCTGCCTCCTGCGGAGGACACGATCAGATCGTGCAGTTACTACTCGAGAAAGGAGCCAACGTGAACGCCCAAGGTAGAGAGTACGGAAATGCCCTCCAAGCTGCCTCCTTCGGAGGACACGATCAGATTATACAGTCACTACTCGAGAAAGGAGCCGACGTGAACGCCCAAGGTGGGCTGTACGGAAATGCCCTCCAAGCTGCCTCCTTCGGAGGACACGATCAGATCGTGCAGTTACTACTCGAAAAAGGAGCCGACGTTAACGCCCAAGGTAGAGAGTACGGAAATGCCCTCCAAGCTGCCTCCTACAGGGGACACGATCTGATCGTGCAGTTACTACTCGAAAAAGGAGCCGACGTTAACGCCCAAGGTGGACACTTTGGGAATGCCCTCCAAGCTGCCTCCTACAGGGGACACGATCTGATCGTGCAGTTACTACTCGAAAAAGGAGCCGACGTGAACGCCCAAGGTAGAGAGTACGGAAATGCCCTCCAAGCTGCCTCCTACAGGGGACACGATCAGATTGTGCAGTTACTACTCGAGAAAGGAGCCGACGTGAACGCCCAAGGTGGGCGGTACGGAAATGCCCTCCAAGCTGCCTCCTGCGGAGGACACGATCAGATTGTGCAGTTACTACTCGAGAAAGGAGCCGACTTGAACGCGAAGGTGGAATGTGTTACGTGCCAAAAAGTTCGAAATCAACTTGTGCATTCAACGAAGGTCTAAGAGCCTGAGGGAGGAAAGGAAAGAGAAATCTAATCTGCAAAAGTATTGAGGTGATGAGATCACCGGAACATGCCTTCATCCTAACTTCTCTTACCACGGAGTCGCGTGGTTATGGTATCTCCCTTCGGTATCCTCATTCCGCTACTGATTTCTTCTGCAGAAGAAATCCAAGTCCGCTAACTCGTAACAGAATGTACGGAAATACCGTCCAGTCCTATTATAATAAAGCGCAGAATCACACTTGAAATTGTTGAGCGAGCGCAATTGTTAATCTACCTTTGTCCATAAAGACCTAGAGCTCCATGGCTCCTTAGGCCTCTGGTATACGTAGTATGAGGCAGATCCTATTATCCTATAGTGTACTATTTGCACTATCTCGATAGCGATGCTATAACCTCTATCGTCCATGCACAATTCCGCTTCTGGCGGGAAATGTACCCGAGATCTATCATATTTCCTCCCTTTGAACCGACGTCTGTATTGTCATGGGATGAATAGGATACCTCACATCAATCTTTAGCTATTCCTGGCTATTGACCAACCATGGCCGTTGGGTATTCTTACCAAGCTGTAATAGGAAGACGGCCATTTTGTAACCTGTTTACATGATACAGTAAAAGTACTGTTTTTCGCCTGTCATATTTATTTTTAGACAAGAGGAGGGTTAAAAGCCACATACTGGTGCCTTGGCAGTTGGGCCTGAGAAAAGTAAAGCGATCAGCGTTGCGAACATGACAGGAGGACTGGACTATCTCAGGATGAGAGGGAGGACAGGATCATGAGAGGACATGGACACTGTTGTACGCTAGTTAGGAAAAGTTCTAGAAGGACTCATAAACTCTTATTTAACTGTCTGCGTGGTATTCGAGGATCTCAAGAACTGGAGGGGGAAAAGAGAAAGAAGAAGCTACAGCACATCCCGGGTTTTTAAGGTGGTGCGCGTGGTTGACGGTATCTCCCCTCCGATATGAAGAAATCCAAGTTCGCAATCCAAGTCCGCTAACTCCCGTCAACTCGTAACAGTACGCGTGGCACACGTGGTGGGTGTCCCTGCCCTCCGAGACTGATTTCTTCTGCAGAAGAAATCCAAGTCCGCGCTCGGTCACGTGATCACGGTCGCTCCCTTCCGCTACTGATTTCTTCTGCAGAAGAAATCCAAGTCCGTAGCTCTCTCTCATGTTCTCAACAGACACGCCCACCACGTGTGCCACGCGCACCACCTCAAAACTTAGGATGTTACTGTAGCTTCTTCTTCTTTATCTTCTTTCCAGCTCTTGAGATTCTCGATACCACCCCGTCAAGTTTGAATGAAAGTTTATGAGTCCTTCTAAAACTTTTCCCAACTGGCGTACAACAATCAGTAGGGTAGAAGCTGTTTTCGCATCCGACTGTAGTAGGCTTGGGATATTAAGGTTGTTGATCGAGACGGTGTACGATTCCACGTCAGAGATGCAGCGAGCCCATTTCTAGTTGATCGGTACCTAAAGTCTGTCTCTGAGGTATGTAAAGTCCCTGCAAAAGTACCTTGGACACGAGAGGGGACATGTACACAAGCTATCTTGAGTATCATGATGTATACAGTATACACTAGTTATATAGCATTCGCTGAATAAGTTGGCCTGTGCTTCCCGTCCGTGCCAGGTGGGTTTCATCTACAGTACGAAGAGCTTTGAACCCACGTATATAGACACTCAATTGCCTCAAGCGCCGTGCCTCATTCCTCATTCACCCTTCTCGAGATCATGCTCAGTCCCTGTCCCTCGATCAATTTGACAAGCAGAAGACTGCCACCTGCAGGCAAACGTGAGGTACGATGCTGGGATAGAAAGAGACCTCCGCGGTGAACACAAAATGGAGGTTTCTGGTAGTTCGATTCCGGAATTATATAGAATCATGAGGTGGCAGGAATTGCAACTCCCGTAGTCTGTCCCTCCAGTCCTTGTTGCTCAATATTCAGACACATTCTGAGTCTCGCAACGAGTTTCTACTCTGTTCCTTGAATTGCATAGGTGAGGTGGTTCGGTACGGTGCACAAGGGCCAAAGGAGGGGCATTTGTTTCCACTGAGGGGGAGGAGCAGGTTGGCGCGGGAACCGATGGGGCCGATCGGTCTCCACCGTGCATGGCGTGGTGAGACTATCCCTCCCGGCCAGAACCAGTGACGTCATTGCGCTGGTGCCGTCCTCGTGGAGTCGGATGGAGGGGCAGCCCACGTCAATTGCATGTGCATGTGTCTCTCACGTCCCTGACTGCGTGCTCGGAAAAGGATTCGCGAACAGCGTCAAGTGCAATGCTCAAAATGGTATCTCCGATTGTTGAAATCGCTGGTAGTCTAAATCGTTTTCTTTGGAGTCCGTTCTGAATGTTCATCGTTCAAACTGTGCAATTGAATGGAGTATGGACCACATCCCACGTCAGGGTTGAGCATATTCACAGAACCATCTCCACCGTTGCGTGCGCCTGCCCTTTTGTCAAACCGGCTTCGATCACGACGGCCATCCACCGAGTCGCACCGTGCCAGTAACGGTAGGTAACTCAGGTAGTGGTACTATCTGTGGAGTACGGTAAGTAACTATGTAGAAGTATGTTCGTGGTGTAGTAGTCGTAGTCGTAGTAGTAGTGGTGGTGGTGGTGGAGGGGATGAACGTGTGCAGGTCGTTCTGGCCAGCCGCAGACTGGCCCAAAATGGAAATATCCGGTTTTCTTCCCGGGCCCTTTTTAAGGTTGTCCGTTCTGGGAAACCACTCTTTCTGGTGTCAAGTCGGAATGCGCCCCCGCCGCAGCTCCCCGCTTAGTCATGACGTCATGTCCCGTCCGAGCTGATCCGCCCCGAGCGACAAGCATCGAGCATCATTCCCTTTCGTAGACTGGACTTGTATATCTCAGAGACGGTAGGACTGGGGACAGAATCACGGCAGTATTTACAATGATGGGGTCCAGGGTATTAATTGACCAGCAGAATTCATGAATCTGATGAGTGTCCAGTTCTATCAGCTCAAGGTCCCTTGACGCTGGCCAGCATGAACAACATCCTCAAAAGACAGATGCCCTCCGAGACCGACCGGATCACGGATCTCAGTCCTGCGCCCAGCCACGGCCGACACGACAACCCCACCATTGCGTAGCTGTTCCCACCCGCGACTTGCGCAGAGCCCAGGTACGACTGCACGGCGGGGCACACTTCTTGGTTGGTAACCAGATTCATGCACTCTGCGCTCTGCACTCTGCAGTCTGCACTGCTACACGCTGGTGCGGTCGCGGTGTATCCGGGTGTTTCTCAAGACAGGTGGGTTGTGGAAGTGGAGCGTTGAGTGTTGAATACTTGTTGATCACAACCCCTCCATCGCTGTTTCTGTGTCTCTGTTCGACCCCACCATGGATGATTTGAGACCTTGTTTACCTGCCACGAGAGTGGCACTGCCACGAGAGTGGCACGAGAGGTGGAGGGCACAGGAGCGGAGGATGTACTGTAACAAGATGACAACATCTCATGGGCAATCCGATGAGGAAAGGTGCCGAGCAGCAGCCTCACGTTCGCACACTCCCATGACCATTGGAGGTAGTATGATGACTGTAGGTGGTCGAGGATCCGGTCGATGCTCGCCGTGTAGAGCGGCCGTGTAGCGCCGACAGTGTCTCTGCTCGTAGTCGAATCCACTCGCGTCGGACTCTCAGGCTCCGATGCAGGCGCAGACTGCATGCAAACCCAATCCTCCTTTGGGATCGGTTGGTCTGTCGGTGGAGCCCAGAGGAGGAGCGATGTGCCAGTCAGAGGCAGAGGCAGAGAGACTGGACGCCGTCGAAGAGGGGGTGGGGAGCTGCACCGCTTGGAAACAAGATGACCAAAGTGTCGGTCATGGCTGACGGGCAGAGAAGGATCCAAGGTTGCTTCCGACCCTCCCAGTGGCAGTCCTAGTGGCAGCGGGGGTGCAGGTCAATTGCTTTATTAGCTGGACCACTGCCACTTCCCCCCCCCCCTTCTCTTCTCTCCGTCTTTATCTTCACTCCAGTTTGTCATCTCTCTTCTTCTCTCCAACCATCCACACACCATGATTCCCGTTCCTCAAGCCGAGTCCCTCAAGGACCTCCTCAGCCTCAAGGGCAAGGTCGTCGTCGTCACCGGTGCCTCCGGTCCCCGCGGTATGGGCATCGAGGCCGCCCGCGGCTGTGCCGAGATGGGTGCCGACCTGGCCATCACCTACGCCTCCCGCCCCGAGGGGGGTGAGAAGAACGCCAAGGAGCTCTCCGAGCAGTACGGCGTCAAGGTCAAGGCCTACAAGTGCGACGTGGGCAGCTGGGAGAGCGTCCAGGAGCTGGTCAACAACGTCATTAAGGAGTTTGGCAAGATCGACGCCTTCATCGCCAACGCCGGCCGCACCGCCTCCAGCGGCATCCTCGACGGCTCCGTCCAGGACTGGCAGGAGGTCATCCAGACCGACTTGACCGGCACCTTCCACTGTGCCAAAGCCGTCGGCGCCCACTTCAAGGAGCGCGGCACCGGTAGCTTCGTCATCACCTCCTCCATGTCCGGCCACATCGCCAACTTCCCCCAGGAGCAGACCTCCTACAACGTCGCCAAGGCCGGCTGCATCCACATGGCGCGCTCCCTCGCCAACGAGTGGCGCGACTTTGCTCGTGTCAACAGCATCTCCCCCGGTTACATCGACACTGGTCTCTCCGACTTTGTCGACCAGAAGGTCCAGGACCTCTGGCTCTCCATGATCCCCATGGGTCGTAACGGTCAGGCCAAGGAGCTCAAGGGTGCCTATGTCTACCTGGTCAGCGATGCCAGCACCTACATGACCGGTACCGATCTCCTCATTGACGGTGGATACTGCGTCCGGTAAATGGTTGATCCTCAATCCCCTTGGATTTTTCATATTTCGCACCTCTCTCTCTCTCTCTCTCTCTCTCTCTCTCTCTCTCTGTCTTTCTCGCCGACGCTACCCACCTATCTTTTCTCCTCTCTCTTCCGCCCATGTACATAATCTGATTGACGAGATGATGGAGAGTGGGCAGCCTGCCTCCCACTGATGCGCATGATCTAATTGTGGTGTTGACCTTGATGGTCGACTCGACAGCTTAACGACCTATTCTTATTACAAGATACAACTTTTTTCCAATCAAAAAGAAACTTTATTTTCCTTTGAAGACTTGCACAACGGTAAAAGTGTAAGTGAAACACGGGAAAGAAGTTCAGCATGGTGTCCATCACCAGGATGTCAAACAACTGAATTCAAAAAATATATGTGGGAAAGAGAAAGAGGTGACACAAGACCTGTGAGGCCGTGTAGGAGTGAAAAGAAGAAAAGAAATAATAAATAGAACCAAAAAAAGCCATGAAAAAAGAATGGAAACAAAGTTTTGTTAACGGAAATCACGAGGGTATCTCACGACCAGAAGGTGGACGGGAGGGAATTCTCCCCTACCTCACAGGTCCACCCTTTTCAACAGTCCTCCTCATAGTCCCCAGAGTCCTCGCCATCCTCGTCCTCGCACTCCTCATCGTCATCATCATAATCGTCGCCATCGCCTCCGGCTGACGGAGTCGCAGCGGGCACGGGAGTTGGCTCGGGGGTGTGAGCGGGAGTCTGCGAAGGGATCTGCGCCGAGGGGGTGGACAATTGCTGGATGACGGGGGTAGAGGTCTGGCTGGTAGCGGCGGCCTGTTTGCCGGCTGGGCTGGTGGTGCTGGCACTGGTGCTGACGCTGGTGCTGGCCTGCTCGACGGTCATGGTTGAGGAAGAAGCAGGAGAAGCAGAAGCAGCCTGGCTAGTGGCAACCTGGCTGGTAGACGGCGCCGAGCTCTGAGGCTGCGCCGCCGCACTCTCACCCTGCCCTTGACCAGCCGAAGGACCCGCGATCGAAGTGGTGATGGGACCCTTCTCGATATAAACACCGGACCAGAACCAGTCCTCGGCCTGGGCATCCGTCCCGCCGTTAGGCAGACGCAGCTGGCCGACGTGCCAGTCCGCCGAGTTGGTCGAGGTCGAGGCCTTGACGCCCGTGACCACCTCGGTTAAGGGTGCCGAGCCATTGCTGGCCCACAGGCCGACGGTCTGACCGTCAAAGTCGATGTCGTAGGCAAAGTTGTACCACTGGCTGGCTTCGAGGTCGGTCGACCATTTGGTTTGTCCGCCGACCATCCAGCGGAGGTTGTTGTCTTCGGTGGCCGAGTCGCCGCTCAGGCGGCCGTACTTGAGCTCGGTGAAGTGGCTCTGATTGTGGGAGATGACGGATTAGCATGGATCGAATGGATCCCTCGACGGCAGAAGACCATCAAGAGAGAGAGGGAGGGGGGGATGTGAGGGGGATGGGGACGTGGAGCAGTTCTCTCACCTCAAAGAAAGCCAGCTGGTGCTCAAACTTGGGGTTGGGAGCATTTGTCGTGTCGGTCTTGACGGAGAAGTGGTAGAACAGACGACCACTGCCCAGCTGGGCCGAGGTTTGAGGGATCAGCTCACTGCGCTCCATGTCTTGGCCCTCCCAGAAGGCCGTGCCGTCCTAGATTGAAGCAAATGAGGTGTCAGTTTCCATATCAACGACCACTCCAGGCATGGTTGTTCTCTCCACTCACAATGGTGATGCGGACACCCTGAGCATCGCTTGTGTCGGCCGGGTTCTTAAAGTCCTTGGAGAGTCCGAGGTAGGTGCTTGTCTTTGCGTTGCCGTGGATGTACCATTGCCAGGCGCCAACGGGGTTGGAAAAGGACCCTGTTCGTTGATGAGCATCACCAATATCACAGTACAGCAACGGTCTCCTACACTCCCGACATCATGGAAAGGGAATGTACGGGGCTTTCATCTCACATTTGTCAAAATCCGCAACCGACGCAGACGAGTCAAAGAGACCACTCCAAACCACTTCACCACATTGCACAGCAATGGGCAGGGAAGCAAACAACGTCAAATACTTGTTCATCATTTTTTTTTGCTGTCTTTGACAACCTGTGTCAAGAGATTCGGAATATTGTACGTGTTGTTTCTGCACACCCTCACGGAGAAAGAAAGAGAAAAACAACCCAAGGGGAGGAAGAGAGCCCACGTCGACTTTTATGAGAAGCCTCTTCCACCCTGCTAGTATCCCTCATCTCGACTCAGGAGGTCCCACTGCGTTGCCGGATATTGCGGAGTATATTCAGAATGCAATGTGTCGCAGGTATACAACAATCAAGCCTTGCCAGGAACCGGCAATTACAGCAAGTGGTCAGGGACCCTGTCCTCCCCCGGTAGCAGAACCACCTTTCCATCAGAGCTTAAGCCACTCACTCTCAGTACTCAACCGGTGTGCCATATCCGAGTACAGTTCTCTCTGTCTTACCTGTTCCCTGCGATCGGCACAGCGCACTTCCTACTCGAGCAAGGTCCGAGAAAGAAAGCCCCCTCGGCCGGGCATGTGGTGGTTTGGTGCAGCCATGCAATCGTGCAGTCGTGCAAATATGAAACGTTAGACCGGGTCGTGGACGATTGCGTGAAACACCGCCAAGCGGAACGGCGCCAGCCCCGAAGACCCCAAAGGACCAGCGGCTGAGCGGACCATGTTCGCTGCCGCCGAGATTGATCCATTTTTAATTAACCTACGACTGAGCCTCGGCCTGTTCGGAGTCGAGGGGCCGGTTCTGATGAGGAAAAGGTGGGGCCGTCAGCGACTCAGGGACTCCAGGACTCCGCTTCAATCTTGCAGTGGTATGAGCGTTTGATGTTTGGCGTGTTGTTCGAAACGCGCTCATTAGAGAGGGATCTAGACGGACAGGGGCGGCTGAAGCACAAGTCGAAAGGTGATCGATTTGCAGATCTGAGCTGGATCGGGATAACTATTTACGGTCGGAAGTCGACTTCCGATCGAGAGCTTCAACCACCAACCCCTTCAAGTATGTCAGGTACACCCCAGAACTACACCACTCCGGGGGGGCAATTGGGCGGCGGAAGGCAGTTTAGCCTATTAAGACGGGGCTTATGTTGCAGATTCGTCTTGGGTGTCGAAGTATTAACCTTTCTTCACGACTGGTATCGACGTGATGCGATAGATCTCTGAGTTTGATGATCTGCGCTCTGCAGCCCTATCAATGACCACTGGAATGGGATGAGGTCGTCGCCACCCGGACGCAAGGACATCCCATGGATATTTTGGCAAATGGCCGGGTTCGGGATTCATTCTCGGGCAATGCTGGATTCCGTCTGCTTCCATCCGGGATGTGAGGGACAATCGCAAGTCACGCAGACGACAACACACCACCGTAATGTACAAGAAAGCTCCTGACCTTCTAGATTTAGAACATTGTGAATAGATCAAGGGGTCATGAGACCTCAACGAGTGAGTCAACGCTAAGGTACTGACTGACTGGTTCGAATGAGGAACAATGCACGGCACATAGCATCCACCACCACTGCCCGTATATTGAAGTCTGCATCTTTGATTGGATTCAGAAGATCTCGACGCCTTATACCACTCTCACCATCAATCATCAGCCCTTACAAAGTTTCACCGATCAGAGTCCACATCCTTGACTGGATGAAATGACAGAGCGCCAGACTCTTCATTTCCCTTTCCGCCGCAACGATATCACAAGTATACCAGCAGCGCTTCCGAGGCGGCGACAGTGAGCGTCACTTGACCCCCGCGCACGGCGCCCCTTTCGTACTTCAAGTCACCGACAGAAGAGCAGTCGACATTGGAAAAGTGCTGACCTATATACACGCAAAGAACAAAAGTCAGGGAATAGTCAGGTCGTCACCTGTTGAGTGGTGGAATATCAGGGCATCAGGGGGTGAAGTGGCGTACCTCCAATGGTGGGATATATTCCAGGATCGTTCGTAGTCACATCACTTGATGCGGCTGTCATTCGCAGAGTTCTGACCTGGGAGCCCGCCGAAAGGCCATTGAGGGTGATTTTGCTGCAACTTCGCACGCCGCTACCGGAAAAATAATCGGTGTTCACCAGGATGGCTTTGATGGGGCATCCGTGGCTGTATATGACATACTGAGCGTGCGAGCTGTTGCCCGAGTCCAACTCGATGATATGGTCACCTCCGGCTAGTGCAAGGGCAGCAAAGTATCCCCCATAGTAAGGTGCATTGATGTGAGCCTCGGACCACCAATTAAAGAGGGCTATCCAAATTGCAATGGTCAGTGAGATCCTTGTTTAAACAAGCGGGTCTTTGCAAATTGATTGGACGATGGTTTCCAAAAAGACATGCGAAACACCTGGGGCTGGGAAGACGGTGGCTCGATAGGATCTCACCCTGGTTGATTGTTCCCTGATGAAAGAACAGACGTTGAATACCCAAGGTGACGGCCCGCATGGATTTGTCCAGTGCGGCTATGGCAGCGCCGAATGTCGCATCCATGTCTACATCGTAGGGATGGAAATTTGTCTCGCCTGCGCGTTCATCGATCAAGAAGGCATCAGTTTTTAGATCCTCAGCGGGGAGAACAAGGTCAATTGAAGATCAGGATCATACCAAGAATATACGAGGAATTGATGGACGCAGCAGTTGAGGCCCTCTCCCCCAAGACAGCCAGATCGGAGACTGTTTTAGCGTGGTTCATTTCTATCGCCAAGGTGTTGTTTCCGGGCGGCGCCGCATAGAGATGGCCAGAATAGTATTTGACCGCAGCTTTGACGGTGTTGTTGTAAGCCGTGTGGATGAGATAGTCCGTATTGGGCCATTCGGGGTTATCAGCATAAGCCACAGCATAGGAACCGGCAGTGAGAATGGGAAGTGGTGACTTCCACACGTCAATGAAACCCTGAGCCCAGTTGGCTGCATCGAGTCCTTCCTGGCTGGCATTCCATGGGCTCACGGCATCGGGTTTGTGCGCCCAGATGTAGACTATCACGGCTCGTATGTTAGTATGACAAGTGGTCTGCAGCCATCCAGGTGGAATTCGGGCTTCGATACCATCTGGCTCATTACCCAGCTCAATAGCCCACAGATGATCAAGCGCCCTCTTCTTGGCCTCCTGGACAGCGAGATACGTGTTGGTTTGATTATCGTCACCACGGTTGAACCCTGAGAAAGAGAGGAAAAGAACAGAGAACGTTAGAGACAAAGGCCTCTCCGAGTCGTTTGTGCAGGTGGTTCATTTGTACCGAGCATTGTTTCGCCATTGTACTCATCTGCAATGACAAGAAAAGACAAGAGTCAGCCGCGTCAATGAACAAGGAGGTTCATGAAGCCCTGTCGAGCTTGACTCACTGATCAAGTCCCAAAATTTGGGCCCGTAGATCAAGGTATCAGGTGCATTCAAAGGATCTGCCACCCTATAGAATACGTAGTCATCAAAGTATGGGTCGTAGGTGGCGCGGTCCTGGGTTGTGCCACCGATGCGGATGGGCGTTTTCTTGCCATAAATCTCAGATATGCGAGACATGCAAGACACCGAAGGCGTGACGTTCGTCATGTAGGATGGCCACATGAAGAACTCCAACCTACGGGAAACACCGACAGATCTGAGTCAACACGTGGACAGATAGAACCATTCATCTGGGTTCTCCACTTACGATACTCCCACTGGAGTGGAATCTAAAGGTGTGGCATCCAGGGGAACGATGCTGGGCACTGTGTAATACAACTTGATCTCAGCCGTGCAGACGGCTGCCAGGAATAACGCACCGAGAATGCATGTATGCGAATGATGGAAGATCATCTTGTGGTTGCAGAATCAGGCTTCTTGATTCGAAGCAATACCGTTTGCAAAAAAAGAATCAGAAATTAATCCAGGCGACATGTTGGGGCCTTATATATGTCAAGAATCCACATTTTGCGACGGTCATCATTCATACCTTTCCCAGAGCATGTTGATCACTAGTAGGGCAAACAGAGCCAATCCGCCGTCCGATTAATCAAGAATTTCCTCCCGTCCTGTGGGCTCGGTAAAGGACTGTTTGAAGGCTGCATATTGTGGATCAAGCTGTGGACTAGGCTGACCAAGTCGACCAGCGGCCAAACATCCACCGATGGCCCGAATCTATTCTGATCGGTGATCTTGAAGTGTGAGTCTTGCGGGAACTGGCGTTAGAGTGCAGCATGATTGTTTTCCTGAATATCTGACATGTGATCGTATCAGTGACAGGCTGACTGGTCGGGCCACAACAACCTCACCGTCCATTTCTCTCTTCTTTTGACCTACGTGCCCTCTTTAGCTGAATGGAGTGAGTCTTTCTGCATTTCATTCCTTGCCTGAACTTTCACTTACCATATCAGATTCGCTCCCGCATAACCGGTGGCGCCAGGCTCAGAATAATTAAGATTGACTTCCCCCGGGACCCTGTGACCTACGCGTCACACTCACGACTAAACAGGCCCAATCTCGACAAAGGTTCGGCCGCAGTACTACCGAGATTGGATTTTTCTCGCCTCCTCACACTTGTACCTCACTCGTCCTGGCGACCGTTAACCCAGTTATGGCTGCAGCCTTCGTGGAGTCAGTGCCCACTCTCAAAGACCAGGCTAATTATGAGGCTGAAAACATCGACTGAAAACTGCTGTTCCATGCTACGATGAAGGTCTTGGGCCTATCATTACGGGTCATGAGAGCTCTCCCATTAAGGTATCCCCCGCGTTTCCTCCTCTGGAAATGGAGCGCCAACGACTTGCTGCCCAGTCCGATCGCAAACCTACTGATCAGGAAATGGATTAGTGGTAGACTCTCAACATCAAAGAGCCTAAAGAAAGATTCGAGTAGTTTTGCAAGGAGCAAGACGTTGCAGCATCTCTGATCTTCTGCACGTTGACTGGTACTGCTCGCCGTCATGTACGCGAAGGGCATGATTCTCGCCGAATGTTTACTAAGCTTGAAAAAGGTCGATTTTGACACTAGCCCTTTTATCTTCATACACTGGATCGTAGACGGTGCTCGACAAGGCAAATGCATGTGTTGTCGAATATCCTCTGCCAAGTGAATGGGCTCTGGCTCTTTCCAAGAACGACAAACTCGGCCAATCAAGTGCCAAGGTCTTCCTCGTCAGGTATGACCCTCCATCGAATGGCGACAACAGCTTGAGTTATGTCTGCGGGTATCATTGAGCAGGTGGAAATATGAGCGTCCATAATATTACACTTGCTACCGCTGAAGCTTCACCAAAAAGACAAACGAAGTCACAAAAAAGGTCAACGCAAGACCAAGGGCAAGTATAAAAATGACATCAAATACATGGAGCTCTACACCTACCACAACAGTTGAGCGGCTCATTTGAACGAGCAAGGCTATATGGATCCCGAGAGACAAGAATGATCGCAAAGAAAATGCTCCTCAAAAAGCCTTCGACGCCGCTGCGGCAAGTATTTACTCGGTCAATGATGCTTCAAAATTCTGAACTCTCGAAAGACCTCGCTGAGCTCGAACACTCCGTAGCCAATACCTATTTTGCCTGGCCTTCATCCAGTGCGCCCCCTTCCTCACTTGAATCGACTGTATTATCGCGCTCTCTCTTCAGTCCCACTCCAAGATGTCCTGCAAGCAGACGGAACATGTAGGACCGAGCCGTGCACTCACTTGCTGTCGGAATTTCTCGCCGAGTACTGCATGGCTGGCCATAAACAAGGACAAGGTTTACCCCCGCATTCCCGGCACTCTTGGGCCCTAATCTAAGCCTCTCAGAAAGCAACTGGACAGGTTTCTCTTCACTTATTCGCCGAGTCGGAAAGTTGTAAGAAAGTTGTCAGTCTACTTGGCATTACTCCTGGAGTGAATGACCAGGTGTTGTAGTCACTTCATGTTTGGATCCGTGATTCACAACCCCGAGTCTGTTTCATTCACCTAGCTTTTATCAGAGTCGATCATAATTCTGTAATGAAATTGATGGCTGGGGACAGGGTCTCCGCGAGAATCTTCGTGTTCTGAAATTCTCTGGATGTACTGGTTACGTGGCCTCCGGCCGTGCCATCCATGTACACGGATTGGTTCAGTAACCTTACGATAACCAACGGCACCACGGCTCTGACGGACGGAGGAAAGAGAGACCGCTTGCTCTGGGCTGGCGATGTCTCAAATTATCAGTAGACAGGACTTTGATCTCGCTATAGGTGTCATACAACTATCTGGCGAAGAGAATGTCAGCGACACCGAGACTCTCTCATCTATGGGCACGGTTCAGAGAGTTTGAGTGTAAGGTACCTATTCGTCCGGTATCAGGATCGAGGGACTGAGCCATACAATTCTCAACATTCGCTGTTGGTCACTTCTTATTCATAGCTACAAAGTGGCTTAGTCTACGCGGTATTCGAGTGATATCCTTCGTTGGTTTTAATTTGGCCGAGTCCATCAATTTACGGAGAAGCTCTGAATGCCATTGCCAGGTATACGATGAGCCGGGGTGGGTTGGGCGACCCACAAACTACTGAAAGGAAGGCGAGCAAGCCCAGAGATACAACTATTCACATCAGAACTTGTCGGAGTAGATGAGGGAACCTTGAGCTCCAAATGGTAGTGACAGCGCGAGCTTGCAGATTAGAAAGAGCCTCGTCAGGTCGGGTGACGACGTGATGAGTAGATCAGTGGCGCAATTTCCACCCATGAATCTGTTCACTTGCACAAGAGAGACCACTTGCCTCCATGAAGTCCAGAAGCCACACCATTGGCCAACCGAGCACGCTGGCCTGATGAAGAAACTAAGACCCCAGTCTCACTGGGGATTTGCACCTTACCAAGCGACCCTTTCGGTGCTTTGATCTCAAAGTGAGTGTATGATCCGTCACTAGCACGTTTGAAGGATACCGAAAAGCTGCCGAGCGAAGTTGAGAATCCTGCATCCACCATTGCGAGATCACCAGGCTGAGGGGCAATCATCCACGAGGCACCACCGTCCGACACTTGGATTCCTGCAGTGAAGAAAATCAAAGCCGATGTCGGACCGGATGACCAGGCATGAGAGTGAGACACGCGAGCGTCATTGCTGTAGGGCGCATAGTGCAGGGTTCCATCCGTGGAGTAGCCCTCGATGAAGGTTGAGTTGGTCATTCGAGGATCTTGGAGCATGAACCCCCATTGCCGGCGGATCAGTTCCAGTGCTGCGTGATTACGGCCTGCAAGATAGTGTGCTTGCAGCTCAAACCCGCCGATGAACGGAGAGATTGTTGACGGCCCAGCTTCTGGGGCAGGGGCACCGTAGGGACCCCAGCGGGCTTGCAGAGCGGAGGATATGCGCTCCCGTTGTGATGCGGAAAGCGTAAGATTTGCTTTGACTGCCCACGCATTGCCATCCTGAGGATGCACTGTCGCAGTTTCGTTGTCACGGAACATTCCAATGGCCTCGTCCCACAAAAGATTCGTCGCAGCGAGCTTGAGAGCCTTTGCTTGCGATGTCCAAGTGGCAATGCTGGGTCGATCCCTCATTACGACAGCCAAGTGAACTCCCTGCTGAAGCACAAAGTATAGCATCGCGTTGGCTTCAACGTTCTACCAAGTCATTGATGGTCAGCTGAATTTTTGCACAAGGAGCTTGGGGAATCGCATACATGTCCACTCATGCCGGCTCGAAGCCAATCGGAGCTGGCATTCGCAGAGACAAATGCCAAGCCAGTATCATCTACACTTCCAAGGGCCCAAGCAACGCCAAGCCTAATTTTGGGCCAGTATTTGGCAAGCCAGACAACGTCTCCCGAGTAACGGTAGTAGTTGCCCGCATTGATCAAGGTGTGCAGGTGGTACGTGAAACTCTCGCGGTCGGGGAATGGACGCGAGGCGTAAGGGAATCTCCCATCCGCGGTTTGTAGGACAAAGAGGGCCTCCAGCGAGTTTCGAATGCTTGGCAAGTCGTAAGTGCTCACAATAGCCGTCTCCAATGCAATCGACATATCGCCAGCCCAGACCAAGCGGTCTCTCTTTCCCCCGTCCGTCAGAGCCGTGGTGCCGTTGGTGATTGTAAAGTTACTGAACCAATCCGTGTACATGGATGGCACGGCTGGAGGCCACGTAACCAGTACGTCCAGAGAATTTCCATACCTCGGATCAATGGTCGCGAGTTGGGTGGTATATGCACCAGCGTACCATATGCGGTTGACAAGCTCATCATTGCAATGAAAGAAGCCTGTGTAGCTCCGCAAGTCCTGGGTTGGAGCTGCGGTGAAGTTCACAGACACCGAGCGAACAACCACCTTGTCAGTTCCATTGCTCACGATACTGAGGTACCGAAAGCCACCCCTTCCCTGCGCTGGTACGGAGCGGTATGTATCTTGATCGGAGCTTAAATTGAACCACAAGGTTGCATCAAGCCCCAAGTCAGCTGTGGCATCACTGGAGAGGTTGCTGATCCATAAGGACGACTCCGAGAAGGTTAGGCCAAGCCGAGCGTTGACCGACGAGGGAGGCTCTATCTCGAGGGTCACAATCCCCGCGATATTCTTTCCAAAGTCGTATGTGACAGAAGATGTTCCGACGAAGACGGTCGTGGACTCAGACCCATCGCAGAGACTCTGAGGATCCACCACCGAGCCAAACGATTGATAGACAGTCTGGGGAATGAGAGTGCGACTGGAGGGTGCAAGAACATAGTCGGAGTAGGGAACGGCCACCACATCTTTGACCAGGAGTAGGCCAGGCAGCAGCGACGAAAGGGAGCAGTGCATCTTGAGCTTTAGGAGGCACACTGATCGCTGGTCGCTGATTCTTTGCCTTTGAGTTTCGTTGTACAAGGGCTGCACGTGTCAATTATAATGGCAGCCTCATCATTCGTTTCCTTTCACTCCGCCTCCATTTCCGTGATATCGAGAAGCTCTCAATCTCACATGTTTGTCCTCCTTCTTTTCCTCTCCGTACCTCATGCACCTCGCCCGTGGAGTCTCCATATTCCCCACGGGGGTGGTCAACTGCGGGAAACCCCTACTTCCCCCTGATGCATCTTGTTTCTCATCTCCCATCCTCACAATCTACACTCGCGGGAAACGCAAGCTCGCTGCCGAGCCGAGAACCCCGGGGCGCACATGGCGAGAACGTGGCCTGTGTATCTTTCGACTCCCCAGGTTTTGGTCAAGGTCCCACGCAGTGGAGTTCTGAGGTAACCCGCCACACGGGATGTGCAGCTCAACTTGTCTGCTCGCCTCGCCTCGAAGGAGCGGAACATCTGAGCCCGAAGTCACCTGCCAGACGCACCCTTCACGTGAGCACAGCCAGTGCTTCGATGTTATGCGGGGGCGAAGGACGAGAATACGCTTACGAGCGGGTCCAGTCAGGCGGGTCGCGGCACATGTTCCCCCCGACCCTCGCCGAAGCCCTCGACCGAGCCTTGGTCCCGTTCTTTGGATCCTTTAGGGCTGGAGAACGGAGGATGTCTGTCCGTTGGCAAACCGGAGCATCAATTGTCGTTTCAGGTTTCACACCTCACGCCTGCTTTATTGAGCAATGTGATTGCACCCCAATTGCCAATCCTGTGTCTCGAGACTCGACCGGAGTTGACTGTCGTGCTTGCGACGTTCACTTTTGGAAACTTTGCATCTTTCTCTGCCATTCAGAGAGAGCGTCATGGCGGCGGAAAGATTCGACACCAGTTGGATGTGGCATCCTTCCTTTTCAGAGGAATGCACCGATACCGCCGGCCTATTTGTGCATTTCAGGCGGACCCTCAACTTGGACAGCGTCCCATTGAGTTGCAAGATCCGGATCAGCGCAGACACGCGCTACAAGCTCTATGTCAACAAGAAACTGGCGAGCTTTGGGCCCGTCAAGGGAGATCAGAGTCTCTGGTTCTACGATGAACTTGATATCGCGCCGTATCTGGGCCTCGGAGAGAATGAAATCAGCATTCGAGTATTGCGGTTTTTCTATGCAACTCAATTTGCAACCAGCTTCCCCCGTCTGCCATCGGGAGGAGTGTATATTGTGCATGTCGATTCAACCGTACCGGAGGAGCTGAACATCAAGAGCAGCACACTGTGGGAGACGGCAATCGACCACTCAACTAAACTTCGCATCAATGAAGTCGAAGACGACTTCCTGCATATCTATGAACAGACCGACAGGGCACCAGCTGTGCCCCTGGAATGGATCCCGGCAGCTTTGTTGTCATTCCCAAATTTGACCGGACTTTCTGCACCCTGGAAATTGTCTCCCCGACTTATTCCATACATGGAACAACGACGGTCACAATTCAGCGCGATCCACAACCTTCGCAGCTGCGTACCCCATGATGTCTGGCATGCGACTCTCGTCCAAAAGTCAGACCGACCGAATGTGCCTAGTGAACTTCATCTTCCTCCGGGATCCAAGCATCAATTGGACTTGGAAGCATCATGCCATATGACAGCTTTTCTCCAACTACGCTTTCTGCGACCGGGGATGGGAGGCAGCCGGGTGACGCTCACGTACGCTGAAAGCTATGAAGACACGCCCATCTTCATCCCTTACTTGAGAAGCAAAGGTCACCGGTGTGATACGAGCAAGCCCCTATTTGGGCCCCAGGATCGATACACTTTGGGGCCGGCTAATCACCTCCCGGGACTTGGATACGACAATCAAGAAGACGAGGATGAAGTGATCGCGCCGTTCCACTTTCGTACATTTCGCTTCATCAGGCTTACAATCGAAGTAGGCTCTTCCGAGTTGCTCTGGAAAGGGATCGATCTCGAGACGGTTAATTATCCTTTGAACATTGTTGCCAGTCTCAGAGTCGACGGAAAAGAAAGCGCCACAGTGAAGGGGCTTTGGGAGACGAGTGTGCGAACTCTCAAGAACTGCATGCATGATTGCTACGAGGACTGTCCCTTCTATGAGCAGCTGCAATATGCCATGGATACTCGAAGTTCTGCCCTTTTCACCTATTATGTCTCAGGCGACGATCGACTAGCAAGGCAGGCCATCATACAGTTGCACAATTCTTTTCAGCCTCACATAGGCCTCACAGCAAGCCGGGCACCCTCACATCAGCTTCAGATCATCCCGCATTTTTCGCTCTATTGGATCTGCATGCTAGTCGATCACTGGACCTTCTTTGCCGATCGAGCCTTTCTCCGCCCATTTCTTCCTGTTGTCGATGCAATTCTCGCATATTTTGACGGTCGAATCGACCCCAGTACTGGTCTGGTCGTTCTTGCTGAGGAGACCGCAGTATGGAACTTCCACGATTGGGCGGACGACTGGCGGCCATACGGCATTCCTCCGGCTGTAGTTCAGACAGGAGTATCATCATACTCAAACAACGTGTATGCATACACACTCAAAAAAGCTGCCACCCTACAACTCGGTTGTGCTGGAAGAGCGTCGATTTCAGACGAATATCTTGCGCGGGCAGATCGAATCGTTGATGCGATAAGGTCGCTCTGTTTTGATGGCGAGTTTTTCACCGACACCCTGGTAGCCAGCTGCGATAAGGTACATCACCTGAGCCAGCATAATCAGGTCTGGGCAGTTCTCAGCGGTGCAATAAATGGCCAAGCTGCCCAAACCCTTCTGCTTCGGGCGCTGAGCTCGGCAGAGAATCGGTCTCTGACACCGACCTCAATATCCATGTCTTTCTATACTTTACGTGCCTTGAGCGCCGTCGGAGGTGGTGTATATGATGAACTTTTCCATCAATTCTGGAAGCCTTGGAACGCGCAGATAGCTCTTGGTCTCACGACGTGGGAGGAGGATAGTGTCTCGCAACGCTCCGACTGCCATGCATGGGGAAGCGCGCCAATCTATGAATTCATGGCCGAAGTTATAGGCCTTCGGCCAGGAGAGCCCGGTTGGGCGTCTCTGATATTCGAGCCGAAGCTGGGGTTGTATCGCGAGATCAAGGCAACTGTCCCGTTTCGCAATGAAGGTCATGAGGCTTTGGCCAGTGTTACATGGATCACAAACGCATCCGGTGAGATTACGATTTCATTGAATGTATCAAATGTGTCTTTGCAGATCCCGGTCCATGTGAGGCTTCCGTCGCAGGCTGAGATGTTGATGAACACCGCAGACGACTTGACATGGACCGTGAAAATGGCTTGAGCGGGAACAATTCTGGGGACATGTTTTGTTGATAGTCATGAATTTTCGAAGATAATTGCAATGGGTCGTTCCCGTTGAGAGACTGATTCTGCGCAGTCTAATGACGGGGCACTCAGTTCGAGTCGGGTCAGCCGTAATGTCTTGCTCGCACATTGTATTAGCAGGGCTGCGATGGCACATGAAAATCATTTTGATAAGCCGAGGATGCAAATAATGGAACATTGAACCAGTTGTCCGCTGCTTGAAAATTGAAATGGGAGCAGGAGTCATCAGCCGGATTGGACTGCGTTTGCTGCGCTTCAGCAGCCGCGACGTAGTCATGCGTGTCAGCCGTTAGTTCGCCAGCTTCTCCCGGTGACACAAACTGAACTATGGGATCAGCTCTGAAGAGATCTTCCAAGTCTGAAGTCGCAATGCGAAAGTCAACCAAAGATGGGAGGATCCCCTGTTTGTTAGGTGTATTGGTACAATCTCCCGTGTGAACCTCCTTGATCCCTTGTTTGAGTAGTCTGAAGTACTTTCCACTGATTTGCCAATACCGGCTCAGGCTTTGCAAAGCGTCCAGCAAGGTTGCAAGCTTCGAAGAATGTGGATTCATTTCTCGCGCCTCCAGCGCGAGAAGATAGCGAGCACCCACCCATACGGACCACGCGAAAGGCCACCCGAGCTTGTCAAAGTCCTTTTCTGTGTCGCCGGATACAATCTCACTGAGAAGACAAATGCTTCTGAGGCAGCGGACTTCGCTGTCCTTTTTTGTATTGGCGAAAGGCTCACCCAAGAGAGCTTCGTAAGCTGGGTCGCTCATCATACTATGTACATGGATGACAAGAGCGTGATAGTATGCGTGCAGTAGCGAGATCGATGGCAAACTGCGTGCAGTTGCGGTGTACTTGTGGTCGGTTTGTACGGACAGCTGCAGAGATGGCAGGATGGTCAAGGCCCATTCAGCCAGCTCTGCAGAAAGCTCTCCAGCTTGGTTGAGCCAGCGGTAGATATTGTCGACGCGCCGGTCTAGGGAGACCCATTCCAGGTACAGTGCGTGTGCTTTTCTGGAAAAGTCAAGTAGCTCCAGCTGGTGTTTCCAAGCCAGGCTCGGTATAAAACTCATGCCGGCCTGCACTTCCCAGGAGGTCTGTTGCCAGAGACGCTCTCGCGATAGAGAGGCACTTTTCAATTGGTCCTCCGTCAGACAAGATGGACGACTCGTGGTGATCGAGATGTAGCAATCGAGAGCATATATTGCCCAGAAGAGGGTTTCTCGGGACAGCGAATCCACTTTGTTCAGCGCACTGCTCCCATGATCCGCAATAGATGTCCGAAAAACGCGGGAGTCTTTGTGATCTAGTTGCGTTAAAAGCGTGGTGGCGATCGCCAAGGCTCCCCAGACCTGAGGGCCATTGGTCATACCAGACAAATCGAGAGTCAGAATCGTGAGTGCCTCCAAAGCACTAAAAGAGGGTTCTTCGAGTACCTCCAAAAATATGCGGCGCTTGGTATACTTCCAAAATGAATCACTGGATCTTTGATCCAGTCGAGAATCAAACGAGTATGGTAAAGTCAGGCCGAAAAGCGCATAATGGAGCAATGTAGGATTTTCCGACCAGCTTAGCTCGAGACAGACCCGCTGGACGTCCAAGAAGGGAAACCATGGATGGATATGCCGGAAAAATAAGGATGTCAGGGACACAACCAGGTCGGTCGGAGGCTGTCTCGCGTGAATCTGCTGTGTTCTTTCAAGTGTCGGCCTCGGGACTTCTTCGGCTGCGACTCGTGCAGCTCGGTACTCGATTGGTGCCTGCACCTGAAGCGTCTCCCCTTCTTCCTGGGGTGGATCACTTGTACTCTGAGGTGGCACTGCGGCCAGTGTTCGACCTGTCACCGCAGAGCTGGCACGGAGACAACGAACCTCGTCCTCGAGTTTCTCTATCACCTCAGCTCGGCGCATTAGTTCGATCTCATTAAACAATAGATTGAGCCAACGCACGTAATTTCTCCTCGAGCAGCTGCCGATGGCCTGCTGGAAACCCCGGTCTCTTCCGACCCGCGTATTCACACCTCACATCTAGTCTCCTGCATCGCTGACAAGCCGGAAACTCACGATCACATCGAGTTTTCCGTTGTTTGCAGCGTTCGCACCTATGCACATCAGCCTCGGTGGCGTTCCTGGGGGTCTCGCTAGCAGGGTGGAAGTCTTACGAGGCATTGCTTCGTCGGGAATGAGACCCCGAGATTTCCATGAGGGCTGATATCGGCACACAATTTGAGCGGCAAATTGAGGGTTGGAGGCTGAGATTGCTCCACCGGGTCTCCCCCTCCTTGTCTCGTCGGGGGATGTAACGGCTTAAATGGAACGGGATTGTCGAGCGAAGCTTCCTCCGCCTTGTCCTGTCTCGGGTCAAGACCATCCGTGTCTTCCCCACACCAGGACATCTGCTCCACACAAGCATGCGGAACGAGGTATTGGTCGAGGCCCAGGGACAATGGAAACGAACCTGTGGAGGAGAAATCCGGGGTTGGGACTTGCAATGAAAAGAACAGAGATCCGTGAACTGCGCATCATATATAGCTAGCTGGTCGCAATATCGTTCACCATCTTCGACATCCCAGCCGCTCACCAGCTGACTCCAGTATCGAACCTCTGTCCGATCATACTTGGCCACTGTGTTGCAAGTCATTACACCTGAGGCTTCTTTGCATCAAATATGGGTGCATCCAAGCCTACTCCGTGCCCTCGGGCGCACACTTTGGCCAATCCCATGCCTGAAAGCAGACTAGACATTGATCATTGGTGGCGACATCCAAACCTGCGAACCCTGAATCTCCTGCTGCTCATTCCGTTATTGTCAATCTTCTCCCAAGGGTAAGTATCATCACTATCTTCCATGCTCACAAGACATTGATATTTGTGCTGACTGGCATGCCAATCCAGTTTTGACGGCTCTATGATGAACGGTCTTCAGTCAGTTACACATTGGCAAAATTACTTCGGAACACCCAAGGGGGCAACTCTCGGGTTCTTCAATGCGGCTTACCCTCTCGGCGGTGTCGCCGGTGTTTTTCTCATCTCGCCCGTAGCCGATGGATACGGTCGACGCATGGGCCTGGCCTTAGGGGCTGCATTTTGCTGTATAGGTGCCGCGCTCCAGGGAGGATCTATCAACATCGCTATGTTCGTCATTGCCCGTGTCATCATCGGCGCAGGAAGTGTTATTGTGGCAGGTGTCGGAGCACCATACATCACGGAGATCGCTCATCCGGCACAGCGGAGTACAGCGACCGCACTTTTTCTCACCTTCTACTCCGTAGGTTCCATTGTGGCTGCTTGGTGCACTTTTGGAACCTTTCGCATTGACGGCACGGCATCGTGGAGAATCCCATCCTCCCTCCAGGGCTTTCCATCTGTCATTCAGCTTCTGTTGGTATGGTTCGTTCCCGAATCGCCTCGTTGGCTTGTTAGCAAAGGAAGATCCGAGGAAGCCCTGGCTGTGTTGGCCAAGTATCATGGCGAGGGCGATGAGAACGATGCGGTGGTGCAATTCGAATATGCGGAGATTCAAAGTGTGCTTGGAGCGGAGCAGTCTTTCTCGAAGCTCAACCTCTTTTCCTTCTTTCGTGAGCTGGCCACCGGTCCCGGCAATCGTAAACGTCTTTTTATCATGGTCTGGGCCGCCATTTGTTCACAGATGTCGGGCAACGCCTGTGTGTCTTACTACTTGTCTCCAATTCTGACTTCAGTCGGCTTGACCTCTGATCTGCAACAAACCCTCATCAACGCTACCTCACAGATGCTCTCCTGGGGCAGCGCAGTGTACTTTGCGACCTTGCCTGCCAAGCTGGGACGCCGGACATTGTTTCTCAGCTCGCTGTGTGCCATGTGGGTGATCTTTATCTGCATTACGGCTGCCAGTGCCATGTTCGCCCAGAGTCATGCCAACAAAGCTGCCGCATACACAGTTGTTGTGTTTCTCTATCTGTTCTCGCCGGCCTACAATCTCGGGTTCAACGGGAATCTCGGTCTCTATATCCCCGAGATCCTGCCCTTCCACCTTCGCACCAAGGGCCTATCATTCTTCTATTTTGTGCAATTCTGTTTCATGATCCTATCAACTTTTGCCGTCCCAATCGGCCTCGAAAGTATCCAGTGGCGCTTCTACCTGGTTTTTGTGGTCTGGATCATCGTGGAATTGATTGGGGTGTATTTCATGTTCCCGGAAACGAAGGGCCCGACGTTGGAAGACATCGCATATATCTTTGACGGGCCGAATACCAAGTACAGTGGAGAACTCGAGGCAGGGGGCGATGAGGTGAAGGTCGAGCATATCCATGCAGAACTCAAGTAGTCAATTGTCATTGGTGAGGAGGTCTCATTCTTTGTGTAATCGATCAAAGGCAGAAATGAATCAACAAGCCTGTTGTTCTCTTCCAGTATTTTTCGTCGCAACTCCCTCGCAATGACTCAATCGACATGAATCAGGTAGTGAAAAGCTCGGCCGTTTCAGGCTTAAAAGGTGCATTAGTCAAGCTCTATCTTCGAACGGTGGAAGGTAGTACTGCAGAGGCCTCGGCGCAGGCCGGACGGACAACGACTCGAGGCATTCGAAGACGGTTAGTTTCAGTGTTATAGGAGAATTTGAGAATGTGAATACCACGCTGAGCGGGGTTAAAAGTCATCTTGGGTTTAGATCGTGACGAGGAGAGTTGTGAACCCTGGCAAAGGCAGGAACTGAAAAAAAGTACACGGCCACTCTCAGATTGAATGGATTTACCTACACAGGTCGGTAATTTCTTGCTAGCCATGTCAATTCTTCCACCAGGCCCCACTGAATGCTCCGAGTCTGGAGGCCTGTCAGGACTCGGGTTGCCTGAAGTTATGAAACGGACCGTAGGACTGGAGTCACCAATTTTGGAGTCTTTCCGGAACAGATTCGGTTCCCCAGATAGGGACATGGTTCGGATAACTCGTACATACGAGAATGCGAGTACGGCCCGCAGAGGATCTCCCAAGTGAGCCGCGCGCCCGTAGTTGACGCCGGCCCACTCGATCCAGAATCTTAAGCTCAGCAGCGAAGATGTGATCGCGTTCACCAGCAGTTTTAGAACACGTCCACTGTGCAAGATGTGGAAGACGCTCACCAAAACACTGGCTCGATTGGAAGCAGGGCTCCGTGTCAAAGATCGGATGTTGTTGTCAAAAGATCTCTCTCTACATGCAGAGATCACTTTCAGATGGATCAATTTATCGCATCGCACCCACACGTTCTTACTGAGGTAAAGAGACTTGACTCCAGCAGAGGTTTCCAGATCGACGGATCTACACAGTGACTATGGGCACTTAGGCTGCCATCTTTCATATGAGCATCACCCTTGGCGTATGCTTCCACATATAGAACATGTGCAGCGCATCAATTAGATGCCATGCTTGCAAGTATCCACAAAGACCGCATGGCTACAGCAGCGGCAGCGCCCGACCCAGTTCACCCTCCGGATACTATTACCCCCAACCATCGTGAGTGATTCTCTGTGACAGGGGCTGGCTCCACTATCGAAGAGTGGTGGCCCATGGTGTTCCACAGACGGTTTCCATCAGCATGTTTAATTTGGTAGTTTGTTGACCTCTATAAAGCAGCTGCACTTCGCTACTCTGTTCAAGCTCACAACTTCGGCCATTCCAACATTCCTTTTTTCTTTCTTTCATTGGTTTCATGTTCTTTCTTTCATTTTTGTCTATTCCATCTGACGCCCATCGCTTTCATTCCTTCCACCTTAAATTTCAATCACAGTTCAGCAACCGATCACATCATGGGCGACGCAAACTCCAGTACCCGATCCGGCATCTTTCCATACAAACCAAGCGAGTCTGCCACATTGATCATGGCTGTTCTCTTTGGCATAAGCGCAATCTGGCATTTGATCGTGATGATCCGAAAGAAGACATGGTTCTATAGTTGCTTGACTGTTGGTGCTATCAGTATGTTGACTCCCTGTCTCGCACTCAGCAGGGAGGAGTCCGTCTTCTATCTTCCCCATCAATCCAGCTAATCATCCGCGTTCTAGTGATGACCTCCGGTTACATTGCGCGATATTTTTCCGCTAGGTCACCTCTCGACCTGGGGCCATACATCATGCAATCTCTCTTTATTATCCTGCCACCCTCTCTTTATGCTGCAACTCTCTACATGATCTACGGACGCATCGTACTCTTTGTCAACGCGCCTGAAGCAAGCATGATTCCTCCGGCTCGAGTGACCAAAGTCTTCGTATGCGGTGACGTGATTGCCTTTTTCCTCCAAGCCGGCGGTGGCGGCATGATGGCCCAAGCATCGATGGCGAACGTCGGACAAAAGATCATGCTCCTGGGCTTATTCACGCAACTTTTGTTTTTCGGCGTCTTTCTCGTCATATCGCTCGTCTTCTGGAAGAGGATGCGGTCATCCCCCAAATCACACATGATCCCACAGCATGGCAAACATACTTGGAGGGCGTTACTCAAGATGCTGTTGGTTTCTGCGGTCATCATCATTTTCAGATGCGTTTTCCGTATCTTCGAGTTCGCGGGGGGAACAAAGGGCTCCATTTCCACCCACGAGGTGTACATGTACCTGTTCGATGCGGCACCCATGTTCCTTGTGCAGCTATTGTTTCATTTCGTTCATGCAGGAGACGTGTTTCCCACACATATCGCGGCGTCTGCGTTCGCCGACGATGGGTCATATATCAACCTCTATCCGAGAGTCTAGCAGTCCGCTGGAGCAGATGGGACAACAATTGGAGTACAGAATTTAATTACAAATCTTGAGGAGTTTTGGTAAAAAGAAAGTTGACGCAAAGAGAACTTGACAAGCCATCTTTGGCTGCAAATCGACAACGGACTGAGATACTCGGCTGCCACTCCACTCGAGTTTCAATACTGGCTATGTCTGGTCTAAGCGCCGCCTCTGCCAAACATGTGGTTAATCTGACGGCATCCCAATTAGCAGTCCTGGTCCCCAGTAGTCGGGAACAATCACCCATGGCTTGAAGACCTGAGATAACATCTGCCCCAAGCTATCTTATCGGAGTCGAGTTGATATCTTGATAAGACCAACTAGTCACTGACTTTTCGTTCCTAGTAGGAAGACTATCCGACCGTCCAAGCTCGTTAGTAAGACCTCAAATGACCATTGGGGATCATCTCCGGGGAGAAAATCTAAGCCCACTAGATCCGTAGCGATCATCTTAATAAGTAGGAGGCTAAAACCAGGACTTTGGTCATCGAATCAGAGCATCAGAAGTCGCTAATTCGATCACTCTTCGAGACTGCTGAACACATGAACAAATTTCGATGTGTTCAGGCGAAAAAGCTCGGTCTTGGAATTGTGATATGCGGGCAAGAGTCAACATTCTAAACTACGTTATCAGATATTTCCCGGCCATATTCTGAATCGTTCAGCCGCCTGCGCCAGTAATGTCAGGTGTCTGCATCAGTCAAGCCGGCAGTCTTCAACGATGACCCGGGGTTGTTGGCAGTGAAGACCTTGGACGAATAAGGTAAACTATGTCACGAACAGCAGTAGCAGCGGAAGATCATGTTTGAAACGGAGTGGATTCGTCTCAAGGGCTGCGACGCCCAGTAGATGAAGATAGTTCGCTCGCTGCCTTCCAAATCTGACGAGGTTGTCCATGAGTCTGCCGTGACTTGGCCCACTTTTGACCCTCGCATTCTCGTATTCTCGTATTCCCGTACATCCGTACCCTCGTATATGGAGAGGCTTCGCGCGGGCCTTCCGTTGCAAGCCCAAGATTAGGTTAAGATACCAAATAAACCATAGAGCTGTCACTTTCATTAAAGAAGAGATCATACCCATCGCCACCCTCGAATCTGCTTCAAAAGTCATCCCAGACCTTCCCAGTGAAAAAGTTAAACTGGATGGTGCAGTGATTGAAGACACGGAAATTTCGATCGTTGCTACTTCATCTGACCCGTAGCTGCTGACAGCCAGCGTCCTTGTTCATCTACGGCCTGCAGACTCGCCTTCATCTTTCGTGTCAACATACATCATGAGCGACCAAAATCAAAATGGTGGTACCGTATTCGCGCTTTATCGCTATACGCCTTCCATTCCTGCGGCGGTTGTCTTTGCGGTTATATTCTTCATCCTAGCGGCTGCCCAGTTGTTTTTGATCGTCCGCCATCGCACATACTTCTTCATACCTTTTATTGTTGGTCTATTATGTGAGAAACCACTCTCTTTCCAACCAGGCCGACTATCTCCAAAACCAAAGCTGACGAATTGCTGCCGTTTGCAGTCGAATGCGCCGGGTACATCGCCCGTATTTTCTCTCATTTTAATACACTCGCTCTCGGCCCCTACATCGTACAAACCATGTTGATCTTGGTTGCACCGCCGCTTTTTGCCGCCTCGATCTACATGACACTTGGACGGATTACAGTGAAACTGGGTGCCGAGGAAGCCTCCATGATTCCGATCCGGTATTTGACGAAGACTTTTGTGGTAGGAGACGTCGTTTCGTTCCTACTTCAAATGGGAGGTGAGTCTTTCGAACATTATTCATCTCTCTGCCCGCTTGAATGATACTGATTCTGTACAGGTGGCGGCTACATGGCGGTCGGCACTCTGGGAGCGTTGAATATCGGTGCAAAGATTGTGATCGGCGGTCTCGCCGTTCAACTCCTCTTCTTCGGCTTCTTCGTCATTGCGGCTGCCATTTTCCACTGGCGCGTCAAGCAGCAAGTCTCACGAACGCGCATCGGTTCATACACCCATGGGTCAACTGCAAGGCGGTCTGGCATGGGAAGCAAATTAACTTGGGAGAAGTTGATGTGGGCTCTCTATGTCGCGTGTGCTCTCATTCTCGTGCGATCGATATTCCGTGTTGTGGAATTCGTTGAGGGGAATGATGGGTATGTCATGCGCAGAGAATATTGGTTGTACATCTTTGATGCAGCCCTCATGACGTTGGCAGGAGCTTCCATGACTGTGTTCTTCCCCGGCTTCCTGTTGGGACGTGGTGAGCTGAAAGGGTCGAGTGCTGTCGAGGCATTTTCAAGTGGGGAACATGAGATGTCTTCGAGGCGGTTGAGGACCAAGCATGCTTCTGGGAACAGGGTATGATCAATGTTTGCTGCTTGATTTTGACGAAACATTCCATATACCATAGAAAGTTATGCCAGTCCAGAATATTACGAGAGTGAGTAAGCATAGGAGTGAGGCACTTGGCTAGAAGCCTAGGAGTCAGGGTAACATATATGTCCTTATGTAGCGCGTCGGGCGGAAAATCCACAATGAATGCCGAGGCACTGTCTGGAGTTCGTCCTCTGCTTGGACTTCTCAGGTCAGAGGTTGAAGAGTCAAATCATCGAAACCGTCTCATGGTTGCGATAAAGCCTTCACTGCCTCCATGGTATCGCATGAGTTATGAAGATCAAAGATTCGCCAGGTTGCGCCTGGTCGTCCGGAGCGTCAAAGGCAGTAGTCAAGTCAAAACAGATCATTGTGATTTATGATGTCAAAAAAGATAATGCAAACAACAAGTCTGGCCGGATGGTGTAGTTGGTTATCACGTATCGTTAACACCGATAAGGTCCTGGGATCGAGCCCCAGTCTGGTCATAGATTTTGTCTCGCGAAGCTCTTCATGCGTTCCCCCACGAACCATTCTTAAATTTTTTTTCTTTTTGAACTGAGCGGGTTGACCGAGGATTTCACTTTTTAGGACGTTGTGGAAACTGGAGACTACAGTGATAGTACTAGAGCGCGGGATATATACCAGGCTAAGCTAATCCTAGCTAGCCTATCATATATAGGCTAAACCGAAAGAGAAGTCGAAGACCCACAGAGCGCACATGCTACTAAATTCATTATATGTGGGTTTCGCACTTCGGGCAGACTTGCTATACTTTTAGGCTGCCATAGGCTGGTCTCGGACATTTGGTAAGAAATATTTCAAGTTATTAAATAAGTGAGCCGTTTACATCGAATTGGCCGGATGGTGTAGTTGGTTATCACGTATCGTTAACACCGATAAGGTCCTGGGATCGAGCCCCAGTCTGGTCACTGTTTTTGTTTCACAGTAAGCAGCAGCGTGCTAAAGCGGCCCACCTCCCTTGCTGCTCTTTTTGTCTGCTTGAACATCAGCAGGCGAAATATATCCTGCAAGACCCATCGATGTCTGCTGCACTGCCAAGGATAGTACTTGTTCCTTGTGACCACCACTGTACCGCCTGTCCTTCTACGCAAGACGTGAGTGCACCGAGGATTGCACGTATTGTACTTGAGACAATTGTCAAGTTGTCATACTTGCACAGTAAGATCAGAGAAGTACTAACGTTCTCCTGTTTCTCATTCATTAGGTATAGCTATATCACTTATGGGTGTAAGGGCATGAGGCCAGGTTGAGTAGGCTATATAATAGACTTATGGGCCTTTCAGATGGTCTTCACTCTTCTCATATCATGCATTCTTGAACACTAGTACCAAAACTTTCCTCATCATTTTGCGTGTATCAATAGCACGTGGGGTTTTAGCAAGAATCACCTATTCCATCGCCGGTAGAGTTTCGAGCGCCGATGTAGATCGTACGGGAATTGATTTCTCGGAGCTGTACAAGGGGAGCAGAAAGCAGTCTCACTATGCAATATGCATACATGGTGTTGAGATAGCTTTAGCTTGGTGGTCCGGCGCGTCACACCACCGTGGTGCACGCCTACGCACACCACCAGTAGTTTAGATAGCACCTCTCACCATATTCAATCTCAGCATCCCTTTCTCCCCTCTTTTGGTCAGTGCTACGTTCCCCAGTTGCTCTCTGATACATGGTACGAACTACCGAGACATTCTCCGTCAAGGGCGCCTTTTGAGAATACGTCAATATGTTTGTAAATCAGTAAATGTCTACGGATTAAAGAGGCTGGATTGTATCGAGAATCAGATCCTTTGAATCTTGAAATTCGTCAATTCGCGAAATGCCATTAATAAAATTACAACCTAAATTTATTCTTGAATTCTCTCGAGTAACTGCAGGTCGTCAGTTAGCGAAGTTGCTCGCAAAGCGCCTGGATTCAAGAATCTGTCATACCTGGCTTAATACAGGCCGGACGCCTCCGTTTCCGTTGCCAGCATGTCGAAACATTGCCTTTGTACCAGGAGGCGAAGGGGAATCCTAACTGAAGGTCCTATCCGAATAAGCTGCTGAAACTGAGTTCGGTGTGTCTATTTCTTTTCAATGTTCTCATGCCGAAGATCGAATTAGCGTGTGTTGATCTTACTGGGCCTAGGTTGAAGCAAATTTCCAATGGTGATGAGTACTCCATTTCACCAAGACCATGAATAATTGCAATCTTCGTGAGACGGGCTTAGGGTTGATAGGCTGCAAATACTGCTACAACTGACTTAGCTCGTCCTGTCGTCGTCTAACATTTCCAATCACTGGCATAGGCTCATAGCTGTTAGGTCGAAGGGTGCGTCAAAGCAGGGGCCCAACAACATGATCAATATTGAGATAGTGATCAATTCTCCAGGGTTCCAATTGGAAGCATACCTTTACCAGATTCCGAATGAGTGTCCGCTGCAGTTGTCTGGTCCACTGCAACAACGTGAAGAAGCTCTTTTGTATACGCCGCCGCCAACGCAGTCGTATATTCTTAGCATTCCTTGTTCTTGTGAGAGTCGGCGTAGTCGCAGATGCCGCGAATGACCTCCGTTTCAACACAGTATAAGTCCAAATCCTGATTCAGCTGATCTCGCCTCCTGGCATCCTGGGCAACCTGATTTACAGATCCGATGAGTCCGTAGTGTGTTGTTGGTTCTTGGTACTCGCTTGGGCGTCGATGCACTCTTCTTGATTGATCGCAGCCAATCCACGAATCAGATGAGACATGCTCGTATTCTGCGTGGGACACATGTTCATCTGTCTCGGTCGTGCAAAATTGTACGGCGGCACCTTAGCCTATAGATTTAAGATGAACTCCACGATTTGACTGCCTTCCATAAGTTGACTCGCATGGAGACATTGGAGAGTCGCGCCGGCGTTCGACAAAATCTTTTCACAAAATCTTTGGTCGGCCAATTGTGTATTCTCCCTTGCTTGAATCGGTCACTCAGCGCTTTCCCAAAATCTCACTGAACGCCCCCAGACGTGTCGGTCGGCTGGCTCACTACAATATCACCCAGTCAAATGTCCGTATGGCTATTTGGCCCGCCGCCGACCATGGAACCAAAGCTTCCAGCACGGACGGGAAACTGGAAACCAACTGCATTGCTATCGTCGCCGCTGCTGTGGTGCCATCCGCATCTCCTTGCAAGCTAGCAATGACTAACTGGTGGTCTCCGATGCTTCCATAGATGTACTGTACACACTCTGGTCCTTCGGCAGTTGAGGAAGAGGTGGATGAATCTCATCCAACATCATCTTTGCCGCTGTCTCCACTCTCCAGTCTCCACAGACAAGGCCCAGATCCACCCGACCGTTCAATCATTGTGGACTCGGATCCGGCGATTCATCGTCAATCGACTCTGTTACAGTCAAATTGGTTATAGCGATTCGAACTTCTGTCAGTGATTGAGACGGGGTCGTGGAATCCCTCACGAAGCCAGAACTTTGGCCTTGAATGAAGATTCGCGCTGAGGCTTAACACACGTCAATTGGACGGAAGGGTTGTCATCAGACTCCTCGTCCCTCACTTCCTCAGTACTTCCTTTCCACGTGGCACTAGTCCCTATCGGGTTGCATTATATGTTGGAACGCCACCTTCTGTTCAGGAATCTTAGTTTCCTTCCTGGCAGCTTCTTTTCTTTGCTTCACATAACGCCCATTGGTTCACCTTTCAGTAGGAACACAAGGCTCTTTCCCTTTCAGCTTCTCTTCCTGGCTTGCCGACATCATGAGTAGCATAAAAAGTTCGATTGCTTGATCACATGATAGAATGAATGCACCCAACAACATCTTTCACAGCATGAACTTTGAGCTAGAGAGCGCCAGAGGACGAGATAGTGATAAGGAACATCATGACCCGACAATGTACAGGAGCAATTCTCAGATTTCTCATACTCGAAAGACTCCACAGCGGATGGGCACAACCTGAGCTTTCATTCCACGTGACGGGCGCCAGCGACTTCATCGCCAGCCACGTTGTTCGGCAGCTACTTGAAAAGGGCGAAAAGGTCCACGCGACTGTGCAAAACACCAAGAACACCGCAAAGATACAGCACCTGCACGGTATGCAGACTCAATGGCCCGGGCAGCTGGTCCTGTTCGAGGCGGACCTCCTGTCGTCTGGTTCCTTCGAACACCCAATGCAGGGCTGCTCTGTAGTCTACCTTTTTTGATTGAGAACAAGGTTTGCGACGCTCAAAGGCACGCAAAATGTGCTTGATGCAGTGCAGAAGATTGAATCGGTCAAGACGGTTATCTTGACATCGTCTTGCGCCGCAATTTACGGAGACAATGCGGACATGCTGGAGATGAAGGATCGCACGATGACTACGGAGTATTTCAACACCTCCAACTTCGTACAGCATAACGCCTACTCTTACTCGAAGACCGTCGCCGAACAAGAAGCCTGGAAGATTTATGAGGCACAGGCCAAGCCTCCTCGCTGGTGATTAGTCGCAATGAATGCAGGTCTCGTCTTTGGACCCTCCTTGTCGCCCTCCTCTGACTCCGGTAGCCTGTCTCTCCTCGACCAGATACTCTGTGGCCAATTCTTTGCTGGTGTTCCCGATCTGCACTTCGCCTTGGTCGACGTTCGTAAAGTGGCTACGACCCACATCCGTGCCGCCGAGAATGCAGATGCACACGGTCGCTACATCTTAACACACGATGCCTCTAATAGTCTCGTTGACATTACTAGGATGTTGAGACCCATCACCAAATTGTCTCTTGTGCCCAAACATACACTTCCTAACATGGTTGTGCGACTGGCTGGACCTTTCCTCGGTTTCAGTCAAGATTGGCTTCGAAAGAATCTCAGTATTTCATTCAAGGCGGACAATCGTCCAAGCCAAGAACAACTGGGGATCGAATATCGCCCATTGGAGGAAACGGTTGCAGATCATTACGAGTCATGGAAAAAAGCCAAGTCCCGTTGAACTGTGCGCAGTTCAAGACAATCTCGCGGGTGGTGTGGCCTGTGAATGAACTGATGTTTCAGTGTGATTTGCATTCGCCCTGAACCGTGACCAGCAATGACTTTAACGCGATGTAACAACTCATATGATAGAGTTTTTCCTCTATCACCCTTGCTCTTTCGCCATTCGAGGGTTGTATCAAAGCATTTTTGACGGCGGCATGGCTATCTACACGACTAGCAAGAACATGACTTTATTGGAAGAGGCGCTCCACGTGCTGAATCTTGTCCAGATTATATGTAACATTTACCACAGCCTTACGGGACAAGTGCAATATGTACATTTTGATAGTAGCCCTGAGACACATATCAAGTGAGACACACATCAAGATTGAAAAACCCGCCAAACAAGTGCTACCTCTCCTTGTTACACGCGCCGAGACATATTGGCCGACCCGACTGGCTTGGAAATTTCATGTTGGCATCCGACCTCATTTCATGTTGGTGTCACCTATTCAATACGAATCCAACACTACTCGCCTGAGTAATTAAGGTATGCGATAGGTACGCAGACGCCGCTAAGTAATCTACCGACATCCATATCTATGAGTATGGGTGAGCGCATTGAATTGGCGACACTAATGCGTTCGTCTACATTGCCTTACGTGTGCAAATCCTCGCCCGCGTGTAATAAAGCTTCAGAGTTGGACGAGCCTTCGAGGTGCAGTTGAATATACTATGTATGCGCACGACGACCTAAAAGCCTTATGTTGTTCTCGACATTCTTCCTCCAGAGCAATCTCGTCAGATTGGCGTCCTTCAACGTCTATCCCTCTCAGGCATATACATCTATTCACAAGGGATAAACCACGGACTTGCTTCTAACGGCTGTGCCCAATCAGAGTTTATATCGTAGCCGTCGTGAACCGCCGGGCTAAATCTGCCTTTCCCGGCCAGCGCACTTCATCCTGGGCGTTGGGTTGCTGGAGGTATTGTTTCACCCGCCAGCTCATCCCTTCATATCCCGGTAGTGTTGATTTGCCTTCATCTCTCGTCATTGAGGTATGGAAACATTCTCGCCCACTTTGGGGATCGAGGCCGCCATTCAGATCCGCAGGGACGGGGTCGGATAAACTCCCCTCGACAAAATTCGCCATATTCGCGGGTCCACCGATTGCGAATCAGGACACCGTCCTACCGCTCGATACCGAGAGGAAGTACAGCTTCAATTACAGATCCAATCTACTTGTTATCTGGATGAAGATTGCCATATAGGTGATACGAACGTTGGACGACGCAAGGGCACGGGAGCTTGTGTGAATTCGATCTTACATGGCAGTAATTGGAATTCAAAGGACCATATATCCTCCCCCCGGTATCACAGATCGGATGAGGGCCAAGTGATACCTTCCTGTATAGAGTTCTCGGTACACTTGATACAGTCAAGCTAGATTCCTTTATGAGAAAACCACTATTCTTCGTCCATGCCGCATCAAATGGGTGCCCTCTCGCCAGAAATCTCGTCTTGCCATAGATGAGAGGGAACAGAGAATGGTCGACAAGGTTCCTGGCGATGGAACTTGACTTTATATTTTGAGACGATAATCGATCAAGTGTCTTGGAAAGCCGATATTGTACACCACTGCTAACCTCAAAGTTGGGGAGTCGCGTATTGCGACAGGACTGCCTCCGTTGAGAACGAATAGTTGGCGATCTTATATGGATACATGGGCTTGATCGCGAGGTTCCACCACCCATCACCCCGACGTCTTTGCATGTATGGGCGTGAACCAAGATATTGGATCTGCGCGCCATATTGCAGCGGCCTGTTGGTCGAAGATAATTCCTTGCCAGTTTGGTCGGTGACCTGCTCTTGGGCTGTCAGAATGTGATTCCAGCGACTCATTATGATGGTCACCAAGTGATCGCAATGGAGAAGTCCATTAAAGAGCCCAGGATATCGTGAGAATCAGGCACTCTGGGTTGGACTGTCTTCATGTCCAGTACCATTTCGCCCTCTTACAGATCAGTCATACCGCTCGTGTGTCACGTGACTCACGTCAACATCTTCCAAAGGAGTGGTTCCTTGAATGGCTGCACGTGATCGCGGAGACACTTTCCGCCGAGAAAACGACATTTTCGAGCTCGTGTGAGATCGGAGGCCAAGTCAATGCCAAGAACATTTTGTAGCAGCAAAATGAAGGCCTAGGCAACCGTATGGAGGGGAGGCATATGATAAAATCATACATGGAGATAGTCGGCCTGGATATCAGTCTTCCAGATACATGATGAGAGACCAAATAAGATGGTCTCACGAGCTGAGTGAAAGACTCGAGTTGATCTTGGTGTCTTCTCCATGTGGGATGCGGGAATATGGCAACAAGATCACGATTCGAGAGCCAGCACAGATGGAGAAAACCCACGTCGATCCTCTGCTGTGTCCTTCCGTGGATTAGCCGATGGTGTGGTCAACTCATTGAAGTTGACGAACTTTATTTCGCCCTAATGAACCTTTTCATGATCCAAGGTAACTTTGCATGATCGTCGACCGAATTTGCTATGTAGAGATGCGATAGTCTCATCTTTGGATCCTCAGAGATTCTCCACTATCTTCCCGCTCCTCGTCCCGAGTGGTTGGAGTGTCCGATGGTTGAGTCCAGTTGATGCGCACGACCCAAATGTAGGACGGTACATGGTCCAAGACCCACAGAATAACGAACAGGGCATGCCGTGTAACCTGCAGATCAGCAGGCATTAAATGATGTTTCTACTTTTTCACTCATCGACTCGGTCATCGATATGCGTGCCAGTGCCGAGTGGACAACGGTGACCCAAGCATTTCGCGAGCGATCGCCACGATGTTTTGGAATCTACCATGGGTGTACTGGGACGGACTACCGGAGGCATTCTCGCAGCCAATCTGCGGTCGAATGGAACGAGCTAGTGCGCCGCATGCGGCTCCTCATCCAGACTTTCTTGATCCTTCACGTCCACCTCCACGTGAGTACCCGGGTGTGTATTGCCATGCAGTACTTCTTCGCTAGTTTTTTTTTTTTTTTTTTTTTATTTTTGCAGAGGGAGCACTGACGGAAATGAAAATCCATTCAAAGCCTCTGAAGGCCAAAGCCTCTGAAGGCCTGGCCCTTGGATTATATAAGCTCTAACCAGCCCGTATTTTTGGGCGGGATCTTCTTCAGTTGACTCTCGCTATCACCTCAAGTGAGGGTACTAGGCTCGGCCACAGTCCGACTTCTTGGGACTTGAAGTTCAGAAAGCGATCCGAGAGTCAAGCCTTGCGAGGAATGGAGCATAGGTGGCCAACCGTGCGAAGCTCGTGAGTCCAGACATATCTGCCGGGCGATTTGCATGGCATACTGATACCGCAATCTTTCACAAAGTGCGGATGATGAATCCGTCCGGACACTAGTTGCAGCAGATACGGCGTCTACGCAGCCGCGCGTGCTGCCCTTTACTGTGGACTGTTTACTGTAGTGCTTTGTGATCGTAGTGACCTGCGCATCCCATATACTGTGCGCGCTTGTTGTTCTATGGTGAAGGTGGAGACGTCGGCAATTCATGGGCCGCGCTTTGTAGATCGATTTGTTGGGCTTTGTGCCTGAAACATCAGACTTGCCCGGGAATCCGATGGAGTGGAAACCTGAGAGGCTTGAGCGGCGATGCGTGGAACTTGCCCGTCGATCGTGATACAACCATATTGTTAGGTCTCCTGCGCATTCAATATTGCTGATGTCTTGTTTCCTTTCCAGCAGGGAATGACGATGAGTGATGCATCAATATGACGATCATCTGCCGACCGCCGGCAATTGAATGAGTGGCCCAGCGCTCTAGTGACCATGATGTGCATCAATTGCCACTGGGCTATCGACTCGAATCCAATATTATTGTACTCGTCCGTGGGCAGGTGTGGATAGGCGAGGGGGCCCTGAAGGCGTCTCGTATCTGTGCGTCTGGAGCGATCCACGGCATCGACGCATTGTGTGTGGCGCTCCGCACATGTCCACATGAGAATTGGGATGACAGAACATGAATGCACTGTCATCCAAAATCTTTGGCCAAGGTACATTGTATGATTCTAGTGAGATTCTTGGAACTTAAGTAGGAATTGAGTTGATACTTTGGAGAGGTGGTATAGTATAGGACTGTGGGAAAGCACATGACGAGGGAAAACCACGGGCCGCGTGTGTGGGTAAAAGTCCATCTCCGTAGAGTCTGCCGAGGACCAAACCTTCGGTCTTCAGCCTTGGAGGTCGAGTTTAGACTCGACTCGATTTGAGTTTGAGGGAACACTTCAAAGGCCACTAATCCTTATTCCATCTGACTCAATTCAATGTTTCTCGCTTCGTGGCACGCAGGCCAGAGCACCCACGCCAAACGTCCATTTCTGGAACCATCAGCGAAAGTTTCAAGCTCCGTGCCAAAGTGGAGGGGGTGCATCCCTCCCCAAAAGAGGGTCGTCCACTTCCACGATTCCGTGGAACAGAATCGTCGGACCACCGCGTGGGGATCAGTGAGAAATTCGAAGCTGAGTCGATCTTCACCAGCCATAAGCCGAGGAGTCTTCCCCCCCCAGTTGGCGTCTTCCGAGATCCTTTCTCCCGACTTCTCGCACTCTTGCCCGCTCGAATCACTGGATTCTATTTCCCGCAAGGCCAAGGGCGACAGTTGACTTTGCAATTCGACCTGATCGGTTTAGCATCCGCCCTGTCGCAGCATTGTAGAATGCGGATGGGATTCGATCAGGTCGTTGTTTTGACACTTTCTCCACTATGGCCAACGACAAGTTGGACGCCTTTGGGGCGCTGATTGAAGATGCTGTGAAGGATGACAGTCGCAGCAACGCTATCCTGATCGTCACTTCGGTCTTCCTCGGCATTTCTCTATCAATGGTGATCTTGCGATGCATTGTGCGGACGCGCGTAGTGCGCGCATTTGGATGGGATGATGGAGTCATGGTGTGCGCAATGGTGAGTGGCTTCTGTTGGACTTTTCCCCTCGGCTCGAGAGTGCGCCGGCGGTTGGCATGCGCCCCTCCAAGCCTTTTCACGTGGCGTCATACTCATTGGGGTTTCATGTGTTGCTAGGTTCTGAACCTTGCCTTTGCAATCTGCGGCATCGTTGGCACCAAGTACGGCATGGGGAGGAAATTACTATATTTTGCTCAATACCCAGATCACCTGAGTCAAGCTTTACTGGTATGTCGTTTCACCATCTCATCTCTCCAACGACTACTACGTCTTACGTCGCAAAAGTGCAAGACATTGACACCACTGTGGCTCGCGTCTAGTGTTGGTGGCTTGGTCAAATATTTTACGTCATCACTTGTGTTGTCGCCAAAATTTCCATCATTATCACTCTCCTCCGCATCACCGTCGATAGAGTCCATGCATGGATCTTGTACGCCGCAATGGCCCTGGCAGTCGCTGTCGGCGGCACCTTCCTTCTCTTTACCATCTTCCAGTGCAATCCAGTGCCCTATTACTGGCACCAAGGGTCCGCCGATGCCCATGGCACATGCATCAACAAGGACACGCTCATTGCAATCGCCTATCTCTACAGTGTCGGCGCAGCCATCACCGACCTGACGATCGGTCTTCTTCCCGTGGCATTGATTTGGAATCTGCGCATTAATAGGAGAACTAAAATCGCCATCGCCGGTATTCTCAGCATCGGTTGCATGTACGTGTGTCCCTACTGTGATGATTTGGAGAAATCCTTCGCGCTGCCCCACGTGCGGAGTAGTCGAGATCGCTGTTGCCATTGCTGACCTCAGGAACAGTGCGAGCGCCGCGGTGATTGTTCGTATTCCTTTCATCCATCACTATAAAGATCGCGAAGTACTGTGTACGTCAACCCACCCCTGACAATCATTCTTGACAACCATCAAGAGGGGTCTCATCGCTAACAAGCCCTCTTTTGTCATCAGATAATACCTATCAAATCGTCATCTGGTCGAATGTCGAAGCCGGCCTCGGCATCACCGCCGGATGCCTCACCACATTCCGTCCCCTCTTCAAATTCCTCCGGGATGGCTCCTCCGCCTCACGAAGTCGCCGCACACCCGGACCAGGCTCCTTCCCGCTCGCAAGTCATCCTCATGGGTCGAAACCTTCCCGCGTCAACCACACTCGCAATGAATCGGGTCATTTGTGGCACGACAGTGCCAACGACGACTACGGTGGCGTGACCACGACCATCATGGGTAGTCAGCAAGGCCACACCCTCGGGAGTAGCGAAGAAGACTTGAACCCGATCACCAACCAGCAATTCGGCCATGGGTGGAAGGTTGAGCGTTCCGTTCGGGTTTCCGTACGCGACGATTCATGATGTGACGACCGCATGTCACGTAATATTATACGAATGCGCAATGTCGAAACACACGTATATTCTTTTTTTTCATCTCTATCATTCTCTGCTGTTCAGACTTGGCCTTTGATCTTTGCACATATACCTTCTTGTTTTTGTGTATCAAGAGATGCCGTGGATAATGGTGTTTTCCCTTTGGGTTGTATTATACTGCACCGCCTGTCGCATGTTTAGGATTGTCGGAATTCCTCCGATTATTCCAACCGCCACGACGTACATCTCAAGTATTCCATGTAAACCACTCGCACCGCTGCAAGAGCTGACCTTCTGGGTCCGGGTCGCCAATCGGACCAGTGGGGTTTAGCGGAAGGTGCAAGCGAGACCGAGGTCTACAGCACTTAATCTAGAAGCCATTGAGTGATGACTCGACCGTTGAAACACCCTCCTGGGTTGGCAGGAGTGGATCTGTAGGCCTGCTGAGGTAAGAGTGCACAAGAAAGCGCGCATCCATCTCCACCGGGTCACGGTCTTGGCTTGTCTCCTAGAAATTCCAACAAATTACAGATAAATCGTCATTGCCGAAAGGAATCGAAGGACTCGACGGCGCACAGAATGGGGATACGACATACCGCACAAAACACATTCAGCGTAGAGCGTGTACCTTGAAGCTACTCATGGTTAACAGGAAATATCTGTCTTCTCGCTTCAGCTCCCAATTCCCCACATTGTCGTAAATCGTGAAACCTTGCTGTATCTGGTGTCGAGTTTGTCGACGGTCTACTTTCCAGCACATGCCAAGCCTTCAATTTGCCGTCGTACCTGAGGCTCAAACATCAGTAGCCGAATCGGGGCTAGTGTTGACGCGTTGACACACATTAAACAAAAGTAATACCAGCGTGAATGTTGATGATTACACTACCAAGTAGCACTATCAACACCACCCCCGTCCCACAGCAATGTCCATTACGCGTGAGTCTGGCCAATTCGGCCGCGTGCTCGACCCATTGGATGAGGAAACGGATAACTTCATTCGAGAAATCAGAGTGAATGGAGAAAGAGAGGAAGTAAGCCAACGTCAATATTGGAAGACCGATGGAAAGCTCCATGGGCAGTTGTCTATCCGAGATGCGAATCCGGTAGCTTTCGAGCAATTCCGATGAAATTAGATTATCCCCCGTGACCCTCAGCCTATTTAAACTGATGGAGGCGACGAACTACGCATTGAGCGCGCTCGAGATCGAGCACATTGAAGTTCTTCCCGGGTACCCGAGTACCCGAGTACCAATGCCAAATGGCATGCGTACATCTTGCCTACAAGGGGACTCGATGCGCAGCAGGTTGGGTCGATGATAAGAGCCAGAGTGAGTGATGCGATTGTCCATCTGACGACCCTCTTCTTATTGTTTTCTGATATTTGTAGGTGCAATACTCGTGTCGTCGACGATCCGTGGTACACTCTGATGTGAAATCATTTGTCGGGCCAAAATACACACATGCCAAATACAGTTGCTCCGGCTTCAAGATGTGCCATTATAGGAACTCGCTACTTGGCTCAATGACACAATCCGTCGTCGACGGCGACCTATTGATACAGAATGAATCGATGCTCATTGGCATGCCCGAAGGGACAAAAGAAGATCGAGGTGAACGGACGACACTCAATCCGAATCCAGGTGTGATCATTGGTGTTTGTGAGCAAAACTCACACTAAATCCACTCACTGCCGTAAGTTGCGACTCTTTAGCCCTTGAATATATGAGATGCATCTGACTCTTGCAACCTCGTCTCATACCCAAGGCCCTGGGTGACTGCAACAAAAGGATTGTGAGGTTCGCCTCGAATGGTTGATTCCGACGGATCTCGAGCGGTATCCATGGGTTGCGTTTGTGTCCCCTGGTGTACGCACGCATCCACCGCCCTCTTTGCAAAAGTCCTCAAGTGAAATCATGCAGCCACTGGTAGGTAGACTTGGTAGATTATGGCATGCGATACTCAGACATTAGTCGCTTTATTGGAGTCCTTTCCCCACGATACTCTACCCAAATCCGTGAAGAGTCTCTTTCGACTCTCCGCGCGAGATTTGCCAATCTTGACCCGATCACTGCTTTGGACGAGAAATGCTATATTCTTGATTTTCCCTATGCGTCAGCCGTGAACAGTGTCGCATTCGCACGGCTAACAAGTGAAGATGTGAAGGTGACCTCACTTTTCCCTGTTGTTTCCGTAGACGGCTCAGCTAATCAGTGAGCCTCTGATCAGAATTATGTCCGGAAAGTATTCTTGGACCTGGAAGGTCCTATGATCATCTGTGCAAGTGACGATCAGCTACGATGCCTTGCCAGATGTACTTTTTTTCGAAATTGACATCTCCTATGAGGTCGTCGAGGACAAGGGCATCGCCGAGGTGAGATTTATGAATCACTGTCCTGAAAGGGATACTGGTACGTATTTTGCTCTTTCAATGATTATTTATGCGTTGTTCGGCAATCTGACGCTTCCAGCAGCATCTACTCGCGTGCGTGTCTTCACCTTACAAGATACTTGCCGGGGTTATCGCGTCCTTTTCGAGAGGGTGTTCGCTCTTATCGAGGAGACAACCAAGCAACGTTCTCGCTTTCAAGCGATCCACGGCGTTGGCATCGCCGCGGTCGTCATGGATGCATACGCCAAATTGTATTTCGGTAAGCTTTGGGTGAGTTACAGTCACCATTCGGACCGCTGACACGTCAAGGTTTCGCCGATTTCCTCTCGGGAATTGCCAAAAGATGCTTGTGATTGCCACGGTCTTGCTTTGAATGGGTTGAGAAGAATACCCACGCCTTCGGTATATTTTTCGACCAGCCAGGCTCTGTTGAGCAGTCCACCCTCCTGGGTGGCATAGAGAGGTAGCTTTGCGTCGAAGAATCCTCTGCAGATATCAACCCCTCTGACGTATCCCAGATCCCTCAAAATTGATCGCCGAGATTTCGAAGCGCATCGATCGCTCCATGTCAGTCAAAGTTCTAGCAGACCGGCAGGTGATCTGCTTCAGGCAGAAAAAATCTGGCCTTGTCAACCAGCGGTTGAATGCTTTGAATTCGACGACGCTGGATGCGACGACACTGAATACGACGACACTGGATGCGGCAACACTGAGTACGACGACACTGAATTCGACTACGCTGAATACGAGGAGACTCGCAAGGCGAGCCGCGAAGCTGCCGAATTCGTTAAATCCATGAGACAAATGATTTCATTTGGGCATGACTTCCCTCATTGCCCGCCGTCAGCTGTACACCCAGATAACCGCGCCCAACCAAGGTCCCGATCACAGTCCCCTCGTGCCTTCGCTGCTCCTATCCGAGTCGGTCCTGATGCTGCTGCCAAATTATCGCAGGACGCCGAGAAGGAAAATGCCGAAGCGGAGCTCCTGGAAGCGCAACTTAGGCGGCTCAAGGCTGAAAAGGCTCTGGAAGACTTCCGAAATGAGAACAGACGAGCACTTGGAGGTCCCATGGGTCCCAACAAACGGGCTAGATGCCCTTTGAGCTCTACCGGGACTTTTTGACTGATGACACGATTGTGCAATTTAAATTGATTTCATCCGGGCGACTCTGTCCATCCCAATTTTCCAAGTCATCAATCAAGCAGGAAAGTTTCCGCGGTCAGAGATCTAACATCACTTGAAAATTCACGAGATCACGTAAGTGTTTGCTTACTCTCCACAAGTAACGCTCTGTCTACTCCTTCCTAACCCTCGTCATCTTATTCGCTTGTTACGATCATGATCCTCTGCTCCGCCGTCAGGAACCTCAAACTCGACGTCAAATGAAGCGCGGGTGTTATTTCACTGGCGATGATCTGGAACTTCCAGACCGCCCGGACGTGACTCGGCTCGCTCAACACTCCCTTCTCTCACATCGCGCGGGTCAAAGCAGGTCTGAATGTATCACCGGTAGGTCCATAAATAGTGCAGCCGAAATCTCGCAGAATGAGTTCGAGACTTCGAAATAGGACAACCTTCCGACCAGGTGAAGAAATCACCCTGGGTCGAAGCCAGCCCATCCATTTCTCTCTCTTACAGCGAAGTCTTCATAACACGAACGAGTCGTACCCAGACACTGAACAGTGACACTGCTTGTCTCGGTAGATGTATTCCCAGCTTTAGTACATACATGAAAAGATCATTTGGCGGCTTTTGAGTCTCGGGGACCCGTTCCACACGGATACATTATTATCCCGACAAGTATGCAACGCAGTACAGTCATGAAATCAGGCACCAGCCCTGCCGCCGAATCGACAACCTCTTTATTGATTGATTGGAACCCTTGGGCAACGACCCACACACGGCCCGGGGCCGGGGCAGCTGTGGCTCTCAGTCCCCTTGATATAGGTTAGGTACTTGCCAGCAACATTCATATGCTACAGAGTCCGATTTGAAGGTAAGCAGATGGTCAGTGATAGGTGAGTCGGGTTCTTCAATTTTTTTTTTCTTCCATTGTACACAAGCGGTCAGCTACCCCCAGGTAATCGATCAACACAAGTATGGGGCGTGGATCAGTGAACTGGAGATTTTCACGGAAAAGATCAAGATAGGTCGGATGGAGTCAGTGGAATTTTTGGATCCACCGGCTCTCAAAATGAATAATATCTCATTTCATGACTCGTGGATATGCCGCGCTACACAAGAAGATTACTCATGTCGTGAACTGGTGCGGAAACCCGCGGCTCATAGTGTAAGTCTTCCAATAACTAGTGGACAAGTCCCGTCCCGGCGCCGGACACAAGCCCCAGGCTGGACTTTGGGTGGCTACCTTAACTCAATGAACTACGGACCAGGAGGTCAATCTCTGATTCAGGTATGTGAATTCGAATGGCAGCAAATTCACGAGTGCCTTTGCATCGCAACGGAGTAGGTGGGGGGACAGGAGGAACTGAAAGTCGACCGGGCTGGACTGGAGATCGCTGCAGCTGCGGTGAAGGGTATATATCTGGCCACGAACATCCTTTTGATGGAACCCTCCGCGGTGGAGTAGGTAGGTAGACCATCTAGAGGCCTCGGTAACCGGCAGATAATTAGCTAGGTAACCTGGTATGGTCAAAATATCCATATCGATCGCACATACGTACGTACGGTAGCACTACTGGAGATCCATGACCGATGGGAAGCTGTGACAAATCTTTGTTCCTCAATGATATATTGAATGTGACTGCAGGCAAGCTAATCATCCCAGAACAGACATTCCTGAAATGGCTCAAGGTTTCAGGTGTCCCAAATCAATTGAATTCCAAGTTGAACTGCGTGACCGACCCATCGTTCAGCATCACTCTTTCACTTCCACTTCCTGCGCAGCCTCACGCTGCACCAGGCCCGTCTGCGAAGCGGACTCTCCAATCGCATACGGATCAATCTTTGTGCTTGCAAACTTGCGCGCAGACGTCTTGGTAGCAAACAGGATGTCCAGCTCTGCATACGTTCGGTCCTTGGGCTCGGGAAGACGGAAAAAGGCCCAGACAAATGCCAACAGAGCAGTGGCACCCCAAAAGAAGCCGGTCTTACCAGATGCGTTCCACGCGGTGGGGTTCATGAAATAGGGTTCGAGAACCTGCGACACCACGTTGATGATCTGGTACGCGGTACGCGCAAGGGCAACGGTCAGAGGTCGCAGTCGTACCGAGGAGATTTCCGAGACAATGGCATATGCGATTGGGCCCACGGTCAGGGAGTAAACAAAGAGCCACAGGAAACAAAACGAGGCCTGAGCCCACATGCCACCGCTCGTGTGGGCGGTTGAGTTGATGATTGCGATGAGGAACAAGAAAATGCACAGAATGCCCTGGCCCGAGACATAGAGAGTCCGGCGACCAAAGTAGGTGATCAGCCACCAGGAGAGTGCAGTGCCGACGAATGCCACCCCGGTGCAGCCGACACCAAGTTGGAACGCCTTACCAGGGTCCATGCCGGCTTGCTCGAAGAAATAAGCTGGGGAGTAGGCAAAAGTACTACCGGACAGGATCTGGCCCATGAAAGTCATGCAGCAAATCTCCGTGCGACGCAGATCAACTCCCTGGAAACAATCCCGGTATGTGGTGCCAGCCTCAATCTCTGCCTCGAGCTTGGTTGTGTGGACAAGCATCGCCAACTGCCCATTGATCTGATCTTCGGTCTTGCCACCTCCCAGACGACGAAGGCTATGCTTGGCGTCCTCTAGCCGATCCTTCCGCACCAGGAACCAGGGACTTTCGGGGGCAAGCCAGCAGACCACCATCAACGGTACCGGCCAAATCCACTGCAAGGCGAAGGGAATACGATAGGACCACTGATCCGGGCGACGGACAAGACCATACAAGACTCCGGAGGCAATAAGCTGACCAATGGCCCAACACATGTTCACGTAGACAGTGAGATAGCCACGCAGGCTGGTCGGGCAGACCTCAGAGGCGTAGGCTGGTCCGACTGTCGCGAAGACTCCCCATGAGAGACCACAGAGAATTTGACCGACAAGCAAGACTGCAACCGAATTGGCAAAGAAGACGACGAAGATGAACGCCGTTAAAAAGCCCAATGCGATTATCATGATGATACGATAGCCGTATTTGCTGGCAAAATAACCGTTGAGAATACCACCTGTGGTCCATTTGTTAACAACACACGTGTCACGGCTCAAGAGTCCCATAGAGACTCATGGTACCTATCAAATGTTCTCAACTCACCAAAGATGCAACCGACCGTACTCGCCATGCTCAATCCAGTCTGCCAAGGAGCAGATACTTGCCAGCCATGCTCCTCTCCAGTGTATTGACCGTACTTCTCCTGGAAACGAGGATAGGCGAAGAAGTTCCCCATTAAGATGGTATCATATCCCTCCATAATGATGGACATGGAGATCAAAACGGACCAAACGACTGCCTTGCGATTGTCTCGCAGAGCTTGCCACAGACTCTGCTCACGCTCTTCCGCCATCGCCTGTCTGGCTTCACTCACTGCACCAATTCCCAAGACGTCCTCCACATGATGGGCGGCCGTCTTCTCCAACGCCGCTTCGGTTTGATTCATGGCCGTAATTGTCACGTTTCGACTCTATGAGTTGTTGCGAGGATCGAGTTGCTGCAGCGCGCCCTCGTGCCAGTCTCGGAACCGTGTAATTAGGAGACAAGGGCTGTTCTTGTTTCAACTCTGCAAAGACGGTCGAACGTCCCGGGCAAGGGGGTGATTGGGAGGGGCCCCCTCCTTGTCTTATACCGACGATCCGCAGTCCATCTGACCACACTCTCACCGTCCAGAGGGTCCCGTCCGAAGCGGGGAATGGGATAACCTTGTCCGGGGGAATCAAGAGAGGGGAGGGAATGATCTGGGGGAAATGTGGAGACGCTAACCTCAAGCCATGAGCTTTCCAGTGGGATCAATCAAGCATCCAAAGCATGGGCATGGTCAGATCCAGGATTTCCCAAGCTCATGATTGTACCGTACCATGTCAACCAAGAAGCTGAGAAGCAAAAGCACCTCGACCAGCTCGTCTTGCATCAAACCCTTTTTGGGATGGAGGGCTAGCCATGGCTATTTTCGCACCTATCAAAGAGCACTTCTCCCGAGGAGTGAGATCCAATTGGGAGAATGGATCTGAAAGCATCCCAGGGTGCGGGATTGATAAGATCGTCGAATCCAAACTCTGTCCAAGCTTATGGATTCCAGCAATTGGCCCGAAGAGCATGGAATCTCGACGCCCCCGGATTCTCCCCAGGTCTTGGTGTGGAGTGGCGCTGTCAGCTCGCGCGTCCATTGATGGAATCGATCATCATCCGCCATTCCCTTTCCGTGACGGGCGTTGCCCCGGCCCAGTTGTAAATCACCCGCGTGGCGCCGTGGCCGGATAAAAAGACATGGAGGCAGTTGGCCTAATCTAGTTGATTGTTGCTTTGCCGCTGGCCGTTCACGGAGAAGGCGAGATGACAAGGTCACCCGACAGTAGCAGCTCGTGGCACTCTTGGACAATCCTGGGTTTTCACTGGTTGCAAGCTGACCTGCGAAGCTCCGATGCTTCGGACTCTAAATTGAGTTGCCAGCATCCTTGACTGATTCAGTCGCCGGCATGCTTAAGCGACCATGGCCAGCGCATGGGTAGCCACTCAAAGCGCATCGGGTCTTTCTTTAGCTTTTTCGTCTATATTCGGCGCAAGCGAAGGTTGAAGCGGGACAGACATCACTTCCCAAGGAGGTTGATGAAGATCATGTGTCCAAGTCCCGTGACTTACAATTGGCTGCACATTTCACTCTCTGATTCGAATCGTAGTACTGATCGAAACTCGAGGACATCACGTCTTTTGAAAATATCCAACTTTGAAATTGCCAACTTGCCCCAATGGACTAGAATTCACGATGAGCATCGGTAGTCGCAAGCCGGGCCTGGCTGATATGGTACCGAGATTGAATTTGAGACAGCGGGACATTGGATAAGGTTTGAGGACGGTGCGTGCGCTTAGCCTCTATTTGAAGGAGATTCACATAGGATAACGCAAATTCGGACCTTTACAGGATAGTAAACTGTACACTCTACACTGTACACTGTACACTGTGCAGTAGTAGTTCCAGTCGATCTGGAAGATTACTCATATCACGTGGTCCTTCGTGTTTACAAATTTTTGCATGAATCGTCTACATGTAACAAATCATGAAGTCATGTCAATCATGCCCAAAGGTAGAACTCAGTCTTACGACCGACGAGCAAGCAATCCTTCAGCTTCCATACCATCCTCCGCATTCCCACGGTCAAAGTCGTGGGACTTGGAAAGAGAAGCCGCCATTGCCAGGGCCTCCTGGCGTCCCTTTTCTGCATTGACCATCCAAACCAAAGGGATGGGCAGAACGATCAAAACCGCAATGAAGACGAATCCCACACGAACCGTACTTGTCGCGTCGATCAGGACGCCCACAATGGCAGGGCCAATGAAAGAACTACCTTTGTCGGTCGCAGCGTAAAGCGCATAGAATGCGGCCTCGCTGCCTGGAGGGATCAACAGTCCAAAGAAGGAACGACAGTACGAGGCAAGGCCTCCCGAAACAATACCGTGTATGATGCCCAAAGGGAATATTTCCCACGGCTGCTGTAGACCGATGACGCCCCATCTCTTCACGAATGGAATATATGCCAGCATTCCGTAGAGTGGAATGAGCTCGAACAATGCGATGCACACCATGATGGTCTGGTTTGATTCCAGGCCAAGTCGTCGAGACACATGCGGCCAAAGAAATGCACCAGCCATGCCGGAAAGAGTGACCGTGACAGATAAACAGCCGATGGCAGTAGTGCTCATGTGGAGCTCTGTCCGCGCAAAGAGAATAGCAGTACCGGAAACAGTAGCCATCGCATCAGAAAGAAGGAACCAGGCGACAAGGAAAACAATCACTTGCCGCAGACGTACCGCGATGGTAACGGTCTGCCAAAGTGACTTCCAGGCAAACCCAACCAGTCGCAGCCACACGCGCCAGCGAGCTTGTCTAGAATATTTCGAGGTAGCCAAGGGAGGGCCTGGTCGGTCACGTAGCCATTGACGAGTCACAAGCGTGAAAGCACACCACCAGATGCCCACGACCAGCAGAATGAATCGCAAGGGAATAGAGCCCGATTTTTTGGCCAGCGCGGTCTTGTTGAGGAGGATGAGCAGAATAATGCTCAGTATTTGGACTAGCACCGCTGCGCAATATCCCAGGCCAACCCCCTTCGACGAGATTTTGGTGGAGAGCTGTAGTGACGAAGCAGACGACTCACTTTGATCGATTTTTCGATGACCCGACGCTTTTCGGTGATCTTCGTCGGCGGGCATTGCGTTCAGACTATCGTTGTCCTCCCATGCACCCCACTCGTTGGTTTCATTGTTCCCAGAAAGATCGGCCATCTCTTCGACGCCCCCTTCATCTTCGCCTGCACCCGCACCTCGTATAGTTGGATGGTTCGCGACCAGCAGCGGAAGGAAAGAATTGAGGACCACAAATGAAGACCCCAGACAAGTGACACCAATCACAACGAGTATTGATCCAAGGATGAATACTGATGGCGCAACGAGAATAAACATCATACTCGTCGCGGAGCCTATCAAGCCGAACGACAGGAGCAGTGATTTGCGATTACGCTCTAAAACACCACAAAATTCCACAGATCAGCTGAGCACATCCCTCTCCTGGTGTACATATATCATGGCGACCGTGTCGTCGAAAAAAAAGATGGAGCTTACCGTAATCAGCCAAAGCGCTGAAGGAGATCAATGTGAGGGCCTGTACCAACACCGCCAACGAGAAGGTGTACATTGCGAAGCTCGCCGTGGTGGTTTGAAGTCCTAGCACATGCACCACGCATTGTTCGTCACCTTTGTTCTCGGGCGCTGAGGATCCCCAGCATGGCAAACGGCTGGTCTGCAGAGTGCCATTCTCACGAGCGAGTTGTTCGAGGGTCAGCGGCAGAAAGGATCCTAGCATCCAGCGATAGCCAAGTCAGTTCCAGGGATAAGAAGACCACAATCGCTCTCATCACATTGACCCCAGGCCTTGGGATGTCTTGGGACTCACCAACACCACAAACGGCAAAAACCTCGGCGGCTATACCATAGCAGTACCAGCCTGCGATCTCGCGCGGGCTGGTCGGGGTGGTGTCTTCGTCATCATACCGCGCAGGCCGAGTCGGGATCTCCTCGTCAGCTCCAGCTGACGAGGACAACGCAGCACGAATGGTCGCGAGCATGAAGACGATCGCAGGCGAGATGAGAAGATTGGGAAAAAAACAAAGTCATAGTACCTTTCAAGCCGCCCGAAGCAGGGCTGCGCGGCAGCGACCATTTCCCGGTGCGCTCTCCTCGGTCACCTTTGCGCACCCGACCGGAAGTGGGCGGCAGCGGAATCCAGCAACTTGCATAAGAGGGATCTTGGATAACGGACAGTCAAACAGGGCTGACGCGCTGGTGACTGGCTGAGCGAGAGCTTGGGGTGGAGACGGTGCGGTCATTGCGGGATCGTCCCGCTGAACGTTGACCAGCTGCTGTTGTCTTGCAACAAGATTCCAACGGCAACTGCAACTTGTCCAAGATGCAAGGAGACTTGCCGACATCCGGTTTTGGCCTGATTCTGCTGCCGTGGATCTCAGGCAGCCACCTCTCTTTCTCTCGCAGACTCCACCCGACCCTGGACTTGCAGGCTTCCCGCGGCTACCTGAATGTAAAGAGTGACCGGATTGTATGGCAGGGTACTAGAGTAGTACATTGCTTGAATTGACCGAATGGATCGAGACTTGACGGTTTCTATACGTCTTTGGACACGTTTCCCGTCGTGAACAATGATCTTTGACGTCGGCTGGCTTGATAGAGCTCACGATGCCCTGTCTTCATTTCAACGAGCTTGACATGATGCTTGCAAAGTATTTGAATTCCATTCCTTTGACTTCACAGATCGGTGATTCTCTTCGAATATATGCAGTTGTTTCCTGTTGTTGTTGTTGGGATAGATGCTACATAGGACTACTGATGCCCACCGACGATGACCCCCTACAACTGGTGATCGATGACGACAGACTGCAATCGCCGGTCAATGTCCGTAATCATGAGTTCCCAACCATCTGCCAACTGCGCAGTCATATTCTGCTGCAGACATACGCAAATCCTGCGAGCCGTGATGAGTAACATCGAGAATTGATCCTTCAGTACATGCTGAACCCACCCAAGATCCTCTTCGGGTGACATGGTACCCAGACCTGCGGGTTGACAGGGAGAATCATAAAACTTCACTTCACCTGCAGCAGATCCGTTGCTCTGCGATGTGATTGATGATACCAGTCCGTCGCCTCGATCGATAAAACTTCCGTCGGATCCGACTCCAGTCGCTCTTGCTTCTGGATTTACTGCTACTGCGTCGATCAGGTTATCGATCGTGATCATGACGGTCATCAGCAAATTCGCCCAGCTGTCCTTACTCGGACAGCAAGGACAGCGTAGAAGAGTATCAGCCAGATTTAGGACTTCTTGCCGTCGTGTAATCTGGGCATGCACCTTGATTTTGGTCTCAACCCTCGAGTGAATGATTGAATCCACCAGTAGACCAAGCACACGGTGGGCACAATCACACTCCAAGAAGGAGTCTTTTCCCTGGCTATTCGAAAGAATCTTTCCGGGCGACTGACTTGCACACGCATCACTCGCACTAGGGCTGAGAAGCCCTTGAAATGGTTGCTCTGGGACATGAGGGAGATAGGGCGATGACTGATCCACGTTGGAAGTCCATAACTCCATGCCAGGACCCGGCAAGTTGTCATCTAGTTTGGAACCTGGGATCCAAGGGGTATGCATTCGCTCGGCATTTTGCACTCGGTACAGGACATCGTATGCCAGGAGCTGAGGTGTGACGCAGAGATCTGCGTCCAAGCTTGAAGAATACATGGACATTGAGATGCTCTCCATGGAACAAGTTGAAGCTCTTCCACTTTGAGGATGAAACATAGTCCCAACAATGTTTGACGCATACGCATCTGGCAAGTTTATCGCAGGCTTGTTAAGAGTAATCTGTGCTCCCGGGAAATCCCAAGGATCTCTGGAATCCGTCGAGAGCCTGCCTTGGCTGGGCTTCGCGTCGGATTGTTCAGATTTCAATCCTTTTCCAATAATTCAAGGTCAGAAAAGTTGGTCTTTTGGGGCCTGGAGCAAGTGGCCAGCGACTTACCCAAGAGATCTTTCTGACATTGGACGAAGAAAGACACCTGCCCGTTTTGCATGAGCTCTTTACCAGCTTGTTGCTTCTCTCGGGGCTTTCGTTTCCCTTTCGATTGCTTTTCGCGAACTTGATCCGTCTGTCGTTTGCAATTTTTGGACTCCCTAGGCTTCTCGCTGGCTGACCGTGCGCTGTCGACCGATTCAGAGGCACTGCAGTGCCCGGATGTACCGTGTTCTGCTCTGGGTGACTTGTTCTTGGCAGGTCGGCCCAGACGACGTGAAACACTGTACACGCATTCGATTCTGTGTTTCTCGCACCGGCGACAAGCTGGCCTCTCGTGGCCGCAGCGGATCTTGGCCTGCTGGCATGCATTGCAGGTAGATCGAACCTTGACGTTGGTGGGCAGTTGACTCATGTTTGACCAGGACTCGCAAGGGTTGCGAACGATGGGGTATTGAATGGACTGTGTCTCCAAGGTAGTTTCTCTTTCTTTCGGCAGTGGGAGAAGTTATACATAACCGTCGTCCGGCAAGCCGATCAGTGAATGACACCTGCTCTACCTGAGCTTGACCTCGAAACCTTCCGCTCTTCCCGCGGCACGCAGGGTACCCCATCTGCACCGCGCGATGTGACGCCGTGAGCAGCGAGTCAACCTTTCACCTTCGCGGATAACCATCCGTACCTTGGTGCCGGTTGTGCATTGACCATTTGAAACGCTTGAAAGTCAAGGTCAGTCGTCCTTCCACGGCGGTGCCTGAGACAATCAGGCCAGAGAATGATAACCCATCACGGGCAAGGTACACACTGCCACCAAGTTACATCCGAGGCAGCTCCTCGGTGGAGAACACGCCCTGTCCTACCATCGTGCCTGAGTTCGACTCGTTCGACTCCAGAACGGGTAAAAGAAGTCCACGGGAGCTCATGGGTCGACGGGAGACAGTCGCCCGTCATGGTTGAGTGACATCCACCCAGGGCCTTCGTTGGGTGTCCATGGATCTCAGGCGATACGACGCAGAGTCAGACTGCATCCACTGGTCTCAGGGAGCAGCCGCTCTCTGCCACGTTTCCAAGCTTTGAGACTCCCTGATTTCTTTCTTTCTTTCTTTCTTTTTTTCAAAAGACTTGGGTCGAAATAAGGTTAACATGCTCGTTGAATGCAAGTAGCCGGAGCTGCTATCTGAATCATACCCAGATTCGCCCACACTTCCGTCTCGCCGGTGTCTGTGCGACTTGGAGAATTTCGGATACTGGAACAGACGGGCCTCACGGACACCTCAGACAGTCCGATATTCGGATGAAAGGTCAAACATCAACAATGCTTGGTCCAGAGTCAAGATGATGATTCCCAGGTGAAGCCTTCCGGTTGAATGGTACCGAACCATGTCGCCCGGGCCAATTCTTCCCAAATTGGGACTTGACAACAGACACTGGAAGATTTCACTGCAAGCAACCCCCCTGCGTGACCAAGACTCGACTTGCCCATGTGCATATGAGAAGACCCCGAATGCTAGCCCATCCTGCAGTAAAAGAGACTTGAGTAGTAAATGAGACAAGTACTGTTTATGCGAGGTGACGGGTTCACGTTTGGAATTGACAAGTATATCATTTGTATCGTTGTATCATCATCGGTTGGCAACCATGTAAGCACGGCAGACTTATCCATCCGCTATTTGAGAGATTCGACAAAGCCGACCCGCCATCTGGCGTTCACGGGGTCATTATTCCATGGCTCTGCACCCGCAGCCCACAGCTCGCTGCTTCCAGCCTTTACTGGGGCATACCCTCGAACGGCTTGGCGAGATGCTCCTGACAGAAGGGCAACTTGCTCTGCGTCCAGATCTCGGTGTCCTGCAAGCGACAGATAACAACATTCACGGGTCAGCAAGCTCTTCTTCAGGTCCGTTCTCGTCGTCACTCGTTTGCCTTCCTCTGTGCAGCTTCTCCGGCAGGATCTCACGGTCGAGACTCCTGGACATATCTTGCTCCTCTTCTGGAAACATACCGGCTTGAGCGTCTTCTTGATCTCCGTATCCAAGGTGCCCGCCTTCAAGGCGATAATCTCCGGCGCCGCGTCCGGGTCATGCGCAATGGGGGAGCCACATTCAGAGCAAAAGATGCGGTGGACGGCTTTGCCGGAACTTCCTTTGCTGGCCCAGCTCTTGGTGGGACCCTTGATGGTCAATTTGTCCTTGGGGACGACGGCGACGAGTGCTGATGGGTGTCAGTGTGGTGGGTTTTAGGAGTATTGTTTCCTTCTTTTTTTCCCTTTTTTTCCCTTTTTTTGGTGGATGAGGACGTGTTGTTGATAGATGGAGACGAGAGCCTGCCACCACGCCTCTCGAATCAATCAATAGTTGGATGGGTCATACGTACAGTAGGTTGAGCCGCTCTGGCGTTGGCAGTCGTCGCAGTGATCGTAGCCGGTGACGAGCGGCGCATCCACATCGGCCGTGTAGGTGACCGCCTTGCAGAGACAATGTCCGGTGAGAGGCATGTTGGAGCGTGACTGTTGTGAGTGATTGGCGTACTCGGTGGATGAGTGGACTGGAGAAACGAATTGATTCCCACCAGGTGCTCGCAATTGACAAGGGAGGAATGGTTGGAGGGACCTTGGGGATGATACCAGGTACGCTTTAAATAATCGACGCCTCTCCCCGTTCCCGCTGTGATCGCCTGGAAAGGGTGACTGTCGCTTCATGTCATCATCACCGATCAACTCATGTGGGGCGAGATATCCTCAATCGTCTCGACTCTCGACTGCTCGAGGGGCTCGCTGCGAGGCACGTACACTACGGAACGAGGTCCCATGGGAGGATCAACAATGTGGAGTTATGGTCCGGTCTGTGATGGGAAGTCCACTGCTGCACAATGGAAGTCTAAAGCCGTGCAGTTAGTCAGGTTTGATCTCCTGGGCGGGCAGGTTCAAATCTCTGCCGCGGCGTGAGCCCACAAGCTTAAACTTTGGACTCGACCAGGGCTGGTCCTTGCTCTTGAACTTTGAACATTGAGCTATGTACATGGCTTGCTTACGCCTTATTACCTACCTTACAGGATCTCAATTGCCTTATCGCGGTAGCGGTAGTAGGGTACTAGGTACTACCTAGGAAGTAGTAGGTAGTAAGGTACTACTAGGTAGTAGGTACTAGGTACACCTCCTGTCCACGACCCAACCGGCCCAAATCATGTCTGCATCGGGCTTTGTTCCTGCGGAATCGATCGTCACTCGTGTTGAACCTGTCTCATTCTGCGATGCTCAGCTTACGACTGGATTGGAGGTGAAGAAGGGCCTTGATGTTGGGATCTGCACTCGGCTGTTGACCGAGTGGGTTTATTTCTGTATGGAGGCGGCGCAGACTGGTGCCCGCATTGGAGTCCAGTCCCGTCACGGATGCTGCATTCAAGCAAGTCGAGTCCATGATCGTGGAACATGGACCGATGAACGGGTTTGTGCTCTTCGACTTTCGAGTGCAGTGCAGTCTCGAGACTCGACCATCTCTGGATCCCGCTTCACCGAACCATCGCCCTCTCGGCCCCTCCATCTGAGGCGGAATGACGCTCAGCGGCCTGCGGCACCGGGCGGAGTGGACCCCCCCGAATTCCAAATCCCCCCACCGCCCGGCCTCCCAGTCCCCGAACCAAAGTCCAATTCATGCAAGGTCACAGCGTCATGACAAAGACTTCTCCCGTCTCGGCTGCTCGCTGGACGTTCCGCCCGACTTCTCAGCGCATCTCGATGATCTCTACCCCTCATCCTCTATGCCAGTGGGACCAAAGATGGAGGAGGGAGAGCGCAGCTTGAAAGGTCTTGTCTCCGGTGTGTATGCGCAAGACTGACCCGGGTTATGGACCAGGATAGCTCTGCAGCAATACCCAAGATAGCATCATTGACAGCAGTCGAGAGTTCAGACGACAACGACGAGATGAAGAACGTGCATGGGCAGGAGTTTGGTGCCACTTGCGGCTTGTCTCCCAAACCAGCTGAAGCTCAATCACAAACGTTCGACGGGACTCACGCCCGACCGACCGACCCAGCCGTACTTAATCGCCTCACCAATTCCCGATGTGCCTGGGAAAGCGTGCGACGGATAAAAGTGGTCATCCCCAGAGGACACGCAAGCTCAATCTCCTCATGCAGAGCCAACTCTCCCGAGTCTCTCGCAGGCCCAGTCTCCTCCCCCTCCTCACTCCCCCTGGCGGCCTGGCGATGGACCGTCCAGAGGTTTCGAATGTGCACCCCCATGGGCGCGTAGATATGTGTCCGCAGCCCCCGTGGGGTATCATGGAAGCAACCCCGATACTTGACCGTTCCGTGTAACAAGCCCCAGGGCAGGTAGGCCACTCGATCCGTCAGCTCGTACCAGATGCCGTGGAGATCTTCGGACGAGGCGTTCGCCGGAGGGTCACATCGTTCGTAGTGAATGACCAGCGGATTCTGCTTGATCATGGCGGCGTGGTCGTGGAGGGTTCGAAGCACCGCATCTTCTGAGATCGAGCTCGGGAGCGGGGTTTGATTGGCGAAGTGGGTGCGAGTCTGCATGGTTGTCTGGAGTCTGGAGTCTGGAGTCTGGAGTCTGGACTGCGAAACAAAATCACCCCCGGTCGTTTGCTGCTCTGTTGGATAAAGTTTAGTTGCAATGCAGCAATGCAGCGAACAGGGCGGATTCGGAATGGATGCGCCGTGTCACCCGTCACCGCTCGCCAGTGAGCACAACAGACGGGACTTGATCCTGGGGCTGGGCGTGGACCGGAGAGACAAGCGACACGAGACTTGGAGAAGTTGCCCGGTAGAAGGCAATACCGAACAGGCGATGGTCGTGAAATGCAACGTGAAGAACAATCGAGGTGTCTGCCTGCTTTGGAGGGGGGGCCCTTCGCAAGCACAGCGCAGCTCAACTTAAAAGATAATCTTGAGAAGAGCCAGCTACTCGTCTTCTGGATCGCCTCACCGCGAAAACGACGAGCTTTCAACGATAAGTGGGCACCACCAGTGGATGAAAAGATTCAAGATTACAATTCCCGGCTGCGTTGGGCGCCCCGAGAGAAGTTCCGCGGTCAAGCCTCCGTGGCGGAGTCATCCTCGTGTGATTGGAACCTTCAAGTCGTGCGCGATCGAACGGCGCCGAGTCCCATTCACGAACCTTACTTCGGTGGCGCGGACGATGCGCCCGCACGGCAGATGTAACTTCTCGCCCAGTCCCACATGAACCTAGATCCAACTGTAGAAGTATATTTTGACTCTCGAGAAGACTAAGGTTGAGGCGTTGACGGTGGATCGCGGGATATAAATAGCCACATGCATTGCTTACCTGCTGTTTCACGTCTAATGCTCAGCCTCGACATTACATCCATTGGAATAATTTGACACAGCCCGTCACGCAGCTTTAAGCCTCACCTTAGAAAGTCCCTCGTAACGGCTGTTAGGCACGCCCCGGCCCATGGTGAATACGCCTGAATTATCCAAATGTCCAGGACAGCAGCTGCAACTTATCTTGATGTATGAAACATTGGAGAACAAAACCTCCCAATTCTGCAGGTAGAACAATCCACTTGACACAGCGTGCTTGTAATGTTGTCTTCCCAAATCCCTTCGACTGGCCACCATTTCTGCTTCCGGAATTGCGTTCAAACGAGAAGCCACAAATGCAGTTTTGACAGTATTGGACATGTATGTGGAATGCGCTTTGCATGAAATGTACGAGTCACTCATCTATACATCCATTCCAAGTGATGGTCTGCAGTTCCAACGCTCCTACGGACTGCCTAGCCACAGATTTCCAAGCTTGTCGGCGGCGCTCTGGAACAGGCCCAATCAGCATGAATCTTTAGGCGTCGTCCAGTCCAGCCCAGAACACGGACTTCATCGTGAGCCACCTGACTCACCTCTGTATTCACTGCCGTGTTGTAGGAAGACACTGGCTCTCCACGGTACACGCTCTCGGTGCGCTGTGTATCACGTGAAAAGTCCCGGTTGATATACATCGGGTCGATGGGCATCACAGGCACGTGGTAGTATTCGTTGCGATTGGCGATGGAGCGAACTTGCGCAGAGATGGAATCACTTCCGGGGGGTCTGTTGAAGGCGCGACCCTATCGAAAGACGGGAGAGATGGACTCGTCAGCGACACCGATCAACACGACACGGAATGTTATCCCGCCGTCCCGCCGTCTCTGGAATTCTCATTGAACTCGAGCAGTTCGATCCAGACTGCACATACCTCCATTGACTGTATTGTTCGGGCATCGTCCTGAGTTATGAGATTCGGTGGCTTGCGAGCAATCTCTTCCACCGTACTGTCGAAGTTCATTTGCTTCATGGCTATACTTTGGGCGGTGGCTGTAGGAAACCATATTACATCAGTATTTGTTTGTCTTCCGCCTCTCCCCGAAATGGCACGGTTGCAGGCGAGATTGCAACAACGACCCGTACCTGCTGGTCCACCGCGGACCGGTCCTCGCCCAGTCAATCGGTTCTCCACTTGAGAGATGGCAGACACATCATCGGACGTGATGCGCTGCCCAGCCTCGGCGGCTTGTTTGAGCTCGGCAACGGAGGGCAGATCCAGATTCATGTCGGGCTGTATGGGGCCAGGTTGAATTGTCGCATCTGTCAATCAGACAGCATTCCACCATCTACAGAAGGAGGGGGTTGACAATCGAGCATGCTCAGTCTCCTGTTATATAGCTGCTTCGTGGGGGCGAGAGTGATGTCACTTTGAAAACATCCATCATGCGTTGATTGTCGCCTTGTGGTGGCGTTGAGAAAAGAACGTAACTGACATGCTCTGGTTGCAAGACCTGAGCGAATGAGCCGTATGAATGTGAGCGAGAAATTCTTGGATACAAGATCCAGCGAAGATTGACCCGGTCATTGGTGCTGGATTGCGATGTTTGAATTGCCGAGTTTATCAGGGGTTGAATGTTGGACACGCGCCACACTGGAGTACAGGTCAAAATGAAACGTGACCGTCTGGTCTATATCGTTTGTCCTACGGTTCCTACCACCGGATAGGTCCAAGAAATACATCCATCCAGCTAATCCAATTGTCGGCCTTCGATACTAACGTTCTCTACCTTGATAGATCTTGAGAGGGAGCGTCCAGCCGGTTTCAGAGTATCCTTTGCCTGTTCGTCAACACATGTGAATATGCTTTTGTGAATGGAACCTTGCGGTCGTCAGCCCTTGGGGCCATGTCCAGAACGACTATTCACCAGGGCCTATATCAGCACCATTGATCCCTCTTCAAGATCATGGATCGTTCATGGCTGCCCTCTGTGAGTATCATTCGCACTCTCATTCGATTGATCCAATGAACAAAGGGAACTGGCTATCACGTGAGACGAACCCTGTCAGGTCAAGTCTTCACGACTACACTCGAGCCTGTGGTGCCAACTGGCTTTACACTCTCAATCAATAACATTCGCAAGAGACGGGTGATATATGACAGTCCGGTCATAGCCGACAGGACATCACAGAAATGGATTCTACTAGCGCCTGATGACAAAAGGCCTCAATATCAACACGATAAGCTCTTGATGTCCACCTGGAGAATGACATACCGAGCAAGGTTCTACGCCGAGTGCGCGGACGAGTCATGGCCTCAAACAATGGTCCATCCTCTCGCCTCGAACTTTCACGATACTGCTCGACATGTCTGGTTTAGTCAGACATCAGAATTCCGAGTCGAAATCCCATGCAAGCTGGGTCTATCCATTCCTTGGGTCAGATGTCTGGATGCCAGGAACAGTTCGGTTTCTTTAGGTTAGTTGCGGATCTTCACGTCTGCGGTAAAGCTCATCTTTCTTCAGCTGAATGAATACTCATTCGAATCTGTTAGATACGCATCACAGAGAGTACAGCCTGGCTATGACGACATTTTCGCTAACATTTTCTTACTTTACATTCAGCGTTTCGATCATGAACGAGCCCTGTCTTGCTTACCAGCCAAGAAATACTTTTAAATGCGTTGATATACATCTTGCTCCTCTTTAGCTGGCAGATTCCATATTAGAATGATTCCATCCGTATAATGACAGTTTGTTCAATTATCACATGAGATTAATGTCAAGGTAACTCCGACCTCCACCTAGGCACCTGCAATGGATCCATCTTTGACCCGATGCATATACCCATACCACCTCCATTAGCAACTGGGGTTGTCCGCGTCCGTCCACGGAACTGCAAACTAGAGAATTGACGGAATCAAAAGACAAGCATGCATATGTCAACTTGAACCCAGCAAAGTGCGCCCTGTAAAGCGTAAACTGCCTGAAATAGCCGCCGTCTATATAGACCTACATGTAGGCTCCTTGGAACTTCCACCTGATTAGTCCATGTCCATGCATGGTCAGCCGTAACTTTCAATTGTACCAGGGCGATATCCCTGCACCTGTAGTATCACTACTTACCTAAGTACTTAGTACTTAACTACAGTACTAGTACGTAGTAAGGCACTTGGTCCAACCGCGTCCTAGGATGGAGGATCTGCGTCAAAGTGTCAGCGAGGGTACCGCTGTACCTAGAGCCTTCCAAGGTTACCCAATAGTCAAGCCGGGGGTATCTCGAACATGGAGACGGCGATATCCCCGGAAATGCTTAGCTGCGGGTGGGTCTCGGGCGGTTCCAAGGAGCCCCAGGGAGGGGCGGCAGCCCACCTGAGAAAACAGGCCAGACATGGCAATTGAGAAGTACAAAGCGATAAGATGTCGTGGGGGCGGCGAAATGGCGGGTGGAACCCTTTTCTGTGTCATTTCCTTGACAAGATCTAATAGGCCAAGGTCTCATGGGGAGTAGCATCATGCTAATGGACATTACTGTAGAGCCTGGGGGCTATTGTTCTTGGCCGAAGCATGGCTGGTTTTTTTTGTTGCAGCTGTTGATCACGCTGCGGACAAGACTGGGAATACCCATGGCCATGATCTCATCGTCAGTGGACCACGAACCTCTCTCAATCCCGGCTACGACTTGCCTCTTTAGTGGCCTTGAGAATCCGCAAAGTCGGACTCTGAGCCATTTGCTTAACAGTGAAACAGGACGGGAGTGGTACCTGTGATTTTCCCGTATCAGCTAACCCATGTTACTCCCTTCCAGCCCGGTAGATCGACGCTGTTTCGCAGAACAATTTGCGCAGTTGCAAGAAGGGCACCACGGATGAATTTGTATTCGGCGAGAAAAACCTCCGCCAATGGCGTTAGGTGCGCGTGGTAGATCTCAAGAATATCAATCCACAAGGAGTGAGTTCATAGAGGGATTGCAAAAATTCTTAAGAGGCATGGAAAGCTCCCAAGTAGTGGCAGGTTGTTTTCTGGGTGTCTTCCAATCGACAGGTCACGGGATCTTCAACATCCGTTGACTCTTGACAGTCTCAGGCTCTCAGCTGCAGTACCGTGAGAGGCCCTTCGGACTATCAACTCGGTATATCTCGCTCAGTCTTTTTCTGGCAAGAGAAGAGACTCCAAAACGAAAACCAAAGCCACGATATGGCTTTTCTTTTCACGCCCCGCCCATGATGACTTTTTGCAACTTGCCGGGTCCTCGAGCTCTCCGCCACATCGACTGTCGAGCACCGTATCCCGACCGCCGCAGCATTTGACTTTGTGTCCAAGGATCGATCTCATAGACTCTCAAAGCAGCCCATGACTAAGTCAATCCAATCGATGGTACTCAACTTCACCGTTGATACGTTACCCCCAAGAGATGAATTCTCTTGGCATCCGCTAAGCATCATGTGCCAACTGAACCTTCGGACGTCCGAGTGCAAAGCTTTGAAAGAAGGCACAACCGTCATCCAAACAATGCAAACGCCGGCGCCAGCCGCTGGAGGTCATAGTGCACGCCACTAGTTTCACGCCCGCATCGAGACAGGCAACAGGTACAGGACCTGCCAAAGTATCGCCTTTGCATGACTTGGGCCGCCTCCCTTTCCCCCGCATTTCGCGGTGGCGGGTCGATTCAAGGTTGCATCCGACCCCGGGACATCCGACCCCGGGAAATCATCGCACGCTCATAGGCCACTCAAGCAGGGATCAATTCTTACTCCGTTGGCAAGACGGTGTTGCGCTGAGCACAACCCTGCACGACTCCGTGCGGGCTCTCCACAACGGAGTGACCCTACCCCCAACCCCAGAGTCAATCCAGCTACTAAGTTTGGAAGTACCCTCGGGCCAGGGTTCCTGAGTGTATGCAAAGAAGCAGGCAACTGATGAAAGAGGAATTGACGTGCGCTATGGAAACGACCCGAATTGGGAAGTTCCCCAGAATTTTGCACGCCGAGTTGGAGTTCTCGACTTGTTTACTGGCAAAACGCTGGGGTAATCAGGGTCTCCAGGGGGTCTTTTGGTCTTGCTAAGAGTAGTAAGTCGCAAATTGCATGCACGTTGCACCGTGCACTGTGCATGGCCTCCACTTTGGACGTCCGATTCCTTGCCCATCTTGCACTTGGTGCGACGATAGAGCTCCAAGCATGGTTATTGACTAATGCCCATTAGCAACTTTCACGTGGTTCACCAGCCTAGACTCCTGGGACCTAGGTTCCCGGAGGAACCCTCCCTCGACCGACAAAGCCACAGAGTCCGTCCTCTGTACTCTACCAGCGAAGGGAAGGAACCTCTCGTCTCTTTGCCTGGGGTGGACGGGAAAAGCCAAGAACACGGGGGAGGCTTATCTGGAGGATGAGGGACCCTTCCTCGCAAACGATATACCGACCACTGGGGTTGTTGATTCGGGACCGGCGCAGTCAGCGGAGTTCACCGCGTGATTCTGCGTGTCTTGCTCTCTTTTCTTCTCGATCGTGGTATCCGTCCTGCTCAGGTGGACTCTCTTCTGGTCTCCACGTCCCAGCGAGTCCGTCTTCCCCAGACGCGGACAGGTGTTGGGCACGTTTGCACAGTCCCCCCGTTGCGGCTGTGACCCGACTCTGGACTTCCAAATGACTCTCTTTTGTCTCTCAGCTCCGGATCGTCCGTCGGAGATGCGACCTGCCAAGGAAACGTGGCACACACACCAAGTCCCTCGCGCCTCGAATGATGGCCCAGGAAGGAATGCCGGCCGACCGGTGGCGTTGAGACCAATTCCGCTTCTGCACTGACTCCCAGTTCGGCATCTCCTGGCAGCTTATCAGCACTGCCAAGATGATAAGACGCTGGGAGAGGGGCCGCTCGACGAGTGACGGTGCTCACCGCTGGGCCAACTGTTCCGACGCGCCGTCTGAGTGGATCACCCTCTCTGATTTGAGTACCACCGCACCTCTCCTTGCCCCACTTCTCCACAGCGCAAATCCATCCCACCTTCCAGAGAACCGGAGCCAGAATCCAGAGCGATGCAAGTAATCTTGGTCGACCGAGGTCCAAGACTCCCGTTTCACGTCGTCTCCGTGAGTCAAGAGTTCGCCTAGCTTGGGCCACATCGGCTTAACGTCAACAAGCTCGTCAGTCGAGCGGGTCATCCGGAGATTGGCGAAGGGGGGGGGGGACCCTTCGGAGTTCGGACTGCACCACCTGACTCCCCGGAGAACGGAGGAGGATGGAGTTGAGTCAGGTCGTTTGGAGGACGAGATGGGAGTCCTCTGTGATGGAAATTGACAATTGAGACACATCACCCCGTCTGATAGTCCGCCGGTGGAAAGATCCGCACGATGGCCTCGTTGGGTAAGGCACCTTGTGAAATGACCAGGGGGGCAACGCTACGCCACTCCTATCTCTTTCCTGGGAGAGGGTTTTGGCTTTTCCCTGTTCACGAATCCGAATCAGCCGACTCCGGCTGCGCAAGAGTTGGCGATTGCCTATAGGCTTGGATAAGAAACAAAGCCACTAGTAAGCGACCGGGTGTCGGACTCGCCTTCAGGGTGAGGCACGGACGTACGCCCAATGTCCGTCCGTCCCTGCAGCTCCAAACTCAGAACGCTGGACGGTCAATCTCAAGGTCTTAGCATCACCTGTTTCCACCATACAGAGAGGCTCTGCCCTCCCCCCGGCTGGTGGACCCTCGGATGCTCCGCTGATTCACTGTCATGTCTCTGGCCTCGTGCCCTTGTCCGATCTCATCGTGGATAACGACGGGAATACTATCATTGCATGTGGGTGAGATCATGATCATGACCATGACTACAGTCAAGAGCCCTGGACGATAACTCATAGGGCATTGTATTCCGTCAGAAGAGCAATGCGTATAGAGGGCTACGGCGAGACTTGCGCTGTCGGTACTTGGCAAGAACGGACATACTACTACTATACCTTACTTTGGCCACAACAAGCAATGTTACCAAGCAAATCAAGACGCGGGATGGAAAAGTGTATCTTGAGCAGGGCCCGGCGGTGCCTCCCAGGGTCCTACCCGGGGGTACCGCTACCGGGTGTCCTTTGCCACGAACGCCGCTATCTGCGCTCTGAGCATATTGCCCGTGTCGGGCAATTATATCAAGGAGGCGAGATGGACGTTCATCTCGCCTTCGGGGATGATAGGGGTGCTTCGCATGATTCGTGTCTGAGCATCGGGTCCGGTCGGTCTTCTCTTGCCATGACATGATCGTGATGAGGAGGGAGGCCGTGTTCTCTCCGAACGGAGGTGGTGAGAGGAGAGCGATATGGCATGCCGTCGCTTCACACCAGATTTGGCCCGTGATAAGGCATCAGGCACCTTCCTAATTCTTCTTGATCTTGGCATGCTGGCGCGTTGGTTCGGATGGCGACCTGTCAGGCGGAAATTGGATCGATTGGCTGTCCTGCGTACTGCGCGATGATGATCATGCGCTTGGTTGGACACAGTCTTGATCTGGAGCCTTTACTAGCACGATCTACAATGGTTGTAGTGTGTGCAGTGTGTGTAGTGTGTACTTGTCGTGTGTACTTGTCGTGTGTACTTGTCGTGTGTGCTTGTCGTGTGTACTTGTAGTGTGTACTGTACTTGTAGTGCTGTACTTGTAGTGCTGTACGATGACATGCGCTCTGCGGGCTGGTCCTTCGATCCTCCTTATTCAGGGAAAGCAGCGCCCGCGCCGCCCATGATCAGATGACTTGTCTATGCCCCCTTCTCACCCTTGATTCCATTTTGAGTTGGTGGGAATGCGGACCAGCGCCACAGGGTTTCGAACGGTCGAGGCTGTCAAGCTTCGCGCTGGAAGGTTCGTGGAAGCGCCACACGCCGTGCATCGTGCAGAAGCATGCCCGTCTGTAGTTTCGCAACTCAAGTCTTGCTAGGACTGGACAAGTGTACATAGTACATCCTACATAATCCATAAGTGATGACTCCGGTACTGAACGTAGGTAGTTGCTGCATGTCACATCACGAACCGTCCGGGGGCAACTTGGAGCTGCTCGGGACGTGAAGTTGCCTCTATCATACCGCTCCGACTGGTGAATCTGGATGGGGCCAGTGCCTCAGGCTTCGGATGTAGCCGACATGGAGACACTTCGACACATGGTGATGGCACCACCTGAATTCAGCGGTTCCTCGCGGGCTCTCGGATGTTCGCACACGTCGCTCTGGCCGCTCGTGACAACTACCTTTCTCTCCACTCATATTGGCGGGCGGATCCCCCGAGAATGTGACACCGCCGTCCAGCGCTTTTTCTCGATCATGTACTCGGTAGGACTAATGGAATATGATAGTCGAGGTAGTAGTCTAGGACCATCATTCGACAATTGTCGCTTTTCCGTGCCGCTTCCACTATTTACCTCCAACTCGGTGCCTGAGATCGACTGGGATATTCCGGGAATACAGTCAATGATAAGTCAGGTACGCTCCTGGCTCCGGTTCGTACCATGGACTCGATTTCCATTGCCCGTTTCCTCTTCGTGTGTTCTTTGTCACCTCGACTCTTGTGCTCTGATGATTGCCTTTTATCTCCCCGATTTAGTGTTGCTATCCGTGCGCCCACTTGCCCGAATCTCGTGGTCCCCACCCGCACCTTCTCCACTTTTCTTTTCATTGCTGCTTGGATTGCTTTCTTTTCTTTGCACCTTTTTACCATTTTTTAGCTTTTTATCTGGTGAGTGTTTCTTTTGGCTGTTGTTTTGTTTTTCCGGTTTTCAGCATTTTCTCGCTTTTCGAATTCCCGTCCCCTTCGGGCCAGCTATTCTTGCGTGTATACTATAGATTGTTTCCCTCGCCAATCATACCATCACACTCGATACTTCCCCATATCCGTCCATGCGCTGGATTCTCACGCGGAGTGCCCGCATGGTCGTCTTCAGCGTTACATTGCCAGCGATATCTCCGCTCCCGTCGTGATTCAACCGTGGACGACTCGTCGGGAGCTGTGGTCGATGCAACTGAGTGCAACCCCCACTCCGCTCTGGCTGTCCAGTCTGGTCTCCGAGATGCCAATCGTCCCCTTTTGGGAAGACGCCAAGGCCCGATAAGGCGGAGGACCGTCGGCACGCGCAGGGACGTTCAAGCGCACTCGGGACGCCAAAGTACACCCTCCAATGAAGTGGAGGATCTGGACAAGATGAGGACCCAGTGCCAGGCCGGATCCTCCACACTCACTTACAGATGATGATAGTGCGATAACCTAATGCATCGAGTCCAAAAAAAAAAAGAACATGATACGAAAAAACTACCGGTATCCACCCATGTACATAGCAAGGCGTGTACACACCACACACTACACTAGTACACACAGGGCTGGTGGACTCTGCAGCGGCAAAGGTGACTCAAGTGAGTGAAAGCCGACGAAGAGAGAGAGAGAGAGAGACAGAGAGAGAGAGAGAGAGAAGAGTAGTTGACTAGACGAAGGTACTACACTAAACCTCTCACACTGACACAAGAGGTCAAGTGCACTCACGAGATTGCCCTTCAACCCCCCCCCCCAGATCTGATACTACATAAAGACCCCTCGACAGCCCACCCCCTCACTTCTCCTTCTCTCTTTTTCTTCCTGACTTGCATCCACTCCACCTCCTCTCCAATTTTCATTCTGGCCTGGCTCATAGATCTGAACGATCTGTCCCACCTAGGCCTATGATGGAGAAGAACGATCCCGCCATTGGCGTCACCTCGGGTGCCGAGGTCGATGAGAATGCACCGACTGAGACCATTACCAAGTTGCAGCATCTCAAGGAACATCACCATTGGGATCCCAACTTGCCTCGCGATGTCGAAGAAGAGCTAGACCAGGCCCTGCATACCGATAGCAAGGGCGCCCAGATCGAGATCGCCCACGAGCTGCTGGACAACTCCATCTACCCCGAGGTCCGCGCCGCCGTCTCCAATGTCGATGAGGGTGGTCACTCCAATACCATCCGCGCCTGGGTGATCGGTCTGCTCTTCGCCACTATCGGTTCCGCCTTGAACATGCTGTTCTCCATGCGTCAGCCCTACATTGTCATTCCTTCCTACATCGCCCAGGTCGTCGCCTACCCAGTCGGTAAGGCCTGGGAGTTCTGGATGCCCAACCTGAAGTTCAAGTTCTTCGGCATTCCCTGCCAGCTCAACCCCGGTCGCTTCAGCAAGAAGGAGCATGCTCTGGTGGTCATCATGGCCAATGCCACCTTCGGTGGTGGTGCCGCCTACGCCACCGATGTCCTGCTGGCCCAGCGCGCCTTCTACAAGCAGAACTTTGGCTGGGCCTTTGAGATCTTCATGTGTATCTCGACGCAGATGCTGGGTTTCGGTTTGGCTGGCTTCTTCACCAAATACCTGGTCCAGCCCGCAGCCATGATCTGGCCCTCCACCTTGATCAACACAGCGCTCTTCTCCGCGCTGCACGATTCGACCCTTCCGGACCCCAGCAAGGTCAACGGTTGGAAGCTTGGGCGTTACCGTCTGTTCCTGTACGCCATGATCGGCTCCTTCTGTTGGTACTGGTTCCCCGGCTACATTGCCCCCTTCCTGAGTGTGTTTGCCTGGGTCACCTGGATCAAGCCTCAGAACGCCGTCGTCAACCAGCTCTTTGGCGGCTGGACTGGCTTGTCCATGATCCCCCTCACCTTTGATTGGACGCAAATTTCCGGCTTCAACTTCAGTCCCTTGATTGCCCCCTGGTATGCCATGGCCAACACCCTGATCGGCATGGTTCTTTGGTTCTGGATCGTCACCCCGGCGCTGCACTACTCGGGGCTCTACTACTTCAAGTATCTGCCCATCAGTGACTCGCAGAGTTATGACAACACCGCAAGCCTGTACAATGTCTCCCGGATCTTAACCCCCCAGTTCACTTTTGATCTGGCTCAATACAAGAAGTACTCTCCTCTCTTCTTGTCCACCACCTTCACCATCAACTACGGTCTGTCCTTCGCTGGTATTGTCGCGGTCATCCTGCACACCATTCTCTTCCACGGATCCGATATCTGGGCTCGCTTCCGCGCGGTGAATGCGGTCGAGGATGAAGACGTGCACAGCCGCCTCATGTCTCGCTTCAAGCCCGTCCCCCTGTGGTGGTATGCCGCCATTACCCTGGTCATGATCGGCATGGCCCTAGGCGTGGTGTTGGGTTATGAGACGCACATGACCTGGTGGGCGTTCTTCATCTCCTTGATCATTGCTGCGCTTTGGTTTGTCCCCCTCGGGATCGTCAAGGCTTCGACCAACATCGACATTGGACTCAACGTGTTGACCGAGTTCATCATTGGTTACATGCAACCCGGTAAACCCATGTCGATGATGTTGTTCAAGACCTACGGATACATGAGCATGTACCAGGGCATGTACTTTTCCCAGGATCTCAAGCTCGGTACGTTCCTCTCCCATCTTTCTTCTTGAGTCATCTAAGAATCTCGAATTCGATGTTGAAACACTTTTCTAACCCACCGCGCTCTTGTTGTTTAGGTCACTACATGAAGATCCCTCCTCGCGTGACCTTTGCCGCGCAGATGGTTGCCGGCCTGTGGTCCTCGGTGGTCCAAATCGGCGTGATGAACTGGGCTCTGGGTGCCATCAAGGGGGTTTGCCAGGCTCACCAGCCGAACCACTTCACCTGCCCCAACGGCCGTGTCTTCTTCAACGCCTCGGTCATTTGGGGTGTCATTGGTCCGTCTCGCATGTTCTCCAGTGGCGAACTGTACAACGGCATGATGTTCTTCTGGATTGCCGGTGCCATTCTCCCCGTGCTCATCTACCTGGGTGCGCGCTTCTTCCCCCGTTCCGGTATTCGTTACCTCTCGGCTCCCATCATCTTCAGCGGAGCAGGTCTCATTCCTCCCGCTACTCCCCTGAACTATCTCGCCTGGGGTATCGTTGGATTCATCTTCAACAAGTGGATTCGGGACCGTTATCGCGGGTGGTGGATGCAGTACAACTACGTTCTCTCCGCCGGATTGGACGTTGGTCTGGCTCTGTGCACCATCCTTATCTTCCTTGCCCTCACCTTGACCAGCACCAATTTCCCTTCCTGGTGGGGCACCGACATTGCGGTCAACACCATGGATGCCTCCGGTACGGCCATTCAAATCCCCCTTGCCGACGGCGAGAAGTTTGGACCGAGTTCGTGGTAATTTGATGCCCCAAAAATTGTATTGGTTTTTTTTTGGTTCTTATCGACAATTTGGCGGATCATGCGCATCTCATCTCGTTCTACCCCAGAGGCCGTCTATCCTCCGTGATGCATGTTTCAGGATGAAGCCCTCATGGGCATACCTCCATTGGCCGGGGGGCCCCTACAAAAACAGCCCTCGTGCCTCGATTTTCAATCCGATGTGATTCTCGTTACATGCCTTGATTCTCCATGCGTATCACCGCAACGAGATTTAACGATTCTATGAAAGTATTTTTTTTTGGTTGCTGCTACCAACACGGATCGAGCTTTAGTTGATTCCATATCTTAATAACATACCCCATTACTGCGTGCCAATCATTCCCTCCGTCTCTTTCTTTCTGATTCTCATACTCATTGTAGTTGAATCAAGCTCGGTAGTAGAAATACAGCACCGTCAAAACAAGTGTGGTATGGACCACGTATCAAGCACTACGTAATACGTCTCTCGTGCAAGCGTGGACAATACCTAGGAACCTACTACTTTAGTACTTATAGTCTCTTGACTACCTACCCTACCTCTCGAGTCACGTGCCCCAAGCCAGCACGATAAACACAACCGCCCGAGTCTCGCCCCGTCGAAGCACCAATTCCCGGCTGGATCTACCTTACCCAACCTTAGATAGAAGTACCCGCCTTGATCTCATCTCATGTGCTGTATGTATCTCGCATGGCACGTGTCATGCGGGGAGTAGGGGGAAAGAGAGAACAAGACAGAGAGGAATCGTCTACGAAGCCACGAGCACACTTCACCCCGGCCGGACATTTTGAAACCCCCCATCTCATGACTACGTACACCGGACTCCGTACGCTTTCGCCCCGTTAATCACGAAAGTGGATCAGCTACAGGCCAGGCTAAGTGCTTTCCATATTTTCTCAAGCCCATATTCCCACATTACCCGGCTCGTTCAGGAATCAAGCCCCAACCATATCGTGTACGCTCTGCCTTGGGAGAAAAGCAGGTGAGGGCCCGGGTCTATTGTATCTCCTGGGGTTTGATCGTGGAGACGTTCGGGCTGGGTTCAAGTCATCATGTTGGGAAGGGAGGGGTCTCGACTGGGGGACTGATCGTGACAGATGGAGGAGCCTTTCGGGTGAGCTGGGATTCTGATTCGGTTCCGTGTCTGGCGTGACTTGTGCAGAGGGGGAGTGTATATGGCAGAGTGGTCTATTTGGATTTTTTTTTATGTTTCCATCGATGTGGAAAAGACATGCAATGAGGGTAATAAGGGGGAGAGAGAAAAAAAAAAAAGAATCGTAAAATATTCAATATGAACAAGAAAAGTGCCCGCGTCCATCACAATCAAAACAGAGAAAGGAAAAAGGTCAGATGGGCTCAGTCTTCGCTTCTTCGCTCAAGCGGAACCAGGCATCCGTCGCTTCATCCCCACATGCAACGCCAGAGGCTTCCTCAAGAACCCTTCCCTCGTCTCCATCGGTCCATCCTGCTCAATTCGATACTCAAACAACCTAAACATCGTCGCACTAATCACCAGCAACTCCATCTCCGCGACGTTTCTGCCCACACATGCCCGAGGCCCATAACTGAACGGGATAAACGCCGCCTTCTGCCGGGCCGTCAATCGCTCGGGATTCCACCGTTCCGGAACGAATTGCTCGGCGTCGGGGCCCCAGACCTCCTTGGATCGGTGGATCGTGTAGCTGGGCACCGAGAGCACGTCGCCGGGTCCAAAGGTGTGGCCGGAGATGACGACGGGTGGGGCGCCCGCGGGGATTTCGCGCGGGAGTCCCATGGCGGAGGTGGAGTGGATGCGCATGGTCTCCCAGATGACCCATTGCAGGTAGTCGATGTCCTTGACCATGGCGAAGGTGGGCACGTCGATGTCGGCGGGGATGGCCTTGTCGAGGATCCTGTGCAGGTTGGCGATGACGCCTGGGGTACGCTGGCACCAGTAGAGGATGGCGCAGGCGGTGTTGGAGGTGGTGTCGGAGCCGGCGATGAGTTGCGTGAGCGCCTCCGCGGTGAGTTCTTCGCGGCCGAGGGTATTGCCATTGCCGTCTTTGCCTTCCATGAGACGGGCGAGGAGGTCCACGCGCGTGTTGTTGGCGGCGACTTCGGGCTTGAGACGCTCGTTGACGCGGGCGATGGCGATTCCGGCGAGATGCTGAACGGCCTGGAGACCCTCGCTGAAGAATTTATCGGGAATATACATCGCCCAGGGTTTCAGTGAGGGCATGCAGCCCAGGGTGGCGGAGACTTCACCACGACGATTGAGCACCTCGACGGCCGCGACGTACTTGGGTGGGTCGTTGGGGTGCATGCGCATCTCGGCGATATCCTGACCCTTTTCCAACATGCCGAAGGGGGCACCGAATGCCAGGTCGCCGATAATGTCAAAGGCCAGGTAGTTGAACCAGTTGAGGGCGTCCAGGCTGACATAGCCGGTCTTGGGGTTGGCCTCCAGATCGGCTAGCTTGCGCCATTGCTTGACGAAGAGCTCGATGTTGCCGTGGATGTATTGCTCGAATTGACCAATGGACTTGGCGCTGAATGTGTGCGAGACGGTCTTGCGTTTGCGAGTGTGCTCGGCACGGTCGCGGGTGTTGAACAGCCCTCGACGGATGGAGACGAAAGCATCATAGAAGTCACTGATCCAACCGGTGTTTAGTATAGTGCGAGACCAGAGTAGCTCGGGAGGAGGAGAGTCAAAATGTTGTACAGATATAATATCGAAGAGAATACAGGGAGTGTTGCACCGATGGAGGGGGCATCGTGCGTCGATGGGTCACTTACGCCTTCAGGAAACCATTGCCATGTCCATATACCGCATTGATCGCCTCATCGTCGGCAATCGACACATGACGAGGCGCAATGCGCACCAGCTTGCCATATTTCCGATGCGCCTCATCGACCGACAAGTACCGTTTCCCCTGACGCGCCTGAAGCAGCAGCCAGAGGTTGGTAAACGCCGCAAAACTCGGACTGGGGATATCTCGAAGTCGCGACACTTGGAGGTACGGCGCCACGAAATAGGCCAATATCACGCCCAAAACGATGACCGGCACGTTTTCCAACGTGAACAGCATGGCGAACGGGGGAAGTGATTGCCGATGTGGGGATGTGTGAGGTCAGTTGCTGCAGGGTGACACTGACACTGAACACAGAACACCTGGGAAGGGGAAAAAAAACAAAAATCAAATAAAAAAATCAGACCGTTGACCCGACGTCCGATGATGCAGAAGGGTGGGTCTGCGGTCGGAGAAAAAGGAAAAGGGCGGGGGTGAGCTTTAGTCTTGCCGTGTCTTGGGTCGGCTGTGTAGTTTCCAGTAGTTTGCAGTTTGCACACTTTGTACTGCACAGCTGCGCTAGCGCCAGTGGCCTCGAGGAACCGGGTAGCTGGAAGTCACGAGACCTTGGTGAAAAAAGTGTGTTTGGGAGCAGTGTATGACCCCTTGCGGTTGATAAGATGACCCAAAGAGGATGCAATCTCCGTCAAGTCTTTCAGAAGAGAGCAATGTCAAGAGTTCTCCTCATCTTCACTTGGGATCCAGTCTCTTTTATGCAGGTTTCAAACAATCACCACCCTCCACTGCCCCGGTTCGATTCCCGAGGTCTGAAGATCGGCCGGGAGTGCTGGTCGGTATCTGGGGAGGCTCCGGAAGTGGACCCGCTGGCCGAGGAGTGCCGTGGCTGACCTCCGAGCCGCCGCTTATTCGGTTATGCTTTGACTCTCCACAAATCTCTCTGCCTTGGCTGCCCGAGTACCTGGTACCGCACCTAAAGCCGGATGATAGTGATACTACCGGTCCATCTACCTACACACCAGTACCGTAGTCAGCAATTCCAACATGAGATTCCGACACGGGGACTGGTCATAGACACGTTACCCCGGAGTACACTATCGACGCCACCGCGCTGTGAAACGTGGAAGACTGGAGTGGACAAGATCGCCCTTACAGTGCGTCCAAGACCACCAAGGGCGGGGCAAGAAGTACTACCACTGTAGACGGACGTCTTGCACAGTACCCATTACCAGTACCTAGTGACTTCTACGAGTTGCGCAACCAGTTGTATCAAGTCTTACATTCTGAGCTACAAAATTCGAGGAGTGGGAAGAGAGAGTCGTGATCTCAACCACGTGATCCATGGATGATGGATGGTGATGGATATCGACTTGATCGTTTACAGAATCGAAGCAACTGCGCGCTCGCTCAGTCAGGTAGACCGACTAAGTAGGGACGATCTAGGGTCCGTCAATTCACAATCACCAGGACATTGAAGGCAACTCTGCATTCAAGTACGCAGATGCGCAGATATAATTTGTTGCAGATAAGAACTAGGACTTTTTGCACCGGGTATCAAAATAAAAATAAAAAAAAAAGAGAAGAAGAAAAACCGAAAAGCCTCCACGAGTCCACGAGCGGGATGATAGACGCCATGAACAAAACACCTGGTGCTGAATAGGCCGCAAACAAAAACAGACACAAACGGGGTCATTCACCAGTCGGCGACTGGGAACAGCCCATTCCGTTTCTTCTCACCCTCCCAGCGATCAATCCAAGCCTTCATCTGGTCACGGCTTCTCTGACTGCCAATATTGACCGTGGGGATGATCCGACCGATCCGCAGGGCACAGCAGAACATGGTGAGTTCCCGGAAAGAGCTGTGCTCGCTGTATGGTACGCCAAAACAGGCACTTTCGCGCGTGCTTCCGCGCTGTGGAGACAAGTTTTGCGTGGTGAAAGGGGTCCGCCAGTGTTCGCCGCGGAGAACCGTCGGGACGGGGGGTTATCGAGCATGCGACCAGCGGGAGGACGATATGACCAGCCGGTGGGCCGAAATCCGACCACGCGAGTAAAGTCAGGTTTCAACGTATCCAGATAGTCAGCTAATGTGTCCGCTCGAATCTCAAACAGGGTTTGCATGTGCACTTGTGCTTCACGGGGATCGCTCGTGAGCAATGCGGTCAACTCGGGATCTTCAAGACAGGCGCAGATTCGCTGCTTGTATGGATTGGCAAAGATCTTGGACCCAAGCGCCTTGGCAATACCCACGCAGATACGCTCCTTGCCAATACTGTACGTGCCCATCACGACCAAGAGACGGCCCGCCTTAGCTGAAGGCTGCTCCGCAGAAGCTTCACGGTTAGAGGTGGATGACAGGAATTTGCTCATGAGACTACCTCCAGCTGTCTTTCCCAAGTCGCCACCGACGCCAGATTCTTCATTGAGTCGTAGGCAGAGTTCAGAGCATGCCGCAATGACATCTTCTTGGCTTGGAAAAGCATATTTGGGGTGAAGATAGGTCGTGTCCAAGTAGCATGTGTCGAGCCGCTGCTGTACTGGCTTGCCCGTCACCACGTCGATCGTATCGGGCCGAAGCAAAGGATGCTGGAGGTGGTCTGGAGAGGCTCGAAAATCGCCGCAATGAAGTATGCGCTGTCGTCGAGGGTTGGCACCGTTCCCAAATGATTTTTCGAACAGGAACAACGAACTACCTGGACAATGATTCGCATTGATCATCGTAACCTTGACGCCTCCGGTGTTCGGTACCTCGAAAGGACTCTCGAATTCCAGATCCACTACCCATTTGGGATCCACCCGCAGTTGCTGACGGACCAGATTGCCTGTCGGGCGGCTGCAATAAATTGGACCGTGGCACCAGGATTTGGTCAGTCCTATGTAATGATCACTGTGGAAATGGCTTAGGAAGTACGCTTTGCATCCTTCCACTGCCCCGTAGCGAAAAGCATCGACGCAAATGGAGAATCCCGGCATGATCTTGTAGAATGGACATGTGCGTTGATAGGCTTGCTTTCCGCGCGATGATACCTCATTCGCAGCAGCGGCCGCCCAGGCAGTGTCTTCGGCATTGCCAGCCATCATCTTGGAGAAGGCTGATCCGGCTGCAGGTGTGTTCTTCGAAAATGGGTCGCGCTGGGGAGGTCGAGCGATGGCAGCCTTTTCCATGCGCGTGGGTTCCTTGCTTGGACTATCTTCTTTTTGGGTGACCGGTGTCATGGCCAGAACACCCGAGTCGGGCGTCTCAAGAGTTGGCGGGACAGAGGGCTTACCGTCCAGACAATCGTTCACATGGACGGATACTTCTGCCTCGGTGAAGTTTGCCAGTGCCTGCTGGCATATCGGACAAGTCGTTACTGATCCCTCTTTATCGGGATCGACATTGAGTGCATCTTCATAGTCATTGGGCGCCATCATACCGAAGCGGACTCCATGAGCCTGTTCGTCGTCTTCATCGTCCCATGGTCTCTCTCGGAATTCCTCCCCTATCAATTCATCCCCTTCTTCAATATCGTCAAAATCCGCAGTTCCAAAATCGTTTCCATCGGTCGTGACGTCTCTTACCAAGGGTGACGGTGACAGCGGAGGCTGATTGGCAAGGCGGTTAGTGGGCGATTCTTCTTGAGGTGGCGAGATCACATTCGTGCTCATCGCGGGGAGTACAGCCGGCGGTGTATCCGTGATTTCGTGATAATTAGGTAGGTCTTCTTCGCTGTCCGACTCGTCGATAAAAGGTCCATTAATCGAGGAGGCTGCCGCCTTGGGCTTCGTGGTCTTAGGCCGATCGCCTGTTTCTGTGTTTCCGTCTTTTGAATCTGGCGAGTCCATCTTCCGGCGCTTGGCAGATTGTTCATCTTCCGCATCTCGAGAATCATTCGGGGGTAGTAAGTCTTCGGCGTCGCCCCAAATGTCATCGGGTGTGCGAGATCGACTCCTCCTGTCGACGTCTAGCGTCGTTCGCTCAAGGTGGATCCTCGCTAGACCCTTCTTGTCTTCTAGGAAAAGACCCTCGGACGAGTCGTTCTTTGAACTCGATCCACCTTGTGATTTCGGCGTAGCAAGCCCAGTGGCGGAAGAAACAGATGACCCGACAAACTGAGTGATGCGGGACTGGCGAGTTGTCGCCCCGATAGGTGCGTCCGTCTTTTGGAAAAACTTCAATATGCTGTGATTTTTCTTCGCGGAGGATGACTTTGTCGCCGACGCAGATCCCTTCGAAGGGGTCGACGCCTTTTTGGCCAATGATCCAGCCATTGCCGGTAAAGAGTGAAGAGCGGCACAGTGGTGAATTCCAACTCAATGCAATCAGACGCCTCAAGAGTTGGAGTCAACCGCGAGACCTTATGGTGCCAATCTATCGACTTGAAGATGGCGCCAAAATTTGTACAGATCACGGTTTCTCCATCCAGGTTCCCACCGAGATGGAATCTCAGATCCTCGCCACTCGATGCGTCTAATCTAAATCGCGCGATCGCCGTGACGCGAAGTCACGTGCAGTCCACAGAGGCAAACTTCAGCAAGCCATTTCCGGACTGTAGATGCAGAGTGGGTCCCGTTCCATTCGACAGGTCTACTGTACTTGTTTTGTGACAGCTCGAAGAATGTCAAAACACTTGTTGCTCGTGAACGTTTTGAAATCGGGCGCAATGATGTTCTCGTAGAAGGAGTTTTCTTGGGCTCGATCAAAATCTAGCTGCCACTTGTGTTAGCTGTTGCCGAACGACTAGATGATACCCGAGAAAAAAAAGGTTGAGGCTCGAAATGCCCGGCCGCTCACTGAGCGCTCAGTGAGTGCTCAGTGGCTGCTCAGTGATTACTCAGAGGAACATCAGAGGCATCCATCTACTGAGCACTCAGACTATGCTCAGACCATTCCCAAAGGAGCTCTCGGGTCCCACAGTGCTGTTTATTTGTGCATTATTTTTTTGATGGCCCTAATCACACCCTCATTTCTTCGAAGTGCTCTCTATGCTCCAGTTCACCTCTTCATTCTCCTTCTCCACTCAAAAAAAAGAAACGCATCAAGAAAATGATGACGCAAAGTCACAGATATGACTTTTCATCTGTCATGAGGTGGATCAGGAGAATGTTCTTTGTGTTACTTGTCTAGAGTTGCTTATGCGTTACACCCAAGCTATAAATTGAAGCTTCAAGTCCTCTCTGGCCAATCCATCCTGCCCATCTTCTTTCTTCCCATGCTTCCACATCTGTGTCCTATCGTGTCCCTCTCTTGGGTTTTCAATCCATGATGGGTAGGAAACAATTTTTTTGCACAGCGAAACGAGCTCGCCAAGAAGAAGCGCCGCGAGCGATTGGAAAGGAGCGGATATGTCTTCGGAGCACATGCACATGAGGATGCGATTCGAGAGAAAGACAAGAGGACCGAGAAGACCAAGAGGATGTAGAAGGAACATGCGGAACTATGGAAGGAGTAAGGTCTTTCCATTGTGATGCCCTCGATTCCAAACGCGAAGGAAAACCTAACTCTACTCCTAGATTTGTTCAGCAAAACGGGATAGAAGGCTACGGGACGGGCATAAATTCCAGTCTTCCGAGTCATCAGCTCATCAAGGAGTTTGTCCGTTGGTACATTCATTTAGCCCGGGGACGACTGAGTAAGAATGGACGACCAGTAGCAAAATCAGTCTTGTCGTTCGCGGAGCGATTTTTCGGTGGCCTTGAAGAAGAGATGCAAATGAGCGTTGCTCTAGAGGATCGAAAGGAAATATTTAATGTGAGGCTGATTCTCCTTCCTTTCCTCCTTTGGCGCTTGCAAACACTAACCGCAAAGCAGTGGATCAAGAGGTCATTGACAGCAGAAGGCGTCATTGAAAATATCGAGTCCCCAAACCATTCCTTTACCAAAAAAAGACTTCCTCAGAACGGTTGCATCTCTGTGGCAGACAGATCATCGCCGCTTCATACCCGGGTTGCCCAAAGTCATCATCTTACCTACACTCCAGCTGTACCTCTTCACCGGAGCAAGAATTGGAGCTTTCGTACCTGCCCACGAGGATAAAAAGGAGAGAGGACTTCGATTCAAGGTAAGGGCACTCCAATGAGGCGTCCTATGATTGAAACTGACTCCTATTATAGCACATCGAGCTTGTGTTGTTTCCATCCTCTACGGCACCATGGAAACTTGAATGGAAGGTGAATCAAGTGTGGCTCAAAAATAATCGAGACCCAAATTACACAGTGTAAGGCGACCCCCCTCCAGATGCCGAAAGGCAACCCGACTTAGACTGAGAGCTCACTCGCCCATTGAATGATCCAGCTTGGGGATTGGAATCCGCGACACCAAGAAACCGCAATTTGCCGCTGGCTACATTCTGCTGGCACTTGCGCTTGAACACGGTGCTCTTTTTGGGGTTAGCAATGTGGAGGATCTGGCCCAGTATGACCTTTCAAATGGACCGATTCCGCTACGCTGGAAGGACGAATATCTGGAAAAGCCTGTTCTCAGGAACGTCACAGCTGATGGACCCCAAGATGTCCCGCTCGCTAAAGACGTCTTTTGCGAATGCTTACGCGTGATATTCACCGCCGCTGGTTACAGCAAGAGGCCTAAAGTCCACGATATTCGGAAATTTCTCGGAAAGAAAATTGAAGGTGGGCTAATAAAACATTGTGACTTGGTGATAAACTCGCTTATGGTTGCTACAGGGAAGCATGGCTCTGCATTGGTTTCGCAAATCTACGGTCACAAAGGAGCAGGGACTTACCCGAAGGATTACCTGTTACACTGCTCCTCGATTGACACAGTCTCAGCCGTTCTAGACGAGGAAGATCAATCTGAGCATATTGAGTACTTTCAAGGCTTTGAGCGGTTCTATGAACCGGGATTGCCTGGCGAGCTTCCGGCGGGAATTGAGCAGAGTATTTTGGACAAGCCAGAACTATTGGAGATCAGAAGCCGGATCCAGCGACTGGAAGACCACAATGCCGACAAAGAATCCATAAATGCGGAGAGACTGAACTATAAAAAGACGATAGTCCACCACCGTCTCTTCGAGCTGAAGGAATACCAGGCCCACTGGGTCCGAGAGAGGCGAGACCGAAGGATCCTGAATAGAGGAAAACAAGAACCGTTGACTTTGGAAAACGACGTCCGCACACGAGCTCAAGCTCTCAGTATGCCAGAACTCTCACGAATTGCAGCATTGATGTCTTGCAACAGGGAGCTTTCTTTTGATGAAATGCTTCTTTTCGTGCAGGATCTACAGAGCCAATGTGCCCTAGATTTTGACGTGGTTTACCTGCCTGGTGAAAGTCCTACCCAAGGACTCTGCCCCGCAAGAGGTTGCCGAAAACAAATTGCAAGGTGAGCGATCTAATCTAATGAAGAAGATGTAAGCTAAGTTCCCTTAGAATTACAAAGTCCGAAAGAAATACCCACGTCCACGACTGTGTCCGCCATGAGAAAGCATTGGATCTACACCTTTCAGAATCCAAGCTGCGGTTCTGCTATCAGTGTATGGAATGGCTCACCTCAAGCCAATGGCGAGACCATTGTAATGTTCATCTCGAGGCCTGGGATACCAAACACTGTGAAGTTATAACATATCGCCGCACAGTGATTCGCCCTGGGCACTGCCCATTTTCCTTGTGGGATTTGAATCTTCCAGCAGAAGAGCGGTTGTATTACTGGCTCAAAAGTGGCAACCTGAAGAAACACATTGAAGAACAGCATATCTGCGGTATGCAATGGCCGATGACGAAGCCACTATGCGGGTGTGCTCAAACGTTTGTGAGAAGATACAGCTATAGTATGGGCAGCAGTATCGAAGTGTGAGAGGGATGAGGAGTGGGATTGCTGAGGGGGAGAGATTCTACCTAAGCTATGGACTGCGGTGAGGCGGCAGTATCACATGCCATACGAACAGTTTGACGATGAGCGTGGCCTTCGACATCATTTGCACGATGCCCACGGGCTAAACAACGCCATATGGTTAAATCAAAAACTCCCGAGAAAGAGAAAGCGTACTTGCAAGGGAGAAGTGCAAGGAACGTCAACAGAGCAAAAGGAGCCGCCGAAGAAGCTCCGTTTCTACCGCTACCCGCCTCCGCGTTACGAACATGAGCATCGACTGTCAGCCAACATATTTTTGCCCGTCCCGACCTTGCTCACGTTTATGGAAGAGCACCCAGAGCAATATGATTCCTCCAATGTCAGTGACGAGTCAACTGAAAGCAGCTCATTTGTGTCTTGCTTTTCCGACGCAGAAACTCCGCTCAGTTCGCGATCGAGAACTCCTCAGTTGGAGGATTTCATTGATCCGAGGATCCTTGAGCCCTTTCAGGTTGACAAAGAGGGGGTATATCCGCCTTGTGGTCAATCTTCTGTGCAACTTGGCTCTATAAGAACCCCTTTGGAAGAGCATGAGACCAAAAGCAATTCATCCTGCGATTCGCTTTGCCCACGAACTTGCATTCCAAACCTTGCCACCCAGTCCGATTTTGGTGTCGAGACCAATGGCCGTTGGTCTGTCGAGACGTCAGGCACCCCAACGGAGATTTCGCGCCAAGCTTGTGACGAAGTTCCCAGCCAGCTGCATTCGCTCAGCTATTCCGTAATTCAGTCTGAGGCTGGGTTAAAATCACTCAGTGATATGAAACAGTCACAATGCTCTCCCCCAAGTTTTACTCCCAGTGAGGCGAACGAACAGAAGAAAGCCTTGCGAGAAGATTGTCCCATCTCAACGTCAGACAATAAGGGATCTCCTGTTGCGGTACATGAGCGAGGAAATCGTCCGCCAGCCCATCAAGGAGTCAGTGATAAAGTGAATCACCATGCTGGGGAATCGGCCATTGGCCGTTGCGGGACTCTCACAAGAACCAGGGCGAAACGATGACCATCTCTGCATTTCCCAGATAACAGGAACAATGGAAAGTCACGAAAGAAACTCAGTGCAAAAGAGAAACGAAAGTTATGTGACTTTAAGGGCCAGAATCTGACCCTGAGGCAAATTGGGGCTCAATTCCCGGACATTGATACGGTCTTCTTGCGGCAAGCTTGGGCAGATATCAGGGCTTCTCAGCGATGCACCAGGTCAAGGGCCAAGCAGAGCGGTTATTGATGTTTATGGTTGGAAATAATTGGTTGTGTTTCAATAAGTGTATGCAGTACTCCGTAGTCGCTTTTCAGTTACACATACCCAGTCGTTGTGATGGACTTTTATATAGACTAGACTGTTTCTCAATTCTGAGAGCTCCAATATCCTGGTATGTATGACCACTTGTTCGGAGAGATCTATATCTCTTTACACTTTGCGTTATCGTTTCATCTCCAGTGTCTGGAGGATGATTTAAACAGTGAAGACCTTCGGGAGCATATAGCCTCCTCTCCGAGTCTCTTCCCCAATCAAGAATTTCTCAGAAATAGACTGCGGCTTGCTTCAGTATGACTGGATTGGAATATCCTCGTCACCAGCTGGATGGCAACACCTTAAAAGGCAGGGAAGTCAAGCAGCTTCATGTTGTATTATTGAAACGTTGACAACCCTGTTACGAAAGTTATACGAACGGAATGTATTTTACACAATAATTACATTGGCATGCACCACCACATCCGCTCCCATATGTATTTTCCCACTGGTAATATAATGTAAAGTGTATGCTTGCTCTTGTACAATACATCTTTACATGAGGGTCCATATAAAGTTGATTGATTGCAGATCCTTTGGACGGCCTAAAGAATGAATTCCGGTTCAGCTACACATCTCCTTTGTTTGTAGAATAATCTTGCTACGGTATGCCTGCGTGTAATATACATGGTCCGATGTTATTTCGACGCTGCAGTTACTCCCACTAGAAAGGCCAACCGGCCCGTAATTTCAGTTTAATCGGTCAATTTCTTGCTCTGTTGGAAGCCAGATACTATGCCAGAGTGGCCCGAATAGGATTAGCACCTTAGGCAGCGCCATAGTACCGTTGTGAACCCAGGTTCCCAGATAAAGTAGGTCAATTGACCACTATGGGAGTTGATCACTATAGGAATTGACTGTGCTAATTGATCACTGTGCGATCACTGTGCCAATGATTTCACCATCGATTGATTAGTGCGCGGACGTACGCGTAGACTATACAAAATATTAAGATTCTCAGGAATATGCTATACCTAATTTGATTCCGTCCAATACGTCGGCCATCCCTCATTAAAGAATTCGTCGAGCCCTCACCATTCGAGTGTTTGAAGCTCAACGTTAACAACGTGTAGGCCCAATCATTGGATTGTTCACTTACACTAACTCTAGTTATGCAAAAACGCATAGAACCAAGTTGTGTCTATCGATGCGTCAGCCAAACTATCGACTTTGAAAACCGTTCTATACACCGACGTTAACGACAAATGCTGATCGTTCGTCTCCCTTGGTCATTCATAAAAGGGAAGGACAGAAGTACTAATATAAATAACCCCTTAAGAAATCGTTCCAAAAGGGTCACAAGCAAACCATCCGCAAACAAGCGATTGATGCGTTCTGCGATTACATTCTTCTTCGCCAGAACGCTCCCTGCGATCACACCGACGAATCTGAACCCGCCTTGCCTTCTAATTTACGGAGGGATCCTCGTTTCCCCATCGATCGTCTCCATATCATTTGCTATAGTGTAGATATTAGCTTACCCCCTGATACACCTAGAACAACATACTCACAGGAACAAATTTCGATATCACCCATAAAACACCAATTAAGACAAGAGATAAGCCCCCAAACAGTATATACCATCTCCAGTCTGGATTGTCTTGAAGCAAGTTTACGTTCATACCAAAGAGGCTCCGGTGTCTTATTCAGCCGAGTTCTCCAGGTGACGGCACCGTGAGGTCGGATGGCTACACTTACTGATACAAATATCGGTGGCAAGAATATGAACTAGACAAGTTCGATCGTCAACCAAACGCACAGCTCATCGAAGTTAGTACTTACAGTAATCCAGCTGACACGCTTGAAACTTGCCGCCTTATTTGTGGAAACCCAAGCAAGTTCCTGTTTCCTTGGTGTTAGTGTTTGGATGAGAGGTTTATGATAAACCTACGATCTGTAAAAGTTCCCGAAAGGCCTGTTCCATATGGTCAAGTCTCACCGTTACGGCCTGCCCGATTCTGTCGAGTGCTGCTACAAGCTAGGCCTTCTGTTCAATTCCAAACGGACTATTGGTCGGGAGCACTTCATTGAGCCCCTCAATTTGCGATTGCAGGCATTGTCGGAGAGCTGCGCGCTCCAATGCGTTCTTGGCAAGCTCGTCGATTAAGCCGCGACTTCTCCCTCTTTTTTTGACTTGGTCATGTCGCTAGGAAATCGCCCTCATGAATCAGTTCCAGACTTCGCTTCCTTAAGAATCACGAAATCTTGCGGACGTACCAATGACTCGACCTTTTTGTTTGCACCGGAACAGATCATTTTCCAATGCTGTTCGAGATTCTCAAGGAGCTGTCCAAAAAAGTTGGACGGACAGTCGGGTACAGAGCCGTTCGTAAGCGTGCTGATAAATCCACATGCAATGCTCTCCGCTGTCTTCCTGCTAGTCCAAGCAACGCCCCAAGGATAGCGCACCTCTCCTTGCTCCTCACAAGGGAAAGCTAGAGAGATATACGTTACGAAGCGATGGCCGAAATCTTTCTGGGTATGCTTTAAGTAATAGCTGTCATCTTTGAGCACATTATGGATACCAAGTCCCGAAGGTAACTGTGACCATATTGACTTCGTCCCACAGAGGCTTAGCGTGTTAGATATAATCATAATTGATAAATGAGAGATTTACTCACCATAACCTGGACTCTTTTGTATTAGGTAACCAGTTGTATTCAAGGTCATCGATTAGTTCCAGTTCGAAGCCCTGACTTTGAATCCTCTTCGTGATTTGAATCCATGCTGGCCTTTTGTCTCCTAGGTTGAACCATTTAGCTGACCTAATAGGTTTGAGGTCCACTGATGGGACCCTTAGCAGGAAATCTACTATATCTTTGCTTCGTACTTCTAAGGTATATTGCAGAGGAGTCTTGCCAGAATGATCTCGGCTGGTAATATTTACCTTAGCACTAACCAAAGTCGAAACGAGCTCTAGGCACCCCTCAAGGCAAGCGAGACGTAAAGCGGTCCTTTCTTTCCGGTCAGGCTGGCTGGGATTATAGCCAGACCGGAGAAGTGTTGTCACCAGGGGTAATAACTTCTTTTGTTCGATCAACCTGATACCTTCGACCAACAAATGCAAACTAATTGCGTCGCCGTCTTTCAGTAAATTTATCATAGCCTCTTTTCCACCTTCCAATGCCCAGATCAACAGAGTTCTGGAAAAGGTCTCACCGGATCCATCGCGAATGTTTATGTCCACCTTGTCCACTTTGGACTTCGTTTGTAGGAACTGCTGCGTGACTTCCACTTCACTATATTCAGCAGCCCAGGAGAGCCAGTTACGACCACTTTGATCTTTCTTATTGGGAAGCGGTAGGGCGCAGATCATGGCGTGGAGGCAGAAAGGTTGTACAGGCCCAACAAGTTTTGCCGGGCCCAGGTTATCTGGAGAATTGATTGACAAAACATATCTCTCTTTAAGAAACCACCAAAACCCTGTATGGCCTTCATCACCAGGAGTGTGTGGATCAGCTCCTTTTCGATCAACAACTGCATAATTTGCACGAACCCACGTTCCGCTGCCAGTGAAAAGGGAGTTCGGCCTTGTGCTTCTCTGTGGTCAATGTTGGCCCCAACCTTGTCGAGTAGACGTTGCGTTTCTCGTTCGTGTCTGTTCGCAACAGCCCAGGATAGCGATGTCCAGTTCTTCTCATCCCCCGAGTTGACACCCGCATTCGATTCGATTAAGTGACTCAGGATTTCAGTCTCGCCAAGTCGCGCAGCCATCATCAAAGGAGTTCGGCCTTCCACGTCCCTCGGGTCTATATAGATTTTGTTCTCGAGAAGAACCTTAACGGCCGATCCATGTCCTTTATTGATAGCCCAAGTGAGTGCTGTCCATTGGTTTACATCCCTCGAATTCGGGTTTGCGTCTGCGCCAAGGAGCATCTCCAAAATATCGGAACGTCCTAACTCAGCCGCTATTAATAAAGTGGTTTGATCCGTTGGACGGCGATTGGCAGCGAAGTAATCAATTTGCAGCAAAATTCCGTCCGGGGGGAGATACGTTTTGAAAGACCAACTACTCAAGTAAGGCTATTTAATTTCATCCAAGGCATCAACATCCGCCATTGCATCGATCAGAAGCCTTGTTATTTCACCATGTCCAAGTTCAACGGTAATCGAGAGTGGCGTGCGACCCTTCACGCGATGATTGACCAGGCTCCCATTAGTTTTGAGTAGTAGTTGGGTGGTTAGAAAATCCTGCTGAAAAGTTGCCCATACCAACAGGTCCCGTTCTATCCCGGTCATCTGCCTTCCTACCGCCTTAAAGTCGACCAGGAGCCTTGAGCATTCGACATCTCCGGCCTGTGCAGCGATTACTAATGGCGTTCGACCCTTGATATCTCTGGAGAGCCGAAAGCCGATCCATCTGCCGACACCGCTTCCAAGGCATGGCTTGACTTGGGGAGGTACGCCAGGGAAGTCCTTGCAGTCCAGGATACCCGTCGCTTTGTCTTAGGCTTTACTCTCTGTGGATCTCTAATGAGGGTATGGGTCTTTGACCGCCTGGGAGGAGTCGCATCCGAGCGTTTTGATATCAACGAGGATGGTCTCCAGTTTGTGTCCACCATTCTTGGTTTTCTATGGATGAGCGAGGCGGAATGTGGATTTGACCCTACAATCATCACGAAAAACGACCGGCGATTCATCGAGATAGAGCAGAATGGACATGCCGAGCGTGTCGTCCTCGAGAAATTGACGAAACGAGCACCTTGCATCGCGGGTCGAGCAACAACATGTTGGAAAGCGCATCGTGAAGAGGACCCCGGGGTTCCGCTCGTTGTCAAAGACTCTTGGCAATACACAGAACGCGACGAAGAAGGCGATCTCCTTCAAGAAGCCACGGAAAAAAGCGTGGTCAACGTCGCACGTTATTATCATCATGCGACAGTTTGCATCCGTGGGAAGATTGACGATGTCCGGGATAACGTCCGAGGTGGCTTGGATATCAGGACCGCGAGCAATTATCGACCAGAGCGCTTGGCGCTCTCGACTGGCACAATTGTAGCTGATGCGCCGCGAAAGAGTCGGAACAGCGGCAAGTCCGGTGTGAAGCGATCTTCTAGCCAAACTGGTGCTTCTCTGCCACCTAATAAGCGATCTTGTTCGGCATCTCCTACCAAGGCATCCAGCATGCCAAATCGAGTTCATCGGCGTGTCATCCTGCGTGACTATGGGAAACCAATTTACAAGGCAAGCACTCGCCAAGCCTTGCTTGCCGCGTTAAAAGGCTGTATTGCAGGGCATCAGTCTTTGCAACAAGCAGGAATCCTTCACCGAGATATTTCAGTCAACAACCTCATGATCAACGAGGATAAAGAGAACCCTTCGTGGCCGTCATTCTTGATTGATCTTGATCTGGCCATCAGAGAGACACGGGATGGCGTTTCTGGGGCGAATGGAAAGACTGGCACGAGGGCCTTTATGGCAATTGGCTCACTTCTGGGCGAGAAGCATTCTTTCATGCATGATCTCGAATCATTCTTCTGGGTGATCTTTTGGATATGCATCCACTATGAGGGGCCAGGTAAGGGACGAGTCGTTGCAAGGTTTGACAAGTGGAACTTTGTGGATACAGACGAGTTAGCTGGTATGAAGAAAGGCGAGATATCGGACGAAGCGGATTTCGTAAAGTCCGCAAATGAGTACTTCACCGAGTACTACCGGCCGCTTATTCCATGCATCAACACACTTCGGAAGGCGGTCTTTCCTAATGGAAGGAGATGGGCGAAGGAAGATCCAGGATTGTATGATCGGATGAAGGCCATCCTACGGGGCGCCCGAGAGGACTGAGAATGTTGGAGCTCTAATTTTGCAATGGCGCCATGTTAGAACCATGAATCTGTTGAGATAGGCTATGATGCACCACTGGATACAGCGTGAGGGTCGCTAGACAAATCGACCTTGAATGAATTGACAGAACTATTCAGAGTTGGCTGTTGAACCGTAGGACTGATTTTACATTGAGACTCTTGGGGTATTTATCATCGGATGAGAGAATAGCACTTGATAGTGGTAAACTCATGATCAGTCTCAATCGGTGTTCTCCCGTGAATTTTCAATGTAGTTCGAAAGTTCCAATTTGAACTTTGGCTTCCCTAGTTAATAAATTGGTCCCGTTCGAGATAGGTTCTCGTATCGCCCTCGGAGGCAGCGACGTGGAACAATTGAAGTCCTTTCATGTAGTGACCTCTGCGAGTTCATTCATGAAATTGTGCATAGCTGAAATTCTGTGCTTTTCTTTTTCTTTGAGACCTCCGAGCGCAGGATCATACGGACTTGAATTCATCCACGTTGACCACTTCCTGACCACTGCAATCGCATCTTCAGGGGAAATCTGAAACCATTCCTTATGTTCCTGCAGACATCCTGTGCAATCAATGTGTGCTTGGCAATCAACTAACTTTGCATGACACAATTCTTCGACGCGAAAAGTATTTGGAACTGCCATTGCAGACTCAGGCGACGTAGGAAATAGCAGTTTCAGCTTTCTGTTGCACTGAAAACTCAGCATTTTGAGGCGGTCAATCACAGGAAGAGATGTATATCCAAGTTTACAGCAATATTCGAAATCAGTTTACCCCCACACTCTCACGAATTGTTTCCCAAACCCTAACTTGAAACGCCCGAATCTTAATTTAGCTACTACTTCGACGACCTTGAGTTGCCTACATCGTAACGGCTGACAGTAACAAATGAGTCATTGTATTAATACCGTAAATCCCGTAGAACCTCGCAGAAGCCCAGGCTCGGATTTTTAAATAACCCGTGCAAATTGAACAAACAAGCGATCTTGCCACCACGTGATCCAGTTGTCAAGTGACAATCTCCCCGAATCGGATTTTAAACTCCCAAGCAGATCTCTTTGAGTTCATCGCTCGGCAATCGTCTGAAGCAGATGATGTGCCCTATCCACAACATCCTGCGAGTCCGAGAGAAGATGGGGCCACGAAGAGCAATTCCCGAATGGGACACACAAACGCCTTTTGTTGAGGGAACGAAAGTACAGGGAATGGAAGGTTGCCTGCAGGAGGAGAGAGAAGCTGAGAAGAGGGAAGGAAGAGGACCCTGCGAAACAGCTGACCAAGGGTCTGGTGGACGACACTCTCTTCTCAACACCCTGACCATGTATCGATTCACGTTCCCCAACCCCACACTTCCTCCAGCTTTGCCTTTGAAACTGATGTCGGCCAATAATTTGTCTCCTGAGTTGTAATTGAGTTGATTTCCATCAAAGCCTGTTGCTCGGTCAGATCCGAAAATTGCTCACAGCAGGTATTGATAGAGACACATGCGGTTATCAGGGCAGGGGGAGATTGTCGATTGGATAACGCGACGCCGCATATCTCTAGTACTGTTGCCCTGAGCTTGGCATCAACTTGAGCTAGAGATTTTCGTCGGGCCGGACCGACTCGTGGTACGTGGGGAGAGTAGGCTGTAAGAAGGATTTTGAGCAAGCCTATGCTCTGCAAGGCGAGAATGTGGCAGTCGTCGAGATAACGGACACGCGGGAAAATCTCACGCTGCGTCTGATCAGCGTCCACGGCATAGATTGGTGAAAATGATATAGGTCGACATTGTTGCCAACGATTGTAGAGGTCGATTAGCCCCTGGTATCGAGTGGCGTTCTGGTTAAGTGTATCATCATGGCAATATTGAACGGCGTGGGCGCATATGATGAGCAGACGGTTTACCCATACATGATCCGGTGCAGGGTCCCAAGTTAGAAATGATTCACAGGCAGACAACGGTAGGCAAAACGGGCGTTGTTGTGCAAAGGCGATATGGAACTCTTGACGGAATCCAACCCAGAACACAGCTTGACGGAATCCGAGGGAAGCAAGTGCCAAGTTTGCCTGTGCCTCGATAAAGACCTGTAGGCCCGTCACAGCTGTTTCAGTTGAGAATTCGATGAATGGGCCTGGGATCATTATTCTAGTTAAAGCAGATGCAAAGTCGATCATGTGGTGGACATACTGTCAAGCTCTTCATAGAATCGGAGAATCACTACCGCTGCCAATAGCTCCTCATCCATAATTGCGTTTGGTTCGCTGGCCAGGTACCTCAAGTCCCCAATGCATTCGTTATGGTAATGCAATACCATCTCCTCGCTGACAGTGATTTCTTACTTGAAACCGTACTCCTGGACGATCTCTTTTTGTCTTTTTCTTGGCAGAGTGCTGAAGTGTCTTGCTGATGCAGCAAGGATTGCATTGCGGAGTGTTTGACAGCCACGAGCTCTTTGTGGAACTGTATTGGCGAAATGATTCTCAGGGTCACATAGGTCAAACTGATGGACACGACGTTAGTTGATCATACAGATCGCGCAGAGGCAGTGTGTACGATTCTCACCCATCTGGCAAGGTCCTCGACAAAGTATTTTAACAGACACGCATCACGGGGACATAGTCTAGGCCAGACGAAATGGGGAACGTCAAGTAGGCCAAAAGGGTCGGTCTCCGGTTCCTCTAGAAAATCCCTGTCAGAAAAACTTGCTTTTGGTCCAAAACTTTCTGGAGAAGGTTGGCCTTGCGTCTAAGACAGACTCTCGCTGTTGCCGGCCTCAGTATTAGTAGATGGAGGATACGGGTGCATTAGCATAGTATACGTTAGAGAGGTCGTGAAATCTTCAGACTTCTCTTCAACAAATTTCAAATTGCTGCATTCTTTCAACACGTCAGCCAGTATTAGTAGCGGCTAGTATCACAACAAACCTGAGGTACTCGAAACGGCGTGACGAAACCTGAGCATCCGCCTGGAACGGACGCATTCACTTCCAGATTTTTCACATCGTGCACATTTAGGACCAGTGCCGACACCTGCTAACCTGCTGTTAGTAAAGGACCCGCTTCTCCGCGCCACACAAGTCTCTAGAGAGAAATTCATCTGGGTTATCTCACATTTGACATGGTTCTCTGTCCTGAAACATCAGCGAATTGCCTGGGTGAGTCAGGGGTTATAACTACGCACGTCGGCAACTCTGGCTGAAGAAGCACACGCCTCAGCGATCAACAGGCTAGCGACAATGGACAGGACCCACTGAGACGACTCACCATGGGTTCCCTCTGGGTGGCATGACTCTGGTAATCCGAGATGTTTCAGAGGCGTGAAACAGATATTGTGATGAATTCACGCGCTGGGGTTTGCGGGAGAGGACAGGAACTCGAAGTCATCAGAAGCCCTACATATTAACCCTAATTTCCCCGCATTTTGTCACTAACCTTTTTCTATCAGCAGTCACCGTACCGTGGAAACTACTGTCCCCACCAAAAGGTTATTGACGCTCTTTCAGTGTGTGTTTTTTAACCGTATAATCTACGACCCGATAGCCCCTACAACTTACGTGCTCCTGTTGATCATCCATGGGTAGCACTATGGAGTGATTCAACCTCTTCTCGCTCGTTTCGAAGGCCTGGAGGAATCATTTGAAAATACATTCGAAGCGACCATGAAGAAACCGGTCAAAATGTACATGAGGAAGGGCACGACAGTCCTGACAGCTACACGGTTTCTTGGCCAACTGCAACCATCGCTTCACGCATGATGGCTCGCTCCTTCTGTCCTTGGACGTCACCAAACACAACATCTATCTTCTCCAAGGTCTTTCCTTTAGTCTCTGGGACCAACAGCATCGCCCAAATGACAGCCAAGAAACACACCAACGTAAAGAAAATATAGGTCTGGTATCCTCTGGATGCCATCATTGGGGGAATGGCTATAGCGACAATGAATTTGGACAACCAATTCACACACACTGATAACGCGACTCTCCTGGATCTGTTTTTTGTAGCGAACACCTCGGGCCGGGGGGGAGCGCCCATCCAAGGGGCGCGTACGACACTCCATAGACGAGGATAAAGCAAAATGCCATCGCCACAGTCGCCCAGCCAGGACCTTGGTGAGCATGCCAGTCGGTGGAAAACAGACCAGCCAAGACTGTAATCACAATGTAACGGACTGTGTTTCCAACAGCGCCGAAAATTGCCAGCCGCCGGCGCCCAACTCTGTCAATGATGACAAAGCAGACGAGAACTGCGACCAATTGCAAAACATTGAAAATGCCGGACATGATCAAGGCCATGTGGCCCGACTGGCCTAAGCTTTCAAAGAGCGTCGGCGCGTAGTAGATAAAAGCGTTGATTCCCGAGAACTGCTGGAAAAATAATACCCCACAACCGACGGCAGTGCGGTGCCAGTTGCGACGCCGAAATCGATCAAGCCAAGAATGAATCTCTAGTTGGATGCCCGTGACCCCAGAATGTGTCTTCTCCCGAATAAGTCGCTGGAACTCGACTTCGGTAATGATTCCCTTGTACTCGGCCTGAACCCTCTCGTCGGCAGACGGAAGTTTGCGCAGCTTCCCCAAGCTAGCTAGGCACTCGTCGCAGCGATTAACGAGTGCGAGCCAGCGGGGCGAGGACGGGAAGAAGTGAATCCCAATACCTAGCAGGGTTGACGATACCATCTGCAAAGCAAAGGGAAGTCGAAAGGACGCTTCGTTAGTGATATACTGGGTACCATAGGTAATCCAGAAGGCAATAACAACACCTGCCACAGTTGAGACTGACTCAAGCACAAGGAAAGCACCGCGAAGCTCGGGTGGGGAGATCTCAGAGATATACAGGGGCGCCGTCTAGTTCGATATCAGTAGCCGTGTCAACGTCAGAGGGAAACAAAGACAGCATACCATAGCTAGGGTGCCCACACCAATTTCTCCAATTGCTCTACCCGCCACCAAGGCGCCGTAAGTCTGGGCAGCGGTCTGCATAATCGCACCGACATCAAACACAACGACAACGGCAGTCAACGCCCACTTTCTCGATATCTTATCACAAAGACAGGGCATAGAAGGCACCCGATGAATGCACCAAGCAAGAGTATCGACGTCATGAACGAGGTTCCGAATGCTGTCGTGGCTTGTGGGAATGCCTGGTGGAAGGTGCTCATGACATTGGTGATGGATTTCACGCCCTGATCGTATCCAAACGAGAAATCCCCAAGCGATGCCAGAAAAGCTGCTCCAAAGACGTAGGTGTTGGAAATGATGCCATGCATTCCCCCCGGCCCGTAGGAGATAGACTCCACCCAACCTTTCGGACTCGATGGAGTGGCGTCTTCATGTTGTGAGGACTCCGCAATCTCTTTGATGGAGCCCGACATCGTGGTCGATGGGGGAAGATCAAAATATGCAGAGGGATCTGGTTCCAGTCGCTGTAGGCAGCTTGTACTAGCACCAGGGTCTCTTTGTCGCTATATATACTTGAAAGATGCTTTGACTCCAAGTCATAGTTTGCAGCCCCATGAATCGCAACCCCATGGGGTACTGTTGAGACTCATTAAGCTCGTAACGGATCGAACTTTCCTTTCGGCGGGCTAGCTATTTTGATGATCCTTTCGCCGTTTCTGGTCAGGACTTTTCAGCCACTGACCTTCCTTTCTCATGAATGGCCGCATAGCAATCAACCATACACCTTGACACAATCCCATTCATGGTAGAGTGAACTTTCATTACCCGATGACCCGATAAATGTGGTCCCAGTTTCATGTTAAACGTTGCCAACTGATGGGGGAAGCCATTGATCATACGCCTAAACGTAGCTTCACCTCCAGATGGGTTCGTTTCGTCGCAACACCTCGTCTCATGAGGGGATGATACATTCTAGAATTCTCCACACACTCCTTAAATCAACTCTTCCCTTAGAATATCGGATTTCGGACACCGTAGGATGAGGGAGCGATATCTGTGGAGGTGTCAGTGCGGCAAATTTCGACTTTGAGTGGAACCAAAGGGGACTCAAATGCGGGGGATCGGCAAATCTTCGCCGACGCTAACCAAATCTGTCCACTTTCGGCGAAGCCTCCCATATTTTGATTTCCTTCACATCACAATTTCCCACGCCGTGGTCAGCTATTTCTCGCCCTCATCGACGTCTATATCAACCGTTAGCTATCGAGATCATGGAAATGGCGCAGTTACGGAAACATTCTTTGCAGCACGATGTACGCCCTCACCCTAGGACTCTTCGTCTTCCTCTACCTCTTTGTGAAGCCAGTCGTCGCCTACATATACGACGCAAAAGGCTTGCGGAAGTACCCTAACTTCTACCTCCTTTCCGGTATATCCGATTTCCCCTTGTTCTACGAGGCCAAGAAAGGGTTTCGTTCCCGGAAGCTCTTCGAGGCTCACAAGAAACACCCTGTGCTACGCATGGCCCGAACGCCCTCTCGTACTCCGACCACAGAGCCATCAAAGACATCTACGGTCATGGCACAGCTTGCATCAAGGACAGATTCTACTCTGAGACCTCCGGCTCGCACTCCAATCTAGCAGATTTTGTCGACAAAAGCGATCATGCCAGGAAAAGAAAGATGCTATCCAGCGCCTACGCACTGAAGAATCTTGAAGAGTGGGAGTTCAAAGTCGCCGATGTCAGCCGCAAGCTCATCAAAGCGTTCGATGCAAGATGTACTGACCCTCTGCCTCCGACCCAACTGCCGAAGAAGGAGGACCTGACTGTCGACTACCGAAATTGGACTGTTCTGTTTACCGCTACCGCGATCGCGAGTATTGGCCTTAGCGAGGACCTTGGATTCTTGAATGAGGGCTCCGATAAGGTGATATCGGAAAGCAAGGATGGAACTACCAAGGAGGTCTCTTTCCGCGAATGTCATGCTGCCACGAGCCGCGCCTCTTACGAGCTTGTCTGCGCCTACGACTGGTTTCAGGCCTTAAAACTAATCTTGGATCTTGCCATATTCAGGCAGAGCCCATTTTAGCATCCATTCTGACTCGAGAATTTGCTTGGTAGTAGGGCGATTCTCAGGTCTGAATGAGAGCATCGGCCGTAGCATGTCGAAGAAAGCTTCCCTCTCCCTTGCATCAAATGACAGCATGCCACTATCTCGCCTAGGCTGTTGCACGCTATCCTCAAACCGATCGTTCCAAGATCGGAATGGGTTACGGTTCATTGGCTTACCATCCTCGGTAAATTTCAGTCGTCGCGCCTCCCATCTTTTCCACCATTCAGGTGGCAAAACGCCAAGAGTATCGACATGCTCACAGGTTATATCGTCCTCCGTCGCCAGAAACCCTTCAAACAATGGCCGCTGGGCGATAATAGACCATATGGTACAGGCGAGAGTCCAAATATCCGATGAAAAAGACAGAGAGTCGTTTGGTTTAAACCGCGCCTCGGGGGGACGGATAATAAGGGGTGTACGAGATTCGTATTTCTGTTCTTTCGAGTGGGAGAAGGCTTCACCAAAGTCTGTAAGCAAGATCCTAGTTTCTAAAAGTGTGACTTCCTCGCTCGCTTGCCCCAACCATACGGGCACAGTACCGTGGGATGGGACACCAGGCGGAAGTGGATTACCATCTAGGCGAACGACTGGGTCGAGTTCTGGTGCTCCATATTTCTCATATAATTGCTCGAGTGAGAGCTGGTCAAAATTTGGCGGAACTCTGAGAAGAATGTTGCCGAGGTGAAGGTCTCCGTGGACAATCCCTTGGGCATGCACGTAATCCACAACAAGAACCAGTTGCGCAGCCAATGACCGGGCTACGTTAAGCTGGAACAGACGGATCCATGAACCATCTTTCACTCCGGAGAGGCTAGCACTCGCCGGCGCTGTAACGTAGCAAGCATGATTGCCGTTTGGGCCATGGATGGTGAACATGTCTAGTATCATGGGAACCATCATCTTTCCTGGGTGGTTGACCGGACGACAATCAGGACGAGTGAGAGTGGATATAATGTCCACTTCCTTTGGATTCGCGTTTGCTGTGCAAACTTTCATTGCGACGTATTTATTGGAGTGTTCATCACGGGCTAGCCACGCAGTTGAATAAGACCCATGTCCCAGCTTATGAACAACTCGATATCGACCGTGAAAGTGATCTCCGATTTGAATGGGGTGATAGCCCCCTGGTCGATAGTTCTCAAGTCTTTCGACTCCCTCAAGAGGCTCATAGACGAGACGCGTGTTCAAATCATCGTCGGCCTCCATTGAGTTGAATGCGGTGAGATTCAGCGCGCAGCGGGATTGCTTCTGTTGAAGTTGTCGCATATGCAACTTGCGGGCAGGAGGAATGGCTGAGGAACATAAATAATGCGGACGAAACAACCAAAAGGCGCACGGCAGCAATTTACTCATCGCCGTGTCGTGCGGAAAATCCGAGCCAAAAAGGGTTGATAAAGGTGATGCAAATATCTTACAATTCATTGAGTTACGTCGTGGGTGGGAGACGAAGGCCAGCTTGGAGAAGGATGTGTGGTCAATGATTGGGCGGAGCGGGGTATGAGAAAGTCCGAGCCCGAGACAAAGCGTTGATCTATTGGCTGACAAACCAGCATTCAACAGGAAAATGCTGCTCCAGCTGCAACATAAGCTTAGCACACTCATCAACTTCAATAGACGCCACGATTTGATGCCATGACCACGTTAAACGCAAAGCATGCGTGATTCCTAGGGGGTGGTCTGGTGTCTAAACTCACCTATAAGGTGATTCCTGGAACATGGAAGTCCTCATTCGACAAAATTTACGCGCCCTAGGCATTGCATTGCCCACGAAAGGTATCGTCGATTACAAGTGACGAGATTGGGGCACAAGGCAGGCTGCGGCTTTAGTTTCAGCAAGGTTATGAAAGCGGACACAGCCTAGGATGAAATACAATGCAGCGGCATCTTGCAATTATACCCTCTTCAAAGTTTCAAAGTACTACTGCCTCTGCAGCGACAACCCCATTTCGAGAGACCATCTGAACAAACATGTCTACGGTCAATATGGTCAAATATTATTTTTATAAGGGCATGATCCCGAAAGACCGAGACCGACTGCGCCAGCTTGTGGCTTTGGCATATCAGACCGCAAGAGACAGAAAGCTCTACCCCAAGGCGGTTCTTATTAGGTGCGTGCACGATGCGCTCGAGGGAGACGGTGCTTACATGACTTTTCTTTGCCTTGGATCACTACTAGATACTACCTGATTTCTGAATAAATTTTCAGGTCCGAGGTCCATGATACAACCAGTATCAATGGCATGCACCAGAAAGATCCGCTGGGTCCACACGTGACACTTTGCTACAAAGACAAGAATCAACTCCTGCAAGGGACTCACGTCGCCAGCCATGGCTATGTTCGTGGGAAAGACGACATTGGGTTTGTGCGCGCAACACATACTGGAGAGAAGTCGGACTCGGCCAGAAGGCAGCAAGGCAAAAAGACGGTATGGCCATCGGAAAATGAGCTTGAGGCTGCACCAGAGATCGGCTACAGCCATCTTCCAATCAACTAGAGTCCGAGTCATTTGTCTGAGGTGTATTGGTTGATTGAAGTGGTGGTTTGCTTCTTGGGGTACCACAGAGCTAGTTTAGTGCCGTCTATTGAATCCGATATATGGACAAATTTTGTCCATTTCTCATAATCCGTACTGCCTGGCTTGGAGAATAGTTCGGTAATTATCAATATATGACGGATCGGTCTTCCTCGATTGACAAATGAAATGGAGGAACAAAGACGACAGTCTTGTCAAGAAATTACCGAATGGGAAGATCTAATATGAGGACTCAGTCTCTAGAAAAGAGCTTGCGGAGTAAAGCCTACAGTAGCTTTTGGTGTTCATGTATAATCTTTTGACACTTGTTTGGATGCGTTGATTCTTTCCTGGGTGTAGTCACATTAGGCAGGTCCTCGACGTTCTGTGCTACCTTGCCACACGTATGACCTAGTTGCTCTTAAAAACTACACAAAACTACTAGTCCTCTTCGCGACCTCACCGTTTGATGTTGTTACTGCCGTGGAGGTCTGGGTGGTGAGAGCAAAGGAGAAAGCGAGCCAGCTGAAGAGGGAGGATTTCTGGGTACAAGAAAGCGGACGTTAAGGAGGATGTGAACAGAATAGTGAAACCGGCGGCAGCAGGTTGCCAGACTCGGTCGCCTTGCCAATTCGCTGCTGGATGAAAGCCTCAATTACTTTTTCTCAGGTCTTACAGTATCTTGTTCCTCTGCCAATCCTTTTGTTGGTCGATCCACATCTGCCGAGGTCGCCGAAATATTAGCTCGCGACAGAGAGTGATGCCAGCAATCGAGTAGGTAGAACAGTTTATTTGGTTGCAATCTCCGCTCTGCGGCTCACCTGAGCTTTTCTTGTTCGTCAAGCTGCCGTCGTAATTCGACTATTGTTTCCTCCATGGCTGGTCGAAAATAATAATCGAGGGACTCAAGTTCAGAGTCCAACACAGCAGGGGACATCTTGCCGCTTGGGTCTAGGGGGAAACTGTCACAATCGAGACGCAGGACTGCGCGTCTGAGTTGTTTATCTCCAGCCAGTTTACTCACACATGGCGCGAAACGTATTAATGCCTAACAAAGGCTTCAACAAGCTCTTGCCAAGAGGCGTTTCTTCTTCCAAACGTCAGCACTCAGTCAGATTCAGTCCTTCCAAACATTTTCAGTAAGTACAGTCACCATGTCGTGGACCATATCCCAAATGCATCGCTCGGCTGGCCCGACGCTTTCTATCCTTCTATCAAAGGGGACGCCCCGCAGGGGTATACTTTGAGTCTTTTCACTGTTCCTAAGAATCACCCAAACAAACAAACGGCTACGATGTTTCAGGGCCCAGATATAAGAAGTAGGATGACCTCACACCGATCCAGCCTTTGCGCAGCACTGAGGACTTTCTGGATAGCGTACGCTGATTCAAGACTCGACACAATTGCTTCGGTATCCTGCATTATTCGCAACCCTTCTGTCGCCTCTTCGTTCGATGCCGATACACATTCGAGCCGGCCAATTTGTGCCCAGTAAGCAAGCTCAGGCCCGACTGCGGGTAGATTCATGTCTGCAGATAGTGATTCGGTTGGTAGGATTTGACCATCGTCGTCCTGCATGACGTACGTGAAAGCTCCGCCGTAGACCCCTTGAGAGCCTCGACAGAGAGCCGCCGAGCCAAAAGCTTCGACTCCGAGAAGTCTGACTGACTGGCACTCCAAAAATGGATAGAAGAATCCAGCTGCTGTGCCATTATCGCTAATAGGTGCAGTAACTAAACTTGGGAGCCTTCCGCAGGTCTCATTCAATTGCCGCATTGCTTGTCTTCCAATGATAGACTGGAAGGTACGGACAATCGATGGGTAGGGGTCTGGCCTAGTCGCAGAGATTGAACGGTAAAAGGAAGTTCTGAAACGGTCCGTTGAGGCCCGCAGGGCTTCACCAGTGGCTTCACGAAGTGACATGCCGCCGTTGTTGACTCTAATCACTGTCGAGCCCATCGTCATAATTTTCTGGATATTCTCTACCTGGTTAAGAGCATCCCTTGCGCCCACGTAGATGCTGCATGCCATTCCCAGTGTTGCACACAAGGTAGCACATTCGATCCCATGGTTTGTAGACCCGCAAGCTGTGATAATTTCTGATTTGTTCATGCGACGCGCCAACAGGATCAGGCCGACAATGTGATGTCTGTTCGAGCTCGCGCAGCCGTTGAGATCCTCACGCTTGAGCCATATATCTCTACCGCCAGCCCACCGCGTCAACATCGGTGCTTTTGCCAGCGGGCTTGGCTTGTTGGGGAAGAAGGACCAGTATTATTCCCAGAAATCAGCATCGGTCAGTGTCCGGTGGGAAAATGCCGCAAGTTCTTTTAGAAACTCGATCTGGCTTTCAGGTGAATACTGTCCTCCAAATTTACCAAATCTCCTGGCGGTAACAAAGCCGTCTTCGTACAATGATTGACTGTGGGCCATTCTAGGTTAGACATGAGTTGAAGATACGAGAGAGATATTTTGGATCGCAATTTTGTCTGGGAATATCATTGATTCTTTAAATAGGCCTCAACTGTCAGTCTACTTTATTCCTGCGTTGTTGTCTCTCGATATGTTGAAGCTTGATTACAAGCCTTCACCCATAAGGACACTATCCAGTCCTGGCGAATTAATAGCTCATCAGCTTAACTAAAATATATTGTTTCATTTCTGCATGGATATTCAGTAATTCGGTCTTACATTAAAATGCTTTTTGATCTAGAATCAGTGCCCCAGTTTTAAACTTATGAATTTGCTGGATATATTTTAGTCAGGTAATTGCTATGTTGCCATTTACGCGGAATGCTTCCACGTACCTCATGTACAATAATGAAAAAGTAGCGTCCATCAGGCTGAAGTGACAGATCCTCGTTTGCGCGATTTCCCGATAGGATCACTATATTGGATTGCCCATGTTTCAGGTCATGCTGAAGTTACACGTGAAAGACTATAAGTGTGCTTCCTTGCCAACTCAGCAGCACGAATTTGTAACATGAGCTTCCATTTTTTCATATACTAGTATATGCGGCTTTAGTGATCTAAGGCTCGTTTGACAGAATTAGTCGTAAGTACTTCTATTACGTGGAGACACGTCAAGATCGGTAGTAGTACGTGTGGTCTGCATGTCCAAATACTGACACTCTAGAACTATGTTTCGTCTGCTCAGGTACATAGCATTTAACAGCAACGTTCAAGAGAAAAAATGTAATGAAACGCGCAAGTATGAGAAGAGTAGGCTATGATATTTCAACAGCTCGATACCCTCTAAGTTAAAAAGGGTGCCCTATACAGTATCATTTGACCCTGTAAACCCTATCCCGTATTCAGTTCTCAGGGCAAGCACAGGTAGACACAATAACTGGAGTTGAGGTCTTGGTTGAAACGGCCGGTGAGGTTGTGCGTATAATTGGCACGGAAGACGAAGTCAGGGAATGTACGGATCCTTGGTCAGAAGAGATACACGCTGGCGTGACGCGCCTGACCACTAAGCTATCTCAACAATTATTTTGTAAGTTAGTACTTAGGTAGTAAGGAAATATAAAAAACCTTACTCTTTTTAGAGCTAAGTAGGGCTCATAACCTATCAGAGAGCTATAGTAAAACGTAGTACTGACTAAAAGAGGGGAGAAAGGGATGGTGAGATTGAATATAGTGAGAGGTGCTATCTAAACTACTAGTGGTGGTGTGCGTAGGCGTACACCACGCTGGCGTGACGCGCCTGACCACTAAGCTATCTCAACACCTAGGAGCATGTAGACTGAAATATGGTATTGATTGGTCCGTCACGTAGCAAGCTCTATTGCGGCGCGATTAATTGCCGCAAGTTTATAAGGGTGCAAGATCATATTGATGATGCCAGGCTCTTTTTGGCGGGGCAATTTGGCGCAATTTTGAGAGGGCGGATGGCACGTGAGAGTCACTAGCGTGTTGTATATTATTGAGGCAGCTGCAAGAGGTTGCTCACCCCTTGATCAGGTTCTGCTCAGTGAGCGAATCAGGGCGCTCAGAGGCGTGCTCAGTTCTACTCAGTGAGCAAAAAGCGGCAAGGTCTGAGCACTAAAACGGAAGGGGAAAGCCAAGAAGTGGCAGAGGAAACTACGTAGGTCCCTCCACCACTAGGTACCTACTACCTACTACCTAGTACCTACACTTTTGCTTGATGCGTAGTAGGTCGGGTATGATCCATACTGAGTACTGGAAGAATGCAAAACCACATGTTCGGGCTTGAACCTATCTATGCCTATGGAGTCATCGAATTTACAAATGCACACCGCAAGTCATTCCTTTGTCTGACCAGAACTTCCATTGAATCACGAAGATTGGACAGGGGCAACGAGACATCATCTTGCAGTCCTACGGCTCCAAAGACACTGCTCCATGGACAGATGTACAACCTCGAGCTGGTTCGACTCCAGCTGATCTACAGTGTTCGCAGATGGAAATATCAGAGTAGTCAAGCAAATCATGAACAATCGTCAACCTCCGCATGTCATGTCAATTGTTTGTCTTTATTTCTCTCTCATCGCACTAGCTTCGGTTCATATCAAGCCGCGCGGAGTATGCGAGTGTCTCTATGGACAGTCATAGTGTGTGTAAGTGGGTCGACGGAATTGAAGCAGTAATATAAGGCATCGAAGTGGCTTTTCCGAGACTCTTTGAACTCTCGGTCCCGAATTTATCGAGCTTTGCCAACTTGATTGGCAGCCTCTGTATCAAGCAAGCAGATCAGCTTCAATCTTCTTCACATTCACTCAAAGCACGATGAAATCTTGTCTACGCGACAAAGGGCGCACAGGGCAAAGGGCCCCTCTTATCCACCCCAATAGACAGATCATCCATTCATGGAACAACTCCGGGCATATATCACTGACCTCGCCTCGTAGCATCCTCCAGCAAACCGACGTCGACTTCTGATCGCGGCAACATGACATAGCGCACCACACTTCCGCGGATGAACATGCTCTTCACAGATGACAGGTGCGGATACTTGTCAAGGTCCAGGACCTCAATATCGTCCAACTTGATGTTCAGGTATTGATCTACGGACTTGAGGATACCCCGAATGCGAATATCATTTTTCAGCTCGATGGTCACGACTTGGTTCGTGAGCGTCTTGAAGAAACTGGTCATGTAGAATAGAAATTATCAGCTCATTGTCCTTGCCTGATGGTGGGGGAGTCCAGTTCGTCGTGGGCAGTACCTGAAGAAAAGCATGGCGGCGGATTTTGGTCGTTCAACCGACGAGCAAAAAGAGATACCAAGAAAGAAGGTTGGGTCCGTTCAGCGAAGAAACTTCAAGCACTTCGTGAGGGACAATCGGTGAGGGTTATCAATTCCAAGTCGCAAGAAGCTTGAATCCTGTCAAGCGGGCATTGCTGGGGTGGTCCGCAGCTCCGCAAAAAATCACCACGTGACCCCCGCTGCTGATGACTGCGGCGCGGTTTTCAGCGGGCGTGGACCCCAAGTCTCGCTCTCGATTTCGACCACTGCAGTGCCGCATCGAGACTCCATTCGGATTTCGTCCAAATTATGTTCATCGACATTGATCGGGACTCACTGAATCGATGGATAAATATCGCTCATATCTGACTCCGCCCGAATCTCAGTATCACTGCCACTTTTTGACCTCGCAAGACGAGGGTTTTAGTACAGTTCTACGCACGTGCCAGTGACAGGGTTCAAGCTCTTGCAGAGCAATAAGGAAAAAGTGCCACAATTTTGGTCATCTCGTATTACATTAAATAAGTTGGCCACCGGGGCACGTAGGGTATAAGTGAGGATAGACATAATCAACGTAAAGCATCAGGTGAGGGAAAGGAAAAACCCGTCGTGAATCAATCAACGACGTAAGTGTGTCGTCTTCTTATTCACTTTGGGCTTCATAGCCCACCCGGACAAGCAGGTCCAGCCTGCGCCCGTCTTTCTCCCTTCATCAAACAAGGCACCCACTCCATCAAGCAACTTGGATCGATCTTGACCCATCTCGCTTCGCAGCCGGACCAGCCACTGCTCCCACATCCAGCCACCAAGAATGCCAGTCACGCTGGCAATGTCCTCGGTACTGCCGATGGGACCTTGCACTGCTTCATAGTCTTCGATTTGGCTCTGCACGCGAGGAGCCGGAGTCTCGCGAGGAGGTTCCGGCGTGAGAGGCTCCGTACCCATGGGCAGGAACATCCAGGCCCGCTTGATGTTAACAAAGCCTCCCTGTCGAAGACGCGCCAGGAACTGTTTGGACGCAGCGGGGTCGTACCCATTCGCTCGAAGATTGTGAGCAAAGTCGTCAGATGCTGCCGAGCCACATGGACCAGCCCGAGAAATAGCCGCATCCAGTACCATGAACTCCAAGTAGCCCCCCGGCTTGAGACAGCGACGACATTCCTTGAGCACCAAATCGTACTCGTCTCGGTCAAGCCCGGCGGGACACTGGCTCTTCAACAAGGCGTGAAGAGAGCGAGTAGTAATGACATCAAACTTGTTGTTCCCAAATGGCAACTCCCACAATCGGTCCACCGTCACCACACGGTGGTTAGGCGGTCCCTTTATGGCACTGTTGACGGTCTGTGTCTGACTGACCACTGAATAGACCTTTGTTTGTGGAAACTCCAAGGCCGCATGCCAGCCCCATTCACATGAAGCATGACCGCCAAGATCAAGGATACGCACTGGGCGTAGATTTGGGCGAGGTTGACCATGAGGCGTCTTGCGGACCCGTCTGGCTCGCTTCTCAACCGGACTGGTGAGAAGCTGGCCACCGTTGAGACATCGGAGTGCGTCCATGGCCCACATCGGCTGGCAAAGCTGGGCCAAGACTAGCTGCTCCTTCTCAAGTTTTGCGAACTGAGCTTTCTCGGCCAGCACCGAGGTGATGATCGAGTTTCGCGGTGCCTGCGAAAATGGTCCCTTGTACGCAGGTCTCTTCGGTAGAGTAAGCTCATACTTGCCCATCAAGCCGTTGAGGTGTGTCTCCAAAAGGCCGACGCGGAACGACTGAATGGCATCAAAACGCATGTTGCGGTGAAGAAAGCCGTCGGTAGCGTTTCCTCTCTGCCGGATTGACTGGAAGCCCCGCCAATAGATTGAATCCTTGCTGGCGAACATTGGCGGATCAGGACTAAGAGATTCAGGCACGCCCTCTAGAAATCGAACGCTCTTCTTGGTCGTCAACTCAGGATCCTCGGGATGATCAACAGGCTCGGCAGGTGAGCTGAAATTGGTCTTCGAGTCAACCTCGTTGATGGGGTTAGTCTCGTTCAACGCGGCCAGATAGGTTGCTTGAGCGTTGAGCCACACACTTGTCCGATCAAGACTCGCCGCTGCACGTTGTTCAAGTTCGGTTTCGTAGAGCTCATCATATTCATACACGTTGCGTGGTTGCGTAATCTCCTGAACAGCCTCAAAGGTTGCACTGATAGGGCTGCTATTATCCTGCCGAGTTAGTGGCCGTGCGGGTGTCTCGCACGGTAGTCGAATCGCAGTGAGTGGACCCTCCTCAATTCGAACAGCCGTATCCGGGTCCTCTTCGTGCGCATGGTCGGGCCACTCGATGACTTGCTCAACGACTTCGCCCTGGTCACGAGAAAAGGGAAGATCATAAAATCCCTCTGCTACCGCGGTCGTCGGCGGAATGTTGGTGTTCGGGATCGACCACGTGTGACGAGCTCGTGGAGCCAAAGACGCAAAGAACCCACCAGGCGATGGGATGCTCAACTCGCTGAAGCTGTAGCCGGACAGTTCTGATGCAGGAGTTGCTCCGTCAAAACTTCGAGGACGGCTTCGAGGGGCAGGTTGGAGCTGCCACATCTCATCATCTTCAGACGTCTCGGACCAAGTCTCAGGCGTGCGATCAAGAGGGATTTGCTGCAGCATTGCCAAAGCCCCATCTGGGAGAAAGACACCGTCATCAGACGGTGTAGGCTCCCGTACTGGCAGCTCATCAGTGATATCGGCCTCCAGATTCAAAGAGTCCAAGGAGATATTGTGCAGGGCTGGCAAGAGATGATCAAACCGCCCGAAACTATGCCGCCAGTCATCGTGCGATGCTTCAATAGCGATCACTTCGTCCGGTAGCTGGAGCTGGTTGTCATCCGAGGTGAGGTGGTTCACTGGATCGTCCACATCCGGGCGCACATGAAGATCTCGAGAATCCCAGTCTGTATCCGGAAGGGAGTTCGAATCCGGGGTTGCCAGTGCACTCGAATTGGATTCTTGGTCGGAGGAGACACTTCCATCGAGCGACGGTGGAGCAAATGAGGCCGGAATGTCCCGACTCAGCAACGACCACGCTGCAGGTGAAACCGGAATCTTCGATGGCGGCGTTGGAGGCACCGGCGAGTTCTTGCAAGTGCCATTGAGCGATGGCCATTGCGTCGACGATGGAATGTCCAGTTTGAGCCTGAAGTCTCGGGTCCCCTGACTGCGCCGACTCCCTGTTGATGTGACCGAGTTCCGCGTGATGGGGGTGATTAGACTTGAACGTTGGGTGTTGATGCCCGAGAAACAGGATTCACTGATTTCGGTGGAATTATCATCTTCCGTATCGTTGTCATCAGTGGCATCGTACATGTCGTCATAGTCTCGTATCTCTTGTTGCCATTCGTAGTCCGAACACGAAGAAAGGGTGCCGGCAGAGAGCGGCGACATCAACCGGGCCAGTCGTGGATTCTTCGGTGCTGGAAGTCCGCTCGTCTTGAGTGTCAACTTAGGGCTTATCTGAGCAGGCTTGGATGGCAGAGTTGTGACGGCCGCATCCCCAATATTTGATTCACCGACGTCTTCCAAAATGGGATCGAGCATAGTGCCGCGTGGCTGGCGCAGAGGAGGACATCGCATGGAATGAAATGGAACCAAGTCAGCCATTCTTTGCGTTCTCCCTCCCAAGTCCTGATGCGCAAATAAACCAAAACAAAACAAAGCGAGATCCGAGCAAAGGTAGAGAAAGATCGAGAATGCCAGTGGGTGTTTTCCGGTAACACGCAAATCTAGGGGTATCTCAAAAGTCGGACTTTGAAGCAAAAAACATTTGACACCGATCCACGGGTCAAGGTGCGATCAAAAATTCGTCAAACTGAAACTATCACCAAGGAAAATCGACTGATTTGTCAGGTTGCAGAGGAATGCGAAGCAAGCACGATGTTGCGAATTCGCCTCAGCTACCAGAGCATGAGACTACAAGACCAAAAGGAAAAGAATTACGAGATGACGGAGTCCAGGACGCGAGCGACAACGCTCTCCCGCTAGCCTGGGATATATACCATCCCACGATTTCTCAAGGTTGTCTTCACCTTGCCGTACAGCGTTGACGCGGAGTGGGCGCCTGCACGCCTCCATCCACCTGTAGGCCGGAGGCCGAAACACCTGGAAAGGCTTTTCCCGGTTCTTTAGCGAATCTCCTCTATGCCGGTCGCTGGTCACTGGTCAGGCTACTGCATGACCGAGCACGAGTAGGTGATGAAAATCAGTAGATCCCGCGTAAAAAGGAGTGAGCAGAGCGGTCATTGGTGCAGATGAGAAAATGGGCGAGTCGCCCAAAGCTCATCGCCTGTGTAGCCCGACGCAGGAAGTACGGTAGAACAGTGACTTTGCAGGTTCATGAATGCTACTCATGCAGGCCTTGCAGGTGTGCTGGAAGCGACGAATCATCAATCTGGAAGGATGATGAACCGCCCGAGCAGCAGGCGGAGACGTGACGGGGGTGCCGCGCGCTGGGCCAGTCGTGGCTCCTCTGTAGCCGCCGAGGTGGCTAATCTTAGCATTTCCATCACAAAAATCATGGTTAAGTCGCCCGAAACAGACAAATTGGCATGAGCCAGGTCGATTCTCTTCCGTCCCTCCGAAAGCAAATTCCGCGAGATTGTTCACCCACGTCGCATCACGGGGTCACTCGTCGTCTTCGGAATGGACAGACTTGGTGTGAGTAATTCGGCTGAATCAGCATGTTATGAAGATCGGGAGTCATGTTGTGGGATGTGGGGGATGTACGCTGCCCGTGACTGATGCAGAACATCAATCCAGATCAGGTGATCATAGCGGTGGCGCTTCACCATCATCCGAGACCAAGCATTGGTGACCACTGACTGTGTACCTTAGTAAGGTACGTTAGGTAGTAGGTAGGTACCTAGTGGTAACTAATAGGTACTGATTACTGACTCAAACATCTACTCTTCCTTCGAAACTATCACAGGAGAATTTGACCGGTGACCTTTCGATTCTGAGTTTAGCCTTTGGTGATTACGGAGCTACCTACTGTACAGCGTTGTAAAAAGATATCTCTTTTCGTATGCTTTCGTTCAGGCTCTGTGTCACTGTCAAGAATTCACGATTTGCTTCACTGCTTAGCTTTACCTTATCAATATCAATGTATGAGAATGAAATTTTCAAGGCAGTCGGAACATGGATGCCGATTGCGATCAGAAGCTGGACATCTTACACTTGGACGAAGAAAATAATCAGGCCTTAGTCGGGTATCTGTCACGTTCAGGCAGACACAGCAATTGAGTGGCGCCTATTCTGGACGAATATCGTTCAGCTACAAAACTTGTTTATGGTCAACAAAGCCTCAAAGTCCTTAAATGTCCATTTGATATGACGCCGGCCACCAAGGGCCGCTTGAAGGGAGGCCGATCCATAGGCAAGGATGAATCTCCCGAGTGTGCCCAAAGTCTTGGTCCAACTCCAAGGTTCATTGCCGAAGCATGCTCAGTGATTATCTTCATGAAGGCGCATCTGTGGAATCTGCGATTGCAATCTGATTCGATCGCTCAATCAAATAACGTAGCCTCAAGTAAATCGATGGCGACTGAAACTTTCTGTCCCCCCTCAGCACTTAAGGAGCATCCCTTGAGCCACATGTCTGGGCCGGCGCGTAAGAACGGTTTCTGATAGGCACCTTTGGAGACGGTCGTCGTACCTAATGGCTCATGCCGAAGGTTGACGATGTATGATCTCCTCAGTGATTGACTTTCAAGTATGCATCGTCGAGACCTTTTCTTCAAGACATGCAAAGCGGCTGTGGCAGCACTTTCCGAGCCGGAACGACGTCTAGCATTGAATCACCAGCGCCCAACGGGGTTTGGGAAAAATGACTCTGCTCTATGTGTTCTTGGAACCAGCTCGACAAGTTTCTCAGTTCACGGTCACTGGGTCGGAGCGGTCGGTCGTCGTTCGCCGATACATGGCCGGAACTCAGCCATCCCAAAGCATCGCTAGTCACGCTGGCTGGCTGATTTCTGAGGACGACGAGCAGTCCTGGTTGTTTGTGAACTGCCGTACAAAGAGAGTCAATAATTAGGGATCGTAGCACATAATAGTACCGGAAAGCCCGAGCCAACTGTGCTAGGAGCTTGTGAGTGTCGTTGCCTGATTTCTATCATCAACGCTAATCGTATCACCAGGGCGGATCCATCCTGGTCTAGGGAGTGCCACAATCCGGGTCGTCAACGACTTGTGGCCCTGCAACAAACCCTGGTCTACTTGGTCCAAGAGCGATGGCCTCCTCAACTCAACTTTCTCCCCAGCAGGACTTAGCGCTGCCAAGTGCGGCTGAGATTGGCGGCAGGCGACTCCTTCTGTCAAGTTGCTATGCGCAAGAGTTCTCTGTTCTTCGGGCAAGACATTACACAGTGCACTGATTACCCTCCGTTCGGATACAATCATACCTTCAATTTGTGTCATCAAGGATTCGTCCATTCTCGCAGCCCTGAAAAAATGGACCGCCCCTCCAAGGACGCCTTTCAAACCGGCTGGATCTGTGCCCTGCCGATCGAGGCTGCGGCTGCACACGAAATGCTGGACGTGAAATTCGGAATCCTTGATGAGCAAGATTCAGCAGACTCGAACACCTACATGCTAGGTCGAATTTGGCAAACACAACGTTGTGATTGCCGCCCTCGGAGGCGAGTACGGGACTACCTCGGCTACTGTGGTTGCGAACAACATGCTTCGTACATTCTCGAACTCGCTTCGAATCGGATTAATGGTCGGCATCGGCGGTGGAATCCCTTCTGCTGCTCATGATATCCGTCTCGGCGACGTCATCTTCAGTTATCCAGATGCTACTTGTGGTGGTGTAATCCACTATGATAGGGGCAAGATTATTGCTGGTGGTGAATTCCAACGCACAGGGTCGCTGAATAGTCCACCGAGGGCACTATTGACCGCAGTCAACATAATGAGAGCGGCTAGTCTGACTGATGACCCCTCCTACCTGGGTTATATCCAAAGTACCATCGAGAGAAACGCTCGAACTCGCAAAAACTTTGGCCGGCCTCCTTCACAACCCGATCGACTTTTCCTGGAATATGTGCCCGACTGAATGGGAACAGATGAGGGATCTACGCGACGATAGTGATCCACTGCCACACTATGGCGTCATTGCTTCCGATAACAAAGTTATCAAGCATGGGGAAACCAGAGAGCAACTTCCCCTGAGAACTAGCGCGCTATGTTTCGAAATAGAGGCAGCCGGTCTGATGTTGGATTTTCCATGCATTATCATTCGCGGCATCTGCGATTATGCCGATTCGCACAAGAATAAGGCATGGCAGGGCTATGCAGCCTTGGTAGCAGCAGCCTACACGAAGGAATTATTGGAGTATATCCCTGTTAGGCAGGTATCACAAGAGGGCTTGGCGGTAGATATGTGTAGTAAGTAAACGAGAGCTTTACCTCGCTCATTCAATCTTAAGAGTCGCTAGCTTATATAGCTCTATTAGATGGTTTAGCCGAATTGAATGGCATACGTCAGGATTTAGACTAAGCACGTAACTAAGAAGCAGAGCACCACCGCGAAAAGCTCGCCTTTGTTCGGACTGAGAAGCATAACCGCTGTCATCAGACGTTCAAAACATCGCCCTACGAGGAGTAAAAGAACATCAACCCCATAAAAGCGGAAGGAACCTGTTAATGAGCTCTCCAGAGTATTGAGTACACCTGTTGGCTGGAGAGTAGTGCGAACGATCTGCTCTGGGTAACTGCCGACCCCGGCTGCGGTAAGTCTGTCCTTTCGCGATCATTAGTTGAGGATTTCTTGAAGGACTCTACTTCAGACGTTACTGTCTGTTACTTTTTCTTCAAAGATAGCGATAAGCCAGATCGACTTAACAAGGCGCTATGCTCAGTACTGCATTAGTTGTTCAGTAATAAACCTCAGCTCCTCCGTTATGCTTTACCCTCTTAGGAAAAGACCGGTTCGAAGCTATAAGGAGAGGTAGAAGAGTTGTGGAGAATCTTTATGAATGCCGCGTTATCGGATAATTCATGCAAAATAATTTGCATATTCGACGCACTCGACGAATGTCGTGAGATGGATTAGAAGCGACTTATCGAGAAGCTACAATTATTTTACGACTTAATATGCCCGCCGACACAGGAGTCCTGGTTGAAATTCCTAGTCACAAGTCGCCCCTACGCGGAGATAATAGATAAATTCTAATATGTGATGGACTCTTGCCTAATCCTTCACCTTAAAGGAGAGGATGAAAATGACTAGATTAGTCAGGAGATTGATATTATTGTGAGATTACGAGTATATAAGCTTGCTAAAGTAAATAATCTGCTACTGGATATCGTGTAGCGGATCGAGTAGTAGAAGCTGCAATCGCGTAGTCGCACGTATCTCTAGCTATATCTAGCTATGGCCGATATTCGAGCTACCTTCAAAAACAGCCTTCGCCCTGCCGAGGAAGAAATTCAGTTGATACTTCGATCAGTCAATAAGGCATATGAGAAGATTCTGAGTCGAGTGCCTTCTAACCGTGTTAGTACTGTGAAAAACGTGCTGCAAATCATTGTTGGGGCACGGCGCCCCCTGACCACAGAGGAAATGGCTATGGCGCTCGGTATAGCCGAATCACCGCAATCCGAGACTGTAGCAGAAGCTGGACTGGACTCATCGCGAATGGGTGGAGTTATACGTCGATTATGTGGTCTTTTTGTCTTCATTAATCATTCCAAGGTTTATCTGCTGCATCAGACAGCAAAGGACTTTCTTATGAGGAAGAATAATGCTTGCAATATCGAACACCTATTCTTATGGACACTTACCGACGTGGAGCATCAGCTGGCTTTGATCTGCTTACGATGCTTGTTAATGAAAAATCTGGTTAATGATGATCTTTACCACATTCCAGGATTTCTGAAATACGCAGCAATTTATTGGCAAGATCATGTCAGGGAGATGGGCGTCACCCAAGACCCCAAGGCCATTCAAAGACTCCAGCAAGTATACACAATGTCTCCCCGTCGACTTTCATTGTTGTTTACATCAATGTCGACTATTAACGATCCATGCGAGAGTCTAAACATACCTGCTTTAACCCTAGCGTCAAGGAATGGGCATATTCAGGCTGTCGAATTTCTCTTGTCTGCGACGGGAACCGACGTCAATGCGAAAGATGAATGGGAGAATAGGTCGATTTTCTGGGCCTCAAAAGAGGGATATGATGAGGTCGTGCAGCTACTACTCGAGAGAGGAGCCGATGTCAACGCTCAAGGTGGCAAGTACGGAAGCGCCCTACAGGCCGCGTCTTGGGGAGGACACAATCGAATCGTACAGCTACTTATTGGATGCTACTGGGAGAACGTAGCAGACCCAAAAGAGGGGAGAAAAGGAATGGTGAGATTGAATCTGGTGAGAGGTGCCTATCTAAGCTACGAAGGTGGTGTGCGTGGGCGCGCTGGTGAGACGCGCCAAACCACCAAGCTATCTCAACACTACTACTCGAGAGAGGAGCGAATATCAACGCCCAAGGTAGCGAGTACGGAAGCGCCCTACAGGCCGCGTCTTTCGAAGGATACGATCGAATTATACAGCTACTAGTCGAGAGAGGAGCCGAGATCAACGCTCAAGGTGGTCATTAGGGAAACGCCTCCAAGCCGCCTTCTCTGAAGCGCCCAGTTGAATCGTGCGGCTATTGAGTCGAACAAGCAGCCGGCGTCAATGTCGAAGGTCTATCCTCCAGATATGCCCTGTAAACGTCCTCTCGTCAAGGACATGATCAAGTCGTGCATTTGCTAGTCGAAAATTGGCCCAGTCAGTGCTGGAAGTGGACTTTATGCAGGCGCTTCCTGATCCGTCATCGAATCGATAACGCACAACAATGGCATTGCAATTGCTCAGCATGCGTAGTTCTCCATCTCTCATCTCCAGGGGAAAGTCGTTCAATATAGCCCTCGAGGACTTTGTTGTATGTACCACAAAGCAAGCCCCGTTACAAAGCATTTGCTGCGTCCGGTGTGGAATGTGTACTCCCACTTATACACGTGTCTCGGATGACTCTTCGATAAAAAAGATTCAAACCGTAATCTTGACCTTATCCTCTTGCTCATCACGGAGCTTGTATAAAACATGGAGAGATCAGTCCATGTTTGAGCACTACCACGTACGATCTCGATGGAAGTGGAGGGAGCTGAGATTCGATATCCTGATTCTTGAGAAAGACCTGATTTTGTACAGTGAATGCCGTCAATCCCAGTATATCGGTAACATAGGTAGACAAACTCGAGCCTGATAGCCGAGCTGCGGTTACCTGAATTGCCCATATCATTAGTACCTAGCATAGTTCAAGTCTAGAGGAAAGTCGGAACTTGATTAAAAGGTGAAGGGTAGGTAGATAGTCATCTACAGTAACTGTTCGAGCAGGGTGGGTCCGATCCACATCAGTTACATCAGACTCTCAAGCACTGAACTGCGGTCTTTGGGGTCAAAGCCGTTTTCCCTGCGGACTGTAGCCCTGGAAAGCTACTACTAAAACCAGCTTCCAACTCCCCGTGATCGGTGTACTCCATTATCCTCAGTACCGAAACCACCGTCAATACCTTCACTCATCCTCCCCATCTCCCACTTCTGCTCTTCCCCAATCTTTTCTCACTCCATCCCCCCCCCCCCCCCCACTCCACATCATGGCGCCGCCTGCGATCATTGCGCCCTCAATCCTCAGCGCCAACTTTGCCAACCTGGGCCATGACTGCGCCGAGAAAATCCGGCAAGGCGCAGACTGGCTGCACATTGACATCATGGACGGTCACTTTGTGCCCAACATGACCATCGGGTGTCCCGTCGTCTCCCACATTCGCGGCTGCGTGGATCGACCCCTCGAACCTGGAGCGCGGGGTACATTTGACTGCCACATGATGATCGCAGAGGTACGTTTGTCCTGGCACAACGTCCGTTGCAATTGGTCCACAGTGATGGCTCGGGCTGAGATGCTGACTCTTATTCTTTGCGGCCGCTCGCTCTAGCCTCACAAATGGGTCAAGGAATTCCAGAAAGCCGGATGTGACCTGTACTGCTTCCACTACGAAGCCGCCGTGTCTTCCGTCGCCGCGACCGAGCCCTCCGATAAGACGACCAAGGAGCCGACCAGCCCCCGCGCATTGATCAAATATATCCACGAGCAAGGCATGCAGGCCGGTATTGCGATCAAGCCGGATACCCCCGTCGATGTGCTTTGGGATATTCTCGAGACCTCCGACGAGAAGGAGCGTCCTGATGTGAGTTGATCGATGCGACATTTGTTCGCTGGAACTTGCGGTCTCCTAGAGGTGGAATGGAGCTCTCCGCTGACATCCCGCTCTTCTCGCACAGATGGTCCTTGTCATGACCGTGCACCCCGGCTTCGGTGGCCAAAAGTTCATGGCCTCCGAGCTGCCCAAGGTCTCTGCTTTGCGCGAACGCTATCCCAACTTGAACATTGAGGTCGACGGTGGTCTGGGCGTGGGTACCATCGACCAGGCTGCTGATGCTGGTGCCAACGTGATTGTCGCTGGCTCGGCCGTGTTTGGTGCGGAGGACCCCGCGGACGTGATTCGAAAGCTGCGCGAGGCGGTCCAGAAGCGTCAGGTTCAGGCCAAGGTTTAAGGGATGGGTTAGTGAGAACATCAGAACCAGCAGGTCTTTTTGAGGAGTTCAAGCTACCCTGCAGTATGCCACCCGGAGGGGGACGGTGTGTCAGCGAGTCATAGTCAATCAATCACGGTCCGATCGAGGTAAGTCTCGCATCGGGGAAGAACGCCTAGAGACATCTTGAGCGTGATCGACGCGAAACCTCACATGCGAAGGAAGCCGTGCCGTGCCGAACACTGTCCATCTTTGACGGTAGACGACAATTACATACATACATAGAATGTGTATTCAATCGAAAGCACACGAACAGAGAAGCGTTGACTTGTATAGTATATGTGACAAGAATGATGACTTATGTGTTCGATTGGATTTCCACTCGTTATCGAGGTTAGGTGATCCGTGGATGTCACGCAATTCCATACCAGTCACCCAGTCGGTGCTGGGCAACCGTGGTGCTTAGAAGATATGAGCGAACTGAAAATTGACATGGACCGCAACAATCTGCTCGATTGAATCATGAACAAAAACCTGGTATCACAAACAAAGTATACAAGAAATTGGCCAGGCCTCGAATCGAATAGAGACTCTTAACGCCTTAGTTACACCTCCCCCAGTAAAATGGCCCGTAGTGAGGGTGGATGCTCACTCCTTGGCTTTCTATTCCACTTCAGCTTTCTCCTTTCGCGCCGTCGTTTCCGTATGAGATACTTCCTTCGTCTGTTCATTCACGGGCTTAGCCGCGGGCTTGATCAGCTCTTCCTTCTCCTCCAGCGGTGTCTCGTCCGCACTAGGAACCTCCTCGATGATGCTCTCATCTCGGTCCTTGCCGGCAGCTTCCTTTCGCAACGCATCCAAGGAGGCAGATGGTCCCTCGGCCGCGGAAATTGACTGACGAATTTCCGTGACCACTTCGTCCTTGTCCGCCTCGTCGCTCCCAGAGATGATCGATCCCCGATGGTGCTCGACCAGGCCTAGTGCTACAGCATTGTCCACGTGGAAGTTGGCCGTCGAGACAGCTGCGACTTCAGGCACGAGGGGAGGACGCTTGGGGCCCGAGGGCGAATCCGGGGCGATATCAGGAAGTTCGGGAGCGACCGAGCCACGAGGCGCTTTGGGAGAAGAGGGCTGTTCAGCCTTGGTCTGTTGAGCAGCTGATGAGGGCTCGTCTGACTTGACCGGCTCTGGATTCTTCACATCTGCCTTTTTCTCCTCGGTCTTGCCCTTTGCCTTGTTGGCAGCTTCGGAGCTAGCTTGACGAAGCGCGAGGACGGCCGCATCGTCCTTCTTATCTTCTTGCTTGGTCGAGGGTGGGTTTTGAATTTTAATGGTGGACGTTCTGGGTACGGTCATTTCAGGTCGTTTGGGAGTTGATTCTGTGGCGGGGGTCTCAGAGACAGGTAGAGGGTTGCTCGTCGCAGGCATGCCGTCAACGTCTTGGAAACTATTGACAATCATGCGGAGTTCGCCGTATTCATTCCACTCTTCCACTTCCTCGAGGTCCTGAGCCGGTGTGAAAAGCCCTCTGTCAGTCCGGCTTGGATTCAGGGTATAACCGCAGTAAGTTGTGCACCTACACCGACAATGTTGCCATATTTCACCAGACCGGGGAGCTTCTTGCCCTTACAGCGACGACTCCATAGCTTGCGGGCAGCTTCATCAGTGGCGACATCAATGGCGCGGAATGGGAGCTTGTTGGCTTTGAGAATTGTCTCGATCCGTGAGGTAGCGGTGATGATGTGCGACGACCCCGCGGTCAGGGAGGTGTAGAGATAAAGGGTCGAGTCGGCCATGACTAGGGTACTGTGGTGGTTGGCAGTCACACCTGTTGGAAGATAGAAGATATTGGGAGTATATGGAATGGGTGAGTGTGACCAGAACACATCCAAGAAACAGTGATCAAGAGGCGCACTGTTGGAGCTCAATGCAAATAAAGGGGGGTGTGGACAAGGAGTTCACGTTTCACCACTCAGGAAGTCTAAAATTGGTTTATTTGTTCGTTTACTGAGAGGACTTGCCGCCCAATTTGGCGGCAGATTCAGATTGTTTGGGCCGATGACGTGGGGGGGGGGGAGGGGAGGAACGAGGATAGGAGACGTCACATGATGGAACGGGTCCACCGGCCTAGTGAGCAAGGAAACGATCATGTGACTCTGTGCGGATAGGGATCTGCCGGTAAAAGTGTCGGGTGTCTGTTGGAGATCGTCCATCCGCTCGTACAACAGTCGGGCTGAAAGTGCGGGTTTTTGACGTCAATTAGGCACCGCAACAACAACAACAACAACCACAACCATACTTCTACTGCTAATCTTTCGCCAAAGTGGTCAAATTTGAATACCAAGTTGCATCAGCCCTGGGTATGTTTGTGACGGATGAAGCGTGGGAGTCAGCTCTCGAACGTGGATTAAACTTACTAGACTGATCATGTCTGTTGTGAATGACGGAGGCCTTCCATCTTCGTGTGAAAGTGGCGACCATCAGACTCTGGAGGTCGCATGTCGGTCCAGGTACCTCTCAATCACGAAATCATCACCAGCAACATAGCCTTCACTGAATCTCCATCTTTTCCTCTGCCACGACATGGGCAGGCAAGAGAGTCTCGCCCTCTACACGTGCTTTTGCCATGTGATGCACCCTTGGATCTTTGGCAAGACCCCGGAGAGGTTTTGTACCACATTTGAAAGCTTTGCAATTCAAGGGACCTTCCGGAGAAGGTTGTCAGAGGGGCATCGTAGTTCTTTTTAGGGTTCAATTGGTGATCCATGACGAACTCCTTGGCATCGGGATTCTTTCGAATGGCCATTATGAACTGTTTGATGCAGTGTGGAAGTGGCAGAGGCTGATATGGGTCGTGTTGGTCACACTCCCAAAAAGCATTCTGCTACTTGCTCAGATGGGTTGTCAGTATCTCAGATGAAGAGCCGAAGAGAAGGTTCCACAGTGAGGCAGACCACGCCGTGAGCAACAGCTTGTGGCGGAATGGCCGTACATTGTCGTTTGTTTTGGTGATGCCTTGCCTTCCCAAGGCTTGCACGCCTTCAGCTGCTTTATCTTGATAAGCACGGGCCTCGGGGTGTTCGTCAGTCTTTTCTGTGAATGGTACTATGTGGAGCGAAGCAGCTTGGTCCTCAAGTTTGCCCATGACAATGGGCCATAAACGCCTGGCTCCATTCGTCAAAGTTAGACTGGCCCTGAAGCAAGGGAACGTAATTCATCATCGAAACAGGATTTATAGTCTTAAGTACCGAGAAGCGGTGGGAAGGAAGCTTCAAAACTCAAATTCTCATAACTCAAGTCGGCTTGGTTCACAGAACCCAGTCACAGTGTTTTGCAGCAAGCGGAAACTTGGACTCTGTCGCAGAGGTGGATTTGGAGTTGTCGGCACGTTGGTGAACGCGCTGAGGGTCAAGTGTGATAGGCAAGAGATGCTCAGGGAAAGAGTGGCGTGGATTGCATGTATCAAGCCGTAGTAAGGGACTTCGACTCACCTCAACGAGGCCTTAGACTGGTCTCCAAATTTGTGGAAATCCAAGTCATATCAAAGTGATGCAATGCAGGGAGGTTAGTGTGGATGAAAAGTCAGAAGGGGCAGGCGAACAAGCCCGCGAGATCAAATTGATTGCGAAGCACTCACATGGGATATGATGGGAAGTTGACGGAGCTTTACCCGAAAAGGGTACTAGAGTGGCTTCAGTGTCACCTTGGCCTGGGTATGACTGTGACTTCTACCGGCCTATCGTCTGAAGCCGTCTGCTCTTGCAAGTCATGATTGAGGAAATATGTACAACAGGTTTTCGATGAAACCGATCAGCTAGGTACTGGAGTAGCCGAAGATTCGCTTAGTTTATCGATAGTGATACTTGTATGGGCGATACCTGACCTGCAATAGAGACTTGCAGTAACCTGACTTTAGACTTGCCCTGTGAATTTCGGGGTTTACTTTGTAATCAGTTAGAATGTCGACCGGTCATGTTGAGGTCATTGCGTGACGAGGGAGCCTACCAGTGATACAAGGTCTTCAAAGTACGAAATGAGAAATGAGAGCACGGAGAGAAAGGTGAGAATCATTGAGAGCTTCCACCAGCTCAAAATATCAATTCAGAATCTCCCATTGAGATGGGTAGATGATTTGACTTCTCCTCACATAGGGGGAGGCCTGCTCAAAAAGCGATGAAACTCGATCAACAGATCGCGCTTCGGAGGGAAGATTGACCGTTGGCACCAGGAAGAGGTGTAGAGACTTTGGTGCATAGTCATGATCCGGCAAGGACAGATCCAGAGCTCTTCCGGCGCGTGAGGCAAAGGTGGTATCAGGTCATATCCCGGGATTTTCGTCGCATACGGACAATCGGGGAGGCAAGGTCGTTGGTAAAGCTCGCCGATCAACAGGAAAACCCGCCACGTAGATTTTTGATGAAGCATCCAGCAGTAGTGAAAGTATCTCCAGTGTCGGGTATTGAGTCGGAGTACTAACTTTGCACGGGACGCTCTGGCAGACTTCGCGCTCATGACCATGCGTTGCCTCAGCCAGGGGAGGACTCCGTGGGATTCGCAGATCTGTCCCTCGATGTAGCTTTGGAAGGTTTGGAAGATGTATTGGCAGGTGATGGAAAAGCAGATCTGGTCGACGTAGGGCAGGTGGACGAGGATAGCCAGAATCAATTCAGGTGGAAGTCTCTCCAAGTAGTTGCATGTTGAACGAAGCTTGAGATTTGAGGGCGATAGAATCGCACGAATCTTGGCTGAAAGCTCAGATATCATCTTTGAATGCGTCATTCAAGATGCGCGAGGGATTGCATGAAAGAGGAGATTGATGATGAAAAAGAGGAAGAGATTGAATATTTCACAAGTGGTACTGTTTATTGTCATCCATCTAACTTGCGTTTTCATGTATACAGACTCCGATCCCCGAAACGGAATATCAGTGCCTGCTCCGGTTGATTCCGCTGAATGATGGAAACCCACTTCCTATACAGTCCGCACCCTCATCGAGGTAGGCCTACCGTGGATCTTGATAAGAACCCGCTGCAAAGCATTTACGATTTTTTGGGTTCTGCAAACAAAACCAAGATATTGGGGGTAGATCGGTCCTCGCCGTTCCGGCCTTGTTTGTCCCGATCAGGCAAGTCTCCATTTAGACCCCCCATCTACGTCGTTCGTCTCCTGCACACAGGTCATATCATGGAGAGTCCACATGACTCGACCCCTTCATCATATTGAACTCTGGTCGAATGTTTCTCCTACCAGATAGAGCTGGCTTGAATAGACGGGATTCGCGATGGTGCCCGAGCATTGCAGATCTTGGTGGACTCTTGAGACGGGTTCGGTGCACGCAGAAGTTAGTAGAAACATGTTCTCAAAAGCTCTGTCACAACAATTGATGGTTTTTTAAGAGCGGTGCGTCAAGAGCCTTGGATTGGTATCCAAATGTAACATGACTTCACCAAGTAACAGCGGGAGAAGCTGTATTTCCAGCATACACACAGAACTAGTATTAGCAGTTAGGCTAAGTAGATGAAAAGGTAGATGGGGGGGGGGCGTACTATTTATCGGCGAATCTCCCACGCAGTTTCAATTTGCATGATAAGCCATCAAATTCTGACACTTCCGATCAGTTCATTTGCTGTTGTATGCAGAAACAGCGGACAGCTCCTTCCCTGCGCTTGTATCAATGCCCCGGACTTCCAGCGGTGCAAATGAGGACTTCTTTCTGCTCCTTCTTTTGCAGTCCTCTTGGAAATGCAAGAGAACAATTATCCTTGCCATCTTTCTTCTGCACTCAAGCACTTCTGTTGACTGTCAACAAGGTCGCCGAGACTCGATAGAGAACTAGTGCTCGGAGAACTAGTGTTCGGAGGAAGAGTAGCTCCTTGCCAGGCTAATCCTTACAACCGACGTGCCATCCTATCTCAGTCCGACTGAAGAGCATGGCAACGAGGGCCAGAGAGCTCAAGTTGCCTCAGCCTGAGCTAACCATGAAATTGATGATCGGTGAAACGGCTTCGCCAACTCAAAAGCTATCGATCAAGCTGCCAACCTACCCTCGACTGAGCCAGTGACTCTATGCGAATTGCAGATCCGACTCCCAAAGAGTGAAGACTTTTAGACTTGACAGCAAGCTCTGTGCAAAGCTCTCATCGATGCAGACCTCGTGAATCTTTTCAACCGAAGCATCAGAACGCCGAGTCGGGTCGAGAAGGGGACTGTCAAATGGGGGAGGGTATCTTCGAAGGTGGCTTTGTGGATGCTGTCCTCTCTTGGGCCCAATGTTAAAACCGTACTGGTAGTCCCAGATAAGAAGCTACTGTATGCGAAGGACTTCATGAAAGCTTACAGAAAGGCCTTGCATAAAAGCGGCTTCAAGACTATCGTTTTCAAAGCCAAGACACTTGCGCTCCTGAAACCAACCGACCTTGCCACAGCAGGTCAGGTTATTGACGGAAATATGAAAGCGGACCATTAGGCTCTGATGCGTGGCGCCGCACTAGGTATTCCTTCTTGGCATCTGGTGATCCTGAGGTCTCTCCTGATGGATGACAAGAAAGAGTGTCACATCCCGACCCACTGATCACGGATATCGATACCGAAGCAAGGGTGGAGCGATTCTCCAGAGTGCTTCTATGCAGTGCGCACTCATCGACTTTCATAAGACCGGTGATGCTCTCAGAATCGATTCGAGAGGTCGTCTAGAATCCTCTTTCGAGAGAGGTGCTCACGTGAAACCGGCCGAGTGATCGTCGGGGCCTGACAGATCATGATAGATTGGACCCTGTTTCTCGTGGGCGTGAGCCAAAAATTTTCTTGATTAATGTAAATTAGGGAGCTGTTATGAGGCTCATTACATACGCGTTTTCTTACGTAGGTGTTCTCCGGCAGTTACTGCCCTGCGCATAGTCCAGACTCAGGAACGGCATGGCGGTAAGAGTCCAAGGGTGACCAAATGTGTAAAATAATAGAAGAGGTGGACCTCCAGTTGATTCATCAGAGGCCCCTCTGGGCTGAAAACACGCAGTAAGCGTAGGTAATTTCCTACGGCTTGATCTTCATGACGGGAGATCCTTTTACTGTCGACGCTGAATAGTGTACAGTGGAGTGGGCAGATAGGATCGTCATCCTTACTGTGAAGTGTGAACAACCACGCTCATGTTGAATCCCGATAGTGAGTAGTATCCACTATCCGCAGATTCTCCACTCAAGCCTTTTGAGACTTGGTCGGCATCCATGATACTTGCCGATCGGGCAGCATTGAGGAGCGTTGGTGGTAATTACACTGGACTTTTTGTAAAGATGCGACGACTGTATGTCCACCAGTGGACTGAGCTGAGACTAGCCATGCTACTGAGCTTCGTAGTGAGCTGAATGATTGCAGGTGTTCCGCAGACTGTTTTCTAAATGATCGAATATAATACCATCTCTTGCGATGGTCATTAGAGGACGAAATCCATGTTGAGATTTTCACGTGGTACAGCCCTGGCTGCCGACGGATGTCGCCGTTCTCAACCATGGTAAACGCCTTCATTTTATCCACTTAGCTCACCGTTGTGTACTTCATACCTAAATTCCTACGAAATACTGATACCGATACGCCGGCGGACTTAGCTAGATGAGAGTGTGTGTTCCGAGCGACTTTTGACGATTGAAATCTTGGTCTCAATATCATCATGTCATGGCCGAGCGAAATGTAAGCTGTCCAAAGTGCTGGTCACGTGAAAGACGTCTTTTCGCTCGGGCTTTACCTGTCTGCTTCCTCACACCCGTACTCAGTTTCCCAGGTACTCCCCCTCGGCTTGCAAATCCATTCCTGCGATCAGGGGATAATGTTCTAATGTAGCAGCTCGCTGTCGACGTCACCGCTGGGCCTCCGTACAAATGCTCTCCAAGCATGGAATAGGAGCTTGGACCGCGCTATGAAAGCTCCCCGGGATTCACCGGGGCCCAACTGACTCTGCTCGTGCATATGGGCTGGCAACGTGGCATCGTGACACACGCTCAAGCGGGGAGAAGGGAGAGTTTCGGAGCGTCACTACTACCAACTAGTAATTGTAATATGATCAGGTCATTCAGCTTCGGTAGTGGAGGATTACATTGTCACCTGGTAACGTAGTCTAGACGGAATGGTCCAAGACTTGCTTATACTAAAGATACAAATTTAGCAAAGAGGCTGAGCGATAGGCGTGGGCTTGTGGATTCATGAACCGACGAGGAAAATCCTGTGATAGTCCAGTGGAGATACATTGGCGGGTGCTTATGTCACACACCTCGTCGCCAAACACCACTGAGGATCCGCGACAGGCGCACTAAATTTGTTTGCGCGAACGGTCGTCGCGGAGATGGATACGGTGAGGGCTTCGTAGAGTCATTCCGCGGTTGTCACATGACTGAAGTTTGAGACCCACCTAGTGTAAGAGAATCATGATGAACGAAATGGAGGCGCGTCGTAGCAGAGGGAATGTTAGGCCTCAGCTGCAAAGGCCACTCGGTTTCCAAATCGACAGGGTATCGACAGCAACAATATAGCTCAGGGACATGATGGTCTCTTGCTGAAGAAGACGAGCAACGAGCAGACATGCTCCCGGCACAACCATGGCCAGGGCACGTGTCTCTGGAGCGTCCACTGCACCGCCCAAGAGCGGAAGGTCGGCCGTGTCACGACCCCACCTCCCAGTCCCTGACTGACCACCCCACGATGTCCAAGCCAGAGAACCGACGGACCACTTCACCCCGGCAGCAACCAATCCCAGACGGATGTTTCACGATTTCCATCTGATTCGCGCTGTCAGGCAGCGCACCGTGCATGAGGGGGGAAAATGCACGCACTGGACCGGTTTGAAGGAGCAATCCGGTTCGCTGCCCCATTTGTTTGAGTGGCCCTCGGCTGAAGAGAACAGCCATCCCGATTGACTTGGTGATCATCGCGCGGTAAGGCCTCGGAGGTTCTATCTCATGCCCATTGATGTGCATGACTGTCCGTTATACAGAAGACCTGTCCATGGCGAGCATGATTAGCCGCCAAAGATCCCAAACACGGAGGCTGTGTATCCCGGTTGTAGCCACGGATCCGATCGGTCGTGTCGCACCACGCCACCGGGACAGGGGCAGATACTTTGGTGGCTCGCGACTCGCTTGGGAGTATCACCGCAATAGACACGTCGGTCGTGGATAGAGAGGCTTGAAAGCCAGTCCGCATGGTGCGAGAATGGCTCAAAATGGAAGAGGAACGACGCTGTCTCATTTCCGGGACTATAACGCTTCCAGAAGCTCGTTCACCCCTCGTTGGAAACCTTGAGCCACCAATGCTCTCGTGCGCCAGGATCAAGGCCCAAATCGATCGGCAGGTCCAGACCATATTGTTCTTCTGCTAGACGGGTTGACTTCCTAGTGACAATTGGCCTTCCAGGTTCCGAGCCTTCATTGATACCATACATCTGCAGACTAAGGGTGCCTGGGGTACTTCGTCAACTCACTGGCGAAACATGAAACATCTTCCAAGTGCCCGTCGCCAGTCGTGATAGCCGAGGCATCAACGCTCTTACCATGTTGAAACCTGCGATCGATCGATGGACGGTCCATATTCGACTCGAAGAGAGCACTCTGTCTGAAAGACGCATCCTCGACCGGCCTTCACATGAGCTCAAAAACGGCAGCTTCCCAGTCATCAACGTGGAGACTAATTTGGCGATCGCTGCTTAGGCTAGGAATGACCCAGTCGATTCGGTTCATCCCCGCCCAAGGTGTCTCTCCCACAATAATATAACATGGCCACTAAGTGGTCATCCCCTGACCTGTCGTTGACGACGGTTCCTTGTAGAAGGCTATCTGACCTCTTGTCGGCAATGAGTTCAATCACTGACCACCCCCCTACGGAGCCCAGTGATGAGAAATTAACGTGGAGGGCTGAATTGACCAAGCGTGCTGCTCGTTCTGTCCGAGTGCAGGCGGTCGTGCTGAGACTGGTCATGACGATGGCGGTTGAGCCTCGTTATCCAGACATTCTGCCCGACTCTTCATCATGGCTTTCGCAGCAACCCAACCTTCCCCCATCTCTAGTGACTCGCATCCACCCCGTGACTCCCCTACCGTGATTTGATGTGGATGTCCGATCTTCCAATCCTGCCTGAACCTCCTTAGTCAGTAAGAGCCCTCTCTTACCGCAGCCAACCCCCACTAACGGATGATGGGCGGTGATCTCCCGACATTTGACTCTCGACCCTCGACACACGGAGCCCTCTGGCCGTTAACTTGTTGGGTTGCTTCGAGGACGTCCTGTATTTTCCCTCCTACCCAGTCACGCCCTCCTCAGATCCCCGAACGGAACTTTTGTCTCTCATTTATTCAACTACCCAACTACCCAACTGCAACCTTCCTCGAAGGAGGCTGGAAATCCCAAATTTAATTTTGATTTACGTTCTCCAAATCCTGCAAGCTGCGAATTAGTCCACTTCTTCAATTCCCCAATCCAGTCATCCGTGTGTTGGTCTTGTGTTTCGATCCCGCTGCCCAATTTGAATCTGTTTGCTCGTCCATCTTGAACAGAAATTCCGACCATCTTCGCGTCAAATTTCCCAGGTCGCGCACATTTGACCCCACCCCTTTTGTCTGTGGCCTGACTCATGGTCCAAGGAGTTCTCATTGACCGTCATCTTGCCTGACGCTTGCCGGTTGTGTAAAGCCCAGCTCCACTGCAGACGGGAACCACTTGATAAGATCTTTGGTTTCGATTCCCCGTGAGTTGAGCGCTCCACCTCCAGATCCCTCCGTCCTGTTGACAGCAGGACGTTTCCTACCGAGGGTCGAATTCCGATGGCTTCCATATACGTCCTCAGAAGAGCTAATGACCCACGCAGGCGGATCGCATGGAGAGGATCGCCCTAGTCCACCTTGGATGTCACATCTCTGTTGTGCATTGCTTTGATTCTCGTTCATATATCGTATCTGGTCCTTCGCCTGATACTGGGTCATTAAGTTTCAAACACTACTGAATCTCACAGAATCACGACCGGTGAAGAGACCTGATTTGGACCTGGCGACGTCCGCCCTCCGATAACTTACTCCCGAAACTATGGCCTTGCATCCTATCGACGACGATGAACAATTGTTCACCCGGGCGATGACCTCTTACAGGGAAGCATTTTTGGTTCGCCTTGCCCATCTACCGGAAGCTCAACGCCACGATCTGTGGAGGCAACAACTCAACCAGTTTATTCCGACCTGTGAGGGTGAATCCAGCTCGGCACCCAGTCTGCCACTTTCGAGTCAACTGCCAGAGAAACCTGGGAAGCGATCCAGACAGGACATGACCCCGCGAACCGTCCCGTTTCCCCAAGCTGCCTCGGGCTCTGCTTGTTGCCTTGATCGCGATTCAAGTTCAGCTGGCTCTGGTTCGGGTTCTGGTTCTGGCCCTCCTCAGGCAAAACGGCGAGCCACCGTACGTGTGACCTTGGTTACTGATTTCCGCTTCCTTTCCACTATCAGCACTTTCACCAACACCGCCTCATCTCCCTTGCTTTGACCCCTCTCTCTCAGTCTACATCCTTCCGCCGTCACTGGATTGACATTTGGTAGACCCCGGATCTCCTAGCGGCCTCCGACCCTAGGCGCGCTACGCCTCAAGTCCATCGCCAGGATGATGCGCAGAAAGCTTCGTCCCGTGCAACTGAGCAGACACACTACCGACACGCTCCAATTACGATTCCCGGAGCTACTGGAAACGCATCGTCCTCGTCCAGAATGGTTCGCTCCATGAGCCAGCAGCTTCCAATATCGCATCAGTATTTACCAGCCAAGGCTTCTACAAGGAAACGCCAATCCGTGGGCCCCGCGCAGCCACTGATCGAGCAATACCGGCCTCGAGAAATGCCGCAGCAGCCATCAGCAGCGATAACGAGTCATTTCATGAATTCTGACGAAATGATTGATGATTATTCACCATCCGAATTTACGAGCCGGTCCAACAATCACATGCGCTCGACGAATGTGACTCCATTTCACCCGGCAGCGATTCATGTACCCACCTCGAGCAAAGTCTCAGCCTTGACAAGCGGACTTGCTGATCTGGAATCGAAACCACCACACCCATTATCACAAACACAAGTCGGCCAGCCGTATTTACCGGCCGACGTTCAGCCGGTGGGTGCAGTCGAGATGACACGCAGTGGTACAACTGACACAATTATCGGCGGCTTCAGCGACTTTGGCTTGGATCGTACTGTCCACAATATCGATGCAGAAAATGCATACTCCATTCAGCCAGAATGGGTCCCAGCAGCGGTGTCTGTCCCCTTCGGCCAGGAATCGTATTCATCGGCCCTGTACTCGGATCTCGATGCAAATGCTTCGTACCTTTTCTCTCACCCTTCATCGTGCTCTTCATCTGCACCGATAGCAACGCCTTTCCCGCCACAGCAGCATCCTACTGTGGTACGAATACCGTCCACGTCGATGATGGTCAATTCGCCGTTGGAAGCTGTTGAGATGAAACAAACCGACTCAGTTGGTAGCAATACCTCTTTCACGCCAACCGCACCATCTCGTGCCATTCGTCGTGCGCAAGAGCAAATTGTCCACGGGGCGCGACCCATTGCACCAAAGCGCGAATCTCACGAGAGAGTTCAAGTCCATGTCCAACCCACTCCCAGTGACCCAAACCGCATGATTCGCATCTCCTCCGCTGACGGAACTGCCAAAGAGGTGGCTGCAATTCCCAAGGCTTCTGTTCATCGGCCGCCTCGACCCAAGACTCACTGTCACTTGTGCAACGACCAGCCCGAGGGCTTTCATGGTGAACATGAATTACGTCGACACATTGACCGTGTCCACGCACAAGTCCGCAAGGTGTGGATATGCGTAGACATCTCCCCAGACAAGAGTTTTCTGGCCAACTGCAAAGCTTGCCGGAATGGGAAGCGATACGGTGCCAATTACAACGCCGCAGCACACCTCCGTCGAACCCACTTCAACCCCTGTCAGCGTGGCCGTGGGGGACGTGGAAAAGATAGTGAGAAGCGTGGTGGCAAGGGCGGTGGTAATCACCCGCCCATGGAAGTGCTGAAGCTCTGGATGCGTGAGATGATCGAAAGAACTGATGATCGGTCCACAGATCCACTTGAGGAGCTTGACCAGGACGAGTGTGCTGGATCTCTACCAGCTGATCGCGAAAGCAGCGCCCTGGCCCGTGGGACTAGGGACGCCGATGCGCCGTTAAAGAGGGACCGGAATATGGCGAATGCGCATAGCATGGCTCGTCCTCATTCGCAAAGTCGTACCCTTGATCACAATCAGTACTATGATGACTTTGCGGAAGACCCTGCAAACGTTGCCTTCGACGATGCGCTACAGGTTCCATTTTACATGGATAGCCAGCAGCTACCCTCGGATCTGGAGACATTTGTCATGTGAGCGACCGTATCAGGCTCCATTTGATCGTCATCCTCCAGCCCCCATTTACCGACAGTGTCGAACAGTCCCCAGATTTTTGTTTTCCTTCCATGATGTCTTTGTCTATTTCTTTCCGATTCTTCTGTTCCCGGTTATACTTCTGTTTTTCCTTCTTTTCTCCAATAAATCTGTTATTTACCTCTCCTCTCTGTTGCACATAATTTGGAGACCCTCTCTGCCTCGCTGAGGTTCTTGACCAGGGGCGGACGGCATCAACGACGGACCCGGATCTCTCTACTTCCCAGAGCCTCCAGTCCCGAAGTTTGTGGCCTTGTTTGTTTGCTCTTGTTTGCTCTTCTTTCCCCGTCTATTCTTTTCAATCTCTTCTTCCGCATGTGTCAAGTCTCGGTGCCGATATTGATGCCGAACCCTTGAAGCTATGGCAGGCTCGGGGTCACTGGAGATGTCCAAGTGGCTTTCATGTTCTCTGGGCGGGACAAAAGTGCTTTGATCTGCATGTTTGACCAATTTCGCTCACGATCTCGGTCGGGCCCCTAACCCAAACGCATGAGGTGAGGTCATTGGTCTTCACCGCCCGAGTCCCATTTTTCTCAACAATGTTTGTCGGGGTCTTGTAGTCACGAAGCACCCGACCGAACACCAGCAACCGACATACCGGTAAACACGAGGTTGTGAGCAGATTCATCCACAGCGGACTTGGGAAGTGTCACGGCATGACAATGTGACGGCTGGAATGGAGCTTACTCGTATTGCGATGGGCGGATCGACAGATCTTGAAACATGGGGGACGACAAACCACGGCAGGCCTTGCTGGTGTGCGGTGTGTAAGGAGTACAACTAGTGGTTTACTGCTTTCCTCCATGAATTTATGATGAAGACGACGATCATACGGGATGATTGCTTTTCTCGTGTTTGATGTGTAGGTTGCGAAAGTACCCCTGTTGAAAGTAAGCTAAAGAGCACCCCCGGTGCAATCAAGGCCATCATGGATGAAGCTTAAATCATTCGAGAAGCATCAAAATGGAAAAAGGAGCCGCTCTTGGCAAGGGATTCAGCGTGGCAGGATGATTACTGTCCCTCCACACTGACAGACCCAGGCACTTCCAGAGGACACAATCACAAGACGGACAAGATGCACCACCGATCACAAATAACTACTACTCATTTGGATTCGATGCAGTCCCACCGCAGAAAGGAGGCTTACCCCCTGGCCTGGCCTGGCCTGGTCTGGCCTTGCAGAGCAGAGCAGAGCAGAGCAGGAGCACCCGCAAGGCAGATGGTGAGGTCTGCCAAGAGAAAGTGGACAAGCTACGGTAGCTACTGTCCTACTCCGATCGAATCAGACCACGCCGTATGGGTGGTGTTGTAAGATTGGGGATTCGGCGACGGGCGTCGGGAAGGGATCTGGATTGATTACGGTACCAGTCGACAAGGCAGCAATGATACCAAGTTCCTGTATGCTCAGTTCCAGATCCTTTCGATGTGGCTGATTCTGCAGGGCCTGTCCAGTCGCTCATCGTCGGTAAGCCACAATTGAAGGCGGAGTCAATTGAGTCATGTCTCTATAATTGGCGACGATATTCAGCAAGTCCTGCCCGAGACAATCTTATTATCACGATCTTATTACTATAGAATAGACACTATAGCGGAGATCCATATTTCTTCACGATAGCACGTACCCCGTTACGTACAAGGTGTCATGTGTTTTATGCAGTCGCAGCTATCACTTCTCCAGAAGATGTGATGGTCTGATGTCACGAGGTGGCGTCTTCACCTGGCTTCCTCTCATAAGGGTCTGATATTTCTCGCCTAATTGCGAAGTGGACGCGATGATCTTTTGTCTACTATGGGACTCCAAACGTGATATCTGAGGGTTACGGTACTGTGCAGAGGTCGTACTGCGCCGCTGCGAACTGATACAGTATAATACGAGATATCAGGGACAGTGTGGCTGAGGGATTTTCTTGCACCCAGTCACAAGGACGCAATGAGCCAGAATCTCGGATATGTAGCGGAGTGCCAGCCCGGTCAAGCCACGTTTACATTACAACTGGGTGACAGGACATGTCACTTGACAATACGTGGTCACATACGCCATCAGCTTGAGAAGCCTATCACCCACCACAATGTCCCTGGGAATGATCACGTCGTTACTCAAAATCGATCCTCATCGACAGAAGTCTTGGTCATAGCCTTGATAGTCTTTCAGTTCCCGGGTCGGCATCATTCAGCCAGCCAGGGACAGCGTGTAATCTGTCTACCCGTATTGTTTGTCATTCAATACTCGTATTACGTGTACCGCCCGTCGGCCACGGTTACAGTACTCTCAGCTGCTGGCAGAGGTCGGACAGATGACACTGTACGGGTCTTGCGGTCGCATTCTTGTCCAATAGTAACTGTGCGCGTTCAGCCTTGTAACTGCTACATACTTGAGTCTTGGCTCTCGGCTGCCTGGGCAAAGGTTTTCAATGGTACGGATCAGATTGGATCTCGAAGCTTTTGAAAGCAGTCCTATCAAAGAAAGGACTAGGCTGACTTGAGAACACACCAAAGGCCCATCATGAACATATCCTAGCCTCTGTACCGCAAGCTATGAAGCATGTACGATATTACCATCACCCTATGAACTCAATCATCAGCTTGGCCCTGGAGTCCTGGACCATAACAACCTGGAGTAACACTCCCGCTCCACCATGCTATGGAAAGGGTGGAGACCCCACCCGCAAGCAGCAGAGCTCTTGATTGACTGCTTCACGATACATTACCGTACCCGATCGCCGGAGAACACCCGGTGCCAAACTGCCCCCCTCTGCAGTCCAGCTCGTCACTGGGGCCGAACTACTACGCCCGAAGGCAGTCTTCTTTCGTCGCCATCCACCCTCACCGTCCTCTCCTTCCTTTCCTCCTCAAATATCCCCCTTCTCGGCGACCCTTCGTCATCCTCCACCCCCCCCCCCCCCCCCCCCCAAATCCACGGCGACATCTTCGTCCACCCCTCCGTCCATCTGAAATACCCTCGCACCTTCCCACAAAAAGGCCGTAAGTCTTGCCCATGCGCGGTCCCGCCTAGCTTTGGACCCTTGATCGAGGTGGTTGAGAATCGTCACGGCGGTGCCCACTGCGCGATCGAACCCTGACCTCCCTCTCGGCGCGCCTGCGCCAAACCTTCTCTCGGGCTTGTCGCATGAGCTCAACCGAACCGGGTGTTTACTGACCTGGCTGGTTTCCGCGCTTTCAGATAATATCATCCAGCCACGATGTCTTACCAGCAGCACCAGTATCCTCCTAATGCGTAAGTCTTGACTCGTCATTTCCTGCGCCCACGACCTCGATCCTGACGGTCGGCCGAAGACCGCCAACCTCGTTCCATGTGATTCGCCAATCAAACCATATTTCCCATCCTTCCCTCATCGCCGGATTTGAGCACTGGGACAGCCTTCTTGTTTGTCGACAGTGGTCTGATCATCGTCTTCTACAGTTACCAGCAGCCCGGCTACGGCCCTCCCCCTGGAGAGTACGGAGGTTATCCTCAGCAGGGCTATCCTCCCCCGCAGGGCTATCCTCCCCAGCAAGGCTATCCTCCTCAGCAAGGCTATTCCCCCAATACTGTAAGGATTTCATGAATGGTCGTTGATGCATTGTCGTATGTTGATCCATAATTCTAGATGCAATACAACTCAAATGCCCCTCAACAGGAGCAGAAGAAGGACCGTGGTTGTCTCGGTGCTTGGTGAGTTTGGTTTTCCACATTGCAACCCCACAAAAACCTTCACTGACCTTGACTCTCACTATGCAGCTTGGCCACCCTCTGCTGTTGTTTCGTTTGCGAGGAGGGTTGCGAGTGCTGTGCCGAGTGTATCGAGTGCTGTGAGATGTGCTAGATCCTCTAGCCAATGACTTCGACGATACTTTGTGATTTCTCCTCGTGGCGTTCGAAAGACTTGAGGACATTTCCGACATGTCTTTGAGCCGAGTTACTACCTTCACCCTTTGGCCTGGCTTTCCCTATTTGTCATTTTCTTGTTTCGTCATATCCAGCCTTAGCAACGTGATTCGCATTCTACGATTCCTTTCGATTCTGCAAGCCGCCATGCACTCGGCGGTTAAATATATGCATATGTGGCTAGCTCAACTAAATTGAAAGAGTGGCACTATTTCCGGATCGGTGGAGCATGGTCTTGCTTGGTGAGATCGGATGTGGGAGACCTATGTTGCTTGATTACAGGGAGGCATTGGGGCCCTGTATGTCGCACTTCTCTGATCACCGATGGCAATATTCACTACGACTAAGTTGCCCGCCTACGGTTCTGTGTAATCTCACCGCTAACCTAAGCGATTAAAGATATGCGACCTGATCCATCGCAGCTTTTTCGCGAACTGATACGCTATGCCCAAAATTGTAAGATGCAAGAACAGTCTGGGGAAAGAAAGGGACGAGGTGAAATTATGGAGACGGAGGTCAGAGGTTCTCACTACTAGAGAGAAGGTACTATGCTACGGACGGCTACTGCTGTTCTAATTGGGAGATCACAGGCCACACAAACACGAGCGCAAAAGCTCTCAAACACCGTAGGAGGATAAGTGCTAAGCGCTCATTCTTTCGAAATGCCGCCCTGACCGAAGCTACAATTAGAATGAACCGTAGCGGAGTCCCAGTCTGCGTCGATCCAGCAGAACATGTTGGCGCCCTACGATGAGCGGCACACTACTTAGTACTGAGTCTACCTACTGACTACCAAGGACTGGAGGCCGCAGCATCTGTTAAGCGCCCACAGAGATGCCTAGCGCCCTGCCTGCATCTCCCCGGCGCTCAATGGCTTGATTGAACTCGTATCATCATTCTCAGAGGTGCCCTCAAATAACAGGATTCGATGCCTATATAACGGAATGTAAAACGTCGCATCACTCTGATCCGAACTAACACAGAAAATATGGCGGGTGTTTCTCGCGCGTCAAATATCCTCGACCGAAATGGCTTGTGTCTATTATCACTTGATGGAGGAGGTGTCAGGGGCCTGTCCACACTCTTAATCCTCCACCATATCATGATCCAATTGAGCCGAGAACGTGGATCCTTGTCAATTTTGAAGCCTTGCGAGGTTTTCGACCTCATAGGCGGGACAAGCACAGGAGGGTAGGTACCTCTGTCTAACCACTTCCAAGCAAACCCTAAAGTGTCTCGAGTGCTGATCGGAACAGTTTGATCGCAATAATGCTCGGGCGCTTGCAAATGAGCACTGAAGATTGCATTCAAGCCTATACCGACCTTATCCGAACGGTCTTTGGCAAGAAATTGAGGTCTGTCCCTGTGGACTGGACTGGCAGTATTCGGCCAAGATACGACAGCGAGAAGCTCAGATTGGCGGTGCAAGAGGTGATCGTCAAGGCTGGTGCCGCACCTGATGACCTCATGGACGATGGAAGCTCACGTGGTTGTCGGGTATTCGTGTGCACAACAGCGAAGGACACTTTACAGGTCACTCGCCTTCGAAGTTACTCCGTTTCAAACGAAGAAGTATCAGCAACCATCTGTGAAGCGGCCCTTGCTACCTCTGCAGCAACGGGGTTTTTTGAGTATGTTAGTATCGGAAATTCTCAGTATGTGGATGGAGCCTTCGGGGCTAACAACCCGGTGGAGGAGGTTGAAGAGGAGGCGGCCGATATTTGGTGCACATCAAGCCGGGATCTAAAGCCCTTGGTAAAATGCTTCCTGTCTCTGGGCACCGGAAGCCCGTCCAGCATGCCAATGGATGACAATATGATCAAGTTCCTCTCCAAAACCTTGGTCAGAATGGCTACGAAGCCGGAGAGCACAGAGCGCCGTTTCATGGCCCGTTGGAGCAATGAAACAAGGCAGAAGAGGATATTTCGATTCAACGTCGAGAAAGGCCTTCAGGAGGTGCACATGAGCGACTACCAAAAGTTGAGCCTAATTGAGACCGCTACACACAACTATCTACATCATGCAGACCAAAAAGGTCGAATCCGGGACTGCATCGTCAACTTGGCTGGTAAAAGAGGTAAGCCAACTACCTTGTGCGTTTGATTAACAGGACTAAATGCTCGAATTCGTAGCCAAGACCGAGCCCGACTTTCACGTCATCATACAGGTAAGCAAATAAAAATCTCAGGTAGCAGACTTTCTTGAACTGAAATATCTCATTCAGGCACACCAAGCCTCGATTTTGAAACAGACCCTCCAGAGATGTACTCCCACCGGAGCATCGACGACTCCGGAGAAACATCCCTTGTGGTTTGTTCCCTTCGATCGAAACGCTGGCTTTGTCGATCTTGAGCTGCTTGAAACTCTGAAACAAAAGCTATTCTCGAAGACACACAGCCCAATGACCGGCATTTTTGGTCTCGGAGGAGTTGGCAAGACCCAGCTTGTTTTGGAGCTGGCGTATCAAGTCCGCGACATGTATCCCGACTGCTCCATCATTTGGATTCCGGCGATGGACAAGGAACAGTTTCAGCAGACTTACGTCAAAGTCGCCCACCAAATGGCCATCGTGCCCAGTGATGGAGATCAAGAAGATGTTAAATCTCTCGTCCATGAATATCTCAGCCGGCCCCAAAACGGCAATTGGTTGCTGATTATTGACAATGCTGATGACTTTGAGATGTGGACCAACAGATTTTCTTCATCATCAAATGCCAGCCTGGCTCAACTTCTACCGCAAAGCCCACACGGGAGAATAGTGTTCACTACGAGAAGCATGCGCCTGGCGCAACATCTTGCGCCCCGCAACATCGTTGAAGCCCTTCAAATGGACGAGTCAAGGGCCACGAGACTTCTGGGTAATGCATTGATCAATAAAGCATTGATCACGGAAGACAGAGACACAACACGACGTCTTTTAGAGCAGCTGACATTTCTGCCGCTAGCCATCGTCCAAGCTGCCACGTTCATCAATGAGAATCGAATCAGCATCGCCCGCTACATTGAAATTCTGGGTGGACACGCGCAAGGGGCCATTGACCTTCTCAGCGAGGAATTTGAGGACGAAGGCCGATATCAGAGTGCTCGTAATCCAATCGCGTCTACCTGGCTGACATCTTTCCAACAAATCCAGAAAGCAGACCCAACGGCCGCAGACTGTCTAGCATTCATGTCGTGTGTGAGTGCAAACGATATCCCAACGTGCCTTCTCCCTGTCGCCGACGAGGTGAAGCGCGAAAAAGCAATTGGCTTGCTCAAATCCTACTCATTTGTGCGCTGCAATGCAAATGGACGACGACTTGATTTGCATCGACTGGTCCAATTGGCCACAATCAATTGGTTACGTTCAGAAAACTTGATGACTTTTTGGCAGAAGAAGTCTGTCACAATCTTGGCGCGACAATATCCCTGCTGTGATGTGTTTCAGCGATCCGATTGGCGTGCAGCTATTCCTCATGCTCTTCATGTCTTACAGAGCTCAATGGCCACTGCAGTCCCAGATGAAGTTTTTCAGCTCATGGGCACAGTCGCTCACTGTTATGATTTAGACGGAAGATTCAAAGAAGCGAAGCCGCTGCGTGTGATGCTTCGAAGCATGCTCCAAAGCCATATTGGCACACGACATCCTAAATACCTCGCCGTTCAAAGCGCGCTAGCACGCACGGATATGATGATTGGCAACTATGGAGAGTCGATTCAAGCCTTTGAATCTGTCATCGAGAGTTACAAGAACGCCGGGCAGCTTCAATCGCCAGACGCAATGGAAGCCATTCATAGGTTGTCCACCTGTCTTCGACTTGAGGGCAGTCTTCAGCGGGCCGAGGAGCTCGGTAGTCAAGCCTTGAGATGGAATCTTCATTCAAGAGGTCCCTATGCCGAGTCTACCTTGGACACAATGATCAACATGACCTGGATCTACTTTGCGCAGGCCCGGGTTTCGGATGCGGAACAAATGGCTCAAGAATCTCTCCACATGGCGAAAAGCACTTTAGGCCCGGATCATCCTTACACAACTCTTGCCACGTCCAGCCTAGCCTGGATCTCCCTGGAGCAGTGGAAGCTCAAACAGGCGGAGGATCTTCTTTTGGACACGCTCGAAAGAGGCCGACGTATCACTGGGCCAAACTATCCTTTGCTTCTGAATGACTTATATCAGCTTGCACTAGTCACGAAATTTCAGGGCCGACACGACGACGCAGTATTGCTTTTGAAAAAGTGCTGTGTCTTACAAGAGCAGACTCTGGGCGTTGACCACTGCCGCACAAGGAATAGTGTTCGGACTCTGGAAGAATGGACAACAATGAGGTCAGTATGAACATGTCGATAATTGCTCCCCCTCGGTTTTCCTTCATTTAGCTCAGATTTGTGGTGGCGCAACGTCCCTAACGCTAAATTGTCACTCGTCTCGACCGACCAGATACCTTCCGATGCGCTACGTCTCTCTCGTCCCGCCGATAGCGCGGTCGGCTATGATATTAGCACGTCGAAGGCGGTATCCTCGCATCAAAGTATTGGGTGGTCTTTATGCTGCTCGGCGGGAACACAAAGACAGCTCCCTTGTTCAAGAAATTATCAGAGTTGTACAAAGCTTTCGGGAAGACTACGGCATGCCGTGTGATACTTGTTATCCCATCGACGCACGGCTGGAAAACCACAGCTGCTACCCGACGGTCCCCAAGGGTGACTTCAAAAGACCTTGACTCCGTCGCAGGCCATACCTCCCGCAATGACTGTTTATCAATGATAGACCAGATGCTCCCTCCTTCGAATATTCCCACGCGCAATACGACGTTGAACTGGAAAGCCAATTAACAAGGGAACTCGAGGAAACTTTTCGTCTAGCAGCTGTTGCCGGATCACCCGAAACAGTGGGCAACTGGCCTGTCTAAGATACCCATCCTAGTGTTCACACATTTTCTTGAGCCGTGAGTGTTGTGGACCAATTTCACGATACTCGTGGTGTCCAACTCAAGTGTGGCTAGGACTGTGCTACTTGCTTGAAATGCGAAATAACCACAACACCTCGGGCATAATGCGATCAATCGCACAGGTCGAGAATCGTGAGAGCTGCAACAGGACTGCTGGGGAAGTTGATGTGTATGTGGGAAAGTAGCGGTCACCCCGGCCGGTAGTCTTTGCGAGCTGCCGGAGTTCTCATCGCAACACCGGCACTCGTTGGCTTGCAATTACTCCCCCTATGCGGCGATCAACAGCTTCGCTGTAAAGCAATGATGGGGCATAGACAAGAGCGCTCGACTGACTGCCTATGACCGCTAACGCGCAACGTACCGAGTCCAAGTTGCGTGGGATGCGCTGTGGGGAAGAAACGCGGGGAAGCCGGGTAAAAACGTCGCGGCAAAGGCATGGACTGCATCATACATACTTTGCTTGTATATTGCCGGGCTTGTTGTCCAAGGCTTGCATTCGGACAAGGGGTCTGTAGTCGATACTCTAAGTGAGCTCGACCAAAATGCCGTCGAAGATAGACTAATTGACTCAACTGTAAGTGCGCCGTCTGTTTTCCCTTCCAATGAAATGGAACACTACTCACTGTTTCCCAGATCAAGTCTCGGTTGATACTCTAAGGAACGGCCCACGCTTGTGCCCAGAAATGCTTCTAGCGTCCTGCAAGACGATAAATTTTCAATGTCATCATTCATGCGCGCCTTCTTCTAGATCGATGCCTGTCTTGCCCTGTTTGCATTTATCCACCAAGGAGATTTGCCTAATACAGAAAATGTGGGATCGACCTCTCGCCAATGCCTTCGATCCTGTGACCGAAGAGGGAATGATCTACCTCCGAGGCGAGGTCTCTACTTGACCCTGCCCGAAGACAATGAGGGGTGATGGCACCTAAGTCGACGGTGCATTCGGTCTCGGCTAATTGCTTTGAGCTCTGTGACGTACGAATCTTCACTGGAAGTCAGGATATAAGAGGTGAAGTCGATCCATACCCATCGATTGATAGTATAGCTGCCAAGGTCTCGCCAATTGATCCCTTGAATCGACGCGTCGCACTACCTGTACGAGTGTTGACTATCGAGACCTCTGAGGCTCTCATCGCTATCGGCTGAGTCTTGTATGCTGTGAAGAAGACAAAATGTTGGCGCAGTCACTTCTTCTGCCATTGCTGGCCACCTATGCCACTGCAGTAAAGGTCTCGGTTGCCAGATCTGGTGGAAATGCTACCACAAATCTGCAGTATGGCGCCATGGAAGAGGTACTCGATGGATGAACCCAATATCAGACACAGCCCGCAATTCACTGACACCATGTTCTCACAGGAAATCAACCACTGCGGTGAAGGTGGTCTCTACGCCGAGTTGATCCGCAACCGAGCTTTCCAGGGTAGCTCTACCTTCCCCTCCACTGTTGACGCATGGGCTGCTGTGAATGGAGCCGGCTTGCTGCTTCAGAACTTGACCAATCCTCTGTCCTCCGCCTTGCCCACATCCCTTCAAGTTCAAGGTGAGGGTATAACAGGCATGGCAAACTCTGGATTCTGGGGTATTGACGTGCGGCCCCAGAAGTACACTGGATCGTTCTACGTTCTCGGATCCTACGCGGGCAATTTCACTGCGTCGCTGCAGTCAGCAAATGGCGAAGTCTTTGCCTCCACCGAAGTTGCTTCGGAGAGTCGTGCAGATGAATGGGTGCAGCACAAATTTACTCTGCACCCCAACAAAAAGGCTGATAACACCAGCAATCACTTTGTATTGACCTTTGATGCTTCCGTAAGTTCCGCATCGCCTTCTTCAATCCATCTCACGACATACGTCGTTGGACTGACAATAATATATTCCTAGCAAACGGAGTGCGGTGCACTTGATTTCAACCTGATCAGCTTGTTCCCACCAACCTGGAATGATCGTCCAAACGGAATGCGACGGGACTTGATGCAGGCCTTGCAAGAGTTGGGTCCAGTACGTGAATTTGCTTCGAGCTTGAAAATTCGGCGAGTCTGACTTCAATAGAAATTCCTTCGCTTCCCGGGCGGCAACAACTTGGAGGGTCAAACCATCGAGGACCGATGGAAATGGAATGAAACAATTGGACCATTGAAGGACCGTCCCGGCCGTGCTACTACTTGGGGTTATGAGGAGACCAGCGGTATGGGCCTTGTCGAATACATGGAATGGTGCGACGATCTTGAGATGGAACCCAGTGAGACTTTCCCTCCTTGAATACATTTGTCCTGGGCGCAGCAATACTAACGCCAGGCATAGTCCTTGCTGTGTGGGGTGGCTTCGCTCTGAACGGTGACGCAGTCCCCGAGTCTGAGATCGGGTTCTACGTGCAAGATGCCCTTGACGAGCTCGAGTTTCTGACTGGCTCCACGGACACCAAATTTGGCGCCCTCCGAGCTAAGTATGGCCACCCTGAGCCTTGGAAGATCCGGTACGTTGAGGTCGGAAATGAGGACAATCTCAACGGTGGCTTGGATTCATACAAAGCCTACCGGTTCCCGGCCTTCTATAATGCGATCAGTGAAAAGTATCCAGAGATTCAGGTGATCGCTTCCACGATCAATATGACTTTCCCTGCAAATGCCGGCGGTGACTATCATACTTACGATATTCCGGACAATTTTGTTTCCAACTTCAACAAGTTTGATAACTACACCCGCGAGCACCCGATTTTGCTAGGTAAGAAGGGACCATACAAGACTTTGCATGTTCTGTCCAGACTGATTGAGATAAATGCATTTGCAGGAGAAATTGCGGTGACCGAGTTCAACAACGCGCAACACGGCATCAACTGGACAGACAAGCACTTCACCCTGTACCCCTTCTGGCTGGGCACAGTTGCCGAGGCTGTCTTCCTGCTTGGTGCTGAGCGAAACGCCGACTTAATCATTGGTACAACCTATGTCAGTCCTCCTGAGATGGAGAAGTTTCATCATCGTCAGGCATACTAATGAGATTCTAGGCCCCCTTCTTCGAGAACCTTGATAGCTATGAGTGGTCACCCACCATGATCAGCTTCAACTCCAACCCTGATCAGACCTCCAAGTCTACGAGTTGGTACTTGTACAAGGTATTTTGCTGATCGTACTTTTTCCTTTATAATTGACTCCTCTCTAATCACATCTCAGCTCTTCAACGATCACCACATGACCAACACCCTGCCATCCACATCCGACAGCGACTTTGGTCCTCTCTACTACGCCACTGGCATGAACAACAAAACAAATTCCTACATCTTCAAAGCTGCCGTCTACAACAGCACCGAGGAGATCCCCATCTCACTTTCATTCGAAGGTGTCGGTCGCGGTGCCATGGCGGATCTGACCATTCTCACTGCACCCAACGCAGTTGCCATGAACGGTGTCGCCGGGCCCAATATTGTGCAGACCCAGACGAAGAAGATCAAGGCCGGCAAGCAGGGTGTCTTTGAATTCAAGATGCCCAGCTTGAGTGTGGCTGTGCTGGAAACTAAATGAGTGGAGATGCGGAGGCGAGTCACTCTACCCGAGTCTCTTTGTGAACGTAATCTGGGAGTATGACATGACTGGACGACTTTTATGAATGTCGAAAGAGATCAACATGACGCGGTCAACGGATATAATGCTAAGTATCACTTTTCGCAAAATGTGAATGGGAGTATAAACCAGATGGATAATATTCATGCACTGCTAAGTTTCAGTTCTTGAACACGTCAGCAATCCGAGACTCAATACTTAATGCATTTGAGATCCTCTGATCCATACGTCCGACAAGAGCCTCCTAGTGAGGCACAATACATACATAGTGTTTGGTGAATCAAGCTAGAATAGTACTCACCTAATGAAATAGCAAGTGCATCGAGGTCGAACAGGGAACCGGTGGGTGGTCGATTAATCGAAACGTCTCCAACAAGCGAGAGCAAAATACCTTCCCCACCGGTCAAACTCCGGAGCAGCTCGTACAAACTGCACTACTACTAGCAAAGTTGCACGAATCCCACGCCTGGATAATCTGCGCATTACTTACCTGGTAAAGTAGGTAAACTAGAAAGTGATAGCTCATGGTCCTCGCTTATAATATCCATGTAAAGCTGCACGTCAACGAGAAAAACTGTTCGAAGACCACCAACCTGTCGCTGCCCTCCTTCAAGAGGTCTTCCTTGCCGAGCTCACCTTTATGGCCCGTCAAGTCGCCTGAGAGTGACATAATGCGAGCTGTCTTTGAAGAGCGCTTCGGGAAAACGTAGGTGCGTCTTTCGAGATGCTCTCTCTTCTTGGTCACCACACAATGAAAATATACTAGGGTAAAGTGCTTGCAGCCTCTTGTTGTCATGCAGATGCCGTCTTTGCATCCGGTGGTATGTCGCCAGACCTACCTCGAGTCGGGTGTCATGAATTCTCCGGCGTAATCGTCGCTGTAGGTCTAGACGCTCGAGCCAAATTCCAATGGAGTTGGTGACCGGATCGAGAGTCGGTGTTCAGCTCAAGCGTATCACCTCTATAAGTGTGTTTTGAATGTAAGTATCCAGGTAAGGATCCTGTGGAATATTCTGCATGTTTTTCCAAGGCTGTTAAGCTGGGACTCATCGTGGATGATGGATTCCAGGAATGGTGCCTCGTTAGTAGTCGCCAATTCGCTCGTGTTCCGGACGTAACATTTGAAGCAAGTGGAATTTTTGATAGCGGAATGTGTCCGAATATGCCAAGTATATCGTTCGATGCCAATCATGATACAAAGTCGACTGGCTGCCTTTGCCCAGTGTTTTCAGAACGATGGTTCTCTGATGCATATCCAAATATCCGTCTCTCTGGGTCGTTTTTACGGCTTTCACTGAGTATGAACTTAGCCAGTCAACTCCCCGAGAAAGAACAGCGGCTTGAGAGACTTACTACGGTCAATGCTCATCTAAAGGCTGTTCTTGATGCGGCGAGTTGGCCTGAGCATCCGGAGCTCATGAACATAAACCCCATTCTAAAACAGCGGTCGGCGAATTGCTGCGACAGCCATTCGGCCTCCCCGTATGCGTCCATCTTCCTCTCCCTTTGCGAACCCGTATTGCCGAAGAGATGAATGACCGTGGGAATTGGTCTCGGATAGGCAATAGGGTCTCACTTACACCACGTGGTATGTTGTCGATCATCGAATTGTAGGTCGCCTACCAACGGATGACCTGTTCACAGGCGGGACCTCGACTGTTGGTGCTTTTGCAGCTTCGACCCAGGATTTCCGTGGACATGGATCTTTCCCATGTCGTTGCACCCGTCACAGGGCGCAATTTTGACTCCGATGCGGTCGTAGGAGAAGCGTGTGTGTCCAATGCAGCGAGACCTTCCACGGGAAATCTCATGTGACCTTCGAGCGATCAGCCCCATTCATCTGTGCACTTGTTGCTGTGGAATTCAAGGAACTGAATTGGTAGTCACCTGTCGGCGTCATGAAATTCGACTCCCTCAAAAGCCGCATTACTCACGAGCTTTATTTTTCGCACACATAGCTCGATGATCGACCGGTGATCCTCAATAGGAGTTGATCTCACTGATACAAGCACATACCGAAAACCTTCCACCCTGGCGCTCATGAGCCAGCCATGCTGACATGCATTGCATTGAAAGACAGATGCTGCTCCTTCGAAAAATAACTCTCGGCACTAAGATTGGTGTCATGATTCGGAGTTGAGTTGAAGACTATGTGACTTCGACACATCTTGACCAGCCGAGGCATTTGTGCGGACCATGGAGTTGGACTTACGATGAGTGATTTCTCCATGTTGACAGACAACCTTCTGCAAGTATTGACAACCCTCCCTGCGGTGAGCGTTCACGAAAGGAATAAGCCTGAAATGTGAACAATTCCTTACGTTCAATAGTTGACCTCCAGCTTGAATCAACATTTCGAAAATTTCCCAGGCGTGGCTGCTCCCGCGTAATGTAGGTTCTGTATTGCTTGTCGCATCAGGTCTTCAAGAACCGGAGTCATGCACTTGAGCTTCCGGGGAAAAGATATCTTCAACAGATGCACGAGTTCGCTCCAAGCGGACAAATACAATTATAATTGTTCCAGCAGGGACGAATTTCCTCCCAACGCTTGGTCTTCTCTGATGGGTCAATTCATGTTGACTTGACAAGGCCACATGATCTTCAGCCGAGTAAGGTGAACTGCAGATCATCATAAACGGTCCAGCTTCGCCAAAGTAGGCTACGATTACATCTGACGAGGCTCTTGCAGCGTTTTCCGGACAAGCTACTGGGGCATGCTCCCAATCGACTTTGGAAGGCGCCCGTTCATCAGAAACCCTAATTTCAGGGAAATAGCTAGCCTATTGTGTTTGTGTAGATGACGGGGTGTTCCATCCACGCACAGCCGGTGCTGTGATAAAACCTCTCAGCAGTGAAGTAGATGATCCGTGGAGATGTGTTTGGGCAATGAAAGTACTGGGTTGAACTTCGATGGAATATCCCATTTCGTGGAGCACAGCCCACTAATTTTTGCACGGTCAAACTCAGTTCGACATGACGGAGAAGTAGAAAGCAAAGAAGGACCGTGGAACAAGAGTTCTCTGATCTATCTCCTCTTTCCACGTAGCCAGGTTCAAGAGTGGACGCTGCGGTATATAGTTTCGTTACTTTCATGAAACATGGTGCAGAAAGAAGAACCCAGGCTTGACGTCGGGCCCAGTGTAAGACTGTCATGATCCACGAATCGCACTGTCCAATGACTCAAAATAGCAGACTTCCTTGTGGCGTATGCTTGTCCGGAACTATCATCTGGCCGAATCATCTGGCGACCAGGGAACTTCTTCCCACTTAATCTCCCTTCGGAAGCTCGCTCAAGAAACCCCAGTGGGAACTTTCCTTGTAGCCTCGAGCCTGCCAGTCATTGATATCCTTTGTGTGATCCCGATTGAAGAGTGGCAGTTGATCAAACAACCGACGTCGCTAATGCTGCCGGAAGGCCGTACAAGCTCAATGCAGGATTTCAGCACGTCCAGCGTGCTGACCACCTGAAGGAAGACATCTGCGCGTCAGCCACTGGCGGCATATCCGAGAGGGTAGCTTGGGGATTGTTCCTCAACATCAGACAACAGATGGGAGATTGACATTGCCTCCGAACAACCGTGGTCCCATACTCGAACCGTTGTACCTCGCTTCTTACCTCGTGAACTTTGTCTTCAAATTCATGGCCTGATATAGAACCGGCGGGTATGGCAGGTGCGGCGGTGAAAGCTCTCCAGGCACATGTTATTTCAACCGTCCTTGTTGCAAGACCAGTAGTCACTGAAATCGGAACGGTCAATATTCTCATGTAGCATAAGTGCCTTAGAGCTACTCACCTTTGTGGAAGGTAACCGTAGACCACATCCCCGCGAAGCCATTCGCTGACAACCTTGGTCGGGGATTTTCAGCAGATTTTCAGCGGTCAAACACATCCGTCTCGACCCCAGGAAAACGAATGTAGACCTTAGTCTACTCATGAAAATCAATGCGGACATAGTGCTCGGGCGCTTTATTAGCTGTCGATGGGCACCATGCCAACACAATCCACGGCTCGGTTCACGCCGTTGGGCTCAGGAGCAAAAATACGCTTGACGGGGTCCACTTCCATGAAGTTGATAGTCTATCGACTGAAAGCTGCTCGTTCGAGACGCTTGGAGCACGGTCCACGGCGTAGACCCGACAGGTCCTACCGGGAATGATAAAGGACGCTGCTAATACACCGAGGGAACCAGCGGCAATCACAGAAACGGCATCTCCGGACTCGAAGCGGGACCATGTCACGCCAGACGAGCCCTAGTAGTTGATCAACTGTCGGATACGGTCAATTCATCCTGTTCAATGGCGGAACTAGTAGTCTTGGCAGTAGAACACACAGCGATCAGTGATTGATCGGCAAACAGAACTCGTGCATATTCGGACCCCAGACTGTGCGGTCAACCACCTTCTAGAACCGTGTTTGGGTGTCAAACATATGCCCGTATGCACAGAGTACGGAGCCGACAGAATGGCATCTCCTCCAATCTGGCTCTTACATCTCACCTGGTCTATCTCTGGTGGTGACCGTTGAGGCTCCCTCTCTCACCCCGGAGAGACGAAACACCAAAGAGAATGCCGGGCTCTGGTGTATAGCTCGCTGCCCAATGAGCTTTTTTGGGGTGAAGGCTCTGCTTCGTTGAGAGTGTGAGAAGACTGGAGATGAGTCGTTGTTGTGAAGAGTCTGCTAGTCTCATTGTGAGAATGCGCCTTATATAGACCCAACTTCATGCGACTTCGCTTCAAAAATCTTGAGGTTGAACTCCACCAACTTCCCCAAGCAGATACCATCGGCCGAATCATGTTCGTCGACAGGTTGAGCTTCCAAAGAGAGTGCTCTTAGCGGATTTTGCCCATCCTCTGAGGCCTGCGTTATCTGAGTACTGCGACCTACCATCCCCTTTCAAGACATCGAGAGGACTGTCGACCAGCTGCAACAGTCTACATCAGTGAGGCAGAGTCGTCTTTGACCTCGAAACGTACCCGTGTCTGCCAGCTGGTGCGCACCGAGTCCTTCTGTAACGAAAGTTGTGTTGCATTGAAATTTGAATCCCATCTGTGAGTCAGTAGACTTCCAATGAAAACCCAGAACTTGCCTGACCTGGGTTCCACCGCCTCTACAAATATGAATGGGCTCCGTTACTTACAGAAGCCCTTCCATTTTCATGCCGGATCGGGCGAGGCTGGGGAGTCGCGGTGACACATTCTGGATGCCGCTGTATTCCACATTCCACATGGGCAGAGGGATTCACGGCTCCACGAGTTGATCCTGCACGTGCATTCTTGCATGAATCTTGGTCGGTCAAGGCCATGGACGATGACCTGCCGTCCCGAATCCACGAACGCAAGTCATCCGACGATGCGTTCAAGGCACGCAACGCCTGTCTCGTTGCACAGTGCCGATGAGAGCGCTCTCGTGTGTGTAGAGCCCGTGCTCCACGTGACTGTGCGACACGGAAACCAGACCAACCGACGGACCCGCCATTCGATCATTTGGGACTCTTGATCAGGTGCATATCGATCGGATATTCTTGGATAGCGGGAAAGTGACATCCGTCGAGCAACGCCGTGCGCTTGGTGCCGCCATCAAGTCTTCTGTCTGGGGCCTCGGCCACCTTTTTGCCTCTTTCCGTTCCAGGGTTTTTGCTCAGCCCTGCAGTCATCGCGATCGGACGGGCGCTATCCGGAAGGGGCTAATGCACGCTCGGCTTCGGGTGGACTCGGTGGAGCTGAGATCCTGGTTCCGACCCACTCGTGGAATACGCGATATACGGACCCAATCACCGAAGGACGTATCCCTGATATCGACATCCATCTGACGTCCGTGTCAAGACCCACACGCAGCGGTTTCCAGTCCGGGGAAGCTTGCTCCATCCGAAGTATGAGATTCTGCGGCAGAAGACCAATCCCTCTCCGACGTGTAAATCAAAAAGCCTGATAAGAAGAGAGAGATTCAACGTCTGAGTCACGGCCAGCAGGTGTCAGCATCTGGTGGTGCTACTAGTAGGATGGTCCATCACCCGAATCGGATTCGCAAGAAGGTAATCCTTTGACCGGTCTCGTTGTTTGTCGTTGATGCCCGGTGCGAGGCGTAAAGAACTCCACCTATGAGGATACCGAAAGGCCCATAAAGTTTTTGCTCAGGAACCGTGACGTTTTGAAATGCTCGATTGCCTTCGAGAATTCTGCGAGTCGAAGAGCTTCTTACTCTCGCTTTGTCTCGCACTCTTTCTCGCCTTCGACCCTTGCGAGTCCTCTCTGTCATCGAAGTACGTTCAGTACCGTACCGGAAGGCTCTGGCACCGTCTCCGTGGTGAGCCAGACACTACCGGGACACTGTATGCTGGTCATTCGGAAGTTTCCTCGTCCGATACCCGAAGAGGAATCGCTTATTCTCGATTCTGCCCGAACAACACCATCACGCCTTCTGACCTCGCATTGTTTCAGATCACCGCCTTCTGGTACACATCCATCGCGTGTCGCTCAATCTCCCGTCTTTTCCACCTTCATTTTCAACCACCGTCCGTATTGTCTCGCATCGCGCATCGATTCCCATCGTCACGAATCGTTTTGCATCGATTCCCGCCGATTCCCAGCGTCAACGTATGGTAACAACCATGACGGATTCCTCTCGCGAGAATGAGATTCGCTCACTGGCGCAGTCTCTCTCGCGAATTGCGACTAACGATTCCGGTGTCTCGAGGCATGTGGTCTCAGAGAATATCGAGTTGACCGATGTCAATTCGAAAGACATTGTGTCCACAAACCAGACTTCCCACGCCCCCGGCACCCCACCAATCTCGAACACGGTCGAGAAGGGGCCAGCCAACCTCACGCAGACCACGTCTGCTTCTACCACCGATGGAATCAACACCTTCCTGAACCCAGAACAGGATCCAGAGCTCAACCCGAACGATACCAGGAACTTCAACGCTCGAAAGTGGTGCAAGAACTTCCTGCAAATGATCCTGCGAGATCCCGCACGCTATCCACGTCGTAGCGCAGGGGTGTCTTTCCGCAACCTCAACGTCTTTGGTTACGGCACTGCTGCCGACTACCAAACCGACTTTGGAAACGCCTGGCTGAAGATGGGATCCTGGATCAAGGGCCAGTTGGGGATGCGCGAGAAAAAGCGCATCGACATTCTCCGGGATTTTGAAGGCATGATCCACGAGGGAGAGATGCTCGTAGTCCTTGGGCGACCTGGAAGGTAGGCTGCGCTGTTCTTTACCCCACCTCCTTCACCAACTGTCCAGGAACAAGTCAGCAACGTAGGAAACTCATCAATTAACTTTGATTTCTAGCGGGTGTTCAACTTTCTTGCGAACAATCGCCGGTGAGACCCACGGTCTGTACCTCGCAGATGGCTCAGATATTGAGTATGAGGGAATCTCGTGGCAGAAGATGCATGGCCGCTTCCGTGGTGAAGTGATTTACCAGGCGGAAACAGAAACCCACTTCCCCATGCTGACCGCGGGAGAGACCCTGCTATTTGCTGCCCTCGCGCGCGCACCCAGCAATCGTTTGCCGGGGGTGACACGCGATCAGTATGCACAGCACATGCGAGACGTTGTCATGGCCATGCTAGGCTTAACTCATGTCATGGACACAAAAGTAGGCAATGACTTTGTGCGTGGAGTGTCCGGAGGTGAGCGCAAGCGGGTCAGCATCGCGGAGGCCACTCTGTGTGGAAGCCCCCTGCAGTGTTGGGATAACAGTACTCGTGGTCTTGACAGTTCCACCGCACTGGAATTTGTGAAGAACCTACGCTTGTCCACCGAATACAGCGGGACCACCGCTGTGGTGGCTATCTATCAGGCCAGCCAGTCCATCTATGACATCTTCGACAAAGCTGTCGTGCTGTACGAAGGCCGTCAGATTTACTTTGGTCGTGCTGATGATGCCAAGCGTTTCTTTGTCGACATGGGCTTTGAGTGTCCAGATCGACAGACCACAGCCGATTTCCTCACCTCCCTGACCAGCCCCTCGGAGCGCCGTGTGCGAGATGGTTACAAGGATCTGGTTCCTCGCTCACCTGATGAGTTTGCGGCCCGCTGGAAGGAGAGTGCCGAACGCAAACAGCTTCTCAAGGAGATCCAAGACAGTCGGCAGCAGCATCCTGTCGACCAAGAACGATTGGACGTTTTCAGTGTCTCGCGTGCTGCGCAGAAAGCGAAGGGTACTCGAGCCCAATCACCATACACTCTGTCGTATTCAATGCAGATCAAGCTCTGCCTCTGGCGTGGGTTCCTCCGGCAGAGAGGTGACATGAGTATCTCATTGTCCTCGTTGATTGGGAACATTCTCATGGGGCTGATTATTTCCACTGTCTTCATCAACCTCCCTGCAACCACCGGAAGCTTCTTCCAAATTGGTGCCTTGATCTTCTTCGCCGTTCTTCTTGCTGCATTTTCCAGCGCCTTGGAAATTCTCACTCAATGGCACCAGCGTCCTATTGTGGAGAAGCATTTCAAATATGCTTTCTACCATCCTTCCGCCGAGGCTATCAGCTCCTACATTGTGGATCTGCCGTTCAAGGTCGCCATGTCCATCACGTTCAACACCATCGTCTACTTCATTCCTCATCTTCGTCGAACGGCTGGTCACTATCTGATCTTCTTCCTGTTCACGTTCACGACCTCGCTTGTGATGTCGAACCTGTTCCGCACTATAGGCGCCAGTTCCCGCTCGATGGCCCAGGCCATGGTCCCATCTTCGATCTTCATGATGATCCTGGTCATCTACACTGGTTTCACCATTCCGGTTAGGGATATGCATCCTTGGTTCAGGTGGCTTAACTATCTGAACCCTATTGCGGTTTGTGGACCAAGATTTACTCGTTCTCCGATTTCATTGGCGATGCTAACGAATGTTATTCTTCTCTCTAGTACACTTTTGAGTCGCTCATGATCAATGAGTTCAGCGGTCGTCGCTTCCCTTGTAGTGACTTTGTCCCTGCCGGTCCACTGTATGCGGATGCCCCGTTAAGTGCCAAGATCTGTTCACAAAAGGGTGCAGTGCCAGGACAGGATTACGTCGATGGTGATGCTTTCATCAATACCACATACCGGTATTTCAGAGAGCACATGTGGCGGAACTACGGCATTTTGTGCGCCTTTTTTGTCGCACTCTTTGTTTCTTACATCGTTGCGAGCGAGTACATTCGTGCTCAGCCTACCAAGGGTGAGATTCTGGTATTCCGGCGCGGCAAGATTCCGGCATTTGTGAAGAAAGCGTCCCGCGAAGAGGATATTGAGGACGCCTCCAAAGGCACAAAGCAGGGACTGGCAGACGAAGCTCCCGACTTGACCGTCAAGAGCGCGAATCTTGCAACGCAGACTGCCATTTTCCACTGGGAAAATGTTTGCTACGATATCAAAGTCAAGAACGGCACAAGACGAATCCTAGATGAGGTCGACGGATGGGTGAGACCTGGAACTTTGACGGCTTTGATGGGAGTGACAGGAGCTGGGAAGACAACATTGCTAGACGTTCTTGCGGATCGAGTCACCATGGGTGTCATCACTGGTGACATGCTGGTTGACGGACGTCCTCGTGACGGTTCTTTTCAGCGCAAGACGGGCTATGTACAACAGCAAGATCTACACCTAGAGACCAGCACTGTACGCGAGGCTTTGATCTTCAGCGCCCTCCTGCGACAGCCCCATAGCATTCCTTACAAGGAAAAAGTCGCATACGTTGAGGAAGTCATCCACATGTTGGAAATGAGTGAGTATGCGGAAGCTGTTGTTGGTGTTCTGGGTACGGGACTGAATGTCGAACAACGAAAGCGACTGACAATCGGTGTCGAACTTGCCGCCAAACCGGACCTGCTGCTCTTCTTTGACGAACCAACCTCTGGACTTGACAGTCAAACTGCGTGGTCGATCTGCAGTCTGATGCGTAAATTGGCGGACCATGGTCAAGCTGTGCTGTGCACCATTCATCAGCCGTCGGCCATGCTCATGCAGCAGTTTGACCGTCTTCTCTTTCTGGCTAAGGGTGGTCGCACCGTCTACTTTGGCGATCTTGGCACAAACATGAGTAGCCTGATCCAATACTTTGAGAATAAAGGATCCGTCAAATGTCCCGAGAACGCCAACCCGGCAGAATGGATGCTTGAGGTCATCGGTGCCGCTCCTGGTTCGCATGCAGATCGTGACTGGGCTGATGTCTGGAAAGAGAGTCATGAGCGTGTGCAGGTACGACAAGACCTGGCTAAAATGAGAAATGAGCTGTCCAAGAAACCGGCTCCTGAAGCCACGGCTGGCTATGGCGAGTTCGCCACGCCTATCTGGTACCAGTTTCTGGTTTGCATTCGACGCATGTTCGAGCAGTACTACCGTAGTCCCGGCTATCTGTACTCGAAGACGGCCATGTGCGTCATTCCGGTTAGTTGCATCATCCAACGCTGAGCTTGTTCTTTACCTCTGCTAACCCTGGCTATCATCAGCCGCTGTTCATTGGATTCACTTTCTGGCGCATGCCCAACACTCTGCAAGGTCTCCAGAACCAGATGTTTGCCATCTTCATGCTGCTCATCATCTTCCCCAATTTGGTTCAGCAGATGATGCCCAGTTTCGTCACGCAACGATCCTTGTACGAGGTGAGGGAACGGCCCTCCAAGGCATACTCGTGGAAAGCATTCATGCTGGCCAGTGTTCTTGTGGAGCTGCCCTGGAACATTCTGATGGCGATACCGGTCTACTTCTGTTGGTATTATCCCATTGGGCTCTACCGCAACCCCCCACCGGGTGAGATGGTTGCCCGGGGAGGTACCATGTTCCTGGTTATTCTCATGTTCTTGATGTTCACGTCGACCTTCAGTTCGATGATGATCGCAGGGATTGAGTCACCAGAAACTGGAAGTAACATCGCACAGGTGATGTTCTCGCTCTGTCTGGTCTTCAATGGGTAAGTTGAACTCAAACCGAAAGATTTCTGAGTTGAGTCGTGAGCCGCGTTCGAGTGAGTGCTAACTAACGGCGTCTCTCGCTTCGTGTGTAGTGTCCTCGCGAGCCCCAGCGCCCTACCACGGTTCTGGATCTTCATGTACCGTGTGTCCCCGTTCACCTACCTGGTCTCTGCGGTACTGTCATCGGGACTGTCTGGGGGTAACGCCAAATGCTCGAGCATCGAGCTTTTGAAGGTGGATCCACCGCATGGCCAGACTTGCTCCAGCTACCTGGACCCGTATGTGAGGCTCTACCAGGCCAGTCTGTCGAATCCCAATGCTACGTCAGGCTGCGAGATTTGTCCGATCCAGTCCAATGATACCTTCCTGGCCCAGTTGAGTATCAGATTTTCTGACTACTGGCGGAACATCGGACTTCTCTTCGTCTACGTTGGCTTCAACGTGGTCATGGCTCTGGTCCTGTACTGGCTTGCTCGGGTGCCGAAGAAGTGGTCGAGAAAACAACGGTCAGGATGATCGACCACTTTGCCTCCGTCTTTTGCTGGGTGGGGATGTTCGTTTGTGTTTTTGCTTTTGTTTTTGCTTTCCTTTCGGGAGTTGAGCCTGGAAAGAGGCTGGGTATCTCAGCTCACCATGTACGATTTATGACTTACGATCCCAACTGATTGCTGGACCCCGGGATTTTGCATTTGTACAATTTAGCTGATACATGTCTGACAAGATGGTCAGACCGGGTCCTAGTTTGAATGGCATGCCTCCCTCGAGTTACTTTTTTGTCATGTCATAGTATTGAACCGTCTACATGTGTAGTCGTCGCGCCAACAGATGTGAGTCCTGGGTGATAGGAGGTGATTTTGAGCGACTATCAACTTTGCTTTCCTTCCTTCCTTCCTTCCTTCCTTCCTTCCTTCCTTCCTTCCTTCCTTCCTTCCTTCCTCGCTTTCTTCGCACCTTTCTACCTTTGATGTTGATCAGAGCCATACAACCAATATCTTCAAGATCATGTGTTCAGATGCTGGCAGCTATCAAGGGTGGTTTTCTGAGCTTCCGAGAACGGTAGCAAAACATCCTATCACTATGTTTGCTTCACGATCTTTACCTGGCCTGGGTGATGTAGCTTCTACATTGCATTCCATTCGATCACTCACAGCATGTCCCTTTGGGGAAAAGAGATGCAAGGCTGAAGACTGATCTATACGCGTGACACCGGGTGGAGGAAAAGAAACCTTGGTGTGATTCGGATATATAGAATCATGAAAATGAGGAGGACATCATATTACCCGCTGGGAGATGTGTGAGTACGACGATACGAGCGCTTCTTCCGTTGTCCAGTGGAAACTATTATTGCAGGTTTCATCGCCAGTTGATGAATAGTCAAGTGCTCTCAGTTTCCCCGCAACTCCGGCGGAGGGTTTCCTCCCCGATAACCTTAAGACCTCCGAAAAGTGTCCCTGTCCGACCGCGATAACCTACGCGCACCAGAATCAAACCTCGCCTTGACACTTACTCTCTTAGTGGTCCAGCACACAACTGCCTACCACGATCGAATCATGCTGCATGTGCTGGAGTAGCATCTATCCTCTCCTCATACCCTCGGCCACGTTGTCCGGATCGCCGACATCGTCAGACCCTCGTTTGCGACCATCATGTTAGTGTTTGGGACTGGGAAGCATGCTGCCTCTGCACTTGCGCCATACGCTTGCGATACATCATTGCACCGCTAATACTCATCTGTCTGTCTAATAGGACGGTCTTCTCCCTTATCATCATCAACAAGGCGGGTGGTCTCATCTACCAGCGTGAATACCAAGCGGGTCTGCGCAGCCTGTCTACCAACGACTACCTTGTCCTAGCAGGTACCTTCCATGGGTATGTGCATCTCGTCCATATCGCTCTCGCTTTCTCCCTCTCTCCCAAATTTCAAGCCAACCACCAATCTCACATTCAATACAAACAGAGTCCACGCAATCACCCGCTCCATCACCCCAAAACTACCCCTCGCCCAGACCTCTCCAGCCACCACAACGCCCGGAGGAGGAGGCAGCGCACCCCCTGCCGGCTACAGCTATCCCAATCCCGGCATTGCCGCCTCAGGACTGGAACACCTTGAGACGGAGAAGTTCCGGTTGACATGCTTCCAGACTTTAACGGGGACTAAGTTCCTGCTCTTCACGGATCCGATGACGGGGAATGTCGATACGATCATGAATAAGATTTATGAGCTGTATGCCGACTATGTCATGAAAAATCCTTTCTATCAGCTGGAGATGCCGGTGCGATGTGAGGCCTTTGATCGACATTTGGGGGCGTGGCTGCGCGGGCGGACGTGAGATGCCTGTTGTCAGGTTCAATTTGTGATTGTCGATGTATGCTGGGAGGCCCAGCGGGGTTCTGGATGTTCTTGATCCCAAGGGCCGTGACTCTCTGTGAAGATGCGCGGATTATATTGAAGTACATGATGACTTGATGACCCTTAGACCAATTTCAATTTCTCTTTCAATCGTATCCCTTGGCCCTTGATCGGTAACGCCCAGTCTGGTAATCGATAGTCAGGACGGATGAAATGTTTCATCTATGAATGTACCCAAGACTTTTTGACTCAATGAGCCGATAAGGAACCCTACTTTGGCTGAGGGTGAATCTAGCAGACTGGCCAGGTCTTAACTCAGAGTATACAGTGATCTGGAATCGTGAGGAAGATTAAGAAAATGAGAAAAAGACAAAGAAACGCCGGGTATGCATCAAAATTCGCTTCCAGGAAGTGAAGACAACATCTAAGCGGTATCCATCTTGTCGTCATCTTTCTTATCCCGAGCATTGCTTGACTCGCCCTGGCTCTCTTCCGGGATATTACCAAGCTCCGTCTTACCCTCGGCGGCCTCCCGTTCGCGCTTCTCCTTTTCTTGTCGGTTCTTCTCTTCCTCCAATGAGAGTCGCAGGGCAAAGGCCAATTCGGGGTCATTCTCCGCAGCATCTTCAAAGTTGAATCCAGCTTCATCACCGCCGCCTCCGCCGGCACCGCCAGCAGCGGCACTTTCACCGGCAAGGATCGGGGTAGTTTGGAGCTCCTCGCTGAGGAGACGGGGTCCCGGAGGAATGATGGCGAGGTACGAGTTGTCGCCACTCGTCACGTTGTCCACAAAGGCTTCGAGTTTCTTGGTCTGATCAGATTCCAAATCACCAAATGCCACAACGTCGATTGAGACGTTGTTCTTTTTCATCTTCTTGGCGAGCTTCACAAGGGTCTTCTCATCTTCTGCGATGGGTGAGCACGAGAACACGATAATCCGTTGCCGTTGCGACTTTTCGGAGCGGTGCTTCAGGGCCAACTGTAATGAATTGAAGATTAGTTTCAGAGTCGGACCGAGCTACCTCCGCGCTCGCTCATCGGCTACTTCGAAGGGGACAGCATTCCCACGTACAGCTGCAACTTGAATACTGGAGCTCAGATGCGATGTGCCATGAATCTTGGTTCTGTGTAGACCAGCCAGGATGCTGCCAAAGTCTGTCGTGAAAGTAGAGAGGACCTCGGGACCCTTGCCGCCCATGCTCATCAACCCAACGGCCGATTGTGGGTGTGCCCGCATCTTGACGCTGTGAACGATGCTGACAGCATCGACCTGAGCTTGCCAGCGGGTAGATCTGCGGATTTGGAAGTCAGAACTTGTCTCCGAAATCGCCAAATGCCGAGCGACTCACGTGTAATCTCCATTGCGACTGCTTTCGCTATTGTCGACACTGTATGGGATTGGTCAGCAAAGCGCTTGAAGAGATGATTGGCACATTCAGACTGACATGATCATTGTAGCCTCGAGAGACATGATGGCGGTATATGACAGAAAGTGATGAGAAAAGGTAGGAGTAGATACGACGACTGTGATGCTGGAGCTAAGGAAGTCGGCTGATGACGATGAGGTGAAGCTATGCATTCTGCCGGTCCTTCCCGCCCGCGGTCCTGTTTGTTATGGGCGTCGCGCATCCAGCCCCGGATATTCCACGGTCTGTTCCACTCCCCCACGTTACTTCCATATTTTGAACCGCGACGTTGAAAACTTTCCCTGCAAAATGGCTACTCTGAAACGCAAGGCGCCTGAATTGTCCGAGGCTTCAGATGCCACACCCACCGGGAGACCAGTCAAGAAGCTGCGTCTTACGCGAAGCCAGAAACAAGCGCTCATTGACAACCTCCAGCTTGAGAGTACGTGCAAGGGATGAGAAAATGGCTGCACTTGTATATGTACTAAACTTTCTCGTATCCAGTCACTGAGCGAGCGCGTAAGCTGCGTGCTCAGTATACTCTCCAAGCTCACGATCTCCGTGCTCGTCTCGAACGACGCGTCAACCGTATTCCCGTATCTCTTCGCAAAGCCAACATGGGCGAACTCTTCGAGAAATACGCCGCTGCCACCCAAGCCACCTCACCTATTCGCAGGATCTCCCCTATAAAGGCCTCGCGTGCGCCAATTTCTATCGATCAAGCTCTTTCGCCCTCTAGCACGCGTGATGGCCGTACGCGACGCACTAGGTGTGTTATTGGTCTGGTTTGTTCTTGATGAATCAAGTCCGCTGACACCTATACCACTATCAGCAACGACGGCTACTCCGATAAGGAGAATGCACCAGCAGGCGGTACACCAGAGGGACTCAAGAACCCCAAGCGCCGAGGCAAGGCCCCAGCCGCGAGCGGCACATCGCGCATTGTCTCGCAGGAAATGCGAAGCAACAATCACCGAATCCTTTCTCCCAAATCCTCCAACTCTCGAACCTACCCTCAGTCTCCGTTCCGCGCATCTCCAGAAAAGGGCCAGCCCTCGTACCTGTCCCGGCCCATCTCTCCTCTCAAACCATCCAGCCCTCTCCGCGCTCCTGCCCCGGGCTCCCGTCCCCGTGGCGCCACCACTTCCAACGTCCGAGATGTCCCATTGTCATCGCAGATCAAGAAGACGACAGCTCGCTCTGCAACCGGGCCTCGAGCTGTCAACTCCCCTCTGCCTCGACCTGCCACTCGCCAAGGTGAACGCAAGAACAGTTTCTCGTCAACGACCTCTTCAGGCACGACCGTGGCAAAGCAGAACAAACCCGGACTCGTGGGCCGCAAAGCCACGACGGGCACAGCCGCGTCTACGAAGAAACCCCCAGTGCCCCGTGCGCACGCCGCTTCACTGGCCGTCAAGAAACCAACAGCCGCGACTGCGGCATCCGCAGTGCGTAAGACTACCGCCCCTGCATCTACTTTGGAAAGCTCGACAAGGGCGACAAGGGCGCTTCGCAAGCGTGTATAAACGAAATTTCTTTCTCAAAATCTCTCTCTTGATGTTCCGAGTGTGCCACCATGCTTTCGTTGGCTTCGCCCGGTATCCCACCATTGAGTTATATCCCGCTTTCTCCAGCGTTCAATTTCACGTGTTGCCTTCTTAGGCGTTTAGTAAGGCTATCAGGCGCAGATCGGCGCAGGTTCTTTTACTTTCCGGTTGCCGGCATGGCATTATTGCTGCGTGTGGGTTTCCATCTGGTATACTCTTCTTTTGATGGATGCGTTATTTCGACAGTCGAAACATACTCTGAGTCAATTCAAATTTTACCATATTGTTCAAAATCCTCATGACGACCCTGTCGAGGGTTAGAAGTCAGAATGACCAACTGCCTAGTGCGTGACAGTATGGTTGTGGGCTGGGTGGGCCGTGTCCGACACTGCAGCTCATGGGTGCCAACAGATGTCGATCACCGCCTTACACATGGTTCAACCCAGGGAGCAGCTCAGGTATTCCAACCGCCACCATCAAGTGTAGAGCGCAGAATGGTCATTGTGTGAGCTCAGGAGGCGTAGAACGGGAGATCTTCGTCCAGGAAAGCCCAAATGGATTCCTTTCAGTTTAAGGGGTACGCGTGTCCTCGAAATAAATACAACCTCTCACGAGAGTTGACATTTTTTGTTGCTGATCGATCTACAGTAGTTATCAATCAAGCAAGTACACGCGATACGGATGATACAGCAGTAGCGAACATTGGGTTCGTCTTCCAGAGCTAAACGAAGCGAGCAGATAAGATAGATGCCAAAGGATAACAAGGGTCATGCAATGCGGACATAACCAGACGTCTTCGAGTCCGAGAGTTCAGCAAAAGTCTCGTCGAAATGTACTCAAGCCAAGGCACACCAACTTCAACGTATAACACTTCAACGTATAACAACAAACAGTCAATGGAATGAGGACTCCAGGAGGTGAATGCAAAGAGCACTGGCAGTGGAAAGAAGAGCGTGGGCCAGGAAAAGTCTTGAACAGCAATCGCAGCGATGATGAGAGCTAGATGAATCCGGGAAGCTTGGCTCAAGTGCAAAGGGAGATTCTTCCTCCTTAGATTGGGCAGAGCAGGACGACCAGAATGATCACAGGGGAAGTTTGTTCCAGCGATGAAAATAACAGCAAGAAAGGTAGAATTTGTAATCTGAAGAAAGATTTCAGATCAACCTTGACGGGGTATGGTCGAGCAAAACAGTGAAAGAGAAGGAACTGAACAGAGGAAATGAAGAGGCCATGATGCCCGGGAAGTATTTGGTAAAAAGAAATGATGGCCCCTCAAAATTAGGTGAAACGCTGCCTCGCTCGCAACAAGCTATGCGCAAAAACACAAGAGCGCGCTCAGAGGACCGGCGGTTTGTGTGCAGACGAAGAATTGAAAGTATGGAGAAAAGCGGAAGCTAAGCCGGCCAGAATTGGCGGCAAGAGGAAATGAGGATGATCGTTGACAGAAAACGATCATGAAGAATGCAATTCAAATGAGAATACAGCAACGCTCAACCCTTCTTCGGAGTAGATAAGAAAACTGAACGGGTCTCGGCAGTCACAGACTGCATCATGTTTAGGTTGTGATTTGCAAATGTTGGGCCCCCAAGCATGGCCTGCCAAATAGAGCTCCGTGAAGAAATGCAGAATCAAAGGAAGAGGACCAGATCTAGGCGTTACCCCGTAACACCCATGGCTCCCGGCCCAGCTCGAGGACGATAGGGTAGACCTTGCTGAGTATGCTGCGGATTCTGTGCATCTTGGTGGCCCTGGCTGCCATTGCTGTGGCTCCGATCTCGGTGATAGGCCGCAGGCGGGGGCGCAAAGTCAAATCCAGCTTGAGGCTGAGCATTCGCGGACTGGGAATGATTGCCAGGTCCAGCGACATGGCGGACAGAGCTTTGCATTTGCCAAGCAGTGTCCTGAGACGGATCAGTCTCAATACGTGCCGCAGTCGGTGTGCTCTGGTTACGGTGGTTGTTGATCGTGAAGGCGTCGAACCCATTATCAGGTTTCGATGACAAGCTACCTCTGGCAATGTCGCCATAACGTTTTAAGATATCTTTCGTCGTCACTTCAGTATTTTCCTTGAACAGCGTGGTATCGCTCAGAACTGCCTGAAGATCATCCGGAATCTGCAAGAAAATGGGTGTCAATAAAAGTTACGCCAACGAATGACAACTCTCTCGTAAAGTGCTGACGGAAATACACCTAAGGATCGTTACTTACCTCACACATGGTATCGTTGTATGTGATAAGGGAGTTCACCGCCTCGATGGCCAAGAAACTTTCGTCTACTGTGCCGTTTTTAGTATTGGGGTAAAGGATGTTTGGCGTCATGACCGTCGCCAGGTTATGAATGTCCATCTTGCTGCCGGATTCCTCATCAATGTGCGAGAATGAAGATGTCCAGTTGAGGAATGTAAATAAGACCTCCATGGTGTCGCGATGAGCTTTCGGCAAAAGACAACAGGCGAGATGCAAAACTCTCTTTTGCTTCTCAGGATCGGATAATTCTGCAAAATTGAAAGGTCAGCGTCCACATTGTCAAATGACGGCCGATCTCTCTCCCATGGCACACTTACTTTGGGACGCAACAAACAGGCGGTGCAGTTTGAATGTCATCAAGGGATCAGGCATCTCTCGTAAGAATTTCTTCAGAAGCGCTGCTATTTGCACGGGGCCCTCCTTGGACATGTCCACTTGGTCGTACTTGGTATCAATCAATTCTGCCAGCTCTTTGAGCCTGCGAATATTGCCGTTCTTGCGGAACACTCCCTCAACTGACATGTCCATCTGTCGCATCGCGGATATGGCGTCATCCACCAGGGCAGGGATCCTCAACGCACCGGGTCCAACACCGTGTCCAGACTCGGTGCCCTCTTTTTCAACTAGATAATCGAGCGACACGCCGAACACTCCCTTTTTCTTGCCCTTCTTCTTCTCATCCTTGAAAGCCCGTCCGAAAATGTTCCAGATGGTGGGCTTCCTAGACTCGATGAGAGAAAGCAACTCTTCCATTGTGAACTGTCCCTCCAACAGAGGTTCCATGGACAAAACTGCCACATGACGCACAATGAAGTATTCCAACGCTGTTAGCTCGGAGAAATAACGCTTAGTGCGTGCAGCCGACTCGGCAAGTGCATCGAGCTGATTTCTTGACATCTCCCGGGCATGGCCAGGCTTATAGGTAGGCATTCCATCCATCGTTCCCACCAGCTTAGTACCTGCGTGTCGATAAGCGTTCGGTCGCTGCTCTTTGGCTTGCTCGGCTGCAACAATGCGTGGGATGTCATCCAGGGTCAGCGCATCTTGGGCGCCAAAGGTCAGATCTTTGACGGTGTCCCCGTTGGCATCTCGCTCCTCGACTATCTGAAAGTCGGGCCCCCGTGGATCGCCACCATCATTACCCGGGGATCCTGGACGGACACTCCGCCCTTCAGGACCATCGATGATTCGAGATGCGCGAGCTTTCTTGTATGTCGTGGACAACGTGCGTTCATTCCGCAACGAGCGGAGGCGGCGCATTTCCCCAACTGTCTGCTCGAGAGAGGATTCTTCGGGTCGACTACGAGCATTTCCCTGCGCATGACGCCCGCTACTTTGCCCAGGGAATCCGTCTTGCGCCTCATGATCCTCGTGGTCCAGAGGCTCTGTAGTTCAAGGTTTGAGAATTAGCAGATACGCGAGGGAAGCGTGAGAGGCAAGGCTTGCAAACTCTTACCACTTGATGCAGGAAGTGTACCTCCAGCGCGAAGCACTTCCAAAAGTCGAGCGAGAGCCACTCTCAGGAGGAACACATATTGCTGTAATTTGGTGACTCGAATAAATCCATCTTGAACATCACCACCAAAGTTATGATGGTTCGCACAAGCCGAGCAATAGGCAAAGTTCAGACTCTCGTTCCAGAGAGCGTCCGACAGATCAACAGTCAGATCCTTCTCACACGACGAACACGTCAAGTGAGGGGGCTTCATGTGCCAGCGATGTTCCCCGTGACGGATACACTCATCATCAATGGGCTCTTGGCACATGGCGCAGCAGTCCGAAAGTTGGTCGGCAAGACCTTCAACGCCGGCATCCAGATCAGCCGTGGCGTGCTCTTCCTCGGTCAGCATGATCGTTTCTTGATCTGCAAGATGACCTAAGAAGTTATGCAGGCCGTCCGAGGCTGACTTCTCTCGCTCCAGCTTGAGGGCGCCCTGGAGACCAATGCGGATCAGGAGTTTCAGATAATGAGCTAGTCCCGTGACCAACGAGAGCAGCTCCTGAGTGACGCCCAATTTGCGGACTCCGGTCTCTTGAGTCTTGGAAAGCAAGGCAAAGAACGCGACGATTTTCTTGCAAAGCAATTTAGCCTCTCGGCCGTAGGACAATTCTAAGGACAAGGTCAGTGGACGTTCTTTTGGTGGGATACGTTGGCTTCTCGCCTCTCGGCAAGTGGAAACCCCGACTTACCCTTGACCGCGTGAGATTTGATAAATCCTGCCAATTCATCGACCGCCACGAAGAGAATCTCGACATGAACGATGAAGCGCTTTGCGACGATGACTCCGTTCAGATAGGCGCCATTGCTCACATGGAGAAGCATATCCGAAATGCAGGCGGCTGACGACTCCTCAAATGATGAGAGAGTGCTCCAGATATTGTAGACCTTTTCCTCCATTAAATCCTCCTCTTTGCGGATATTTTCCCGCTCTTCTGGGGTTGCGTCCGCGTCAACCGGGGGCGGTTCCCACGTTTGGCCCGTGGGGGATAATCGCACATTCCAAAACTTGTGAATCATATAGCACTCGGGGTGCCAGTGTTGGTTTTGTCCGTTACGGAAGATCTCAACAAACTGCTTCAATATAGCGGTATGACATCCGTGGCAGCGTTGGGCGAATTGAGTCGAATAGTGAAAGTGGCAGTAAACTTGTCCTTCGTGTTCATAGTAGGAGTCTTGAGCCCCAAACACCGTGGGACAGACGGAGCAGGTGAAATGCTCGATATGATATTTGCGGTCCAGAGCCGTAATATAGGAGCCGCGAAGGGCGCCACCACAGTCATGACAGAGTAAATTCAATCGCCGGAAATAATCCGTTTCACACAGAGGAAATTGGCACGATCCATCTTCAGAGTCCACCGGGAAGAACTTGGATGCCACAATTTCCCCGCAGTCCTGTTGAGAAGAATTTGTCAGTCGCGCGCCGAACATGGCAGGACGGCAACTCCTGCATGCCGACAGGAGACCATGGTCGAAACACTAGAAGAACGGCTACCCACCTCGCACTTGAAACACTCCAGATGAAAAGTACCACCAAGGGCGCGCACAAATTGCCCCGTCAATGGCTCATGACACTTTTGGCAGAGACGGGACGAGCCCGGGGACTTGTTGTGTGGTCGTGCAGTGGTTCGTGACCGATCTCTTGCGTTCGAGCGATCGCGCAGAGGCTGTGGTTCGGGCTCGAGGCCCCGTGGAGAGCGGTCGTCTGGCGTCAATGGGCTGTGATTACCCGCCACTCGGGTAGAGGGAGAGTCGAATGGGATCAAGTTGTCTTCCGGGGACGTGGGTGTATTCTTTTGAAAGTTGTTGCCATAGCCGGAGGTGTTGATGGTGGGAGTCGGTTTGCCCGCGACTAAGCTGGCTGGCAGCCCGCCAGAGGACATTGTTCCCGAGCGACGTGAAAACGGCTATTGCGCGGTCGTCGGAGCAGTGCAGAGGAACGGAAGAGAGGAAGAGACAAGGAGCGAACGGGGGCGGCGTTGAGAGGGGGGGGGGGGATTGAATGATTGGACGTGGATTTGTGTCTCTCGTCAGTGCCGCAATATGTCGATATGGCAATGGCGTGGGGAAGTGTATTTAGCACGCTCTGGTTCGACATCGCAACCAGAAAGTCAGTCAAAGTCTCCGATCATGATGGGTTCTGAGGTTGGTCTGTTCCACAGCGACCATTGATTCCGTGTTTGGGGGGTGGAGGAACGCCGACTTACTTCGTCTCCATCCAGTGGAAGAGGACGCGGGAACAAGGCAGGGAGAGGGTGGACTTGAACCGAGGAAAGGACAGAGAGCGCGACCGACTGTCTGGATCGCGGGGGGAGGGACACAGATGACTGGAGGTGAGTTGGAGGAACGACTACGCGCGTAGTGGTGCGGACCACCACGCGGGGGTGGTGGTGATCGAGCAGAGAGGGACGGAGGCTGGGAGCTTCGAATACAAGCCAACACAGGCGGCTAGCGTCACAATCATAGGATGAAGCGGAGCATGAGTCGACAGAATACAAACGGATGGTGGTGAGGGATGTCCAACACAACGGGTATTGACACACAGAGGCTCCAGAAAGGAAGGAGAGGGGGGGGGGGGGGGGGAGTTGACGATGGGTTGGAGGTGGGCGGAGGGGGCGTTCCTGGAGGAATGAAGATGGAGAAGGGTTTGGCCTGGTCTGGTATGGAGTGGGTTTGCTGTGGTTTTGGGCCTATACTTAGCCCCCGATGCTCAATTGAGTCGGACTTTCAGGCTGACTCTAATTCTGCCCCTAACCTGAGCGGGCCAGAAGACTGGGGCATCGAGCCGTGGAGCTGTGAATCGACGTCCCATTTGTCTTGACTTGCTCCTGGACCGGGGGTATGACTGTCCCTACTCGACCAGCAGATTTACGTAGATAGTGAGACAATTGCAGTCTAGGTTTTCCCCTCCCAAAACAGGTCGCAACCCGAGTATCGTAGTCCCAGAAGTGACTACTCACTACCTGTATGAGTTAGTAGCCATGAAACCATCATGTACACAAGTGTCTTGGTCCACCCGCAACAAGGCCCGACCCAAGGGGGGAAACAGGAACACCGAACAGGCCCACATCTACTTTGCTGCGACTGTGAGTGACTGCCTGGAGGGATCAAATCGATCTATATGATTATGGGTGAATGCGCTTGCTGGGATGAGGGACTGAATGCTCTGCCAGCCAGTCAGTCCACTCACATTGTCAAATCTAGGTAATTGACTATTGTCACGGTGGCTACTTCATGATCTCCCGCAGAGCCATTCATCTTCTCCCCAGCCAGGAATGGCAGCGGATGGGCAAGTTTGGATTGATGTTGACATGAGTCACGTGTCTGCACGCCTTTGTACACCGCCTCTGATTTGCATTCACGGAGCTACTGGGGAGCAGGAACATCAGATGATTGAGAGCGACACTTGGGCATGATTGTCAGCGCTGGATATGAAGGTTCATCTTTCAGACTCACTGAGATCAGACAAACACGTGACCTATTGACCAAGACCAAACCCTGTACACCAATCCTTGAGACCTGTCGTCAATGGGGATGGATAGCCATGGATCTTGGGGCTCGTGAGCTCCAACCCAGGTGCTCGAGCCGCCCGCTTCCATCGGCCAGTGGCACACTTGGCACGCAAGTGATTGTCAACGCGACCTCGCAATCTATATATGTTACCTTACTTGATGCAATGCATGAGGTTACCCATCCACACCTAGCAAAACACACAGTAAACCTCCCCTTGACCAGGGAACAGTAGTCGCCTTGATCTGATATTCTTGCCGCCATAACATGAGTCAAAATGCTATCTTCACCTATCTTTTCGTTATCTGACCGCACCCGTGTCTTCTCTAGATCAGAATGGATTTGGTCCTGGATAGGTTGCTTAGGTGGAGAAGTATCTTGATACCTTGGTAGTACCTTGGGAAAGTTGCTAAAGGTACGACATGAAGAGTAGCCTTCCTGAACCAATCGTCGTCGGTGGAACTAGGATTCTATTGCATGGATGGAGTTACCTCAACCTAACCCGACCTTGAACAAGGCAGATTTTTACCTACGGAGCCCCAGCGTTCTTTCCACCCGGAGGCTGCGATATATCTTTTGTGGCGGGTGCCCGGACGTGTAACTAGCCTGGTCCGTGGGCGGGTGTATCCCAGGTAGGTATACCTGAGCAAAGCGGGCAACGAGCTTAAATTTGATGTTACCAGAGCATAATCACAAGCACGAAGAAAGCAATTTCGAGACTCCTCATCCTAATTCCACTGACTAATCAACATGCGACCCTAAGTACTACTACTGTATGATCGCAGGTACCGAAAATTATTGATCTATCACTTCTGAGCACGTGACTTATAAGCTGGAGGTCACGGGACGGGCGCAGGAGGGAGCTGCTCCACCGCCCGTGACCACCGCAAATCAAGTGTATCCCATAGAGTATGTTTCCAGTACCCGTTTACCCTTGTGAGGCTTCGGAACTCCTTCTAAGAATTAATTACCCAGGCATGCCCGTGTCCCATGTCTTTCCACATAGACACACGAAGTCAGATCTCAAAAATCTCTAGATTCGGCAAACCATGGCTCGAAAAATCCAGGAATTACTAGGTCGGCATGAATTTCATCTCGTTCACCAACCCGTCAAAAGAGGTCTTAGAACAAAGGAGTTGCGAAGATAAGAAAGAATATTACACTGGAAATTACTCTTCTTCAAAGAATATTCAACTATACGAAACTCTTCAGTGGTGTCGACATTATTGAATCTGAGGTCATCCATGAGTCCTGTAACAATTGAGGCAGGAGCGCGAGCCACTTGATCGTTTTAACCTGGTAGCCCTCCCTAACCTATCAAACCCTCTCTCGAGAATAGCAAACAACAAACAACTGACGCGGTCACAATCACTCCAACCTTCCACCTTCACTTTTCTTCCATCCTCATCCTTTCTTCATCTTTCAACTTCCCTTCATCTCTCTTCACAACATCACAACGTCGTCAGGGTTTCAACACTCACTAGAAGACTGGTGCTTCGAAAGTTGATGCCCGGCCTACCTTCGACCGCACAAATCTGAAAAGATGGCCAACCATGCCACTCTTCGTGTGATGCAAGTAAGGCAATCCAGAGTCTTTTGTATCACTCGATCGTGTTCAACAAGCTGATGAAAGTTACAGGAGCTGAAGCAGTTACATGAGCATGCGGACATCGGTAAGTATACACCAAGGTGAAATCGGCCGTCTGATTGTCGACAACGACTGATACATCTCCGTAGGCATCATGGTGTCCTACGACGAAAGCAACATGCTTGAGGTGGACGCAGTGGTCGTGGGTCCCCCAAACACTCCTTATGCTCTAGGATTCTATGAGGTGAGCATTCCATAATTGAAGACCTGATTGAGACTGAAGTTGGTGACGCCCGCTGACTGGATGATGATTGACTTCACTCTCCCAGTTCAACATCAAATTTCCCCCTGGTGAGTACAAACAAACTCCACACGCAGTCAGCACCACTCAGCTGACCATCGTTTCTATTATCTATTGATCTGACTTGACTTCACCAGACTATCCTGCAAAGCCGCCCAGTGTCATCTTTCGAACAACGAATCGAGGTCACACTCGATTTGGTCCAAATCTTTACGCCTCCGGCAAAGTTTGCTTGTAAGAAGGACTCGCACACCCAATTCAAAGAGATATGGTTCGCTAACTCGATTTGACAGGTCGATTCTCGGGTTAGTATCACCTCTCATTCGGCTTCCACATGGACCGTTTCCACTATCCCATGGTGGTTCAACATCTACCACTACGCTGCATTCACCCATACTGAACATGTTTGGCAGTACATGGCCTGGTAGACCAGAGGAGCAGTGGTCTCCGGTACAAGGCCTTGAGACAGTCCTCCGGTCGATTCAAAGCCTACTGGCCGAGAATCCGTATACCCTGGAGCCTGGTAATGAGAAATGCGCGGACACCCGAGAAAGCGAGGTCTACAACGCAAAGGTAATTGACTTCCTCACATCCAAGACGAGCCTTTGCCAGGCTGTCAGAGTTTGCATGATTGTTCACTGATAATCCACTTCCACAGGTTCATCACGAGAACCTTCGACTAGCTGTCATTCGGCCGCTGGAAGAAGCCTTTGGTGGCAGCGACTTGCCTTTGCCCGAAAAGTCTCTCAACGCTTACCCCAGAGTGCAGAGGAAGCGTCCCCTGCCAAGGCCGTTTATTGATGTGCTCAAGCGAAGATTTCTCTGGTACCTGGAGCCTTACAAGATGGAGATCGAGAAAGGCTGTCTCAGGCGGGAATGGAGCACTGGCTCATTCCCGGTGCTGCGCTTTGAGTACACTGGCAACGACATGGCGGGCCACTGGGACTATGAAAAACTCAAGTCTCGATTGAAGAACCTCGAAGATCAGATCCTTGCAGAGACACACAACTGGCCACGACTTGGAATTGAGGAAGCGTCGAACAGCGAGGTACTCGCTGCAAGTCTGCGTACCCAGTACAAGAACATCGCCTCCGCCCTTGGCCGCCGCTCGGAGGGTATGGCTGTGGTTGAGCTCGTCGAGGATAATCCTTTCTTGTGGAAACTCACATACCACGGGCGTCCCATGACCCAGTTCGACGGCGGAGTGATCAAAGCCAAGATCTACATCAGTCCTAAGCATCCCGCCGAGCAGCCGCGAGTGTTTCTCGAAGACACACTTGAGCATGTCCGTGTCACACCGCAGAAGTTCCTACTTTACCTTCCTCTCGAGGCTGAAGGTATGAGTGACCACGTCGATGGGATCATTCGCTCACTTGAAGAAGAGAGCCCGCCCTGTGACCCTCTCATGACCGTCAACCCGGCAGCGAGCGCACTTTGTTGGGGCACCCCGGAGGAAAAGCGACAGTATCGTCGCAATCTTCGTCGCTCAGTCGAAGCTACTATTGGATGATGCAGCGACGGACTGTGGATGTCTCGTTTGGCACATCAAGAAAGATCCTCTGAAAAATGGGTTCTAGACAAGTGGGCGAAGGAATGCTAGCGAGGGGAAAGGAAGCGACCAGTTTCTTTGCTTGAATACACATATCCTTCTAGGTATTGACCTAGACAATGATGAATGCCATGACTTTATTTCTCATGATAGCTGCCCATATCCGAATCTATCACATACAAGAGTTATGGTTTGACTGACTTCCTCGGGGGCGTGGGCTTTGGTCAGGAGTTGTAATATTCAGATATTCATCAAGATGACAACGAACGCTTCTTTTCGGATGTTCACTCGGCCCATGCCACTTCAATGTCATGTAGATAACTAAGCAGCACAAATGCTTCGACAGAGGACTCGATAGTACATATGGCCCATCGGTAGTTGAAGCCTTATGAGTGTATAGATAAGGAAATCGTGGAGAGTGCGAACGGTGGAGTCGTGAAGAAAGCACGTGCCGGGGCCGATGACTGCTCGAGCGGGAGCTTAAGCTGACGGGATTTATCCCAAAGGGAAAAAAGGACAAACCCCTTTTCTTCCGCTCCGCATTCCCCGTTCAATATCAATTAATCAACTTCGCAACAAAAAAAAAAAAAACTTCAAGCCGTCAACATGACGACCCAAAAACGCACCCTCGAATTGGGCAACGTGCTCGTGGTTGGCGGGTGTGGCTTCCTGGGCTGGCACATTGTCGATCATCTGTTGAACTTCCCCTCGGAGACGGATCCTAGCAGCGAGCTCCCGAAGCCCAAAGACGATGCTCGTTTCGAATACCCTACCCTGGGCTCAAGATACCCCGCATACAAGGCTACTGTGTCGGTAGTGGATCTTCGTACAACACACAATCGTCTGCCCGGCGCGACTTATTATGACGGCGATATCACCTCCGTCGAGTCCATGATGAAGGTGTTTGAAGCCGTGAAGCCGGACCTCGTCATCCACACCGCGACTCCGTCCGTCCTCGGCGCCAGCAAACAACTTCTTTACAAGGTCAATGTGGAGGGTACTCGGACACTTCTCCAGGTTGCCGGCGGCGAGCACGGTAACTGGGGCGGCAAGTGCAAGGCATTTGTCTATACCAGCTCTAGCTCCGTCGTGCACGACACGCAGAGTGATTTGAAGAATGTGAATGAGGAGTGGCCGCTTGTCCGAGGCCGTCTGCAAATGGAGTATTACTCTGAGACCAAGGTCAGTCCTGTACACATTGTCTGCATGGCGCAAACGCACCCCACACACAAAAAGCCTTTCTTGCGACTTTGAAGATCGCTAATTGGAAACCGTGTCACGCGCCCAGGCCGACGCCGAAGAAATTGTTCTGAAATACAACCGTCAATCTCCCACGGAAATGGTGACCTGCGCCGTTCGTCCAGCAGGCATTTTCGGTGAAAAGGACACAACCGTGACACACAACATCCTCGATCACGGATTCAAAGCCTCACAGGCCGTTCTGAACATGCAGCTCGGTGATAACGACAACCTCTTCGATTTCACCTACGTCGGTAATATCGCCTACGCGCACATGCTCGCCGGCCACCGGTTACTGGCGACCTACGCACGGTACGAGAGCGGCCAGGGCGGGCCCCTGGAACACGAGCGCGTGGACGGCGAAGCCTTCAATATTACCAACGACTCACCCGTCTACTTTTGGGATTTGACCCGTTCAATGTGGGCGCTGATTGATCGTATTGTCGAGCCGCAGCAGGTGTGGGCGCTGCCGGAAGGTTTGCTGGACGTCGTGGGCGGATTGGCCGAGGGAGTCATGGGCCTGTTTGGCAAGACGCCGCGCTTGACGCGTCGTACGGTGCGATTCTCCTGCATGACCCGGTATTTCTCTATCGAAAAGGCCAAGTATCGTCTCGCTTATTTGCCTCTGGTCCCGGTTCACGAGGGCGTTGCCCGTGCCGTTGGGTACGTGGTTGGATCGCAACTCCAGTCTAACGGCAAGAAGGCCCTGTAGGCGGATTGCATTGATGAGCGGGAAATGTGTGATGAAATCTTCGATTTATCTGTATCTGTAATAATATACCTCGGAGGCCATCTGTAAGGTGGACTTTCAGATTCAATATGCTCTCGTGCCCATTCATCGGGTTCACGTGCCCACTGATTGTTCTCATCTCCTTATCGTCGAGCCCGCTCTAGATCTGTCAGACCGATTGACTTTTTAGACGCTTCCGCACAGCAAACAATAATAGAGGGCCAGCTATTTAGTGCAGATGTTCCTTGTAGAGTCTGCGGGTTGAGTCCGTCGAATTGGGACTTCATTGAACCGTTCCAATCGCTGGCTTCGAGCAAGCGCAGACACAGCGAGTTGTCTCTCGCACTTTGAAGGATTAAAAGTTGACAACCTTACGCGGACATTGAACATGTAGCAAGTCTATTCAGGGCGATACACAAGTCATAGCAAATGAGATCAGAGAAATCATCGAGAGCCTGGAACACATGAAAATCAAGAAACATCCTCGATCAACGAACCCGACCCCCGAGAGCTCTTGTTTGTGATCGGCACCTCAAGCACAGAGAAATTATCTCCGATCTCATGGTCTTCACGTCGTGCAATCAGAACGTCAAATGCAGCTCTGCTGTTAAAAATGCTTTCCATTTCCTCCAGGCTCTTTCCTTTGGTCTCCTTGACGAACAACCAGACGAGAATCGCAATGATCACGTCGAGAGCGGCGTAGAAGAGGAATATGTAGCTGCCCCAGGACGCTTGCATGTAGGGTGTTACGAGAGAGAAGAGGAAGTTAAAGAGCCATTGGGTTGCGACGGCGACGGAGGAGCCGATTTCTCGGATTCGTGAGGGGAAGATCTATCTTGAGATGATTAGCACAGACGACCTTTGGCATGTTCTCGTGGGAATTACGTCATGACCGAAGGTAGGAGATATCTCATATAGAGTGAGAACATAGTACCTCTGTGGTATAAGGCCATGGTAAGGGACCCCAGCTGAACTGGTAGATTGAGTTTGTCAGGAAGATCATAGCCACGGTTGCGATTCCAGACGAAGTGATTTCTTGCTTGGGCTTTGGAGTGGTGTTATTGACCACAGCCACGATCACGAAGCACGCAGACATTAGCAGTGCTGAAATCCACAACGTTGGCTTGCGGCCCCATCGTTCCGAAAAGAAGAAGATGTAGATGCCGACCATGACAAACTTCTCTGCGCCGAACAGGCCGGTGATCAATAGAGACCGACTGCTGTCATTCCCGACCAACAGTTTAAAGAATTGAGGCCCAAAGTAGGCAAGTGCAGTCATGCCGGTGCATTGTTGCCCAGAGAAGACGAACACCGCGAGAGCTAGACGATATCGATTTGCCGGCTCTAGAAGCTCGCGTTTCCTCATGCCTTCCGTCGCACGAAGCTCTTCCTGCAGCCCAACACGAATCTCGTTGAATTCGGCCTCGACCTCGGGTCCTTGGAATGAGTCAATTCTGCGGAGCGTAGCAGTTCCATCGGTTGAATGATTGCCTACCGTCGCTAGCTCTCAACCATACCAAGCTTTGCCAGGCCTCTTCGTATCGCTCCTTTTTGGCTAACCAGCGTATACTTTCCGGCTGTGTCAACAGTCCCAAAGCCAGAAAAGTGGCTGGGATCAACTGTAAGCCCACGGGGATCTGCCACTGCTTTGATGAGACGGGCAAAGTCTGCTGAACAGCATAATCTATCCAGTAACTAATCATCACGCCGAGAGCAAAGAGCCATTGAACGCCCGAGCCCAGCATCCCACGGATCTCCTTGGGCGCATTTTCCGAATTATAGGTCGGCACCACCGCCGTGCCTGCGCCGAGACCGAGACCCGACACGAAGCGACCGATGTAGAAACAGACCAAAGAGTGCGATGGGACAACTTGGAGGATGACGCCAGTGCAGAAGACACTCATGGCGACCTGGACGGTCTTCTTACGACCGAAATGCTCCGAGAGGGGAAAGACGCATAACGCGGCGAGAAAGGCTCCCACATTCTGCAGACTGACCATGACCGCGTTGACGGTCGTCTTGTCCGTGTATCGAAAGTCATTTTGGTAAGACTCGAATGTGAGAATACCGCCTGTATAAAAAGGAGAGAACGGTCGCGTTAGTTGTCGAGATGCCAAAATCTCTTTGATTCTCGAGCATTATTGCATCCATTGGTGCTAGAACAAGGTTGAGCAGGAATGCTTACCCACGATGCCCGTATCGTATCCGAACAAGAACCCTGCTGTGCAGACAAAGAAGCCGAAGAAGTAAGCTCGAAAAGCCCCCAATCTTGTTCCCATAAGGCCTGCCATAACGCCGCGATGAGGTCTCTGTCACACAAAGCACACTTGCGTAAAGGACACGATAGACCGAACGTGTCGGTTGGTTCAGCAAGGAGGTGACTCTCCAAGCATGAGAGGGGGGGTTCTGTGGCAGAGAAAGACCATCAGGAGTCCGGGACCCCTCACGGCGAAATGGGATGGTTCAGTTCAAATCGTTTGCAACGTCATGTAGGCCACGACATCTTAAATTGTCCATCTGGACGCGAGCGCAACGTCTCTGTTCTACGTGGAAGGGTCATTGGTCGGCAACGGGTCCAAGGTCCGGAGAGGTTGTTTCTATGAGGAGGCTCTTGTCCGGAAACAGCACGCAAGCGGCGATCGTTGATTAAGGTGAAGGTACTTACTTCTTTCTAGTCTTCGACGAAGGGACCGGTCCAAAGTGGGTCACTTTCTCCGCAATTTCGCCATGCATTTGACCCAATAAGCGAAGCAAATGCTGTTCCTACCCCATTGCAACTTGATATAGCACTGAGTAAGAAGTACACCGGATTTCATCTTCAGTATCAATATTCCTTCGGGCAACAGAAGCATGAAACGTCCTCAGACTGGAAACACTACGAACCTTACATTATACGAGACAAAAACATGAAGAATTCTTTTTTCACTGCAACCTTGTTCGAGATCACCGAGGATGCCAAAAGGTAAAGCCATGTCGATGAACAATCGGATGACGACCTCCTTCAGTCTTCAGTTCCCCTGGGTTTCTCGCTAGCACACGAATCTGACCATATTACACGATCTGGGAATATATCCTCCTTCGAGATTACCTAGATATGCTTGTGCCATACGAGGAGAGACAAGTCTTGAAGCAACACTTACTCATTTTTGATAAGGCTGTTCTGGACACTACCTGCAGATATATGGAGATCCAGCCCTCAAGAATTATCCTCTTCGTTAGGGGACATGGCATGATGACTCCCCTGCTTCTCGCTTTTATCGTCTCAATTATCGATCTTGCTTATTGCAATAAAGAAGCGCTATCACCGTAGATAAAGCTTCAAGTCAACGAAAAACCTAAGGACTGATCTGATCAGTTCTAGAAAGTAAAGTCGACGAGACCGGACTTTGAGTCACGGTATCAGTGCGTGAGACAGAAACTGTGTACTTCTTCTATCTTTCGCATCGGTACAGGCACGATGGATCTCTTCGAGTAGGTCATCAATTAATCAAGATTCATAAACTCTCGTCTCTCGTTAAGGAACATGATCGGTGTCAATACGGCACGTCCAAACCGACTATCGAGCCATCGAGGCAGCGTGAGGTGTCTAAGTATGGAAAAATCCCCGCATGATCACTATCATGCAGTTACAAAAGGCCCCTCTTCGACTAATTTAAACGCTTGATGAGGATTCGCAACACCGCATCCCGCTCCGCCTGGCCGCGTGGGAACACCTTGTCAGCGACTACGGTGTAAACGGACAGTGCCTTAGCAGTTGGCCACATCAGTGGAATCTCGCCCGTCTTCCATCCGTCAAGCAGGTCAAAAATGTTGATGTTCACCTGGTTAAGCGCCTAATAAGAGTAAGTGATGCTTTTGAGTAAAGACAACTCTGGAGTGAAGTGAGAGTAGGAAAGTGATGAATTATGATGAGCTCACCTTTTTGCACTTGGCAATAGAGGACAGATCACCTGCCAGGCCAATCTTCTCGCAGACCAGTTGAAGGGTCTCAAGCTCGGTACGGTCTCCAACGAGAAACTTGTATTCGTAACGAACACACAAGCGTTGATTTTCCCGGTAGACCCGTGTGCCTAGACGCCATTTGCGCGTTTTGGCGAGGCGAGCGAATTCGTTGGTAATGGGTGTGCTCGGGTTGTAGTTAAACTGGGGATACTGATCGAAGAAGACATTTCGCAAGGCGTAATCGGTAGAGAGGCGCATCTTGTCGTCGGAGAACGTACGAAATTCTGCTGGCTGAGACAATGGGGAGAGGTTAGTAAAGTCTCAGTGAAGAGGAAAGTTGATGGATTTAAAGCTGAGATGAGCTCGGGCTTGGAGGACCTAGGTAGTGACTTGGAGTAGATTTTTGCGTCTTGAGAAGTGCGAGAAAGGTCTTGTGAATAACTGGGTTTGGAAGAAGAAAGAAAGCAGAGGAAGAGGAAGCACGTGGATGGAGAGAGAGACAGAGATGGGATGACGAGAAGGGAAGGACATAGAATTCCACGGTCTAGCCTTACAGAATTGTTTGGTCAACGTCCAGTATTGCCCTGCCTGGTGATGACTAGGCAGCATAGGTTCTACGCATGGGTTTCCTTATGCGCGTACGCATACAGACAATAAACAAACAAGTTCGACGACAAAAGGATAGACGAGAAGATGTTGTGGAATATCATCAAGCCTCGGAGGTAAAATTTTGATATAATCAATATTTTCCTGCTTAGGAAGTTTGCTTGTTGAAGTGGGCGATATCTGTACAGATCTCACACACATTCTTTGGGACAGAAGGTCCTACCCAAGTACTAACGAAACAAACTGAGAAGGAAAGAAGTTGAGAATGTGAAAGACGTTCGCTTTTTTCATAGGTGCAAAACTTCATTGTTTTCGCCAGCAATGTAAGGCTCACGAATAACCTGATCAGCAGAGGTGCACGCGTCATGTAGGATTGTTTGGAAACTTGCCAAGAGATCGATATTTTGAGTTGAGAGTATGATGTACCGCATCGGTGATCGAGCTTTATAATTGGAATCACTGTCGAGGATTCATGTGCCGCCAGGACTACTGTTTACAAGGTCACTTGTCGCTTCGATAGTGCATGTTCATCCACGCATTCCATGAAGCATCAACAATCTTGTGTCTCAAAGGAAGGTGCTCTGCACATGTTCGAGAATGCTTCGTCCTGCCACCATTTACCCGAAGTGACCGATACATGTAGGCTCTTGAGAGCTTGTGGATATTTCAATGCGGCTTGTGGACGCTGCTAAATTAGGGAGGGAAGGAACCACTGCCGAACTGCGATGACTGCATGTGAACACAACTGCATTCAGACCCCCAACATGCTGCAGAGCATACCATCGCAGTTTAATCTCGACGTTGCTTCGACTGCACACAGCGCGCCTGCGATACTGTCAAGAATGCTTCGAATCGTGACACAACTAGTTTTTGGTTTCCTCGCTCTACTCGCTCTACTCGCTCTGATTCCCATATGTCCCCTGCCGACTCTTGGCAGAAGCACGTGGTGGTTGCAGCCTTTTCCGTGGGATGCGACTTATGACTATGTCGTTGTCGGCGGCGGCACTGCAGGGGTCACGGTGGCTTCTCGTTTAGCCGAGAAAGGACACAACGTGGCTTTGGTCGAAGCTGGAGGCACATACGAGTGGTCACGTCCTCTTTCGAGGATTCCAGGTGCTGCTACCATTGGCATTGGTGCTGATGTCGCCACGGCTTCCTCAATCGACTGGAAATTTGTCGCACGGCGGGTCCCCGGCGCCAACTATAGGGACATCCATTATCCTCGTGGGAAATGTCTGGGTGGTTCGTACGTGCTATTACGATTCGTGTCCACAGACCACGTACTGAGATGACTCTAGATCTGCATTGAACTTTATGATATACCAACGGTATGTTGAGACGTACCCAGGTGGTCTTGCTGCACTCACATCAAATCTAGTCCCTCTGAAGGCGCCATGGACAAGTGGGCTGAGCTTGTCGGTGATGTCAGCTATTCCTACAATGAGACCTTGAAATACTTCAAGCGCACCATCGCCTTCTCTCCACCGAATGCCGAGTCCTCCCGTCCAGATACACCTTACAACTCGTCAGCTTTTGATAGCAAGGGTGAACCGCTCCGGGTGTCATACCCACAGTTTGCCATGCCCTTTTCCACCTGGGCTCGACAAGGATTTTCAGCAATCGGTATAGAAGAAATAGATGGATTCGACAGTGGGAAACTTGAAGGCCATCAATTCTGTGCCATGACTATCCACCCCGCGGACGAGACACGCAGTAGTTCGGATGCTGCATTTTTGTATTCCGGACGGGGACTGAAAACACTCTCTGTCTATCAGAGCACGCGAGCAGAAAAGGTGCTTTTTGACTCGCGTCTGCGAGCAACTGGTGTCAGGGTCAGTGGCATATGGGGATACACATTGTGGGCCAAGCAGGAAGTGATATTGTCTGCTGGGGTCTTTCAATCACCACAACTGCTAATGTTGTCCGGCGTCGGTCCTCGCGATACCCTTCTTCACCATGGAATTAGACCGGTGATGGATGCACCTGGTGTCGGTCAAAACATGTGGGATCATGTTTTCTTTGGGCCTTCATATCCCGTCTCTGTGGAAACATTCTCTCGGTTGACTCAAGACCCGCTCTGGCTCATCTGGCAGGCTGCAAACTATCTCATTCGCCATGAAGGTGTCTTGACTAATCCTTCAACTGATTACCTGGCCTTTGAGAAGTTGCCCCAACACCTGAGGCAAGGACTGAGCCCAGCGGTGGAGGATACTTTGGCCTGGTTCCCGGATGACTGGCCTGAGATTGAGGTAGGTTACTGGGAATCCTCCTAGTTCAATAGGCGTCATTGATCGTGACCATGTTGTAGTATCTGGCAGCATCGGCCTTTGTTGGCAATTTCTCGAATCCATTTTTCCAACAGCCCGCTCGGGGCCAGTATGGTTCGATCGTCACTAGCATCGTTGCACCTACTTCACGGGGCAATGTCACTCTCCGATCGAGGCATGCGAAGGATCTACCCATCATCAATCCCAATTGGCTCGACACGGAGAGTGATCAGAAGCTGGCCGTTGCGGCATACAGAAGAATTCGCAAAGTGTTTCAGACCACCGCTATGGAGGCCATCCTCACTGGGCCTGAGTACTTCCCCGGATTGCAATTCCAATCCGATGCCGAGATTCTGAACATCATCCGAAACACCATGATGACAATATACCATGCCTCGTGTACCTGCAAGATGGGTATGAAGAGCGATCGAATGGCGGTCGTGGACCATAAAGCCCGAGTGTTTGGGGTGGAGAGACTGCGAGTTGTCGACGCGAGCGCCTTTCCGTTGCTGCCACCCGGACATCCTCAGTCAGTTGTCTGTCAGTGATTATCGCTCAGAATCCTTTTGGGGGTGGAGTCTAATGATACGTTTCGCAGATATGCTGGCCGAGAAGATTGCGGCGGATATTATCAATTCACCATTATTGTCTCAGTGAGAGATGAGATTTTACGCTGATGAGTCACTCCGAATGAAGGGCTACATATTTATCATGGAGCTGCAACTAGAGACGCATTCCAATCGGTGCCTGCAGAGTTAAAAGGCTTGCCATGTATGCGGTGAGCGCCCAGACTGCTTGTGTGGTATCAATATATTCCCTAGCTCGAACTGAGGTAATTGACGCCAATTCATTGAACCCTGCCTCAAGTAGCATCACCTGACTTTCTCTCCATAGCGACGAACAGCAAATCCTTCAGTTGATCCCTTGTCATTTCTCAGAGTTCATGACATTTGATAACCCTCTCATGCTATGCTGTCTCATTCAGCCAGTCTCGGTGATTGTCAGGGTGAACGACCACCTTTCATTCGCCGGACGATTGACGAAGCCCCTCGTGCTAACTCCCATCCTCGCAAGGACATCATCTGCATCTGCATCTGCATCTGCATCAGCCCTTGGATCCGCCGTATTGATGCCGGTCCATCCAACCGGAGCCACCAAGTTTCCAGGCCCCGGGCCCAATTGTGGGCGTTCGCCTATCGCCGCAAAGGTAGCTGACGTGGAGCAACTGGAACCGAAGCACAGCGCAACTTTACTCGGGGCGTACAAGGGAAGTCTCTTCCCGGATTTGTCTGGCGTTCAATGACTCGCACCGGTTGTGTTCTGTTCTGGACGTGCGATGTGGGGTTTTGACTTTTGAGTTACACTAGCTTAAAATGGGTGCGTGGTGCTTTTGTTGTCTTGCTTGAGATGGTTTATCGTTCGAGGTGTGTGATTATCCGATGATGTGAGATTTCTCCGGGGGTGTTTTCGTGTTTTCGCTCGACGGGATGGGCGCATGCCACCTGCAGCGTTGTACAGAGTTCAACTCGAGAACCAGAACTTGGGACACAACGTGCTCTGCTTATCATTCCGCCTCCTCCTCCGGACGGGGTAATGCTTTGCAAACCCCCCTCTCATATTGACACCAGACGATGGGAGGAAAGTCTGGACGGGGAGGGTGAACAAGAAAAATCCACCTGGAACTCTCCAAGAAACTTCCTCCGGTTTCGAACCATCCAAATGCATCATCATCAGGTGATGGGGCTTACCCCGCAAACCGTAAATTGGGCCCGACGTCCCCTTCTCCAGGATTCTGACCAAAAGCACCCTATCCCGTCCACCGGCAGTTAGCGACACGATGAGCGGTGGAGTCGCCGATCGACCACGGTCCACCAGCCCTCCATCATCAGGGTGTGGTTGGCTCTGGTCTACACTTGTCTTGTGGGGGACTCGAACGTTCTTGAAAGGAATAAGAGAACCACAGAAGAGGGATCTGGAAGAGGGATCTGGGACGAGCATTGAGCTCGTCGCGTGATCTGCAACTTGAAGCAAGGTCGATGCAAGAGGTTGTGATGTAGGCAGTCAGTCGATCAGTTCTACTAAAAGCCTTATCATGCACTTGCTCAGCTTTGGTAGACGGCGTGTTAGACCAGTCCCACAGTGTACGATGCTCCTTACCATAAGAGCGTGCTAGTCAAAGATATACAGTTCCTGAGTGCCGAATGCAGTGGACGGACAGATCCATTGTTGAGCCTCTTGCTCTCTTGGGTCCAGGTCACACCCTCATACGTTCCATCTTCTCGTGCAGATCGGTCCTACCCAAGACGTAAGATTGTCGGACTCGTCTCACAGAGCACTCAGATCTAGCAAATCCCCGTCTTCTCATACTGGATCTGACTCGAGTTGTTCCTGCCATGAGACTGTTTCTTTCTCTTTGCTCAATCCCTCCGGTCATTTGTTACGGGCGGTTGGAGGGCGTAAGAATTCCTGCGGCCACTTAGTTACTTGGGGATCATGGTCTCTCGTTTCTTCTCCATCTGACCTCTAATCCACGGATCACTGCTATCTCACTGTAGAAGGTCATGTAACTACTTGACCAGCTACTTAAGAAGTTAAGACCGTGCACCTCAGTAAATCCACCACAGTATAATTCTGTAGTCAATGCCACCCACCGTAACCTGAGAACACGCCGCATGGGGCTGGATTCTGGGGCTTAGAAGAGCCCATTGGAAGTTGACCGAGTCAGCGCCTGCATAGCATAGGGTAGTCTGGGTAGCCCGTCTGTTCGATATCTATCGACTGTAGCAGTGCCAGCGTAGACATCACAACCACCCTGAAACTATCGACAGTGGCGTCCGTCCGTCAATCAAGGCTTGATCTCTGACGGGTTCAGGAAATCTTTCCCACAACATAGGAGGATCCGATCGAATGCCCGGTATGAAAGTTACGATCGTCCGGTGGTCTGCTACAAATACATGCTTGGCCAGACAGTCTAGTGCATGACTTCATGCATGCTGGACTATGCGCTGTGGATAGTGTGAGTGCAAGCATGACGGACTGAGCACTTTCCGCGGTCTAGACGCCTTGAAGGATCCTGAGTGAAGCGAGCTCTTTTTGGGGGGAGTTGAGTGCCGTGACTTTCGGACGGTAGCACAAAGTACAGTCCACGTCGGGAGGCCTGGTGATAGGCGTGTCAGGTGCACCGTGCATGCCTCTGGGCAGTATACGCCAGACTTAGCAGGTATAGTCAGTGCCGTGAAGGAATAATTACTACGGACTTGACTACAGTACAGACTCAAATCTCTAAAGAGTCCGACGACTAACTGCCGCTAGCGTTCCGAGAAAGCCTTTTGGTAGGCCAAGTAGTAGTATATTCCCTGACGGATAGCTCGGAAAGTCAGTGAGATAGCCGGTCGCGGCAGTTGTGAGCCGTACTTTTTTGTTTGTCTTTCTGATAAGGAGCGTGACCAGTGACAGATGGTCGTAGCTTGAGGGAATGGCTTGCGTAAGTATCATCTTGATCACATTCAGACTTCCAAGTTGGGGCCTAGGATATGAGGTAGCACAGGTAGCACTCTCAATGCATACGACCGAATGGATCTGTCTATTCCGTGAGGTGCTCACTGCGCTTCAAAGGGGAGAGCGCAGGAGTGCGTGCAGCATAGCACAGCACAGCACAGCATCGCATTCGAGTGCACAGCCCCTATATGTCCGCCGCACAAGACTGGAGGGTGCGTACTGCATAGCACATACGGCGCTCAGAATCAATCAGGCGCCGTGCTAACACGGAAAAGGTAGCCAGTCACGGACTGTGGCTGGTCACTGGTGGTTAACTACACTATTGAGTATAGGGTCTGGATTGTGTCCTCCTTTAGCAGTACAAACTTTAATAGTGGGTGTCAGTGTTGGAGAGTGACGAGTACCTTACTACCTCTACTGCAGAAAAAAGCACATCTCCATATACACGTACAGTATGGAAGCCATGTCCGACCGATCTGATAAAGATTGGCTCTTTAGAAGCATTTCCCGATCCATACTAGACTTTCGTAGACTAGTGAACTACCTCCTTCATGTCATAGTCAGCAAGGGCGGGTGGTTTCGAGTGGATTCCATCCATGTACCAAAGTTCGAGAATAGGGTTTCTTTCCCCCCCCCCCCCCCTGGCTACCGGACTTGGATCGCTTGTGACCGGTGACACCTTGATGGAACACTATGGAAGACCAGCGGGTGCTTTAGTTGGTGTACTCTGTGATGCAAGATGACAACGAGTCCATCCGGATAGTTTTGTGGCCGCTGGGCCCAGGCAAACGGCATAGAAAGTGATGGATTGAATAGGGTCCACACGGGCGATAAGCTAGTGCTTCAGGGCGGAGACACTCGGCCAAGGCATGCCCGAGGACAGTGAGATTGGTGAGTCTTGCGCGCCGTAGAGAAGCCCGGGATGAAACGACCTGACTGCAGTTTGGTTAGTAAGGTAGTACGGTACTGCTGAGATAATCATAGAACAAGAACTGCTGTATAGATGGGTCAGCTCCGCATTCCACCTCACTCCTAAACATACCGACACCGTGACCACCCCCTCCAAGACAATCATTGCTTGTCCATATCGTCCAATTCCAGTCTGGCAGATCCCTTGAGTGAATTGTTTTGAGGTATCGCCATGGCCGTTCTGCATCGCTGATCCAAGTCGAAACCGTCAGAAAGTGGGCCACCGCCCGATGGTCCAAGTGCCTCACGGATGATCTCTGCCCATCACCCAATCACCGTCTGGCCTGCTTCACGTCCACCACCGCTCCTCCTGCCCCCTCCAAGTTTATCTGTGAGAAAGCCGATTCCTCATCTCGTCTCGAAACATCCCAAGTTTTGATGTGCTCCGTGATCTAGGATCCAAATCCTGCCGCTGTCACCATTGACTTCTTCTCGTCCGCGAGCTCCCTGTGAGCGTCTGTTCTGACACCAACTCCTCGCTCCACCTCTGGAGTAGACGTCGATGCCCGATCTTGCGCGTCGCCTGTCGCGCCCGTTCCCCGCATAGAAGGCCGGCTTCCGTTGTCCTCCGTCTGAACCTCCCCAGGCTCCAAGTCTCCATCCACCCACATCCTGCCCATCATCACATCCTCAATACACTGTTCCACGAGGCATTGACAGAATCACGGGTGTCGCTCCAGGCCTGGATTCCTCTGCGCCTCGTTCGGCTCGCGCAAACATGGCCTGCTGAGGATCCGCGAATGATTCCATAGCCTCACCTCCAAGAGCCACCCGCTCTGCTTGCCAGCAGACGGTTCTGCTTGGCCCCATTGTGGATCCTGACATTGTTCCTCTCCTCATTCCTGTCCGTCTCATTCTTCTTTGACTGATCATCTATCGTGAGATCTCTCTGCTCCAGCTGCGGCGGACTTCTTTCGCCCAAAGCCCTGGGGGATCATTCTCGCAAAAGTTGCGCCGTGGTGTCTCCCGGTAGCACAGTCGGGTCAACCATCATGGCAAACAATGGCATCCCCGACTCGCAGTTCCTGGCGCCTCCCGCCGTGACGGCCCTGCGCCAAGAGGCGCGAAATGTCACTCCAATCATGAAGCGATCCTTTAGTGAAGATATGCGTGAGGAAAGGGAAGACTTGAAGGAGGCCGCCGAACAGACCCTGAACATCATTGTCGATTTGGACCTCCAAGGCCGGATCAAGTGGGTGAGTCCGTCATGGAAACAGGTGGTCGGATCAGCCCCGGAATCGGTGGAAGGTCGGATGATCTCCGACATGCTGGTGGGAAATCCCAATGTGTTTCGCGACGCCATCGAGGCGATGAAGGTCGATGATTCCCGCAGTCGATTCATTCGATTCACAATCCAGATGGGGCCCGATTCGGTGCTCAAGTTTGCCCCCGAGCCACGGCCTGGAACCGCCGGGAGCGATACAAAGCCGGATGACCACGGCGTGGACGACCCCCAACCACCCTCGCTGGCCGAAGGGGGGAACGATCTGGATGTGATTACCATGGAGGGTCAGGGGATCATGGTGTATGAGCCAACAGACAACCAGACCGGGCATGTGAGTATTCTGTACTGTTGGAATGGGAGCCTCTTCTACACGATTTTTTTTGTTGCTATCCCTATGGCTGACGAGTGATGATTCTACAACAGTCCATGTGGATGCTTCGGCCACTCACACAACCTCGAGAAGTGACCATTGACCTGCCACCCCAACTGGTTGAATCGCTTGGGGTGGGCGCCGAGGTTCTCGCGAACTACCTGACCGAACTGGCAGAGGCAGCTGCCAACGAGCCGGACCCATCGAAGCATCCTGCGCCGACGCCCGTCTTGTGCCGCATCTGCGAACGCCAAATCACACCATGGTGGTTTGAAAAACACTCGGATCTTTGCTTGCAGGAACATCGAGCGGAGATGGAGGTTCAAATCGCCCAGGAGAACCTCAATGAACATCGTCACATGATTGTGAGGGTGCTGGATGCACTCGAGGCCCGTCAAGGCCGGCCGTTGATCGGCAGTGACGGCAACATTCTGCCGCTAGTACAGCCCGAATACAAGGGGCTACCCATTGGACCTTCACCGATCAGCTCCGGTCCGTCTTCGGCGCCCACCTCGGGGGTGAGCTCTGCACCGGGAACACCGCCTCGCTCCCGCGACCATTCGGTCTCGGGCATGAGCACGCCAGGTCGTCCCAGAGCGTTCACCGTGCGGCGCCCCCTGGCACGGATTGTGGAGCTGATTCTTGACCTGTGTGATACGGCGTTGGAAATCAGCATGCCGGTCATCAAGGAGACTCCACGACCGGAGAACGGAGAGGAGTTTAGAACCCTCTCTCCGCAATCCGAGTTTCGTATCGCCCAGGTGCTCCAGTGGTCCTCTCCGAGCTCAAACACACTGGAGCAAGAACAAGGTCTGGCCGCGCTGGCGGGCGACACGGAAGAGATCGCCAAGGCCAAGGTGGACGCTGTCGTTCGCCATCGACAGATTGTGGAATACGCCGAGCGAATTCGCATCGAGTATACCGTGCTCGTAGAAGAATGCATCACTGCGGCGCTGAGCAAGGCCGAACGGATCGCCGCCGGCCAACTCAGTGATTCCACTTGCTCGTCCGACGACGAGGTGTTCCAAGAGGCTGCTTTCACCAGCGATGCTGATGTGAGCATAGTTGGCGGCAGGGAAGATACGGCACGTGCGCCAAGCCGGAATGCGAGTCAGGATGCTGTAGTCGTGCAATCGACACCCGCGGCTCCAATCCCTCGTAAACCCGCAACGTCGGCTCTGACAATGTCGATGCGCAACTCTCCAGACCGCGCTTTGCTGGCCCAAGGCGAGCACAGATCCTCCTCGGCCGCAATCTCGACGGGGTCCAACAGTCCCCTGGAATGTCCGACGCCTCGATCGCACAAAAGTGCCGCTGGCTTGCTAGGCTCCTCGCAGCCCACTCGACGGGGCCTTTCGCTGGTCGATATAGATGCGGGCGATTCGAGTGACAGTAGCATGCCGTCCATGTCTGCTTTTGCCGGTGCCATGCGCACCGATTCCCCCTCATCCGAGAGGAGTCTCGAGCGCAAACGTAGAAGCTTGGTGCTCCCGGGATTGTCTAGCTCGCCTCGCAGACAGCAATCGCCTGCTCGTATATCCGGTCCCCATTCCCCTCTGCGCATGCCAAAGCCCCGGCTGTCTCATGGCGCCGAAAGTCTCCCTTCTCCTATTGTTTCTCCCTCGACCTACGCTAGTGAGTTGGCACATCATCACCTTCATCACCGCCGCCAGTCTTCGGCCACATCATCCGACATTGTGAAACCGCCTCCTTCACCACGCCTGTCGTCAGTCAGCCAGCAACCGCGTCCCGCCCCGCCCTCTATCAAGGACTTTGAGATTATCAAACCGATCAGCAAAGGCGCCTTTGGAAGTGTGTATCTGTCGAAGAAGAAATCCACTGGAGAATACTATGCAATTAAGGTCTTAAAGAAGGCCGATATGATTGCCAAGAATCAGGTGACGAATGTGAAGGCCGAGAGAGCGATCATGATGTGGCAAGGTGAAAGTGACTTTGTTGCCAAGCTCTACTGGACTTTTGCCAGCAAGGAGTACCTCTATCTAGTCATGGAGTATCTTAATGGCGGTGACTGTGCGTCGCTGGTGAAAATCCTTGGTGGCCTCCCCAGAAGATTGGGCAAAGAAGTACATCGCGGAAGTGGTTCTTGGCGTAGAACATTTACACAACCGTGGAATTGTGCATCGTGATCTTAAGCCAGACAACCTGCTCATTGATCAAAAGGGCCATCTTAAATTGACCGACTTTGGTCTTTCTCGCATGGGTCTCGTCGGCCGCCAGAAGCGGGTTCTGAAGAGTCCCAATGAGCCGGCGCCTGATCTTCTGAAACATGGCCCTTTCCCTCGTGCTATTTCTATCGCTTCCTCGCGCTCTGCATCCTTTGACTATCAAGCGATCTCCTCGCCTAGCTCCACACCATTGATCACGCCAGATATGGCGGCGAACGTGCAGCCGTCATATTTCAGCCTCAGTCAACCTGCTGTCAGCAGACAAAGTTCTCGTCGAGCGTCAGGTTATCGCAGTGATAGCGCCGGTAGTGACAGTCTGAACGGCATGTTCCGGACATTTTCTCTCAATGACCCTGGCAATGAGCACCCCCCGGCTTCGTCCAGCGTCCTTTCTGCTCCAAGCCTTGCCGAAGAGGAGGAGACGCAAAGTGAGACCGGCGATTCTCCTCGCTTGTATCCGCTGCAGTCCACCTTCAGCAACCCGCTGGCGCATAACACACCGCCACAGCAGAGCATGCTCCCACCTGTAATGGCTTTGTTCGACCCCGAAGATCATGACCGTCGATTTGTTGGTACTCCAGACTATCTTGCTCCTGAGACGATCAATGGTGTTGGCCAAGATGAGATAAGTGACTGGTGGTCTCTGGGTTGCATTATGTTTGAGTTCATTTTTGGTTATCCTCCTTTCAATGCGCCGACTCCAGACGAAGTGTTTGAGAATATCCTTCAGAGGAGGATCAACTGGCCAGAAGACCCAGAGGAGTACACCACCCCGGAGGCCACGGATCTGATGAACAAGCTCATGACCTTAAACCCGCGTGAACGGATCGGCGCCAATGTCGAGGAAAAGTACCCCAATGGCGGAGCTGAGATTCGCAGCCATCCCTGGTTTGCTGACGTGCATTGGGATACTCTCTTGGAAGACAAGGCGCAATTTGTCCCCAACATTGAGAATCCGGAGGACACGGAGTATTTCGATGCTCGAGGGGCAACATTACAAACTTTTGCTGAGGAGCTCGAAGATCAGCAATCCCCGCAGGGCCACCCGTCATCGGAATCATACCCCGATCGACCTCATGATGCACTATACAAAGTGCGCTCCCAGGTCAATTCTATGAAGCGCCCTTTGATGCCCTTGCATATCCCACCTCATGTTCGTGATGCTAGGGATTCACGAAGTCGCAGGTTGAGCGAGCCTTCACTGGTTGATGATTTCGGCAGTTTTAACTTCAAAAACCTTCCGATGCTCGAGAAGGCAAACAAGGATGTGATTCAGAAAATGCGTCAAGAGGCGATGCAAGCGCAGCATCGACAATCATCAGCCTCCTCGTCGACCGTGCAAACACCGTTGACCGCGACCTCGCAAAGCATGGAGGGCAGCCCGCTTCCTATGCCTTTACAGAGGACCCTTTCTCACACAAAGGGGAGCAATCGACCCTCCTCCCCGTCAGGCTTAAGTCAGGCCAATTCGTCCCCCAGTCGACCCTCACAGCCATCCTCGCCACTACTGGTTCAATTTAGCACCGGTACCAATCACGAAAGGCGCAAGACATCCGGGTCTTCTTCCACTGCCTCTCACCAGTCAAGCGGGACCTTCCAGCCATCCTCCGTCGACCAGAATCGAATGCCTAATCTCCGGCTCGGATCAGTCGCGTCATCCCCGGTCAAGTCCAATCGACTGCCCGCGCACTCCCCTGATAAGCATCCTTCGACCCAGAGACACGGAAGTGCTCCCGCGAGCCGTGCCAGGTCCCAGACGATTGGGTCGCAAGAGGGCGGCGAGTTTCCCGGAATGAACAAGGAGCCGTTTGTGCCTTCTCATCACAAGCGCCGTAGTCAGCTGTTCGACATATCCCCGTCGTCGTCGGATAACGAAGACCCTCGCGCAAAAGCGTTGCTCAAAGTGCAGCGTCGCCGCCAAAGCTCCCGTCGACTCTCCCAATTTAACCTTCAAGATGGCCCGTTCTTCCGCCCCTTGGATATTCTTATCTGCGAGGACCATCCTGTGTCGCGTCTGGTAATGGAGCGTCTGTTTGAAAAGCTACGGTGTCGAACCATCACGGTCACAACTGGTGCTGAGGCCATGAGATATGCATTGAGTGAAGTTCAATTCGATATCATAATGACCGAGTACAAGTTGCCTCAGGTCAACGGCGCGGACTTTGCGCGAATGGTGCGAGAAACGCGCAGTGCGAACCGGCATACTCCCATCGTCGCCGTGACGGGCTATTTGAAAGATCTTCCGGAGACGCACTATTTCGATGCTTTGATTGAGAAGCCGCCGACGCTGTCCAAGCTGACGGAAGCTCTTTGCAAGTGGTGCATGTGGAAACCACCCCCACGGGACTATAATCCTTCCACGCAACCGCTGGCTGTGGCGATGTCGAATGGTCGCGCCAATCCTCTGTCAAATGACGACAGTCCGAGCTCGGCGTCATCTGGGTTTGTGCCCAACCCTCTCAGCTCATATAGAGGATCCAGTCGCGATAACTCGGTGAGTAGCAGTGTCTTTGGGGATATGGAGTCGGTGAAGCAGGACGAGGTGCCTGTGATCATCAGTCGCGCGCATGACGAGTGGGATCAGAGTCAAGGGGGTTTGGGTATTTCCGCGGATGCTCAGATCGGTAATACCGATCCCCAGGCTGTGCCAACACCACATCTATTGCACACAGTATCTGCCCCTGCCACCATGGACAGCACCGGTACATTGACACCGCGGAAGCAGCGTTCCAGTGAGGCCATTCGTGCTAAGCGAGAGTCCTTGGAAAAAAAACGATACGAGTGCGCCGAGTCGGGTGACGATGAAGACGAAGAACTGGGTCAGTCCCGTCGTAGCCCACCGGCCCGTAGCCGTCGACCTGGATCCAAGCTCGGAATCGAAATGATGCGGACCAACAGTCGTGGCAGTGTGGTGAGTGGTAGCGAGGAGCTTCTGAAAAAGGAGCGTGAGGCTTTGCGCAAGGCTGGCGAATCCGATCAAGATGACGTGTCCTTCGGTTCACCCGCGAGTACAAGCATGGGAGAATGCTTTGAGGGCACGAGTATTCCCGAGGAATCCGAATATGAAGAGCCTCTAAGTCCGCGTGATTCCCCTCCAACGAAGATTTCGCCCTCGCTTCGCCGACCCTCCGTCACGCATCAGAATACATCCATCTACGCTGGACCGACTTCAATGCCCAAGAACGCTCAGGCACCACATACCCTGGCAGTCCAAAAAGGCCAGAAAACGCCCCCGGGGGAGCGCACTCAGGGCGGCGAGACCACTTCTTCCTCGACGCCGATCACGCCGGTTTTCAAATCCAGCGATAGCCTGTTGTCTGCCGAGGGAGGTTCGGGAGGGGATTCGGATGCAAGTCGCACCCCTGACGCTGAAGCTACGCCTCGTCCGAGTCATCCATCTCCCGGCTTGGATGCGGAGGATACCCCTCGGCCACCAGAACGCTACCGATCTTTCAAGCCAACATTCCATCGATAGGGGACGGACGTCTGGGCTACAATTTGCGAACAGCCTCGATGAAGACCCGAACATAGGTACCTAGTGCCTTCTTACTGACGCCTGTTTGCATCTCCGACGACATACTCTTTTTCTTCCATTCTTGTACCCCTTCTTTCCATGTCTTCCCCACTCTCATTTTGACTTTCTCATTATATCCCTCTGAATCATGTCCACTGGATTTGGCATTTTCGCAGCAAAAATGTGTTACTTGACGTCTCTTATGTCCATTTCATTTCAAAATATGTTGGAGCAAGGTGTTTTGGTGTCATCTGTCCTTTGACTATTTTATTGTCAATTGGCCTTGATGTTGTTTTTTTTATTGATTTTTTTTGGGTCGTTCGCAGCTCGCTCGAGGAACATTTACCATCTTCTTTGTTACATCTTGCTGGGCCTGAGTTGTTGGGTTATTCGAATCAATCATATGGTGGTGCAAGTCCCGCTTGCTTTACACAGTCTTTTCACCCATCGCTTTCCCATTAAACTTGTTTGTCTCGTTCGAGCCTAAGTCTTGTATCCCGTATAGCACTGTCTCGTCGTGCAAGGCACAATCGACGGGGAAAAGCGGCCGAGTCCTGTCGTTTTAAGTCGTTCTAAAGACCACATGTACTTCTAGCTGACCGTGTCAGTCAAAATCCTCGACACTGTACATCACCAATGGATGGACTTGACTCCCACCAGTGATCTCTGTACAAGGGTGATTTCTGGTAGCGACCTGAAATTTGCCGCAAGTCACGACTGTCGCCATCATTTACAAAGTGCTCCCGCCCGAGCACAACGGCAACACTCCATTTACATGTTTTGGATGGTGCCTATTAGCTCTGTCGCGCCACGAGAAAGCATGTTCATACTGTAGTCCTGTATGGACGGACTTTGTCTTGGCAAGAGAGGGAATTCCTCTGTAGACCGTTAACTAGATGACCACGGTCCACCTTTTTAGGTCGATTGGTTCGTTCTTTCTTAGTTGGGCCGTCATATGTGTAGAGAATAGGTATAGCAGCAATAGGTATAGATCGATGTTTGGGGCGAGCGAGTCCGAGACAGATATGGAGACTCTTGTTTCAGATCTTGCTATTACGGTGGAGGATGGAGGAATCCTAGACTCTAGACGGGACTGGAGATCATTTATTGGTTTTTGTGGGTGAATCGATCATGTGCATGTGTCGGTCTTACGACGGAACTGGACTTTCATCGAACCGGGACATTTCGAGGCAAGCAGAACACGCAGCAGAAGTCTGGATATACGGCGTGGCGTTCTGTGCTTCCACCAGGGACGTTTATTTCGACATGTTCGCGGCTTAGATACCCGACATTGATTCGAGTGGACTCTCATGATCCCTCCAGGCTCGTACAGAGATAGAGGTCTGAGTCCTACCTCCGTTATTAGCTATGCTAGGTAGCTAACTTGGTAATGGTATATAGTATATCCTATATACGCCACCTTGAACCCTTGACCCCTTCAACCCACCCACATGGCCCAAGACTCCCTAGGAACACACGAATACCCCCCTAAGAAGCAAGAGTCTAGAATCACACATATTAATTTTAGAGACGGCTAGAGGTATCCATCGTCTCACCCACTGGGTCTCAGACGGAAGTCTGATCTGAGTTTGACCATAGGTCAATGGTGGGCGTGAGGTGCTCCACCGTTGCCAAATTTGTATAGTACGGTACTGTAGATGACAGGATCCATCTTTGCAAGCCATATGTCCACACTTTCGCTTCACTCGCCATGGGGAGCTGTCTAGATTCTGGGCTCTGGGTTCCGGGCAATAAGGGGGACTAGGTGTGCGTGGGAAATGTGATTGAGATGGATTGGGGTGATTCTTCGGCAAGTCTAGGCGTTGGGAGTTTAAGCTGTACTGTGGTTTTTGATGCCGGGAATGGACTTAATACTTATACTATGCTCGGTACCTCCCTATGTACAAGGTAGAGAGCCCCCGGCCTACTGTACTGTGAGGATTCTCAGGTCAGGGCTACGACCTGAACCGGACGGCTTTGTTACCGCGAGGGAGCGACAGGTCGAAATATACTGTACAAGAGGCACATTATTTCTGGACAGTCTTCCAAGATACCGTAACTGGCTACCCACCTGAATCCCAACCTACTTGCAGACATCAGTCCCGCGACGACTTCGAGCAGTGGATGATAACGCAGATGCTTGAGTGAATACAGTCCTCGGGGAGACGTATGCGTATCTCAGAAATTGAGCTGATGGAAAGGTGTGATTTCAAGGGGTTGGGCTCGGTCTGGCTGCATATTGCCTTCATGACGGGTCGTTGATCAGAACCATATTACATCGTGGACTCTACGTGAGATGGCAACAGACTGGAACACGTATCGCTGACCGGGATCAGTTCAGTCCCCGTGCATGATTTAACCAAAACTGATGTTGTCATACGTAACCGAAGGTAGATTACTTGCGGCATAGACAACACCCGACCGAACGGAGAACAGGGCACAGCGTATATTCATTTGAATATTCGAATGCGACTCGTATAAAATATTGTACACATATTGTGATACTACTGTAAGGGGAAGACCTGCCTTTTGGTGATCGACGTGGAAATTCAAGATCCCGATTGGCAAGAGATATCATTACAAATAAACTCCCTTCTTGCATCCATTTTCGCAAACATATCCCCCAAACCATCCAAACGCATGATTCTGAGACCTTGTGCCGCCCGTGCTCTCCTTTCCACCCTCCCGAGTCATGCAATTGGAGACGATGGTAGTTAACCGAAGTGCACACGATGTCATGGATCGACGCGGTCACCGTGTCGGCTAAAGCCCTGCACAGTGGCACACGTCAACATTGGACTTTGCCAATCCGATTTTCAGCATGACGAGTATATTTCCAAAATAGTGCAGTTTTCTAGATAATGATCATGATGAGATGATCGACTGTAAGTATGTCTTACTAGCAAGTTGCGACCGATGGGCGGCAGCATACTGAGCATAGTACGCCCCCCACCAATCTCGACTTACCCACTTTGCAGACTACTGGACAATCACAGGCACTGAATCTCACAAAGTTATGCCCACATCGATGAGAAGTTACGCATCGGGGCACTTTCTGATCTAGATCTGTGATGCTGTGTGGACTGTGGAGGCCATGAGAATCTTTGACCATTCATCCAGAGCAAGACACACACCACTGAAAAAAATCCCCCGACCATTTGCGATCCAATAGGCAGCGTCTGGGTTTGCGCCCTTTACAGTTCATCCACGAAAATGGATCCAGGGGCTGACGCACAGTGGCGACGGCGGCGTCTGAACCTTAAGTGTCCATCTCTACATGGCAGTTGTACGCGGACACGGCAAGCATAAAATCGAGGAATTGATCGACGATAACGCTGGCATCCAAACCATAACCATCCCTACAGAGACACTGAGCAGCAGCAGTGACATCCTCCTACCGGACGAGAATCCAACTCAACCCACTCATCTTACCAGGGGGTCGTAGAGTGTCTACCAAGTCCGCTACTCCTGAAGAGCGACTATCATAGGGGCCCTCAGCCGATAGCTTTGTTTGCGAGCCTTGGCAGAATGGATGGAACATTTCGCCTATTTTGGGTTTGGCATCATCGGCGCCACCATATCCAGCCGACCCGCTGGGCGTTCAAATGGCGTCCCGATGGCGCTGGTGGCTTTGACCATTGTGGATCGAGTGGTGGAGTCCGGGCAGGACTTGGAGAGAAGATTCATCGACACTGTGAATCAGATACATGCACGATGCTTGGCCTGGAAGTGTACAAAGGGGGGGGGGGAGTTGAATCGATTGTCAAGGAATAACACAGTTGGCCAGAGTCAGCGTCATGTACAGGAGGGAACATCTGTGCAAAGAAGATGCTGAATTACGACCTTTCGAAAAAAGAAAGTAATCGATGGTCCGAAGTTTCGGAACAAACCACGAGTCAGTCGGTCAAGGTTTGAGCTATGACGCGATGAACCAAGGCGGTCACTCCTCGGCAGTTCCAAGTAGGTGCTAGTCTTGGGTCTCTCAAAATTCCTTCATACGGTAGTATGATTATACTAGTCAAGTAGCCATGGGAGCCAAACACCTTATGGACTGCCGATGGGAAAGTCTTGATATGATCATTATTGAATGATGTCCTATTTCATTCCATCCAAAGGAGCAAGCCTTGACGTCGTCCATCCCATGAAGTAGTGCCTGACCGCCTAACTCACTTGGCCTTCCGGGTTGACTCCGCTCTGCTGATTACAATCAAAGGTCACTCGCTGACACTCCTCTACCCAAGGATTGTACCAGTAGTAACTTCAATAGCCGCAGAAGAAGAAGAACAACAACAACGTACTGTGCGTCTCGAAGTACTTTTCCATCACTCATGCTCATTCCCACGGTGTCCTTAACTCCTGACGCTAATGCACGTTCTCTCGCTTTCATACGCACCCATGAGTGTCGGTGCGAGATTGTAGGACTCCACCCACGGCCCACTTCGTTTCACAACGATGCATCCAGAGTGGCAGAGCAAAATCTCTGAGTTCCAGTGCCCGCGCATGGTTCACTTTCAAGGCTCGGGACAAGTTGAACAGTGCTCCTCATGTAAGCAGGTCATACTGCAGAGATTCCGTCTCGGACTGGTTCGAATCCTGGCGAGAGGAGTACGGTAGTTACTAGTCTCTCCATGGTTAATAATGACCATACCCTCGCTGCCCAGTGCCCGTACCTTTCTCCTCTCACAGTCCTCTTCGACAAATCCTCGCCTTCTCTCGATTCATCCGTTCTTCTGTCCTTACCGAATACCCCCAGTCCACGCCTCTATTATCTCACCCGCCCTCCTTTGGCGACTGGTCAATCGATTTGCCGGCTCTCCTATTATCGCCGAAGCCTGACAGAAACACATCGACAGAGTGGTTGTGAACGACCTGCGCCCTCCATTGCGTTTCCCTTCCATGTCGCCTCCAGCCTCACTGCATTAGCAAGCTTCAATTTCACTTTCATCCCCATCAACAGTTGGACCACGCTGGTAGTGGCTCCAATCGACCTTCCGAGTCATCCGCAGTCCAGCGTGTCGTGATCATGTCCACACCTATCGAGGAGCATGAAAGACCCCTGCAAGAGCAGCGTGGTGGAAAACGTCCCGAGTCCGACGAGGTAATGCCGAGTTCCGACGATGGCACTTACGTCCCTGAACACGGCCATGAAGACCGACGCGACCGTCTCCGAGTGGACACGTCGTATACCGACGAGCGCGGCAGTTCCCTGAAGGGCACTCCGTCGGCTCGCCGGGAGGAATCAACCCGGCTGGAGGATGACCTGATGCTGCTGCAGGCTGAGCGGGTGGCCTCCCGCTCGACGCAGGCCGACAATGGCGAGGGCGAACTGGCCTCGATGAGCCGATCGCGCTCCCGTCGTGAGGAACTGGTGGACGACTTCCTCGAGGCTACGAATCCCATCCACGAGAAGACCACCGTGTATAGACCACCGGACACTCCCAACACTCGCTTGTCTCAATTTGTGAAGAAAATTCACGAGTCCAGCTTCATTGTGCGATATTTGACGTACATTCTTCCGATCGCTTTGCTTCTGCTGATCCCCCTCCTGGTGGGTGCGTTGAGTTTCAAGGATGCCAACGTGGGCGGGGTCAAGCTGATGTGGTTCGCCATCTGGCTGGAAATTGTGTGGCTTACTCTATGGGCTGGTCGGGTAAGTACCAAAGACGCATTGCCGTTGCGAAAGAGAAAAAAAAAAAAAAAAAATAATCTCGAAGTGATTTCCGATTTTGCAATCAGTCTGACTTATCTCCGGATTAGATTGTTGCCAAATGTATTCCGCCCATTGTCAGCGTGTTGGCTAGCGTTTTCACCAACAATGCCAAAAAATGGCGTGATTTAGCTCTGCAACTCGAGCTTCATGCGGCGCTCTTCTTTTGGTGGCTCGGAGTCGAGATCTCCTTCCTGCCGACCATGAAGAATCATCATGTTGATGGCAACACCGCCACGAGAAACTGGGAAATCGTGGTCAACAAGATCATCATTGTCATCTTTGTGTGGACCATTCTCAATCTGATCGAGAAGATCATCATTCAGCTGATCGCCATCAGCTTCCATCTGCGAACTTACGCCGACCGGATCGAAATCAACAAGTTCCAAATTGGAAGTCTGACCAAATTGTACTCGTGGTCCCGTAATCGCATCGAGGAGACTGACGAAGCATTCGAGGAGAAACAAGAGTCCACTCCAACCGGCACCAGGACCCCCTTGCGCTATGCTGGCAAGGCTCAGAAAGTTGCACGCGGCGCTCTCAACAAGGCCGGCAACAAGGTGGCCGATTTGGCGGGAGGTGTCGTGGCTGATTTCACGGGTCGCCAGGTCCGCACCAGCTCCGACCCTTACCAGGTCATTCGGACCTTGCTTCGAACCAACTCCGGCTGTCAGGTGCTGGCCCGTCGTCTGTACCGTACATTTGTTCGAGATGGATTCGATACGGTCTTTTCGGGTGATCTTAAGGAGGCCTTCGATAACAGCGACGAGGCCGAAGCCGCGTTTGCCATGTTTGATCGGGACATGAACGGCGATATCTCCATGGAGGAGCTCGAAGCTGCTTGTGTGGACATTGGCCGTGAACGCAAGTCGATCACCGCGTCTTTGAAGGATATCGATTCGGTAGTCTCGAAACTGGACAGCATTCTCATGTTCTTCGTCGTCGTCATCGTCATCATCGTCTTCCTGTCCCTGATCTCTACCTCCACAGCCGGTGTCCTCACCTCCGCCGGATCCAGTATCCTGGCTCTGTCTTGGCTGTTCTCTGCGACTGCACAGGAATTCTTGCAGAGTCTTGTCTTCGTCTTTGTCAAACATCCGTTCGATGTCGGTGACCGTGTGACCATCTACGGTAACACCGGTGATCATGGTCTGGGGGATGATTACTTCATCAAGAAGATCTCGCTGCTCTATACCGAAGCGACCAAGATGCAAGGACATGTCGTCCAAGCCCCCAACAGCTATCTGAACGGCCTCTTCATTCTGAACCAGCGTCGTTCCGGACCACTCGCCGAGGCCGTCCCCGTGACCATCAAATACGGAACCTCCATCCAGCAGATGGACGCCTTGCGTCAGCGTCTGTTGGAATTCGTACGCAGCGAGAAGCGTGATTTCCAGGGCAACATCTTGACCGAGCTTCGCACTGTGACAGATAACTTCTCCGTCACCCTCAACGTCGTCTTCTTCTACAAGTCCAACTGGCAGAACGAAGGTCTCCGTCTGCAACGCCGCAACAAGTTCATCTGCATGCTCATGACTGCCCTCCAGGAGATCGGCATCGAGGGCCCACGCATGAACCTCCAGGGTGCGACCACCGATTTCCCCGTCCATGTCAACTACGGGCCACCCCCGAGCTACGCCTCTCCTGGAGGCCGCACCGACAACGGTCCCCAGGACAGCATCACCTCGCCCGAGGACCTTGAAACGTTACCCGACAACGACACCTCCGGCACCGCCACCCGTCAACAATCTATCTTGCGCCGAGGCTACTCAGCCCGGCCCCGCGGCCCCTCCATTTCCCGCAAACATGTCGATTTCTCCCTCGGTATGTCCAACATGGCATCCAACGACCTTATGGGTGATGTCTTTGAGGAACGTCAGCCCCGTGTGGACGATATCGTCCGTACCTCAAATCGCGAAGCTCGCGAGCGCCGTATCCAGGAAGCTCTTGAAGAGGAAGAGGAAGAACGCGCCAGCCACGGCTCCGCCTCGCGGCTGTCTCTTCGCCACCGTCGTCCCTCTAATCTCAGCGCCATGTCCCCCGGTCGCCCGTCGACCGAGGCGCCGAGTTTCGCAAGCGGCACGTCCGCGCGGAATCGCTTTTTCCGTCATCGGAGCAGTGTGAGCCATGACCGAGAGAATATGATGGAGCAAGGGCGTGTGGATGGACCTTCCTCACCACCTTTGATCCCCCCTGTTCAAGATCTGGGTCACCACGAGCAGCAGCAATGAAAAGGTTGAAATTTTTGGGACAGGAAAAAATCGTGATGTGGAAACGGACGTTGATGGATAATTGTCATCTTTGAACATATTATAATCTTCTTTTTAGCCCACTTTTCATGTACAAACATTTGTTCCATATATACCTTGGCATGGTCCCATGTGAATACATACATACACTTCTGTCATCTGAAGGGTTCCCTGATCTTAATCAAGAACAACCGTGCCGAATAAAATGTCACTCTGTGGAAAGATATGGTATGACGACTCTAAACTTAGGTATAGCTCTAGGACAAAGGAAACATCAGTGCGATGAGTAGCGGGATGGAGAATTCATAGGCTTATGTACAGATTTCTGTCGTACCAAGAATGAGCCAGGATCAAGGCGAATAGCCCACCTCCACTCATGTCGCGTCGCTTATATGACGGGCGATCACTCTAGACGATCTCGACATGAGAAACTTTCCCAATTGGAAGCTGTACCAGTTCATCATTGCCTTGCCACATACACACATTCTCTCTCTCTCTCTCTCTCTCTCTCTCTCTCTCTCTCTCTCTCTCTCTCTCTTCCTATCCCATTTCATGGATTTGCCTTTTCACCTACACAACAAACGGTGCCCCAGCTGCGACCAGTCCAAGCACCGACCACACACTCCACTCGACTGACAACACCCTACCCCCGGCAGACGCAGGAGTTGTACTGGCCGACGCAGACGCGGACGCAGACGCAGACCCAGAAGCAGACGCACTCGCACCAGACATCGTAGACCCAACCGCAGAAGTCATCGACGCCGTGGCCGTGGCGGACGCAGACATGGATGTGGACGTGGACATGGACATGGACATGACACTGCTCGTCCCAGTAATCACCGTCATACCGGTGGTCTGTATGGGACCGCCAGGATTGACAGAAGACAAGGTCGAGAAAATTTGAAGGGGATTAGTCAGATGCTCAGTGTCGAGAATGCAGGAGCCATTCTTGCAGACGTAGCCGTGTTGACAGGGGCCGCAGGATTTATCGGGGGTGGGTGCGGTGGTGGTGGATGTTGCGTTGACAGGTAGTACCGCTAGCGGGCTGGTGAGGGTGAGGGCGAGGAAGGAGACTGTGTTTGTGAGACGCATGGCGACTCAGTGGTAGGAATTTGTGGTGATTGTGTTTTTGAGGGTTGGATGGGTGATTTGATGTTTCGAGAGTTGGAGTTGTAGGTGTCACGAGGCTGTAAGGAGTATGCGGGGAAGAAGATTGAGCAGATATTGGAAGTAGAGAGAGAGGAGAATTGATAGGTAGAGAAGTGAAGATGAGTGGTTAACCGACGGTTATTGTACACCTCTTTTATACTCAATCTTTCAATCTTCGGAAATCTTCTCAACTCATCCTGAGACTTTTAACAAGCACCGCAAAGGGCACCCTCGTCGTCGATCCATCCTACCCTACACATCATCCACACTATCCACAGCGAATCGTCGACTCGCATGTTTGTATGCAGAGAGAGGGGTCATGTACGATCGCCATGAAACATCCCTCTCCGTCGTTGCGACCGAGGCTGTGGCTGAACGCCGACGTACACACAAACCAATCGTCATTGGAGGATCGTGGAAAGTCCAGATGCCTGTGTCGTCAAGATTGCCCCGGACAACCGGTCGTCCGATGGTAGCTCCGGTCGTGTCGGAGTGCTAAGCATTCATTAGCCTTTTGAGTTGGGTGGGGAGTGGATTCTCCACGGCAGCACGTCCATTTGGTCTCAACGAGCTCTCGAAAGCTAAGTTGATACGGTGGTGTTTAGTGTTTACTGCTAGCCTCAAGCAATTGACCCCTCGATTTGAATACACACCGATGAGCTGTGCTTTCTTCGATGTCAACTCAAATCTCTGACTCAAACAACGGACAACGGTCGCTTCGTGGTCATATCCAGAGGCCATTGTTGGGCGAATGCGTTCTTAACTCACTCTCAGCCGGTCATGGTGATACAGCGGTGATAGGCGAGGATATTCTTTGATATTTGAACTGATGACTGGTGACCTTCGCCAGACTTGGTTGACTTCATTGAGCCTGGCTAGTCAGAGGCAATGTACATGCCTCTGGCGTTAGGCGGTCTTCCACTTCCAGGCGGCGACGTCCCTGAGCGAGGCGTGTCAGTTGCTCAAGTGGTCTGATCCATTGAGATGGTTGAAAGAAGGTCAGAGTTGCGCATGGGTCATTTGAATGCTTGTGAGTTTCCAAGTTCCAAACAATGGCAGGTACCGAATTCCACCTTTCTTCCCAAGCTGCTTCTTATTTGCCTGTCTTCAAACGAGCAACACACATCGAAAGTATGGTCCTTCGCAGTGGTGTCGAAAGACTGGCCCTCTTCGCGTACTGCAAGGACTTCTCGTGACTTCACACTTGCATTGAAGACCTTATTTGTTGAGAGAGATAAGGCATGTGACGCAATCGGCAGACAGTACCTCTTCGCGCTGGCCTAGCCTTCCACGCAACCTCAACCCGCAGGTGCTCACATATCAAGACTGACAAAGGGTCTACGGCTGATGAAAATTACAGGAGCATGGATACCACTGGTGCAGTCGGACCCTCGGGGACGAGGAGTCGTCACCGCCAAGCAGCTTGGCAAACCTCTTAAGAGAGCTAAGCAGGTGAGATTCAGCCTCCAAAAAGGCAATTCCGTTGCGTCTATTCGGTTCTGCCAAGTTTGGCCAGATGCCACGGGATTCGGCACTTGGGCCTCTTTCCCACAGAAACGAATCAGACTGGATTGAAGCCACATGGGTGCATGATAAGCCACCACCTTCCCGGAATTTGACAGGAAGCCCTCCGCCTCCACTCAAGCTGACTCAAAGCTGTTCAATGAGAGCCTAAATCGGAGCTCCGTCGGGAGGAGAAGAGGCTCGTCGGACGAGGGATCCCCGATCGTGATCCTCAAATATCAGGATCACTCGAGATTTTTCTTGTGGAGGACGCTTCTTGAAGGCTGGCATCCGTGAGAAACTCGTCTATGATAGCGACCATGGATTGTGCCCTGGGCAGTGACAACGTCTTTGGCCCTCGCGTCCTTCAAGCCTGTCGCCAATTTGATTTCACTCTTCTCTTTGAAGACACAATCTTCGCAGCTGTGCCTGCAGCTACGTTCCTGCTCCTGGCCGTGTTTCGTCTTCCAGCACTGTTTCGTGGCCCCGTCAAAGTCGACTCGCATCGACTCGCAACTTACAAACTGGTGGGCACTGGCTCGAGCTCCCTCGCACGCAATGTGAACATGTGGCCGCCACGGGCTAATCACAGCACATGACCTAGGGCTCTCTCGCAGTACTGCTCACGCTTCAAATACTTCATGTCGCATTCCAAACCCAAGCTCCGATTCTACGTACAGATGTTGCCTTGGCTGCAAGTATTCTTCAGGTTGTGGCTACGGCGACGGCTAGCTTGCTTTCATGGCTCGAAGATCAGCGCTCCGTTCGCCCATCGGACATTATGGTCCTCTACTTCTTTATCGCCACTTTATTGGCAATCCCCAGAGCACGTACGCTATGGTTACTCTCGCCCATGGTCGAAACGCAAGCTATTGTATGGACCTTAGTCGCTATTGCAACAGCCGCAGTTCTGTGTCTTGAGTCAATTCACAAGACACGCACCTTAATGTTGGCCTATAAACAATCGAGCAAGGAATACACATCCAGCTTCTGGGTGCGTAGTTTCTTCATCTGGATGCTACCGCTGTTTCAGAACGGCTTCTCGTCAATACTCGCCCTTCACGACATGCCCGAAGTAGACCACGACCTACAAGGACGATCAGCAGAAGATCGGCTGCTCAAGACCTGGTCCAAGAGTGAGTTGACGAAGTGTTCGATTGGCCTATTTTCAAGACGAACTCTCTCACTGACTTCAATTTTCGATACGACTACAGATGCAGCCGCACAAAAAAGCAAATTAGTCCGCGTCGTGTTCCGTGCATACCTATGGCCTTTCCTGAGTGCCGTGGTGCCTCGATTGTGTCTCACAGGTTTCAAATTCTGCCAACCATTTCTCATTTCCGCCACCGTTGGCTTCTTGAGCGATCTGCAGGTGTCGGACAGAAAGCACTATGGACCCTCACTAGTTGGGGCTTTTGTCCTGGTCTATCTAGGAATGACTATTTCGACAGCTGTGTACTGGCGCCAGGCATTCCGGTTCAACACCATGATGCGGGCCGGCTTAGTCTCGCTGATTTACCGACAGACAAACAAGTTGGAAGCAAGTGAATTCAAGTCGGAATCTGCCATCACACTCATGGGCACGGACGTCCAACGCATTTCCAGACAATTTCGCACCCTTCACGAAGCATGGGCTGCCCCGATCGATGTTGCAGTGGCTGTCTTTCTCCTTGCTCGTCAACTGGGCATCGCGTCAGTGATACCTGCAATCATCTCAATATGTGCGTTCTGGTTTGTATCGTATTCCAAAGCCGATTTGTTAACTTACGATCCTAGTCTCGGTGCTTGCCACCATTCCAGTCTCTAAGATGTCTCGTACGGCGCAAAAGAATTGGCTCGAACGGGTCCAAGCTCGTCTTGCAATCACGTCGAGTATGCTACACGACATGAAGTCGGTGAAGGCTTTGAGCCTGACCGAGAAGCTACTTGCCTGCGTCGCCGAGTTACGATCGGTGGAGTTGCAAGTGTCAAAAAGGTTCCGCCGCTTGGTGGTCGGCGAAGTTGTGCTCTGTATGTATCGCCCAAAGCCAAGGCATCTTTCTACAGCCCAAGGTCACTAATTAAATATCCTCATCAGCAAATGCACCTGCTTCCTTGGCGCCTTTTGCAACATTCGTCGTATATGCCATCATTCAATCAGTTCGAGGCAATCAAACTCTTCTTGCCAGTCGCATGTTCACTTCTCTCTCATTGATCTCCTTGATGACCGATCCCCTCCTGATTTTCATTCAAACCCTTTCGCCACTGTGGGAGTCATTGGGTTCGTTCAGTCGCATAGAGGATTATTGTCGTAAGGCTCCGATAGAGGAGATCGCTTCCTCAGGTGCTATAGGCAACGAAATGGAACTCTCTTCTCGACCGCTCTCGTCTGTGACTCCAGGCGTTGTACTGGAGATGCGCAATGCCACCTTTTCATGGACTGCTGGCGGTCCTCGTCTTCTTCACGGTATGACTGTCGCATTTGCGAAGAAAGAAATCACTGCCATCATTGGACCTGTCGGTTGCGGCAAAAGTACGTTTCTCGAAAGTGCACTCGGAGAGACTACCCTCAGAGACGGGACCATGTCCGCAATCGCGTCCCCTTCGGTGGCGTATTGTCCCCAGACCCCATGGATCATGAACGACACCATCCGTCAGAACATCATCGGTCCCGTAGCATATGATCCGAAATGGTACAACTTTGTCATTTGGGCATGCGCGTTGGAACAAGACTTGGAATCAATCTCAGGTGGTGATATGTCTAAGTGTGGCAGCTCTGGGATATCATTGAGTGGTGGTCAAAAGCAGCGCATTGTCTGTTATCCCCTTGATTCCTCACCTTTGATCTTGCTAACTTCTTGACAGTCTTTGGCTAGAGCGGTCTATTCGCGAGCTCCGACTGTTCTTCTTGACGACGTCTTCAGCGGACTTGACAACAAGACTGTGGTGACCATCATGACTCGATTGCTAGCAAGTGGTGGGCATTTCAGAGAGTCGCGTAAAACGGTTATTTTCGCTACCCACAATCACCGTCTACTGCCATATGTTGACTGGATTCTGATTCTTGATAATGGGACGATATCTAAAATGGGATCCTACAAGGAACTCCAGCCTGACTTACCACAAGATGAGGATGACAATGAGCCGGGAGGTCGCTCTGAAGATACCATCACCACTCGAGAGACCGCAGTGTCTGTTCCTTTACTTGATGAAGCTCTGGCATCAATCGAAGAGACTGTCGTGGACGCCGATGTCGACCGTCGCGACGGAAAGTGGTCGGTTTACACATACTATTGTCGCGCCGCCGGATGGATACTTTCGATCTCGCTGGTGGTGGTCACTTTCCTGTATTCTTTCGCCCAGAGATACACGGGTATGGTGATGAAAATTATTCTTATTTGCAAAAGGCCAAGCTAACAGACTTTTAGTGATTTGGCTGCAGGATTGGGCAAATGCCAACGAAAACAATCCCGATCAGAAGCCCGGAAAATACATCGGGATTTATGCGTTACTGGTTGGCATTGCCACAGTGAACCTTTTCTACTCGGCTTGGTCAGTGAATTTCAGCGATGAAGGGTCTCGATGTACCAATGTTGAATACTCACGGCTTCGTTGCAGGGTCCTTCTTGTGCCAATTATCACCAACACTGGTCGGAACATGCACTCCCAACTCCTAAGAACGACTCTGGGGTAAATATGCCTTTGTGAAACTCTTCTCGTCGTCTTTTTGCCAGATGTTTAACTGACGAGGATCTCCCATGATAGTGCACCCTTCAGCTTCTTCCAGCGTACTGATGCGGGTCTCACAACGAACCGGTATGACATTCCTTCAAACAACGGCTCAGTAACAGGTTCTGACCAGCTTGTAGATTCAGCCAGGATCTGGAGCTCATTGACATGGACCTCCCGATAGAGGCAATCAACGTTCTTGCTTGTAAGTGATATCTTGCCTTATCACAGTGTGACATTCCCATATGTACAGAAGATCTAACGATCCTACAGCTCTTGGAGAGTGTTCTGTTCAGTTGATACTTCTTTGCATTCTGGGCAAATATCTTGCCGTCGCAGTTCCAGTGCTAGTGGCTGTTCTTTACCTGGTACAGAGCTACTACCTTCGGACTTCTCGACAAGTCCGATTACTAGATATAGAGGCCAGATCTCCATTATTCACGCACTTTGTGGAAACCATGAATGGCATCAAAGTGATCCGCGCATTGCGCTGGCAAGATTCATTCCAAGTCCGACTGCAGGATCTATTGAACGAGTCGCAAAAGCCGTTCTACATGCTCTTCTGCATCCGGCAATGGCTACAGTTGGTGCTTGACTGTATTGTGATGGGTCTTGCAGTGGTCCTCGTCTCCCTTGTTGTTTCTCTTCGGGAAAAATTCAGCGCGAGCAGTGTCGGTGTTGCTCTCAACTTGATCCTGGTCTTCAACCAAGATTTAATGTTATTATTACGGTCGTGGACCATGTTGGAAACTTCTATTGGAGCCGTCGCCCGTATCAAGGACTTTGTCGACACCACGCCATCCGAAGAACGAAGCGGAGAAAGCCTGTCAACTGTGCCCCCGACTTGGCCCAGTCAAGGCCAGTTGATATTTGACCGTGTGGTCGCGTCATACGGGTAAGTGATGGGGATTCTGCATTTCCTGGCAATCTCATGCGCGAGGGTTTTAACAGTCTACTCTCTTGCAGACCCGAGTTTTCCCCTGCCCTGGACAATCTCTCCGTGAAAATCGAATCTGGGCAAAAGATCGCCGTTTGTGGTTCCTCCGGCAGCGGCAAAACATCTTTCATTCTAGGGCTTCTGCAAATGGTCGAGATCAAAGAAGGACGCATCGTTCTTGATGGCATTGACCTCTCGACTCTACCTCGCAACACTGTCCGATCTCGATTCAATGTGGTTTCGCAAGAACCCTTCTTCATGCCGGGAACCCTACGATTCAATCTCGACCGCGAAGTCGATGGTCAGCCTGTTGCCGACGCAACACTCATTCGTGCGCTTGAAGCCGTAGGCCTTTGGAGAAAAGTCAGTGAAGACTGTGTTCGTGGTACCGAACTCGACCAGCCCCTTTTGATTTCTGATTGGTCTATGGGCGAACGTCAACTTCTTGCGCTGGCGAGAGCATTGGTCATGAACAGCCCGATTTTGATCCTCGATGAGGCGATGAGCAGGTGAGATCCATGCCCCCTATCCAAGTTTCTATGCGCACTGTGCACGTCTTTTCCGGTCCCGGACATTGAATATACTAACAATGAATTGAATCCTCGTGTCCAGTGTGGACTGGGAGACCGAAGCAACCATGCAAGCTATCATTGACAGAGAGTTCAAATCTCAAACTGTCATCTCCGTCATCCACCGGCTTCGCTATATCGATCGCTACGATCGGATCGCCCTTATGAAAAGGGGTCGGCTGGTTGAATATGCACCGCCGGCCGAGCTCCTCCGTACACCTTCAGAGTTTGCCTCGTTCTATCGTGCAAGAATGGATACTCTGTAATCAACGTCCACTATTTGGAAAATTTTCAGCACGGGGCGTGCATTTCATGTTGAATCGGAAGTACCTTGGTTAGGCCCTTGCGCTTGTCGACGTTTGTCGCGGGACTTGCGCCAACTTTTGGCGGGTGGGCCGGGGGTTAGGTATGAAGCATTGCTCTGCATTTACTGCACGGCGACCTGTATCGCTCTGATATGCGTTCAATCTCGGCAGTCGTTTTACAGGAGCTTCGAATATATTGATCAACGAAGAAACACATGAACCTCTACCTGAATAGGCATTGACTGCTTTCGGACGATGCTCACTACAAATAACTTCTTCATTGAAAACTTGGACAGTTGTAGACGATCGCCCCGTTCCCGAGGTGTCTGTTTACATGCGCACTGGTCTCGGCCCGGGTAAGTGACCAGAATATATTTCGACTCGAAGCTTCCAACCAATCCCGCCCCACACCAAGAAACACCTAAACGATTAGGTTCATTATAATAATTTCAAGTCGTAAACTCCCGGAAAGGTTCAAGGTTGGTGTTTCGAAATGAAAGTGATAAAACAAATCGGCCGCATTAAAAATCCAGAAGTTCAGGGAGGTCCGGACCACCTCAAAGAGGCGAAATTTGTACATGTGGCACTGGACGGCTGGTGGACAGGGTATTGTCAAGAAAGGAACCTTATGGAAGCTGATGCAAAAGGCACATCAATGATATGGATGTGCAGCTAACGGAATGTGGGTTCGAAAATCAAAAACTCAATTAACCAGGGACGGGAGAAAAGAAATATTATTATACATGACTTGAGATCGATGGGACGTTCAAACTTTGTAAGTCCCGAAGAAAGAAAGAGTTTTCCACAAGAGGGCCGTTTCTCGTCATAATTACAAGGCCATAAAGTATGTATGCGAATCTTACTTCACGCTTTCAGGGTCTGCCTCGCATCTTGTGCGACGGGCCGTAGCAGGAAAAGAAGGAAATTAAAAAAAAAAATCAGAACCATTCTCTAGCACTCAAGCGCGACATCACCATCTAGTGGGCGCAGCTCCAGTCAACAGAGTGGAATAGAAATAGAAAGGAGAGAACAGCCAACAGACCAGCTCTAATGGCTTTTCAAGTTTTCATCGTCCGAGTCGAAGGAAGGTCGAGAGCTGCGTGAGCTGCGCGAGCTGCCGGCTAGAGGCAATCCGGAGTCGCCGAATTCACGATAAGCACGCTCGCGGGCAATGGATTTATCCTTGCGAATGGTGAGGCAATTGATGCCAAGGAATGTAGTGATACGGTTGATCACAAGCACCGCCCAATGCATGTATACAACCAGGGCGAAGACGAAGTAAAAGCGAAGGTACCAGACTTCGAATGTGTGGCTCAGAGGAATACCAATGCGCGGTAGGTTGGCCAGCACGGCGCCGAAGACAAGAGGTCCCTGCAGAACAGTCCAATAGGGGAACGGTTGGCGGAGCAAGTGAGCCAGAATGATCATGGTGGTCATTCGGCCAAAGACGAAGGAAATAGTCCAGCAGAACAAGACGAGGTGGTTGTTGGTGAGAAGGCACGAGTATGGCGAGAACAGCCAGGCACATGTGCTCACTGTGAAAACAACCATGGGGATCCATTCCTTCAGCAGAGGAGTGAAAGGCAGGCCGTGCTTCTTGCGCGCCACGTAAACGTTGAAAACGCAGCCTGGAAGGTGAGCCAGGAAGAATCCACCCAGAAGAATGGGCACCCAGAGATCCTTGACCGAGTTGGTTCCGAAAAGCTGCGGGATGTTGATAAGATCGGTGATAGGTCTCGACCAAATTTCAGGGCCCCAAATGCCAGAGGCAAGCATGATGCTGATCGCAATGATGAGCCCTTCAGTGGGACCGTTGAAGTAGCCGAGGTACAAGGTGTGAGTGTGGTAAGTCTCCCAGGTCGAGAAGTACATCGCCAGACAGGGCACAATTGCGGTATAGGCACCCAACTTCGACGCACCGAAGCCCATTGCTGCAGTTTCCAAGAGGCTAGCCAGCGTACAGTTCAAAGAGTCGATTCCGTGGCTAGAAGAATCGTTAGCGCAGTGTTCACGGATCTTGTGCCCTTGCCACGAACTCAAATAATTCTCCCAGACCGCTAGATGTTCCCGTCCTGCGCGCTTGTTTTCCGTCCACATTGTCAAGCGTCGAATACCTGGTCTTTGTCAGCTACGAGTCGCGGGACTGTGCAGAGACAGAAGACAACTCACATCCACATTCCAAAGGCGAAGCTGAAGTACAGCCACCAAGGACCCTGTAGACCCTCGAACGTTAGATGAGGCAACCATCTTCACATTGCGAAAAAGCACTGACCGGACCGATCATATCGGGCATGAAAAGCTCGATGAGAAACACATTGAAAACAATGAACATGAAACCCAAGAGCGTGACCATGTTAGGGGCGATCCACATTGGAAGCAGTTCAACGAAGGCATTCCACTAAAGTCGACGTGGCGCGTTAGTTGCCATCGCCCAAAAAGCTGCGAGACTCTTTTTCGCCGGAGATACGCACGTAGTGCCTGAGAATGTGATTCGAAATGAACGATTTATCGACACTTGAGTATTTGTAAGATTTCAGGGGCATCAATGCATCGTCGGAAAGCGAATCTTGGGTCTCTGGCGTCATGAAGCGAATGGATTAACTAAACGTTCGTTGTACGCCGAGGCCATCTATTTGCGAGAGTCATTGTGTAATATACCTTGGACCATCCGCCAAATTGTCTCCATGGCGACGTTTGCGACAGTGTTGCGCAGGCACTTCCTGGCTTGAGAAAACGGCGTCCCGTTTCACGTTGGACAAGGTAAGGCGACACGGAGTTGAGGCGACCTCAGGGACAACTCTTTTTCAAGGACAGCTAAGGATACACTGTCTAAGATCGTGAACCTGGACAAGAGGAAAAAGAGAAGAAAATCGAGAACAATAAAATAAATCAGTCTAAAAATAATCTCCGGGGATCGATCAAATTATCGAATGATCAAAAGGAGGGTTTTCGGCCCCAAAATCACGTGCTATGGTCCGTAACGGGAACTCGAGGCTGTGAAGCTCCACCAACGAAGTTCACCAACGAAGTTGCACTGGGCCGCCGGAGATCATCCTGACTTTGCTACTGTAGTACGCGCGCGCGCTCACCCACCATCCAAACGGTTATATTTCAATCGCGCCATCGAGTCGCCGCCGCCTTTGAATCTGCCCAATAGCTTCCACCAGGCAGAAACTTGCCCGTCCTTGCAGCACTTATCTCCTTGTCGACCCCGGCGACTCCGGCGACACGCAAGCTCATTTGCGCGCCACGCGAAGTAGCTGACTTTCCGCAATCTTCTACGCACCGGTCAAGTCACGTCACAGCTTCACTGCGCACTTTCTGGATGGACATGAAGTTTGGTTGTCTTCGTAGCGCTGTTTGCGCCGCCCGCCAGTGAGGTACGTCCATGATGCCGGGCGTCGTCGAGGTGCCGGCGGCGCCGCAATTTCGTCGCGAGTTCAACGTTGGACAACAGAAGGTGCATCTTGAGATCGATTTCGCGAACAAAAGCCTGAGGGGAAGCACGGATATTACGATCTACCCAAGCCGTCTGGACCTACGCTCGGTCCATCTCAACTTTCGACAAGGCGAGATCAAGCGGCTCACGGTCAACAACAAACCAGCGACGTTGAAATACGTTGACCCTTACGACGGTCTTCACCTATACGGGCCTCACTATCACGAGCGCTTAACGCGCAAAGTCGACGGGTTACTGAAGATTCCACCGGATCCTCAGATCGAGATTTCCATTCCCAAGAATGTCCACATCCGAGAATTGGATGCGAGATCTACCGAGGCCCGTGAACGAATTGCGCTACAGAGTACAGGAGATGATGTTGATGGGCCTTCAGGGAGCAAGGCCCCGGATAGCAACCTGCCGCAGTTTTCAGCCCTTACTCTGCACATTGAGTTTGTGATTGAACGAATTCGTGATGGGCTGCAATTCGTGGGCGTCGACAGTGGAGATCGCCGTTATCCCCATGCCTACACGACAAACTCTCAGGAGTCAAGCGTCGGATGTCCCCTCTTCCCATGTGTGGACGATCCCTCGTCTCGCTGTGCCTGGGAGATTTCAATCTCGTGTCCCGCTTCCCTTGGCGACCTGTTTGACCGCAAGGGCGCTAGCTCTGTGTCGCGGACAAAGGCCAACAGTCGATACATTTCCGCCGACGATGGGGCTTTGGACATGTCTGTCGTATGTTCGGGTGAACTGACAGACGACATTACGGATCCCAAAGACTCCACGCGAAAGACTGTGTCTTTTGCATGTTACACACCACTCTCGGCGCGACAAATTGGATTCGCAGTCGGTCCCTTCGAATACGTCAACCTTGCAGATTTCCGTGAAAGTGATCAAGATGAGCAGCTGGGTCAAAACGCCATCCCGGTCCATGCATTTTGCCTTCCCGGTCGAGCTGATGAAGTGCAAAATACCGGGTTCCCTATGGCCCAGGCTATCGATTTCTTCTCGCTGTCCTATGGTTCATACCCTTTTTCCAGCTACAAGATGTGTTTTGTGGATGATGTGGCAACCGAAACACTCCCGTCCGCTGGAATGAGCATCTGCAGCAGCCATTTGCTGTTTCCCAGTGACATTATCGACCCAATGTACGATGCAACACGCTGTCTCGTACATGCCCTGGCTTGCCAATGGAGTGGTATCAACATCATACCATGCGAACCCGCGGATACGTGGGTGACTGTTGGAGTCGCGTGGTTCATCACTGATACCTTCATGAAGAAATTATGTGGAACCAACGAGTATCGTTACAGACTGAAACAGATGTCTGACCGAATATGCGACCTGGACTATGAGCGTCCGTCGATCTACGATATGGGCAATTTCTTGAAGATTGACCCATCAGAGTACCAATTCATTGCCCTTAAAGCCCCGCTGGTGCTTTTCATTCTTGATCGTCGACTTACAAAAGCAAGCGGCAAGGCAACAATGTCTCGCATCATCTCTCGGCTCTTTCTCAACTCTCGCATGGGTGATATTCCTAACAGTGCCGTGACGTCTGCCATGTTCCAAAGGCTATGCGAGCGATTCGGTCACGCGAAGCTGGACATATTTTTCAGCCAATGGGTGTATGGCGCAGGCTGTCCACGTTTTCAAGCTACGCAACGTTTCAATAAGAAAAAGTTGGTCGTTGAAATGATGATTCGTCAGGTTCAATCCGACCAAACTGCCGCCCGCGATCTTGACAAGGATGCGTTCCTCCGTGATGTCAAGGAGGAGATTCGTCATGTGTACGCTGGGCCTATTCAGCCTGTCTTCACTGGCTCCATGACCATTAGAATTCACGAAGCTGACGGAACCCCATATGAGCACATCGTCGAGATCAAAGAGGGCGTCACGAAATTCGATATCCCGTACAATACCAAATACAAGCGCCTCAAACGCAACAAAAAGCAGCGGGAGCGTGCGGTGGCGGCGGGTGACGCAGAAACACAAGAAGAAGTTCTTTTGTACTGCCTCGGCGACGTACTCCAGACAGAAGAAGAAACTCAAGCTTGGCGTCTGGCCGATTGGACAAAAGAGGACGAGGAGCGTATGGGGCAAGAGTCATACGAGTGGATTCGCATGGACGCGGACTTTGAATGGATTTGCAAATTGTCTCTGGGCATGCCAGGCTACATGTATCTGTCCCAGCTCCAGCAAGACAGAGATGTTGTCGCTCAGCTTGAGTCTCTCCAGTACATGGCAGCACAGCGGGAGCACCCTTTGATCTCTACCATTTTCGCCCGTACCCTGATGGATAGCCGTTACTTCCACGGAATTCGCGTTACTGCAGCAAAGGCGCTTGTCAAACATGCCAAGGACGAGGTCGACTGGATCGGATTGCATCACTTGGAAAAAGCGTTCCAAGAGCTATTCTGCTTACCTGGATCACCGATGACGCGCTCCAATGACTTCTCTAATCGCGCAGCCTACATCTTACAGCAGGTCATACCTGACGTGATTTCTCAAGTTCGTGACAACAGCGGCAAAACGCCCCTTCGAGTCAAGCGCTTTCTATTCGACAAGTTGAAGTTTAATGACAACTCGAATAATGAGGTACGTCCCGAAACCGACCGTTGTGCTGATCGGCCCTTCTGACTGGAACTGCTCCTTAGTTTTCCGATAACTATTATGTCTCTTCTCTCATGCACTCACTCTGTCATGCCCTTCTCGGGAGGACCGAGTCTCGACCCGAAGACGAGCTATCTCATTTTGATATGGAGCGCGTCATCGAGGCACAAGCCGAAGAGCAGCTGGAAAAGGATGCGATCGCCGAATTTGACCGCTACAGACGGATGGATGAATGGTCAAGTTCATTCCAGAATTTGTACTCTCGCGCAGCGCTGCAGTGCCAATTACGGCTGATGAAAGCGAACGTCCTTGAAGTGGACCTGATGCGCTTTGTTTCATACACACGTTCAGGGACGTTCGACCTGCTTCGCGTGCAGGCTTTTGAGTGCCTTGTCGAGCTCGACATTGCCCAGCACCCTGAATTACTTCGCTGGTTGATGTACACCATGACAAGCGACTCATCTGCCTACATTCGTCACCATTGTCAACGACTCTTTGGGCGAGCCTTGGCCCAGTTAGCCTTTGGGACAACTCAACCCGTTCAAACGGTTCAAACTGGAGGCTTGATCATCGAGCAAGAATCATCAACCGAGGTCCGTCAAGCTGATCTGGCGCGCCGACAAACAGTGCCTGGTGCCATCGAGGCTCTGAAACGAGAACTCGCCACCGAGCCGTCCCTACGCGAATATATGTGGGCCGCATGCAACTCAGCCAATCTTGGCATCCTGGAGCTATCAGAGCTCACAGACGTCTGTAGTGTTCTCTTCGAATCGATCACGTCCAAAATGGTCAAATTGAGGTACCCTCGCTTCTGGAAGGTTCAGAACATGGGACGTGGCCAGCTCCGATTCTACAGGTCGAGCGAGTTCCGAACGAGCCTTGGTTCTTCGAAAGATGGCGCCAAGCGCAAGCGCGATGAGCAGGGTATGCAGCCCCCTGCTCCGCGCATCACCTTTAAACACTCAAAGACAGCTCTGACCCCGAGCACTCCATCTACTCCCTCGGCTCTGCCAAAGATCTCGATCCCGAACACTCTCCCTCGCCCAGCTACAACTACGCCAATGTCTGCCACTCCGTCAACGCCAGCCGGTGGCGGAGGGCTGAAATTGAAGCTCAAATTTGGACAAAAGAAATAGAGTTATGCTAGATTCGCACGTTGAGCTACCATCCTTATGTAATTCTATCTTTCCTGAGCGCATGACGTTCCATCGTCGTCACAGCACATGTTTTTTGCCTTGAGACCAAATATCCAGCATTATTTTGGGCGCTGTGGAGGGAGTTTGCATATCGCGTGACAAGGAATTACCACATGAATCACGCCTTCCAATTCTTTTTCACTCCTTTGTATGAGATGTTTAACTTCAACATGGCCTAATACATCGAGCAAATGCTGGCCATCAACAATGAGAAGTGAAGAATGAACCAGCTGTACAAGACTAGCTTGATAACGAAATTCGGATCAGGCGTTGCCTCTTGGGGTATACAGCAACAAAAAAGGTATTCGATTGATTTCATAAGAGCATCCAAACCAGAAACGCCCAGGATCATTATGCTCGCATTCGCGCCGAAATCAGTTGTCTCTCGCACGCACCATGAGTGTGTGTCTATTTGAGTCTCAAGGTCGGAGATCGCGTGTGGCCCGGATGTTATTTATTTTTCGTTAATGCGCTCCAAAGCCTCAAGCATGACAACCGAGTTTCCGCGGATGACCTGGGTGAATACCGTTAGACTGGCGGAGTTGTGACATGAGGAATTCAAAAGGCCGAAAACTTACGACCATGCCAATGGAGACCTTTTCACCACCTGATTTCTCCTCGAAGGCTTCGTCAAGGACGATGTTCATGAAGACCTGCCAATGTAGGTCAGTAATATGATCATGGAATCTGCTTCCGCCTCACCCAATTTCCAGAACGTTTTCATGTTGAAAAAGCAGTATCTTGATGGAATGTTGATAGAGCTGGGTTTGCGAGACAACCGCCGTCGGTAACGTACATCATATCCACGGAGAATTCCAATGACTTTGCGGTTGCCGTTCAACTGGCAGAAGACCCGCTTCTCCATGTACTGTGACGAGAATTGTTGTCAGTATGATCCAGATCTGAAAGACCGCATATTGCAGACAAATTTAACTCACCTTCTTCAATTCAGGCTGTGCTTGAGGCATCTTGGGCGATCTGATGTCTCTTCTCAGGTCAAGTCGGGTTCTCTGATGGTTGGATGCTTGGGAGTTTAGGAATGACGGAGAAAGGATGTTCCGGATAAGCGCGATAAGAGCTCTGAGCTTGCGTCAATCCCGTGCTTTCGCGTCACTCACATGGCAATCCGCAATCCCATCCACTAGTATTGCGCCTCATTCGTCACCTTGAGGCTCGCACAATATGAGTTCAAAATTCGCAAATCGAAGGAGACCACGCAAAGTTGGAGGAGATGACTCTGAGGAAGAGGACGTTGCAGCCGCGCCTGGTGAGTCAGTCCTTTTACCATCATCAAACAGCACGTATCCGACGGCCAAGAAATTAATTGAGAAATAATATTTGCCAGAACCCGTCGTTAAGCGGCCGGTCAAATCAAGGACCAAATCAAAGTTAAATCTCTCTTTCGGAGCGGATGAAATCACTACCGCCGAGCATGAGAGGCCAGAGGGAGATGGGCTTGCTCACAGAAAGCTTGGACTTGGTCGCAAACCACCGACCGTTGGAAGTGATGTCCTGGCTGCGCGAGTTGGACGTGACCAGGATCGGCCAAGCTACAGCACCGAATATCTGAAGGAGCTTCAAAGTTCAACCCCATCGACACCCAAACCCGCCACTGACAATGGAGATGAGAAAACAATCGATGTAGCGGCCAAGTTCGGCGAGGTCATGGTTGTCTCGGGCCAGTCGGCAATTCCCACCGAGGCCGAGATTCGGGAGAAAAAGGCCAGGCGTGCCCGTCTGGCACTGGAGCAAGGTGTTCACGCTGATGACTTTATCGCGCTCGAAGACAATTATGGAAGTGACGAGGATTGGGATGCGATAGCAAGGGGTGAGAAGGAGCCCCAGAAAGAGAGAGACACACGGTTGGTCCGCGATGACGAGGACTTCGCTGAAGGATTTGATGAGTACGTGGAAGATGGGAAAATTTCCCTTGGGCGAAAGGCGGAACGCGAGCAACAGCGTATGCAGCGTGAAGCGATGCGTGAGCTTATAGAGGATGCCGAGGCGCTGTCGGATGATGAGGATTCGGATCTGGAAGAGAAAGCTGCATACGAGGCTCACCAAACGAAAGCTGCAATCGGCAATACTCGAGGTGGTGGAACTGACAGACCCCAAACGCCTCCGAAGGTGACTTCATTGCCCAAACTGGCTACGGGTCTGGAAAGACTGCGAACTACCCTCGCCTCGATGGAAACAGCAAAGACTCAAATGATCAGCCGAATGGAAGATCTGCGCAAAGAGAAGGAAGAAATTGCCACACGGGAGATCGAGATCCAAGCGTTGATCAAAGAGGCAGGCGACAACTACGAACGTCTCAAAAAGGAAGCAGGGCTCAATCCAGCCATTGACTCTTCGGAAGGAGCAATGGTGAAGCGTGGATTGGAAAATTTCGGTGCATCCATGGCAAATCCTGATTCAAACTTGAGCTCTCCAGAGCACCGATAACTCCTGCCAAATCTAGTCTCTGTCCACCTGCCCGCGGCTTTGTGCTGGCATACCTTTGCTGTAATTATACTGCGTCTTTGCGAAGTGATACCCCCAGCTAGCTTTTGATGTCCTTTTATCAATGAAAAGTTACTATTCTCAGGATGACACCCAGTCGATTCTCAATGCTGTTTCGCTTCCACCATCACGCCGCTTCATTCAAGAGTTCCCCCGATGCGCCGTAAGTCCACGCCTTGTTGTTCACGCGAGCATGTCTCTGAAATCCTTCCAGGGTATATCACCGTGGCTTACCCTGGATCGACTATCCTATCAAAAACACCGAGGATGGCCCTCGCTGGCACAGGAACTCAGACGCCACGCCCATTGAGTTGTTTTTCGATCTTTTCTTCGTGGCCAACCTTTCTACCTTCACAGCGACGCATCAAGTCAACAATCTCAATGGTGAGAGACCCAACTTCAATAATCTCTTCGGGCGTCCCGGACTAACAATCCTTGATAGTTCTTCGGTCATACATTGGGTTCCTCAGTGTTATTTGGTTTACATGGTTGCAAATAACCCTCTTCGATGTCCGTTTTGCCCGTGACTCTGTCTTCGAAAGACTCTGCAAGGCATTCCAACTTGCCGCAATGATTGGCTTTGCATCAGCTGGGTCAAAGTTCAGCACTACTCTAAGAGAGGAAAATCTTTGGGTCTTTCGGTCGCTCACTTTGATCTTGTCCGCCAGCCGTGGGTTGTTGGCCGTTCAGTACACTACTGCTGTCATCCTCCTCCGAAAGCGCATCGGTTCGGCAACCCAAAGCATCACGTACACTGCCTTAACTTTCTGGGTGACATCGCTCGTCTACGCATTGGTGGGTCTTCGTCTGTGAAGTAATTGACAGCATAGGCCGCTGACGACAAGCTCGGAAACGAAATCAGTTGTATCTTGGCTTCTCGCATGCGAGTGGTGCGCGATCGCGAATTTGGTCTATTTGGCTCGTACTCTTTGGCTTGGAACTGTTCATTGTCGCAGGATTGTCCCTCTGGCATCCTCAGATTGGCTTCGAAGGAACTCATCTGAACACCCGAATGGCATTGTTGACGTTGATTATCATAGGTGAAGGGGTCATTGCGGTGACTCGGATCGAGAACAAAACAGTGCGGCCTGGTGGATGGACAAAGTGGTCTTTCGTCCACATTTTGGGTGTCACCACTAACGTGGTAAGTCAAAGGCCGGGGTGCGTGCATTTTCAGGCCCGAAGGGAATGCTTCTCACCATTTTGTCTTTAGTATCTTATCTGGCAAGTGTATTTCGACACATCTCCTCGTCGTCGACTGAACGCATGGAGGCAGCAGTTCTGGGTGCAGCTACACTTTCCTTTTCATGTCGCGCTTATCCTTTTGCTTGAGGGATCCCAGATTCTGGCGCTCACTCTCGATGTGACTTTGAAATTGAAGTACCTCTCAGACACACTTCTTTTTGTCTGTGAAGAGCCGCGGCCCAGCACTATGAAAGCGGTTTTTTTGATTCGGGACACCATCGATGACATGGAAATTCCTTTTAGTCGGGGCGCCACACGAGAATGGACTGCGATATCGAGTCTCTTGGGGTCTCTGACAACGCGGCCCCTTTGCCCGAGTCTTGAGACATTCGATTACGAGCATACAACCGATCTGTTCAATTACTTGACCGGAAACGTCACTGCCGCACTCTTTTCAAGCATGGAGCTGCTGCCAAGCAAGGGGATCGACATTAGTCTTCTCACCAATCAACAACTGTTGCAGATGTACGTGAAACTGCTGGACCTCGTTTACATCTACTACTTTGTGGCAGCCAGTGCGGCCATGGGACTTCTTGCTATTTTTCAAATTCTGGTACACCGGCATGAGACTCGGTTGTACCAAGCTATCTCTACCTGGTCACGCTTCCTTTTCGCCTCGTTGCTGGCTAGTCTGATCTTGCTTGCTACCTACTTTCCCTTGGCGTACTCCTTTATGACTTCTCCAGTGATCTTGTACGCCTTCACAATTGTCCTGCTGTGTGGTGAGTTGTTCTCGTCAATGGAATTTCAACGTCTCAGGGTCTGATTGGCTATAGTACTTTTACTTGACCGACTTTTGGACCATTTGACGTCTCGACGTCATGCAACTGACCGACGGCACCGGGGAAGCTCTATTGAGCTTACGAGCCCAGCTTCCCCGGCTGGGGGCAAGCAACCCCTCCGCCTTTGAGAGCCGCGTACAGGTGGTATTGATCAATAAATGAACATCAAGACAAGTGTCGAGTCATGAAGGTGAGGTGGCAAAATGAGTCTTGACTCAGTTGCTGCCAATGGTGACTCGAGAACAGATGCATACTAAAAGTCATGTGATATGTGTCCAAAGCTGTGGCGACTGAACCCCAGTATGAATTATATTCACGCGGCATTGATCCGTGACCTGTCTTTCCTACCACTGCAGTACAACAATGACAAATTCAGAAGAGCTTGGTTATGTGCTATGACCGGGGATCCAATGTCAGTTGAGCCGTGGCTTGGCCCTTCCTCGCTAGATCGCGCTTGTTCTTCCAAATCAGTGCCGCATATGACAATGTTCGAGAGGCGCAGCGCCGATTGTCCATTGTGAATATGAATAGCCCGGACAGATGACAGCAGGGTATCATTTTCATCAGGTAGTCTGAATCACTGGGAGCCGATAGTGCATTTACATGGATACGATCACTGGCCTTATCGAGTACTTCCCATGGAAACCAGCTATCTCAATTCATCCAAATCGGTTCCCATGGAGCTAAGAAGCACTGCCTCAAGAGGCATTCCTATCAACACCAAGTCAGTTGTAGCAGCCTTGAGCAGCCCTAATAAGCCGCGATGTTGCAAATTGCAGTCCGTTACCAGTGATCATTGTGATTCGATATGAAGGCCTATAAACGCCATTCTGACTCGATGCAAGTTCACTTTGCAGTGGTCTTGTTAGGAAATTGTGCTTACCTATTCAAAGTCTTACTACCGAGCAGACATTGAGTTTTGGTCGGCTATCCGAATAACCTCGAGTCCGCCCACTTTGTCCACAACGGGTTGACTTCGAACTGAGCCCAACTCCCTTTTCCATCATTCACCTGACTGCATTATCCACTGTCCTGAGATGCTGAGTGTTTCGCATAACAGGAACCACCGAAATCACCCCGTAATATTAGGCTCAATCGTTCGAGCCGATCATTTCAAATAGTACCGGGTTGTCTCAATCATCAAAGTTCTCAAGACAAAAGCAGACGGGGTAACCAAACGACAACACAGGCATCATGATCCTTATACTCTATGGGTCACTCACGGGCCTAGATTAGGTATATCGGGAAAGTTGATACAGATTCATCTGAGTGGTGCAGCAGATCCCGACCTGACATATCAAAGTCAACATGTCCGGGGGGAGGGCTCTCCATGACAAATCAGCTATCATGGACTAAAACAGGCCGACAACCCCACAGTCCCAATTGATCATGGATGACCTGTACAGAGCAGACATCCAGGCCATCCACCTGTTTTGTACAGTCTACAGTAGGCCATGACGAGGCTAGACACTGGGGAATATCCTTCTGGATAGCCCCCGGCCGCCAGTCATGAAACCGACTGCCATCCCTAGACCACTGGAAAGCGTAACCGTTCAGCGTTGGCAATATCTTGGCTCGTTTTCTCATACTTCCGGTTCCGATGTCATCCAGACCATCCCAGGCCCATCAAAAGAAGCTTCTTAGAAACAGGGCCAATCGGTTAAGGTCCAGATCCGCGCATCCATAGATTCTGTCAAAAGTACCTGCTATGGATTGGGTTGTTGTGGCGATCTATGCTGTCGTCGATGAAAGGCTCAACTCCAACTTGAATAACCGGATTGATCGGCAACTCTGTCTCACTCCGCGTGCAATGTCCAGAGACAAGGAGGCTTTGATGGATGGTGTTGAAACATCACTCGAGCACACCTCCGAAGAACCATCTCATGTGACTGAATCATCTACCTCTAATGCTTTGGCAAAAATAGCATGGCCAGGGCGAGACTTTAGGGCATTGCATCCCCGGGGCTGACATATCACTCCCAGCTCTGACATGTTTCTACCCGAGAGAGGAAGCCAGATCGACAGATCCTGGAGTCTCCAAACTCAGTCTACGTCGATTCCATATCTTGGGCTTGAAAGATGAACATGTTCCGGCTTTTTGGTTTCAACTGGATCGGGTTGCGGGAAGCCTCCAGAGTCTGCAGTTTTCCGTGCATGATGGATCCGTTCGAAATCTTCCGCGAACTGGTCCCTCCCCGTCTGTCTGGGAAGAACCGGCCCTGTCCAGGATCATGATAATCTGGGTTGATCTGGTTCTGGACTGTGTAATTTTGCCTGTAAGTCACTCCAAATCTCTTGTCTCTCTTATACCAGCGACGCCAGAGGTAGGCATAGAATACTAGTACGGTGCTCCTGTGTACTCATAAGCAGTTGATCACCAGCAGCCATAGACTGGCTCAATATATCACATAGACATGCACAGCCACAGTATACAAGAGGGTAGAATGAGTTTTGCCTCTAGCGTGGTAGAGAATGTCGATGCTATCGATTGTTGATATCCAAAGAGGAGCTCAGCTGGCTGCGACAATAAAGGAAGTTGACAACCTTCATGTTGACGAAGGATCAGCAACCCAATTGAACCGCCGGGCTCTCCAGGAATGTCAGATTGCATAGATAGAAGGCTGCATGAAACAAGCCAAAAGTGGATCATCATTCTGGGACTTTTTTATTGGCATCTCCGAGTGCCGTTTCGGTCATAGGGAATAAAGAAAGCTTAATCGATAGCTAGGATTGTGTCCGGATCAAAACCTGAGAACTACCAAGTATGCTGCCCCGTATGTCTTGCATGAGTCTCGATCCCCGGGAAGTCATTTTGTACGTATTCCTAGCGGAGCCTCTTCCAGGGATGGACCGGGCCGTTGAATTCTAATTAAATCGCCGCGATAATGATCCAAGCAAGGATGCTCTGCGCTGTATCTAACGGTCACCTAAAGTTCTGTAGGTAGCACCAAGCTATGGGCAAGAGAAAGGAGACAGTCTTCTGGGGACGTTCTGACACTCATAGATTTCCACTGCAAGATTTATATAGAACCCTTGACCTGTGTCTGGGTCCTGGTCTCATGGAATTTTCCATCATTCTCGTCATCAGGCTTCATATTGCGTGCTTGACTGGTTTATCCCACTCATTCTCTGTCATCGTATTGCCACAGCAGCCGATCCTTCTCAGGATTGCCGACAGATCTGAGACAGCGTCTGCATTCAACGGTCTTCCGGTCACTGGCTTAATTGAAGTCTACCAAGCAAGATCTTCTCAAGCTGCGGTGAGAACTCTGTTCGACTTTGTTCGAATTCCAGCCCAGCCATTTGTCTTCGGTGCTTTGGCAAGCGAAACCGCCCATCGCCTGCCCGACTTCCCACCATTCTGATATTGTACGATTAGTTGAGCCTGTTGAGAAAGCGAATAAGTATCATTTACGTGGCACCAGCCACTTGCAAAAACAAAGATGCATGGCTAATATCAAGACAAGATCTGCAAGTGTCCTTTACGCTCTGGCTGCCCAACCGTTGCACGTTGATCGATTTGCATCTGAAGACACTGGGGAGAAAACCCTAGAGGTTGATGGTGATCCACACGCCGCGACAACCCGTGTGCAACCAGGAGCTTCATCTGGTCCCTACTTACGGTGAATCATTCAAGCCCAGAGAGCGACATCCTGGTGTGGGTAACATCAGGAAATTCCACGGGTCTCTACTGGTTGGTAGTGGTGCCCTCAGAGCCCTTGAAGATCAAATGGCTCGGAGTACATTCATAGGGCAATGCCCCGTGGACGAGCACATCCAGGATTCAAATCAGACCAAATCTTCTTTTCTCTACGAGATGCCAACTGTGCGCCGCCAAAACATGGGCCGAAGGCCGGAGCTATTGCCCATGGCAGAGAATCTCCCTCCTCGAGGCTCAGAGAGGGCTTTTGTGTCTTCTATAAAGCCTCAACCGTCTACTGAGAATTTCTCCTTGGACAATCATCCGTCAAAGACTATTCTACCCTATTACTCCCATATCGACAAAACGAGAAGGTCCTTCTCGTCAGACCCACCTTGTCCTGTGATGCAATTCACTCAAACTCCTACTACACGACTCGATAGCACACCGGGCCTGTCGCTCAAGTGTGGACCTCGCGAGAAAGTCCTGGGATTCCCAGGCAACTTATACCAGGCTGTAGCTACCACTATGGAAATGTCAGCCTCTAGCAGTGGTTTCAAATGCAATGATATTACCGACACGAACTCTTTGGGCTCGTCAAATGGTGATTTCCTCTCGACAAAGGTGGAAGATTCGATGTCTGCGATGGAGGGTTCTTGGCCATCTTGCCCTGCGTCATTCTATGGCTATTCAACGGGAAGCTCTCCATCTTCTGCCTCTTCCTTCGACATGATGGACGCCCCCACTGATAATTCCTTATTCTTTGAACAACCTCTCCAAGATTGGGCAGACATTGAAAGCCCTGCTATGCAAGGCTTGATGTCCCAGATCCAAGACTCGCAAGACGTGAAGAGTCTGTGTTGTGGGGACAAACAGGTTGACGGACTTCCACAATGCTTTCAAGATCTCCAAATTTTGAATTGGCAAGGAGGCTGGAGTCCTGACAGCTTTCTGTCTCAGGGACCTGGGGGTATGCCCTACGACGCAGCCTGGAGCATTTTGAATGGCAACACAGACAATCATCTTGATGGTCAGCTCTTTGCAATGTCTCATAATCATGACTCGGAACAGTATGCACCGCTATCACACATCTCCAGCAGCGCAGTCCTCCCATCTCATCACCAGTATCCCCAAAGCGAACTTTATTTCCAGTCACTCATCTCACCAGAAGCAAGCTCTCTACCAACTGCTCCTGTGATACCTCTCAGCACAAGCCCTGTCCACCAAGACCATGATGCACATGGTTGCGAGATATCTGCAGCGACCGAAGAAGACCCAACGGACAAAATCCAGCCCCATCATCTCGAGGACTCCAATTCAGGCGTCAATGCCAGCATTCACTATAGCGACAGACGCAATGCCATGCTCATCAAGTGGAAAAAGGCCGGTCTGTCCTACAAGGACATCAAGCGCATAGGAGGATTCAAAGAGGCCGAATCAACGCTCCGTGGCCGATTCCGGACCTTGACCAAGACGAAAGAGCAACGGGTACGAAAGCCCAAATGGCTGGCACGTGACGTAAGTTTGGTTCTTTCTTCCTTGTCAATCAAAACCAACAATATCCCCTACCCTAGAACGGCTCAACTTGTACTGACTCGGTATTCTCATTGCTCTCCAGATCGAACTATTATGTGAAGCCGTAGTCACCATGGCAAACCAGACATCTTTGTCTGACAAGTCGCCCGCGGACCTTGTTCAGACCCGTGTAGCCCTGGCCGTGGCGGGACAACTACCAAAGGTTTCGTGGAAAAAGGTGGCTCAGTATATCTGGGCGAATGGGGGCTCATATCAATTTGGTAATGCAACTTGTAAGAAGAAATGGTGTGATATCCATGGGATCAAGATCTAGGAAATCGGCTTGCTTTGGCGGAGGTATCTTTTGGGTCGAGGTGTTGCTGCGGCCATCTTGCTCTCTCCGTGCTGAATTGGTTCAAGGTTGGATCGATTGTTTGTTCGTTGGAAAGCCCAAGGCGTCAACTGATGGCGTCATGCTTTCATATGGTCATACTTAAGCTATTTACTTGGTGACTCACTCCAAAACACAAATGGAACAAGTAACACGATTGGCCTTAGCAGGTATAGTGGCTCAGTCCTCCAACTGCATCTTTTGATCTCGCCATGTATATGGCGGTAAAATTTATACACTACAGAACTCGCTCTACGATAGTCTGGATTCTTAAAGCTGCTCACCAGTAGCTTAAAATTGTGCAGCCGGGTAGAAATCATTTATTTATTCATGCCGATGAGGTGTTTACACACTTCCGGGAAAGCAGAAGCGGGACAGAGACGATGCCTTAATCCAAGTGTCGTTCGAAGTGTGCCCGTACACATGCAGTAAGACGCCCATAAGCGAAGTTTCGTGCTAATCTGCGGGAAGAATCTTAAGTGCCAGGGGAAATGGCGGAGCCGCCCTCCCAATAGTCGCTTGATTATGAAACCAGATCCTTTCCCACTCAGTTCGAACGCACATTACAGAGAAGCATGCCCCGGCCCAGGCACGCCAACATCCCTCAGAATGCGCCCGAGAACGTCCGGCTGCGCTCTCAACACATCCCACTCTGCTTCCGCCTTGACCATCAATGTACCGGCCAAGATGGTTCCGTTCAGCGAAACGAGTCCCGGATCTGCAATGTCCCCAGCAGCTGACACATCGACCGGCACATGGGCGGTTTCCGATCGGCGCGGTACAATCATCATCGTCTCCAATGTCATGGCAAGATTATAACTGATGGCAGATGGCCCGTGGTCCGCAACAGATGGGAGACCATCGCGAGGGTCGAGTCCCTGGACGGCACCCACAGCAGCGCGATATAAGGTGGTATAGATTGAATGTAGCGTTTCGGGGGCAGGGTTTGGTGGAAGCGGCAGTGCAAAGTGCGTAAATGGCAGGCTCGGGTGGGATTGGAATGTCGATCGATTACGAGGTTGAGAGGTAACAAAGTCGATGAGAGGTTTCCAAGAATCACCGGCTGACGAGCGCATTGCCTCTACCGGGAGAAACTGAATATGTCGATGGGATTGACTGGCGCCGCTTTCTTCACCCGAGTTGAAGAATGCGAACAGGCGGTCGGTCGAGGTTGACGATGAATCTGGACGGTTTTGGCTTGAGGCCGACTTGTCTCCCCAGGCGCGGAGACATTCGTGCGTGGCTGCGAGGTCGGCAGTCTCCAATATATCGGTTTGAGCTTTCCAAGCTCTCGTGGAGAGAATGAAATGATCAGGGATGACGGGGAACTTGTTGAGGATGAGGGCATGCGTCGGGTCTCGAGGGGGAAAGCTCGCGATTAATAGATCTGGCGATGGGTTCTCGAACGGATCGACTTTCTTCGGTTTCGGTTGCGCAGAGGTGTTGTTTTTGGAGTCTTGGGGTTTCATTGCCAAAGCTGGGCAGAATCTAAGCTGGTACTTCAAGGGACCGAGGCTTGTTAGATTTTGTGTGACCGTTTGCTACTGCTCAAGTCGGATGATGCGCGCGGAGACGTTGGAGAGACGTACCGGAATGCCTCCCGTGGTTATGATCGAGAGCTGCGTGGGAGAAAAGACAAGATGTCCGCCATCTTTGGCAGCCTTCCAGCGCCGGGCCACCAATGTGGACAGGTTCTCAGAGAGTCCCAATTTCATGGTTGAGGGCGCGGAGAAAGCGATTTTAAAGAAAGTCTCGGCGACCGAGGTGGAAACGGATGTGGGGGGAAGAAGACGGTGCGGGGGAGAAAGAGCGGCGATAACGTGGGCGGTGATGATGATATCAAGTTATCAACTGACTGGCCGTGACGGGCACTGACTGATCTTTGTTAAACATTTGAGCCAATACAGGCAGTGGACTACTATACTTGGTGGCTTCTAGACGTCCTGTTGGATGGTCTTTTAGACTGATTGCTTGGCAAAAAGGGCTTCGAAGATTTGGCCAGCTATCTTGATAACATGGCATTCGTCCTCAACACCAGAGTACTTCTTCTATCGGTCGCCGCAGCCAGAACATCATGCCAAGGCCACGGTTCTTAAGCCTTTGAGGGACGGTCGAACTCTTACTCAGTCGTTCAAGCCAGGCGGTCAAGGACAGCCACCAGAATGGTCATCACGCTGACTCTTACAGTCGTCTGTAAAATGAACCTGGACGTTCGGAGTCATGCCCAGACGCGATCTCTCTCCTTTGGTTCGAAGCAAATGAAGGCTCCTCTCTGTTGATGAAGCTCGGTGCGAGAGACTGACCACTTCGTATGAGAAGCATTCGTCCAAGTAAATTGCCGTTGCTCTGAATTCTGATTTACAGCATCACTTCAGCAACCTTGAAGTGACTTCTGGTCAGCTGCATCTCTGACTACGTCTCTAGCCCTGCTTTTCCCCTCGAGATGGGGACTGTCAGCCGGCCGATACGTGTGCAACATGCGGATCAAGTCCGCGTGGCTGGATGCCGCTGGAATCGCAAGATGCAGTCCTGTGAACGTTGCCGAAAAATCGAAAGTTGCGTGTGATCATAGTGTTCCCTGTGGTAGGTGTGTGAAAAGACGGCGTGTAGACGGATGTTATTATTATCCGAGCCTCCTGACGCGTGTAAGCAGACATCCATTTACAGTGAACTCCAGGGTCACACATTGTCCAAGAGCGAACCGTCTGACTAACATCAGCTGGATTACCAGTATCGACAAGAAATCATCGCGAGTGCAGCACCTGCAGCAGTACCCAGGGGTTTGTTGCTTCATCGCTACCGAACAAGGATATTTCATCGCCATCGAATGAGCATTTCAGCAGTGCCGATGGCGGAGACGCTGTCCATACCACGCAGATGGCACTTGGGACAACCCCTAGAGCGAGTCTTCCGCTACCTGATCGTGCAGAGTCTGCACCACCGCTTTTTGATTACCCAAGGGTCAGATCAGAGAAGCAGGGCTTCTTTGGATTTACCTCTCATATGTCGATCATGACAGAAGACTTGACACAGCTCGGGATCACGTCTACGGGTCTGGATCAGGCTACGAGTGTTCATGAAAAACCCATCCCGTACGAGAAGGTCGCGAGCGGTTGTCAAGTTCTTTCGTTCCTGCAGAACAGACCAATGATCGATCGCGCTATTGGTTTGTTATTCAAGTCACTTGATTGCATTCATCTACACTGCGGTGAGCTCATTGTCAGACCGTGGCTCTCCCAACTGTGGGTCAGTCATGGCGAGACCTTGGAAGATCAGGATCCATGGCAGATGCGGCAGCTGTGCGTCTTGCTCTTTGCGAACACGTCAAAGCCGCAGATTTTGACGGCAACACCACTGCGAGGCTATAGATTTCCTCGGCGACGGGCGACCACATACGCTGGGGAGTGATCGCCATGGTCGCCAACTATGTGGGATCGTTCGCCATGGTGAGAAGCTCGTCGGACCCCTTCTTTGAGGAATTTGATATGGACCGTAAGTCCCTTTTGGATCAAATGACCGAAGTTTCCGGATTCTGTATCGGCTTTTGTCGAGAGAGCGGCCTCTTAGATGATGGATTTCTGTATGCCCTTTTCGAGTACTACAGCATTATCAAACATACAAAGGGTGGAGCCTCTTATGCATCGTGGTGTGTGGGTGCCGAGTTGAACAGCGCCTTTAGAGTAATGGGGCTGCATCAAGAGATCAGAGCCGATGCTCAGGTGCCTCTTTTCCTCGCAGAGCTGCAGGTATACTTTTCTCCGAATTTTCTGGTTTGCTCTCTTTCCTCGATTTCGACCGGTCTTGTGCCCGAAGCGTGTACTATGACAGTTTCAGTAGTGTATGCAGTAAGAGCTCTCCAACATGCTTGTTCATTCCGAGTTGCTCTTATCGCTCATTGCTATTCCGACTATTTTGCATGTGTATTCCGACCCCCCGGTGGATAACCTCGACTTACCGCATTGTTTATGCCGACCAGCTGCATACCGGACTATCATTACTGACCGATCACGGGCAATCCCGAGAATTAGCCTTTCTTACGACCGATCAGCATGAGACGCTGCCTGGTCATCTCATCTCACGTCCAACATGAAAGTAAGAATCAAGCAATCAGCAGGTCCTCGAAACTGACCTACGGGACCAATCTTGTCCTTTTTGATTTTTGTATGTCATTTGTCTTCCCACTATAGGTACTGTATTTTCACCCCGATGCGAGGCCATGACCGAATTCAGCTTCCAGCCTCGTACCCGCAACAGGGTTACTGCCACAGTGTAGGCCCGGCGTGACGATGAACTAGATAGTATATGACCGATGTCTTGCGCGGAATTTCTCACAGATTCTAATCGGCTACCTCTGTTTTTTTTTCTTATAAATTCATCAACTTCCTCACCCGATTGCATATCAACTACGTATTCACCAACTTTTCAATGTTTTTACAAAGCCCATCTTCTTTCTCAAAAGACCATTGCGCGTCTCTGAAGTAGTTGAAAGTCGCATAGTACGACTATCTGGCCTTAGGCGTTGGGCCCGTCCCAATCGTGCGTGAGAACCAAGAAAAAAAAGAATATTGTGTTGAGGACGTATCGCTCCTACTCTCCACGTACCAGTACCGGGCTGGGAGACTGCGAAGATGGAGCCAAATGTTTGAAAAGGGCGAGGCAAAAGGAGTATGAAAAGGAGGAACAAGATTCCAGAGCGCAGACCCCGTGCAATGACGAGACATCAAGCTCGTCACTTTGCCACAAACACCGTGTAACTGCAATGACGGGGATTCCAATTGACCAAGACTCGGCTCCCGTCAATGTAGGAGAGCTCGTCGGTTTGAGAATCAGCGACCAGTTGCAGGGCAGTCGTGAGATGCCCTCGTTCCTCACGTACAACATTCAATGCACGCATGAGCTGGAGTGGGATATGGTGCTTCAGGTTGGTGGGGAGAGTCTCAAGGTCAAGAGCGAACAGCCGGTTCTGGTTATGGAGAGGAGTGTCTTGGGTTAATTCGGCCATACTTTACGGTTATTTGCGGCAAAGACCAGGTGAGAATTCTTCATAAATATTCATTCCTCATTCTGAATGTCAATGTTCTATTGGGAATCATGTGGACTAGACAATTCCTCGCCATTCTCATGCCTGAGCCAGCAGGTGATGGAATGGATGTCAAGTCCGCGGTAATAGTCGCTAGCAATAACAGTAGCAGTATCACACACATAACACAACGCAAATAAGAGCAAACGCTTCTTTCACTCCACACTCGTCAAAATTACAATTGAATAGGCCCCGTTGTGCCTCTTTTTTTTTCCAGACAGCCCCGAAAAGAACAAGATAAAAGAAGAGAAAAAAAAAAAAAAGCTTCGGGTCTCCTCGACGTCAACCCCGCGCAAATGCGTGTTTGGAAAAGGAAACCTTCATCAGACGCCAGTAGCGGGTATACCGGGGAAACATGCGTAGCACAATCAATCAAATGAGACGAGGCAAAAGGGGAGTAGAAGTAAGAAACAGGGTATATAAGCGAGCACAAAATGGAAAGGACAGATGGCGGGCTCAATAGATGAAGTGGAAAACACAAGAAGAAAAAATAAGGCGGCATGGCGTAATCATGAGTGTAGTAAATTTTCTTCAAGGACCCTTTCTCGGATCAAGACATCAGCTCGTGCAAAGAAATATCATCATCCTGAGACTGGCGCAGCTCTGGCATAAGCATCGCCGGTTGACCCATGATCTGTGAGTCAGGGCTACCTGACCACGGCCCACGCTCTTCTTCATTGGCGCTCAATACACCCTCGACCCGCTTCATGGTCTCGACGTCCAGATCAGTGACATATGCGTCGCGATAGCTGCCGTCCCAGGTCGTATCGGGAAGACGAAGGCGAACTTCGAATTCCTGGTTGAGCATCATCTCGTCTTTCCACAGGCGGCGCTGTCCATCAAAGACACACAGGACACGCTTTTTGGTCTTGATGCTCGAGCTGGGACATCCCCATGACTGTGGGTAATTGCCGCGGTTGTTGCGACGCCGGTTGAACACTGCACGAGTCCCGGTCTTGGTGGCTGATTTGGCGGTCGACTTGGCCACAGCGTTGCCGGTGCCGATGATCACGCGTGAGGAGGACGAGGAGGACGAGGAGGACGAGGAGGACGAGGAGGAAGCGTCATTCTTTTTTTGAACCTTTAAAGCACCATGACCTGTCTGCCAAGACAGCGACTCCTCATCTTCTTGAACATCCAGTTCATCCACCGGCTCGACGGAGGCTGTTTCACTCCGCAATCGGTTTTTTTCCATAGTCTTCTGTACCTCCTCATCCGCAGCAACCTCGGCCAATCGCTGCTGGTTGATGGCCTCGGACGGCTCCTCCTGTTGGACCACGCGTAAAACACAGTCGTCCAGATGCTCGTAAAAGTCCTGGGCATTGTCGAATGTCGCCGAGCAAGTTGAACACTTGCCCGTTGCATCGCTCCCATAGTTACTGCCTCGTGAAATTGATCCAGATGGCGTACGCTTGCGACAATTCGGCGGGGTCTGTTCCACCCCGTGGACCGAAGTGAGATGTCTCTTGAAAACATCTGCCCGGTTAAAGCTCTTTTCGGCTGGCGAGCCAGATCCCGGACAGAATCCACAGACCATAGTGCCCTTGTAATGAGTCAATGTGTGCCGATTCTTGTCATACTTGCGCGCAAAGCCCTTGGTGTGGTATTCGCAGGTCGCGATCGGGCATTTCTCGGGTCGTTCGGACTGGTGGGTGAGCATGTGCGCTTTGAGATCGCGGAATGCTCGACCGCAGTCGGGGAAAGGGCAGCGACCCTTTTGGTTAATCTCCTCGTCGCCTTCCGTGCTGCTCAGAGCAGGACTACGTTGCGAATGAGAGGATTGCATGGAGACGATGGACGCTCGGCGCTGCAGGACAGGCGATTGCGGTTGGGAATGCGCGGACCCGGCAACCATTATAGGGGATGCCTGTTGTGGCTCGAGGTGATCGCTGTAAGAGACGGGTGAAGTAGCTGAGGAGAGGGGCAGGTAGTCCATGGGAGGCGCTGAGTAGTCATATATGCCTTGGTCGGGAAAGGCCAATGTCGGAGGGAATCCAGGGCCGGTGGGTACTGGTTGTACCGTGTGGATCAAAGAGGGATCTAGAAACTTTGCATCAGTCGATCTAGTCACTTCGAAGACTGGAGTATGATATCGCAATGTGTGCGATCCATGCGGAAAGGGCCTACGTACCGACAAACGGCTCCGAAATTTTCTCCTGGTAGAATCCTTCCATATCAAATGGACCTCCCATTTGACCATAGTCCTGCGCAAAGTGATCGTTCATGACCACAGCAGGAATCCCCAAGCCATGGTTTGTATTCAACCATTGATCTGAGATGGCATGTAGATGACCGGGGTACGGTGAGCCCAGCGCCGACGACGGGGCACTGGCAATGGAGGGCCCGGAGGCTGCAGAGCCTGTCGTAATCGTATACTCTGTGGGATTCGTAGTTGCGATCAGAGGCGGTGTGGTAGGCATGGATGAGATGTGGTTGGAGGTCTGATGATAGATAGGCTCCATGAAGCCGGAGGTGGTTTCGTAATATATGGATGACATCTGAGAATATCCAGGGTGCAGATGAGATTGGGAGTGAGGAGGCATCTCTGTCGCGTATGGGAACATGTCCACCATATTGGGATCCATGCTGTGCGTGTACTGGAAGCTTTCCGCCTTGTTGCGCTTAGTCGAGTCCATAGTCATCATCTTAGACCGCGATGTAGCGTTGTAGGCACCGTTGGGAGGAAACAGGACAAAGTCCGAAGAGGTCGATTGAGATGACATGTATACGGAGGACAGTAGCACGGAGGATTCTTTTTCTTTTCTCTTTTCTGGTTCCTTTCTCGCTTCCACGGCGCCCGAAGCCAGACTATATGCGAGATAAATATCCGACCAGTAGAAGTTTCTAACACATGGAAATTGTCACCATCAGAAATGTTTTTTGCTATCTTGGTGATTTTCGGGGGAGAGAAATCGGGAGCTCATGTTTTGGCATCTCCACCTGCCATGTGGTTTGGATGCCGCATATCGCGGCTTCGGGAAGACATACCGGTTGTATTTGAAGAAGCGGGCACGTTGGACGCCGAAACGTGGATCGTTGGCTGAAGGATGGATGGAATGCCTTGCTATCAGGTCGAGATGCCCAGTGATGTGTGCTTTGATGATCTCGCTGCAAGGGCGGAGTGGGCCACAAGGAGGCAGCGAATTCAGGTCGCATGCAATTGCTGGAGGGGGAAGATGATACCCGACTGGGCCTCGAGATCGTCGAGGAAACTTTGGCGAAGTCGGAATGGCAATGACTGAAAGATTCCGGATGGCTGCTGAGGGTGAGCCGACCGCCCCTAAATATGTATTCTTGTCCACTTGCAGAGGCCGACGGGCGAGGACTGCAATCGCTATCCAGGTCAAGCCTTGAGGGGTGGAAGTGTGTTGATGTAAGAAGAATGGTCGCCGCAGGGAATCCTATGATAACTATATACGAGCTGGGACCATCGGCAGAGCCGAGAGAGGGAAGGAGGACACCAGTGGAGACGGGAGAGATTGGCGTCGATCAAAGAGAGAACGAGTCTTCATTCGGAGGGACTGGCAGTGACAGAAGAGGAATAAAATGGAGATAATTCAATTTCTGACAGACCGCATGGCCAGGTTAAGCAGAGCCAGTCTGGAGCCAGTCAGAAGAAGCGATGATGCGGTCAGAGAGGCATTCCAAAGGGGGCAGACACTGCAGAGAGGAACCCGGGGACTAGATGATTATAGCGTCAGGTCCATATTACGATGCGCCCGGTGCAATAATAATGATCACGATGATGCGTGCTTGTTGATGGAAAGGGAAAGAGAGAAAAGAAATAATGGAATCCGTATTCGGAAAAGGTAAAGACACACGAAGAGTTAGAGGAGGATAGAAATAGAATTCCACTCTGGAGAATGGTGATACAACAACTGTCACTACGAAGGGACTGGAATCCGAAAAATGGCAATAAACAAATGATCAACCATTTCCACATCAGGATGTCCATCACCCGAGACCGAGTCACGATGTGGAGGAGAGCAGCACTCTGGGTCTCCTGGAGGTACTCGGGTCTCAGGAAAAAGAGGGTCTGGAAGAGGAAAAAGAAAAACAATCGCAAATCAAAAAAGAAAAAAAAACCCCCCTACGACCAAAAACAGACAAGAAACTAAAAGTCAAATCCAGAAAAAAAAAAAAAAAAAACAATGAAGGGAACATTCAAATAATCACAAGTCAACAGTCCGCACGGTGGAAATAAATCAGTCCGCCAGGCCATCGCCTAATAGAGCAGGACGTGGGCCATCCATGCACTCTCCCCAAGCGATCCAGTTCCAGTCCCGATTGCAAGCACGAGAGGAGCAAGCGGGGTGGAGAGCAACGACGCCCGATCGAGTAAAAGGCCTGACACTCTGAGAGAGCACAGTCACACCAAATTCATCTCCACAAAATGCATCCTGTAAGGATTGGACAATGAGGGCCGGGCCTTGAAGTAACAAAAGCAAAAATCCCCTCCACAGTGTTCTTCTCGTTGGCTCGACTTGCGTGCCTCTTTTGGGAGAAGATGATTCTCTCGGGACACTCGTGAAACCTTTCCCTAATCAACTATCCAGTATAGACAGTTGGGGCGACCGAGAATAGCGGGCACTGGGCAATGGGCACTGGGCAGGGGGCCAGCCTACCTACTAAACTCCAGTATACGGCACGGGAAGTCGAATCATGCTTCCACTCCCAGTGAGGTCTCAATGACAAGGCAGCCAGAGTCAACCAAAACCCCTTTTGCTGGAAGGAGAGTGCACCACACCTGAGATTCACCGGTCTGCAGCCAAGAGGGAGAGTGCTGTAACGTACAGTAGGGCACAAGAATGCATACGCATTGTACTTGACTGCTTGTAGTACTAAACCACGAATGATACACTTGGAGAGTACTACGACTGTCGTATCCAGGTTCTGATTGAAGGCTCCAGGGACTACTATTGTTTCCTCTGCAGAGCCCAGCATCGTTTCGTGGCCCTGACGCCTCTCTCATTGGATCGAGCCGACGTCAAAGGATGTGCACAGGTTCATGCCAGCGAGCACCAATGGCGTGGTCAAACCCGGTCCAAACCTTCGCATCTCAGACCCGGGAGAGTTTGTTCGAAGCGAGTCCCCATGCTGGACCCATGTCCAGGTTCACCTGCAGGTCTGTGCCCCGTTCGGGGGAGGGTGAATCGTGACGATAGGGCTGGGGGCATTGAGCACTGCCACGGGACGAGACGAATAGGCGACCCTGGGGAGGCTCCAGCACGTACGACATACTGACAGTCCAGAACGACCACAATGAGTGGCTAGGGGAAGTCAAGGGGATGTTACCAAGCATCTTCCCTTGATGATCTGCAGGCATCTCCTCGTGTGAGAGGGTAACCCGTTGCCCGGAACCGTTTGTTGACGGTCGCAAATGCTCAGGACCACTCGAATATCTCTCTTATCTTTGGCCGATCACACCAGGAGATATTCCAAAGGTTATCAAGAAGGAGACAAGACTACTGAGTCCGGAGTTCTCAGTTTTCACATCTTTCTTCAAAAGGGTATGTGTTGCATCGGAGAAAGTGGTTCCCAACTCCGGAAAGAGCGAGACTTGCCAACTTGTCAAGTGGTGAGTACGTTGGAAGTACGATGGTCACTCAGTCCACGGAAAACCCCTCGGCCGTCGGAACAACGAAGACTCCGCCTCAGGCTTCCCTTTCACTCTTGTTCTCTCTCTTGCCCTCTGTGTGTTCCATCTGTGCGAGCGTCTAATCTCCACGCCTCCAAGCTCATCCAAGAAATCAACCCTTTCAAAGTGAGAGAGATTCTGGACAGTCTTTCTCAACCTCGGAACCTCATCTCGCACCGAATCCACCGAGACTGATCTTCCCGCGTCCCCCCCCCCACCAAAAGAGGCCCGTCCTTTCACGACGGGACCACGGTTGAACCGAGTCATGATTACCAAGAGGGGCAGTAAGCTCGTGGGCAGACGTCTTCACTTTGTGACCCTTTGAGCACCCAGGCTCATCTTGTGATCCCCGAGTGAAGATTCCGTCTCGGTATACAACCGTACAGAGATCACGTCGACACTCGACAGTACAGTAGTACATTGATGAAAGTCAAAGTAGTAGAATCATAGAATGTACCATCTTGTCTTTCTTCGTATTTGCCCGGCGTCGATATCCATCTGCACTTTGTCGGGTGCGCTCCCTCGGGATGAGCAACAAAGGATGAGGTATCCGCTCGAAAAACTTCCTGGTAGCAGGAACACTTTTTTTTCTCCAAGCAGCCCAGTACCGACAGATTGCAAGTGTAAATGCACCTTGTGGGAGAAACACCCGACGGGTGGCTTGAATCTGTAACTCTGAACATGGTTGAGGGTACAGTTGGACACTGCTGGTCAACGGAGACCCAGTGCGTTCCTTCTTCCGGTTACTTTTGGCGCTTATTGGCCGTCATCAAGCATGCATTACAATCATACAATGCATGTCATCCAGCCGAGCTCACAGAATGGTGGTGGGTGGGGGCAGCAGCTCTCTCCTCCGAATGGGGTCTTGATTGAGGCTCTCGGTTCCAAGGGGACCCGGTCAGGCATCGGCAACTCCGTAGACATGTGCCTGACACGCTCGTGTTGGTGTTGTGGGTTGCTTCAAGGGTTGACCGTTTTGACAGTTGACCCAGACCCAGACCCAGACCCAGACCCAGACACGGATGAGCGGCTTGGGAGGTTGCGGAATTGAAACGAAATCGATAAACAGAGCATTCTCTCTTGATTTTCCACTTGAGGTTTGTCGTCTGACTGCCATCGTGCTCGACGCTGAATGCAGGACTGGCCATTGTATGACCATCCTCGATTGTCGTTGGATTTCTTGCCCTTTGTTCGGGTGGTTGCTCTGGGAGTGTCGACTGTTCTGTGTTGCCCTCAAATGAGAAACTCCCACAGCGAACATCATGCAGTGTGACCGCACTGAAACGGCGCTCTGAAACCTTGATGATCTCGACTCGGTTTGTCATAAGTAACAGGTACCAGATTGAATATAGACTACGGCACTGCAGAGTGTGCAATCCATTGTCGGTGTCCTCGCCTCGTTGTCCTCACAGCACCCGACTGGGCAGTCAGAGCGCCAAAGTCGACGATAGCCCATACGTTCCGGCAGACCGGTCCTCGGGTAAATTTCCTCGTCTGGCGTCTCGTACCACGCCATATCGAGGGCATTTAGACGACCAGGCCGTGCAAGGAGCCGAGGGCTTTTTTTTCGTGCAAAAGGACGCGAGAGCCGAGAGGGCAGGTGTTGACCTGCCCTGAGGTATCAAATGAGCATTGATCACGATCTAAATGGGTGTTGTGTCTCTTACTTTCCGATCGTTCATCTCGGCCGGCGTACAGACTACGGCCAGTACCACTTGAGGCGACCTGAGGGTCGAGTCGAATACGTAACCATGTACCTGGCGCTACTGAAATTGTGTGTTGGGGATTCGTCATTGGCTGTAGTCCGGTAGATCAGAATTTGAAGTTTAAATGAGCACCGCGCTGCTGGATCCAATCGTTGAGGACCATTCAACTGCCCTATGAGGATCTCATCGAGAGAAAAAACAAAAAAAAAGGAAAGAAAAGAGCTCTCTTATCGGCCTGTCCAAACGTGATAAAAATAAATCACGAACTTTCTGTCCAAAGCGCACGTGTACCACAACTTCATGCTGTTTAGCATACGTACCATACCTCATCAGGAAGAAATGATCGATAGTCAGATAAACTGCCCAGCACTAGACCGAATCCTCCCACCATATAAACCACGTGTATCCAACTGAAAAGCACCATAAACACTACACATTTCCAATCCACAATTGCCCTGAACGGAATCTGCCCAGGATTCATATGCCCGGCATAACTCGACGAGGCATGCATAACTCCAGTCCAGAATAGTTTTTGCTCGGAGCCGCACGGCAGAGATTCCCTCATGATTGGCAGATCTACATCTCAACTGGCTCGTGCTGCCCAGTACACTGCGTAGTCGTACGCCGTACAGTAGTATTCAGTGATTCACCCCTTTCCCCGCCCGACAGGCATTGATTTGGAATTGTGTTGCTCGTGTCCGCATGGTCCGTAGTCCATACTCCATAGTCTATAGTCCGTGACTCTGTGGGCGGTAGTCCTTCACGAAATATACCACACGGCAGTGACGGCCCACAGTATCTAGTTCTAATCCACTGTGAATTGGATGACATGGTCATTTATGGTCCTGGTCTGGGTCTTGGTATGACGAGGGTTCCACGGCGGCCTGCCAAAAACGTGTGCTCAACTGCTCATAGCTTTCATACCTGGCCGTATCCGGAAGGTCCTTGACATTCGAAAGCAAATGGATGCCCTTTTTGTGAGACAGTGCCGTGATGCACGCTTTCGCTTCGGTCGGGTCGAGTCCCAACGGGCGTGGTGGGTCTTTGAGATCGATATTCGGCGCAATTTTCGAACCGTGCATCATACTAAGATGCTCATCTGACTGGCAGAATGGTAATGTGCGTTGAATTTCGAGAATAGAGCCAGAAAAAAAATGGATGGTTCCAATTTTAATGATTCGCCAGTTATGGAAACTAGACGCAGAAAGCACTTACACCGACGGGGAGGATCCCGAGGAAGACAGTCAATCTATCGCACAGGTACGTGTATAGGTAGTTGGACACAATCAAGGCACCCAACAATAAGCTCGAAACGGGAAAACCACAACGCAACTCCCCAACCAGCAATACGAAGCGGGTGTGCATGACTGCATAGTCATACATACGCATGCAGAATTTAGGGTCCGTCCGACGTCGATGCCATGAGCTCATTGAGCTCATACAAACGTCAATCCCCATCGGCGAGTCCGTATGGACCAGCCTTATGGGCGTTAAGATGGTGGCGGTCAATGCATGCTCCTGCCGGACGTTAGTCGTATGCGACAGATGTACGACGAGATATTCGTCGTGACAATTGGATTCAAGGAACAATAACGTTTTCCTCGAGCTGGACAGTCCATCCAATGATGGCTGTGATAGTGGTACGTCCGCAAGAGGAAAAGGCTAGACGGTAGACACGTTCTCTATGAGCCTCGCAAATTGACCATCATCGCTTTGAGCGGTACTGTAGATTGGAACTTTGGGGGGTGGAAGCTGGCCTGGCCGCAGATTGGCCCCTGCTGAATCCTGAAGATTAGAGCCATCATGCTGCTGTGGCATGATTATCGTGGGTTAGGGACTGGTGGAACGTACAGTCGTACACTGTAAGTGGTAAGTAACTCAGGCCAAGCCGCCATTTTGTTTTTGGCCCCGGCTAGACAGCAATCCCTTGGGACAGTAGTACTGATCAATCATCCGCTAAGCAAGCACCCAACTCCCCCGTGGAGAGCTGAACAACCTTGTGGTTAACCTGTCAGGCTTCGTCCTCATCTCGATGAAGCTAATGCAAAGTCCGACGATGGCCCAGTCCGGTCTAGCGTGTACTCTTAGCTTAAAACGGAGATAACTTTCGGCGAGCCCGCAACTGGGGAGGCGCAGACCAACGCTAAAATGGCCCCCCCCCCCCCCAAAACACGCAAAGTCAACACACCTCTTGGGCCGGGCACGAACGGTGAGCAAAGCGCGCCAACGACCATTTGGGCGGTACAAACACTCCTCCAGCCACAACCCCATCTCCACCCAAACGAATCACCCCAGGATGTGCGACCACCCCTCAATGCTTATTGGCTTCACACCTCACAGTTGAGGCGCAGCCCGTTCTCCCTTCACCGCTGGGTGGGTTTGCCAGACCCGACAGCTCTGCCACGCCGTCGGCGACTTCGGCGACTCCGGCAATGACGGTCGTTCGGGGGGTACTCGAGCCTGGGCAGACTAGACTTGTCCGGGCGTCCTGCATGCTTTGTTGGCGAACTGCATGAGATGCTCATTCCTGACAAGTATGCATTGGTCTGGGCGACGATGGCGGTATTGGCGGTTCTCTTCACGTCGGTCTTTGAGGCTCCGAGATAGACCATGGCTTCATCGGTCCTTGATGGTATGCACGCGAGTCGTCTTGAACGTTCTTGGAGATCTCCCCCGTTTGTAAGATAAGTCAAATACTACTTCTCAAGCTGGAAGTATGACAAATCGACTACCAACGACCCGTGTTCATGGCTGATACTCTTCGCAGATAAAGTTCCGTCTGAAAATGTTGTTCCTGTTACTTCGGCTGGAGATTTGAATGACAAACTCCCTTCATGCACAATACTCATCCGTCATCCTGTCTGACATGAGGCTCTTCAGATGACACCCAATCGC